TTTTATTAATTTTCTTTTGTTTTCCCTTGTGCTTTGCCATGTGAGCGCAAACATGCAATAGCTGCAGCTATCCCGGTAGACATCACCGCCCAGCCATGTCTCTGCCATTGACGATTGCTTTTTCGTCCGAATACTTGGTTTAACGCACGCACAGCGCACAACCAGCCTTGCCATGTACAAGTTGCATGCACGCGTGCACAAGACAAGTCACTGGGGGGGGAGTTACTCACTCTTTCATCGAGCCTCGGCCAATGACAGCCTCCCGCCTCATCTACAAAACACTTTGCGCAGCAAGCCCAACGGCATAGGCTACGTGGTTACTAGACTTGAATTGCTTTTTCATGCAGCAGCGGTATGACGGGAGAGAGAGCTGAATGGCTTCAGAGGGCTTCATCAGTCCGTCACCGCCTGCGAAGAAGGCCCTTTGCGACTGCCCCCCCTTGTACGCTTTGCCTGGGGCTAGCAGGCATCCGCGCTGTCCGTCCGTCCGCCCAGTGGCGTGGTTTCGCTAATGATGTATAATAAAATAGGTATTAAAATAACAGGAAGAGGGAAAAAGGAAAAGAAGAGGTGTAGGTTTGCACTCGGGCGCCGAGCGAGAAACACTTCTCGTTTAGTTGTCATGGGGCGGTTGTTGATGCTGTTGGGGGGGGGGTTTCTCACCGACTTGACCGAAGTCGCGTCGCCCGCTTGGTGGCGTAGCACTACCTTCGTTGCTTGGCTACATACCACCACACTCGGACTGAGTGACCAGGACCATGAAAATGGGGAAAATAAATATAGCAGAATATAGATAAAAGAAAAAAAGTAAATATAGCTCTATACCTCGTGTCTCTTAAACACTTCTTTTTCTTCTTTTGCTTCCTCACTCGTCTTCTTATCTGTCTACCACCAGCTCAACGTTCCCCACGCACACAAACCCGACAGACAGACTGGCTTGAACCTTGTCCGCTGACACCGTCGCCGTCGCCTTCCCTAAAACTCACCGGTCCTCAAATTCTCATCTTGCCAGAATCTCGGTCTCTAACTAATTCCATTATCAATTCTCATCGCTTTTGCGCATCTGCTGTCATCAATTGGTGACGCCGAGACAATTGTCACTCTACGGCTCGACCATTGGCGCAGCACCTAAATTTACATCTTTATCTCTCTTGCACACACACACATACACACCACCAGCAGGCACAAAAAAAAGTTTCGCAGAGCCGCCCCGGATGTTGCGCAGATACGCCCTCGGTTTCTCCTCTGTCGGAAGACAACTCTCTACCATGGGATCCGCGACTCCCATCGAAGACACCATTCGCGCCAAGGTAATTGATGAACCTCCCCCGAAAAGCTTCCGCCGCCCGTTTCAATGCCGTGATGCGCTGACACTCATGGGCGTCGACAGATCACCGCGGCGCTCAATCCCATGACGCTGGAAATTTACAACGACTCTCATCTCCATTCTCACCACAAGGCCATGCAGGGCAGCACTTCCAAGGAGACTCATTTCCGGTCTAGTTTTTTTCTCTCTTCTTCTTCTTTTTTTTCTTGCTATTTTTCATCATTCTTGTTCTTCTGTCGAAAACGAGAGATGGAGCGGATAGAAGAATCCTCATGTCCTTCACCGCAAGAACCTCGCTGAACTGACCGCTTCCATGCAACCAGCCTCGTCATCACATCAGACGCCTTCAAGTCCAAGATGCAGCCCGCCCGCCACAGAATGATTTACGCCCTGCTCAGTGAGGAAATGGCCCGCGAGGGCGGCATCCACGCCCTCCAGCTGCGTACCCTGACGCCCGAGGAGGAGGCCCGACAGCAGCAGAAAAAGGACCAAGAGGCCACCACCACAGCCGCCAAGGAAGCCGCCCCTAACGATGATGCATGAACAGCGGGCGTGAGCATGCTGCTTTTTCTTCTTCTTCTCCATCTTCATCTCCATCTCCATCTTCTTCATCCTCATACACCGCCACCCGTTTCGCCTTCGACCCTTTGTCGCCTGAATTTGTTTGCAATTGCAAGAAAAGAGAAAGGGCAGCCGGCCAAGATTTCACTTAGATGACTACTATACTCCTCAAGGAGAGAACGAAAAAAATAACTAAAAAAGGGATACCAGGCTCCCCAGGATATATATTTGCTTGTACTGTCTGGACTACTGCCCGTTTGACACGGCCCCTTCTAGATACTCTGCACACGCCCATCACGATACAAATAATCAAAATAACGAATGAATCAAGTCATTTTATCCAATCATGAGTTGATTTCCGTCATTGTGAAAAACGATGGGTACCCGACCCGTCACCCATAAGCGCCCGTCACATATGCACCTCCACGCTAGACAACAGAACCTGCTTTGCTGCTCACACTACGAGCGCTGTTCGAGGCTCTGTTCCGCACGAGCGCGCGTATCCTCTCCCTCCGCAGGCGCTTCTCCTCCTCGCCCGCAGGCGCTTGCATCGTAATAAGCTGCTGCCTATATTGTGTGCCCACGGGCGCATTGGACCTTGCCGACGACGGCGGAATGGTCGAAAAGATCCTGCTACCCAGTTGCGGCGACGCTGCTTGTGGGCTGGTCGCAAAACTTGTCACAGAAGCGGCTCTTTTCGGCGTCGAGACGACATTCCTCTCAACCAAAGCGTTGCTAGAAAAGATAGGCTCATGCTCAGAGATGAGCCGTTGATGCGTAACATCGTCCCGCGCCGGCACTCTACGACTCACCACACCATCTGCATCAATCTCTGTTTCTGGCGCGACGGTGTCGACCTCCATCACATCCTGTGCTGCTTCTGGTAGTGGCGTTGGCGATGCTGTATCCGACTCTGTCGTCCTTGGCGACGCCGCACTTTCTGTCGTCTCAACCTCGCAACTTTGCACCATGAGACTGCGGATCGCTGCAACTTCCTCCTCGTAAAATTCCAACACATGATTGAGATTGTCGTTGTTAATGATTTGTCCGAGGTACAGTGGCTGGCCCTTTTGAATATTGAACCACTCAACGGCCGGCAGCGGCTCCTGGTCCGGCCTCGCGTTCTCAACGTAGTCTAGATATTTGTACGTAAACAGGCGAATAAACTCGTCGTATAGGTAGTCTCGCAGGCAGCGCTCGGCTCGCAGGTGTTCCAAACAGAGGCAGGCCTTGACAAAGTTGCCCTGCGTTCCGTTGTACAACTCGTAATAGTCTGGGTATGCGGCGGCGAATTCATCTAGAGGCGTCGACGCATGATTTCGACCATCTTCCACGCCCTCGTCGTTGCCCGACAAATGTGATTTTACGCTCAAAGGCTCAGCCGACAACGAGGGTGCTTCTTGGGCTACGGAAGCCGAGCTTTCACTGTCACTTGTCTCTGCTGGTGCATCTTGAGCAATCTTTTCTGCTGCGTTTGTGACATTTTGGGTTTGTGTCTGTGTGAGAGTCGCAGGCACAATGGAGCTGGACACGGTCGTCTCTTGTGTCTCTGTAACCTCCAGATGCTTCAACGACTGCATGCGGCCGCTCCTTGTGACCATGCCTCCCTCCCTGAGCTTGATCGGGCTATTGAAGTCTATCGGCTTAAATCGTTTGACTGGCCGTTGCCTTGCATCATGGCCAGCCCGTGCCACTTTCCCTGCAATGACTGTTGCTGGAATGACGATATCGTCTGGCTGTGCGCATGGTGGCGTGTTTGTAACCTGCAGAGTAGATTTTTGTAATTGGTGATTGGAGTATCGGCGAGGAGCCTCGTCGTGATCCTCAGCCGCATCCCCTCGCTGTTCATCTTCGTCATCTTCGCCGCATGGCAGTCGCACGTCCATTTCCTCTTCCTCTTCAAGGCTTGACATGACTGCTGGGCAAGGGGCCCTCTTCCAATCCAATGCTGCTCTTCGGTATGCGGCTCGAGCATGCTGAGGGTGGGGCGTCTCTTCAACAAGCGATGATTCGGGCTTCTCGTACTGCTCAGGGCGACGCTCATCTGGTGATGCCGGCCAACTGGAGAGGTGCCGCTCGGGAGAGGATTCAGGCGTACTGCAAGACTGTGAAGACTCTGCCATTACAGGTGTCGCATGCTCGACGGGCTGTACAGCGTGGCTGGTCGTCTGCCTGAAACGTGCTTCATGTGCTGTCGTTACTGTCTGAAGCACGTGGTCAGGCACATTGGCCACGCCATGAGGTCTTGTTCTCAATAGATGTATCCATGATGAGTCTTTTTCAAGTAATGCCTCCTGGTCTTTTGGGATTTTCTTGCCATTTTTGCGGTGTATCGCAACAGTGATGTCCTCAAACTGTGATGCGCTGTAGGACATTTGTGCAGTTTCTAGGTGCACCTTGGATGCGCCGCCGTATGAGACCTTGGCAGAGCGTGATTCACTCAATTCATTATCGTAGTACCATCAGACCTTTGCGATAGTTTCTGCAAACAAGACAGCTTCTGTCGTCGTTTCGTGAAGGCGGTGGCTAGTTACTGCAACGCGACGGGTCATGGTTTAACGCGTAGAGGAGTGGCGTCACTTGGTGGAGCCGCTTGTGCAGATATCAAGCTCCAGCTGCCTGCACTGGTAACTCGTGGCGTGGCTGCCAAGCTGTCAACCAGACGAATGCACGCTGCTGCATTGCGAAGCAGCCACCGCATCACATATCTTGAAAACTCTCCGCAGTCGCCAGCGTCATCACCAGGATACTTTCCCGCGCTGTACATGGCGGAAGATTACCGACCAAGAGTTTGCCTCGTCACGCCCTGTTTGTAGCTCGAGACTCCCACCCGGCCTTGCCCAGGCCACCTCCCAATCCAGCTGCGATCGAAGCCGTATCCAACATAAGACGCACTGCTTGGCCGCCGCGCAGAAGAACCATGAGCATATGAAACTGGCATAGAAATCTTTGTGAGCCGTTCAAGGGCGTATTATCGATACCTTGGCGCTTGCGTCGTCTACACCATGGCGAGCAGTACAACAACGAAGCCGCCTGGGTCTCCAGCGTCCACCCGTGACTCACCATTTACTCGAAGAACTCGACGCGACTCTGTGAACTCCGTCTCCGCCAGTTCCATGATCGACAAGGAGCAAATGTCAAATACACTTGACAAGATACACAACTCGGCAAGCCAGTCCAATGCTCTCACGACCTTCAATGATTTTGCTCCACCGCCTCGAGCCTCGCCCGGAGCCGAAGGCAAGGCCTCGACCGGAGACATTGTTCACCACGGCCTCAGCGGGCTATATACTAGGCTTCGAGAGGCAGTCGGTGCCGTAAGCCCAACAAAAACGACGAGCCGAGACGACGACACGACGATAGAGACAGCTTCAAAACGGACATCGCTTTCAGGTAGTCATTTCTCCAAGAACTCCGTTTCCTCCCTGAACCGAAGCGACAGCGTCATCACCACTGTGCCAGAATCCTCACAGACTGTCCCAGCGACGGAAGATCCATTCAGCAACGCCAGCGCCTCTGGAGAGAGCCGCAGCCTGCAGCCGCCGTCATCTAGAGGTAGTGCGGGGCTCACTACTACGCCAAAGCCATCATCGTCATCAGCGCGCGTAACTTTGGGAAGCAAGCCGAAGAGCTCTTCCACCCTCGATCGTGTAGATATTCCTGCTACAAGTCAAAGAAATCCGCAGAGAGACGCCAGCCGCAGCACGGTTCGAACAGAAGACAGTGGTGGCAAAGAGCCGCCCCGTCGAAGTCTCGGGCGAAGTGATACCCACCACAGCCTCCCGACACAAGATGTAGCCAACTTTGACGTTAGCGAGGGGAGACTGCCGCCTATTGCAAAGACAGACGAGGCTTCTATTTACGATGGAAGTGTGGATGCGCCCACCATGTCACCGCATCTACAAATGCCATCTGCTCCAGGAAAGCACACACGCACCCCCTCTACAAGCTCATCCATGCTGGGCCCCGATCAGTTGAGAAGAAAGCCTGCCATAATTGACCGAATAACTCGCTCTCGATCTACAGCATACTCGGTGTCTCGCGATTCTTCACTCGACCGGGCCGGAACGCAGCACAGCCCCATCGAAATGCCAACTGCTGATTCAAACTACCACGAGACGCTTGCCCATCACAGTGGTCACGCACGCTTCAGGTCTGGAGATGCACGCGATCCTGGCTCAACAACTTCCCACGAAGGTGCATCTGACCACATGAGCGCCCAACTGGACAAAATGGGACGGTATGTACTAAGCAAAGAGCTTTGGATGAAGGACGACACCGTAAAAGAATGTCACCTCTGTCAAGCACCCTTTTCTGCATTCAGGAGGAAACACCACTGCAGAACTTGTGGCTGCATTTTTGATTCAAAGTGTACAAAGCTCGTGTCAGGAGAAAAGTTTGGCGTGCAGGGCACTCTACGTGTTTGCAAGCGCTGTTTAGAAGCAATGAACCGCCGCCTGGAAGGCAGTGCATCGGACGACTCTGGTGATGAGCAGTCATTCATGCCGAGAATCTTTGGCCCTAGTCAATCAAAGGCCGGCCAAGACTCACCATCACAGCCGACCAGGGACGGTGATTCAACAATAGCTGCATCAGAGCCTCCAGGCGGAGTTCGCCCCAGCGTTACTCCAATGATGGCAATTCCTGCCACCCGTTGGGTGCACGAATCAAATCGTAACTCGGCTGTGCTAGAGATAGGACTGCCACAACTCAGCCGACCCGGATCTTCCCGGTCGCTGAAGTCTCTCGCAAATGTCCGGCCACAATCATCAGCAGGGCACAAAAGACACCATTCAAAACATGGCTTCATTGGCCGTCTCAAACGGGCTCCCGAAGAACGAGCTCCATTCAGAAGAGGGTTCGATGACGATACATCCAAAAAGTCCAAGTTTCCTGCTTTTCATGACGACAATATCATAGATCCTGAACTTGCAGATTTTATGTCGGACGACTCAAGCGGGGATGAACAAGTCAGCATTTTTGCGACTATGGGTACAGCTGATGTGCATCCTGCAGGGTTCGAGCAAGAAAAGTCGAACCTATCTCCATTCATGAATGCAGGCAGAAAACATCGACATCGGCCGGGAGAAAAGAGCATTAGTGGCATGAGCCACTTTAGCCGTGGCGCTGCAGATGACACAAGCGCGCCAACAAGTGTAATGAATCACCGGCGAAGCAACAGAAGACGCAACATGAGCAACGTAAGTGGTGGCGCACACCACTTGTCGTCTCCAAGGCCAAAGTCGGCGATATACAAAGCTCCGACCGGCTCGACAGAAGCTCTGGTTCCAATTGATAACGGAGATCACCTTACCATGAGACCTCCCCGCAGAGATTCTGTACCGTTCAATATACCGTCAAACACAGACTTGAATAATGCGAGTTTGAAGCATATCGACAAGTTGCTACACCAACTTCTAGAAGATGCGGAAATCCCCGATCCCGAGGCTTGGCAAAAGTCTCTCGTCCCGATTTTACTTCAGTGTACCGACGACGTCTCACCGAATGTTATCAGAGGGGAGGATATGGATATTCGTCATTACGTCAAGCTCAAGAAGATTCCTGGTGGCCGGCCACGAGACACTTCCTATGTCTCTGGCGTGGTATTTACGAAAAATCTGGCCTTGAAAAGTATGCCACGCAGAATCGGAAATCCACGCATTTTGTTGGTAACTTTCCCTATCGAATATCAACGTCATCAGCAGCATTTTATGAGCTTGCAGCCAGTCATTGAAGGCGAAAGGGAATATCTGCGCGTTGTGGTTCAAAGACTGGCAAAGCTTTCCCCACACCTCGTACTCGTCGAGAAAGGCGTCTCTGGAATCGCATTACAGTATTTCGCAGAGCTTAACATTTCCGTCGCATACAACGTTAAGCACACTGTGATCGAAGCGGTCGCTCGCTGTACCGAAGCAGACATTCTGAGCTCCTTGGATAGACTCACTATGCCGGTCTCCACGGGACGCTGCTCAAGCTTTGAGGTCAAAACATATGTCAACAACAACTTTGTACGTGGCAAGAAGTCATACATTTTCCTTGATGGCTGCCGACCGGACTTGGGTTGTACCATCTCCTTGAGAGGGTCCGACAGCCTCACTCTCTCAAAAGTCAAATACATCGTAGAATTCATGTCATACGTTGTTTACAATCTTCGACTTGAATCCAGCCTTTTACGAGACGAGTCCATTGAGCCAGACGAAGGTGATACCTCACTTTCGAATTCTTTCGTCATGAACGAGAGTTTCAAGACTTCTAGCTCTGCAGAAGATGGAAAACAAGCCTGTCGTCTCGCATCGCAGCGAAGCTCCAACGACAACGAGCAACAAGCTCATGCCGCAGCGAAGGGTGATTTAGATGGTGCAGCGGACGGCGTACAACCAGCTGAGGACCAACCAAAACTTGCGTCATTGCATGAATCGCATAATAGCGGCACGGGAGATCTGCCGGTGCCAGATGATATACCCATGCCCACGTTTTACAGCGATATGGTTGCCAAGTATGAGACCAAGATCTTGTCGGCTTCGCCATACGTCAAGTTTACCCAGCCGCATGTTTTGATGAGAGCGCGGGAACAAGAAAGGCGACTGCTCTACCTTCGACGCCTACGAGATCAAACCGTCATTGACGAACAGGATGAATCAAGCACTGGTCGCACAAAGTTCCAGCTTATCAAACCAGAAATGATCGAAAAATTTGGCCAAAAGGCGCCGAAGCAGATCATGGAAATTTTACATGCCATGCATGACGCTGAATACGATAAGGCATTGTTCAATTACCAAACGGGAACTCGGCAATGGGAAGCATACATCCAAGGCAACTTGGATCTATTTGATCCGTACTCGCATCAAAACATTGTCGTTTTGTATTCCGAAATCTGCACAGAAACCAAAATCCCGTGCACTGAGCCGAGTCTCGTGGCGATTAACTTTTACGACGAACAACACGTGTTCACGGGTATGGATCCTGACTGCACGCTTGGCCAATACATCCAGGACCTGGCAGAGACCAAAGATGGAATTTGCGATTCAAATGGTTGCGACAGGAAGCTGATTGAACACCATCGTACCTATGTTCACGACCAGTACCGCATCACAGTCTTCGTGGAAGATGCACCACCGGGGGTGACTAGACTTCCAAGCCTCGGAGACCGTATCACGATGTGGACATACTGCAAGATCTGCAAGAAAGATTCGGAGGAGGTTCCAATGTCCGATGCCACTTACAAATACTCATTCGGAAAATACCTTGAGTTGCTTTACTGGGGTCGCGGTCTTCGCATTAAGCACGGCATTGATTGCCCTCATGACCACTCCCGAGATCACGTTCGCTACTTTGGTTTCAACAACGCTCGTGTGCGTATTCATTGGGACCCAATTGACCTGTTAGAAATTGTGGTACCCAGAGCCAGGATTACTTGGAAGGTTCAAAATGATTTGAAACTGAAGAACGAGGTCTTCACCAGGATGGAAGAGCGGTGGCGCAAATTTATGTCATCCGTCAAGCTAAGACTGCAGAGCATTCGTATTGACAGCGTCTTGCCGGAAAAGGCTGAGCTCTGCAAAGCGGAAGTTGAGGTTCTCACGAAGAAGATGCAAGGGGAATTTCCAATGATGCTGCGCAAATTGGAGGAAGTATATGTCAACTCGAAGTATTACGAAATCGTTCCCTTCAACGGCCTTGTGCGCGAAATGCTGGAAGTTGCGGGCGAATGGGACCAAGCTTTTGCCAAGTTTGAGGCAGACTTTTTGGGAGACAAAGATATGCGGCAACTGACAATGATGCAATTGAAGAAGTTGTTTACCGACGAGTCGAAAGAGTCTATAGTGAATCCAGAAGAAACCATGGTTTCAGCTACCGACAGCGACAGCCGACCGTCGCAAGGCTTCTCTGAAATTGACGAGAAGAGTACGCAACCAACAGAATGTACCGACATGGATGCAAGCCTTCTGCGCGCTACGGATGATAAAGAGCCTGTCGAAGACAACGACAAAGTCGAGATACCAGCGGAAGGCGCTATTGCGCGTGTCGAGGCGCTGGATTTGGCTGGGTCTGACTCAGCTATATCTAGTTCTGATCAACCACCCTTGATACCACGCGTGGAGCCCGCGCAGGCCGAGATCGCTGATTCGGTTGATTCCTCCAAAACAGAGCTACAACCTGCTGCTAAGGACACCACCACGGCTGTACGTGACGGCCAGTCACTCACGGAAAAGGTGGATCGTATGCGACGCGAACAAGCACGAAAAGCTACCGGGGACTCGGTGAGCGGCAAACAAGATGACAACGGTATAACACGCTCCTCACCTCCCATGGTACGGGCAATATCGCAGCCTCAGCGCATTCCAAGGGCCATGGCGACCCCAGTCAACTCCTCCAATATCGGGGATCAGGTCGAAATTGCTGCAGAGCCGCCCGGTGATGGATCCATCAAAGTTGATAAGCGTTTGTCAGAAAGACTTGGCTTGTCCGCTTTGAAACAACGCGGAAAATCTGCTACATCTGGCATCCCTCGGTTGGTGACGAAGAAGAAGGATAAGGAGTCCAAGGTTTCAACTCTGACGAGACATTTCGAGCAAATTAGCCGAGAGTTTGAGAAGGAGCGCATTCGTGACAAGAAGAAGCGAGCTGCTAGTCTGCGGTATCCTCGTGCCTTACTACCAAGAACGTCAGCGAAAGTCACAATTCAGGTCTACGACGACTACAATGCAGCGCGTGAGGAACCTGCTCCGGTTTCTGATGCATCTGGCGAGCGCAAAACTGAACAAGTCGCTGATCCGGCCCAGTCAGTAGAGAATGCGGATGTTGTCAAGGACGGCCAGCTATCAGAGTCGCTTCCCCCGATAGATGCTGCGCCAAAGGCACCAGATCAGATTTCTGTTGCCGACACAGTTGATACCACGGCTGGGAGAGATAACCAACAAGACTCAGAGGATGAGGAGCGCGCAAGTGACACAGAGCCCAGTGTTTCCGATGAGTTCCTACCTGATATCAAGGAGATTGCCGATTCTACGCAAGAGATTCCACTAGAGCTCCCTAAACATCAAAAAAATACGCTCATGAAATACCTGACAAAATTCTGGGCAGAAAGATCTGCCAGTGGCTGGTCTGCTTTGGACTACCCCATCAACTCAACCGACCACATTTTCGTTGACTCCAATGTTATTGTGCGCGAAGACGAGCCGAGTTCCGTTATTGCGTTGGCCCTTAATAGCGAGGACTACAAAAACAAACTCGAAGTCATCCGTCGCGAACCACCAGAGATGCCCAAGGCTGAAGCGTCGGACAGCACAGCAGAGCCCAAGCCAACACCGGTGTCAGAGCACCTAGAGCGTCACGCAGATGCAAGCGATCTAGAGAAGAGTTTGTTGCGCATCACTGGAACACATCTGAAGTACCAGTTCAAGGAAGGCGCGGCTATCATGACGTGTAAGATTTTCTATGCCGAGCAGTTTGACGCTCTGAGAAGGAAATGTGGTATCGCTGGGCGGATTGTCGAATCTCTGTCACGCTGTATGAAGTGGGATTCTCGCGGCGGGAAGACTAGGTCTGTCTTTTTGAAGACACTCGATGACAGATTGGTGTTGAAGGTGAGTAGAGTGGCACATGAATACGGAAGAGGAATGGACAAGCTAACTTGACTAGTCTTTGTCTCCCGTCGAGACGTCGGCCTTTTTGAACTTTGCCCCAGGCTATTTTAGCATCATGGCTGAAGCACTCTTTCACGATCTACCGTCTGTTATTGCCAAAATGTTGGGCTTCTTCCAAGTCATTATCAAGAATCCGGTTACTGGCACCGATGTGAAGCTTGATCTTATTTTGATGGAAAACTTGTTTTACGACAGGTCGCCTACTCGCATTTTCGACTTGAAGGGCTCTATGAGAAACCGTAAGATTCAGTCGACTGGCGAACAAAATGAAGTACTTTTGGATGAGAATATGGTTGAGTACATTTACGAATCTCCGTTGTTCGCCCGCGAGCACTCCAAGAAGCTACTTCGAGCATCTGTTTGGAACGACACACTGTTTCTTGCTCGACAAGATGTCATGGACTACTCTCTAATGATCGCTGTTGACGAGGCTAGGAAGGAGCTTGTGGTGGGCATTATCGACTGCATCAGAACGTACACATGGGATAAGAAGCTTGAAAGTTGGATCAAAGACCGTGGATTTGCTGGGGGTGGTCGCAACCGGCCAACTGTAACGAGTCCCAAGGAGTACAAGTCTCGCTTTCGGGAGGCGATGGCAAGGTATGAAACGCATTATCTCTACGTCTTATGCACAATCACTAATTATGAATTGTTAGATATATTCTGCAAGCGCCAAATTGCTGGCATCTGTTCAATAACCCGCAATACCCAGTGTACTTTGGACGTGCCAGATTTGAAGACCAGCCCGAGCTGCAAAAGTAAACGATGAGATGAGTTTATGTCTAATTTTATGGATGCCTTGTCTTTATTTTGTTGCGAAGATTTACGGCGTTGAAGTTTGGGATTTGTTCATAAGACTATAAATACATGCTGGCATATATAGAGCGAGTTAATGACGACTTGATTTTGTCAAGCATAGTCGTATTGTGATTCGAATTAGAGGCCATCTATAATTTTTCCTATTTCTGTTAAACTTTCAAAGGCTCACAAAAATCAGTCGCGTACCTTGTTGCTTCAATAGCATCAAACAATCCGTCCGAGACTGGGTGGTAGGCGTTCAATTCAGAAAGCGGGTCTACTACGATGGAACAACCACGACCTTTTGCTTAAACGTTGCTCATTCAACTCGCCATGCTTTCTTGCAGTCACAACGCCCGCCTCACATGTCCATAGATCTCAACTGGGAGACGCTCACGAGCGGCCCGGACGGCGAGGCGCTGGCGGAGCGCATCCGCGGCTTCATCCATGACAAGTTTCAGAGCGTGCCGCTCCCGCGCTTCATCAAGTCGGTGACGGTGCACGGCTTCGACTTTGGCAGCATCCCGCCGGAGCTGGAGCTCAAGGACATTACGGACCCGCTGCCGGATTTCTACGAGCAGGAGCTGGAGGACGACGAGAGCGATGACGACGACGAGGCCGACGAGGAGGAGAGCGGCGGCGAGCACAGTGCAACCCCCCACCATCACCACCACCATCACAACGACATCCACAACGGGGCGTCGCGGCAGCAGCAGCAGCAGCAGCGGCGGCGAACGGGCAGGAATAGGCCGGCGGACCTCAAGACGGCAATCAAAAAAGAATTCTCGCTCCATCACCATGATTTGGCGAGCCCATTCATGGGAACCTCCACGCCGGGCTTGCTGGGCGGCCCGGCGCTGAGCTATCTCCACGGACATCTTGGCACGGGCACGCAGACGCCGCTGGCCGCCGTCGCGGGCGCCCAACTCGGCAACAGCTGGCTCGGGCACGGCTACGACAGCGTGTTGGACGCAGAAGCAGCAGCAGCAGCCACCGCCACCGCCGCCGCCGCCGCAGCAGCTGCGCGAATGGCGCCGTACCACAGCCGCAACCCTTCGCAGAGCAGCATCTCAGAGGACAATTTTCCGTCGAGCTACATGTCACCACCACCACCACCACCGCCGCCTCTGTCACATTTACCAGCCGCGGCCCCGTCTCTGCACCGTGATCTCCGCGAAAAGTCGAGCGTCTCGACGCTGGCGCCGACGTCGATTGGCACCTCGCGACCGCCGACGCGGGATACGCACGCCGTCGCCGACTCGGCCATTGCCGACTCGGACGACGAGGGCGGCGACGATGGCGACAGGTCGGCGCCGCTTCCCGCCAATCTCGCGCCGCGGCGCCGCGAGCCCCGCGCCGAGGACGTGCAGGCCGTCTTCCGCATACAGTACGCGGGCGACATCCGCCTTAACCTGACGGCTGAGATCCTGCTCGACTACCCGATGCCGAGCTTCGTGGGCATCCCGCTCAAGCTCAACATTACGGGCATGTCATTTGACGGCGTGGGCGTGCTGGCGCACATTCGGAAGCGCGTGCATTTTTGCTTCCTGAGCCCCGACGACGCACTGACGGCCGTCGGGCGGCCTGAGGAGGACGGCGGCGGCGGCGGCGGTGGTGGTAGTGGCAGGCCGGGCAGCAGCGGCCAGACAGCCGAGGCGGAGAGCGGAGGAAGGGGGGGCACGAATGCGCGCTTTGGCGGATTATTGCAGGAGATCAAGGTTGAGAGCGAGATTGGAGGGCGCGAGGGCGGCAAGCAGAGTCTCAAAAACGTGGGCAAGGTGGAAAAGTTTGTCCTGGAGCAGGTGCGCAGGATATTCGAGGAGGAGTTTGTCTATCCGAGCTTCTGGACGTTTTTGGTTTAATGTACGATTTGTTATGAAGATACGCATGAATAGAACATGGGAAGGCAGTATGCAAGTTATTGTTATATACACGTTCCTTAGCAAGTCTCCCGACTTAATACATTCAAATGAGGCCTGCTTCCAGGCCTCTATCATCACGTCAACGTTCGTCTGAATCCTTGGTAGGCCTGCTGGATATCCATGTCCAGCTCCCTGGCTTGCTGTTCGCTGAGCTCCTCGCTTGCCTTCATTTGGTTGAGCGTGATGAGCCACTGCACAATCTTTCCTCTGTTCTCAAAGTCCTTGTCCGTCACCTTGTTAACGGACTGGATAACGTCGGACAGGAGCGGGTGAAGCTGGTCCTTGGAGAGCAGACCGAGCTTGACGGCGTCGAGAAAGGTGATGAAGTCCTGTGTTGCTTCGAGGATCAAGACACCACTGGTGTTGTTCCGATCGGATGTGCCAGCGGCGGCTGCCGAGGCGGGGGTCGTGATGGTGGAGGGCATGCCGGCCTGGAGGCGTTTCGTTGCGCGCGGAGCTTCAATCTTGATTCAAGTCAGCGCAATCATGATGCATGATCCAAAGGAAGCGTCTCTTCTTACATCCCACTTTGCTTGAAACTCTTCCAGCCCGCCAAATTCTCGGGCAATGGTGTCGTCGGCGAGCAGCGCATTATACTGCCGTAGCGAGCGCTCGCATATCTCTGTATATTCCGCCTCTGACACGGCGTCCTTGATAAAGGCCTTTTCCAGCTCGTCGAGGGTGACTATTATGCTGAAAAGCTCGGCGAGGGAATCTTGCAGATCGCGCTCGGCTCGCGTGCTCGTCAAGGTGACTTCCTAAGCGATGACGTATCGAATTAGCGGAAACTCCTGGCAGTGCTCGAGCAGTAACGCGGTTTCTCGCCATACCTCATCTAAATTGATTGATGCAGAAAGCGCCGTGTTAGGAACATAGCTGTGCGGCGTAGGCGCATAACCCTGCCGGGGGAGCATTGTGTTGTGATGAATCGTGAATGTGTCTAGGCATTACCCATGTAGGACGTCTAGGCGGGCGACGGCTGTAACTAGTAGGTAGCTGCTCTCCAGTGTCTAGAATTGGTGGGCTGGAGCCTGGGTGCCTGGGTATGGCGGGGAACTGGAATCTCAATTGGAGATCAGCGGCAGAACACACTCACCGCCTTGGTTGAACTCATGGAACTGCTATCGATAAGCCAGCGCTCGAAAATTTTTGGATGCCAACCGATTCGCCCAGAAAACTACGGGCAGCTACTTGTAATTTCATTCCCAGCACCGAGGGTCAGTTCAATTCGCCGCCTCGCGAATTGCAAATATACTGCCCACCATGGGTCCTTCCAAGAAGAACCTCAAGGCCACCAAAAAGTTTGAGAAGACTCATTTGCAGAGTGTTCTCGACAGAAGAAAGGTGACTGCCAAGATCAAGCAGAAGCAGCAGATCAAGGACAAGTTAAAACAGCGCAAGGCCACGGATGCTGAATTCTACGGCAAGGATGGCAAGCCGCGGTCGCGAGGCCCCAGGGACAGACAGGTCAACGACATGAGCGTCGACGACTTTTTCCAGGGTGGCTTCGAGGATATCATCGACGAGACCGACAAAGCTAAGCCGGGCAAGAGAAAGCGCGACGAGCCCAAGGCGGACGACGAAGAGAATGGAAGTGACTCGGACGCCGTGCAAGCGCAGCCCGTTGCCAGCGACAGCGAGGACGACATTGAAGAAGGAGACGACGCTGGCATGAATCAGGAGACCATGGATGCGCTCGCCGAAAAGGACCCCGAATTCTATAAATTCTTAAAGGAAAACGACCCCGATGCACTCGACTTTGACGACAATGCCGACCTGGCCGAGGTCGATGAGCTGAGCGCTGGCGAGGATTCTGAAGCCGAAGAGGAACAGCCGAAGAAGAAACAAAAAAAGGCCAAGCACGCCGAGGAAGAGCAGAACGAGGCCGAGGGCGACAGCAAGGAACTCACCGCAGCCATCGTGGCGGGCTGGCGCAAGTCTATGAAGGAGAGCCAGTCGTTGCGTGCGACGAGACAGGTCGTGCTCGCATTCCGCTGCGCGGCCCACCTCAACGAAGACGACATTGACGAGGACTCGCAGCAGAAATGGACCATCAACAGCCCCGAAGTGTTCAACGACATTCTCGTCCTCGCGCTGAAGGAGATCCCCGGCGTCATCAACCACCACCTCCCCGTCAAGGAATCAGCTTCGGGTCGCGTGTACGTGCAGACTGACAGCAAAAAGTTCAGCACGCTGTCGCTGCTGCTCAAGACGTACACGTCGGCCATTATGCACCTCCTCGGCACGCTGTCCGACGACCGCACGCTCAAGCTGACGCTGTCGGCTATTACGCCCATCCTGCCGTACCTGCTCTCGTTCAAGAAACTCGTCAAGGCGCTGGCCAAGGCCGTCGTCAACTTTTGGGCGCAGCCCGCGAGCTCCGAGTCGACGCGCATCACGGCGTTTTTGGTGCTGCGGCGGCTCGTCGCCATCGGCGACAAGGGCATCCGCGAGACGGTGCTCAAGTCGGTGTACCAGGGCCTCGTGCAGGGCTGCCGCATCACCAACCACAACACGATCCAGGGCATCAATCTGATGAAGAATTCGGCGGCCGAGCTCTGGGGCATCGACCCGTCCATCGGCTATACGACCGCGTTTGGCTTCATCCGCCAACTCGCCATCCACCTCCGCAACAGCATCGTGCACAATAAGAATGACGCGTTCCGCATGGTCTACAACTGGCAATTTACGCACTCGCTTGACTTTTGGTCCTGCGTGCTCGCCTACCACTGCACGCCCGAGAAGGAGGCCGAGGCTGGCGGCAAGGAGAGCCAGCTCAAGCTGCTCGTCTACCCGCTCGTCCAGGTCACCCTCGGCGCCATGCGTCTCATCCCCACTGCGCTCTACTTTCCGCTGCGCTTCCACCTCGTGCGCTCGCTGCTGCGCACGTCGCGCGCCACCGATACGTACATTCCGCTCGCCTCGCCGCTGCTCGAGGTGCTCGCCTCGGCCGAGATGAAGAAGCCGCCTCACAGCACGACCCTCAAGGCCTTTGACTTTGCCGTCTCCTACAAGGCCCCCAAGGCGTACCTGCGCACGCGCGTCTACCAGGACGGCGTCGGCGACCAGGTCGTCGAGCTCCTCGGCGAGTTCCTGTATCTCTGGTCCAAATCCATTGCCTTTCCCGAGCTCTCCCTCCCCGTCGTCATTCAGCTCAAGCGCTGGCTCAAGCAGTCGCGCTCCAAGTCGCAGGGCAACAAGAACGCCAAGCTCGCCGCGCAGCTCGTGCTGCTCGTGCAGAAAATCGAGGCCAACGCCAAGTTTATCGAGGAGAAGCGCGGCCGCGTCGACTTTGCGCCCAACAACCGCGCGCAGGTCGACGCCTTTTTGCGCGACTTTGACGCGGCCAAGACGCCGCTCGGCGCGTACGTCGTCGGCCAGCGCAAGGGCCGCGCGGAGCGGGCAAAGCTTCTGGAGGAGGCCCGCAAAGAGGACGACAAGCGGCGCAGAGAGGATGAGAGGGCGGCGTTTGAGGACGACTACGGCGACGACGTGATGGATTCGGATGAGGACATGGACGTTGACGAGGACGAGGAGGATGAGTTTGATCTAGAAGAGGACGAGGAGGAAGAAGAAGAGGAAGGGGATGATGAGTAGTGTGGTGCAACATGGCAAAAATAACACATGTAAACTGGAGTTGGGCTGTATATACATCCAAAGGATACCTTGATTTTTTATTTTTGACCATTCGTTTAGAATTTATGCACAGTGACGGTCAAAGCCAGAAAAGTACATCAACGTGAATTTGGCTTGAATTGATACACTTATTATTAGTTTAGCAGGGATCTCTGGACAGAAAGAAAAGTTGCAGCGGGGTCAGGAACCATCAATATATAAGACAATGCATGCTACACGCCATTCTTGTGCTATCAATCAGTCCTCAGAGTGTCCTAACTTCAATATCGAATACCACAAAAAACGCCAGCTTCCTGTAAAGTATGCCAATAAGGAGCATTTTCAAAAAGAAAAAGAAAACACCCCCCAAAAATGCAAAATGCAAAATTGCAAAAACGCCACAAATCCTCCCTTGGATCGCATCTCCGGTTCAACTTCCCACATTGCCTTGGACGCCATTGTGAAGGACTATGCTGCGTAAGAGGTGCCAAGATCAGGGGTTTTTATCGAGCCAAATAAATGTACACCGCCACTCCCTCGGCTGTCGAACTTGCCGATATCAAGGAAGGATGTCAATGGTTGTGCTTGCACTGTACACAGACCACGCTATAACATCTCTTCATGAGAAAAAGAAACAATGAAGCTTATCACTTTAGCCGTCTACTCCTTCCCTGAACTGACTTTTTTTCATCGTGGCTCCAACCGCTCATCGCAGACACAGGGAGGTATGAACCGCGATGTCATACTGCGATAGCTTTCCACTCATCGGGAAGACTGTGGTACAGCATCGATGACAAGAGTTTAGTCTTTTCTTTGTCCGCAAACGCGAACCCCTGTAGCGCAAGGCGCGTGGGATGTAGTTATTGTGGTTTTCGGCGTGGGCTTTGGGTGGTTGGCGCGAGGCAGATCGCTTGCTGCCTTGGTTGGCAGTTCTTTTGAGCACCTCGGGCTTGGTAGGAATAGAAAAAGCTACCTTTTGAGCCTGCTCAGTAGCAGTTTGGCCCTTCTTCTGAGATGCGTTCACGATTTGGTCCATGTCTATAACTTCTGCGTAGTCGGCATCGGTCAAGTTTTGGCTTTGGCCAGTCATCTCCAGAGGATCAGGTAGTTCCTTGGTCTGCGTAGGCCCGTCAGGACCAGAGATATTGGTATCAGTGGCCGTCTCAGGCATGAAGAGACCAGCGGTGGTATTGTCAGTCTCAATGTTGGCCTTGGGGGCTGGGCGGTAGTGATCCATCTGCTGCTTGAGAAAATCAACTTCCTCTTTGAGTTTGAGATTCTCCTCGTGTAAGTCATGGATACTGCGTTGAAACCCAGAGTTTTCGCGTCTGATCATCTTGTTGTCGTTGAAGTACTTTTCATTGTGTCGTACGAGGCTCCGGTTATCCTCTCGCAAGGAAACAAGCTCCTCGTTTTCCTTGCGCAGCGCTTCGAGCTCCTCGTTTTGCCTGCGCAGCGCTTCAAGCTCCTCGTTTTGCCTGCGCAGCGCTTCGAGCTCCTCATTTTCTTTGCGCAGCACTTCGAGCTCCTCGCGAGCAACATCCAACTCGTGCTGTACTTCATCGAGATCCTCATTGAGAACCTCGTTTTGCTCCAACTGGGTCTTGCTGGCACGAAGAGATTTGTTTTCGGCGATTAGAGACTGACGTTGTTGGCGCAGGCGGTCACTTTCGGCACGCCTAGTCTCTATCTCGGATCGCAGCGATTGCAGCTCACTTTCAAGCCTATCATTATCGTCGCGTAGAGACGAATTTTCTAGCTCAAGAGCATCGCGGCTGTGGGTGATTGCAACTAAGTCGCGGCGAAGTGCTTTATTATCCTGACGAACATGCTCGGACGAGTCCAGCTGTTTCTGAGATGTCTCCAGGGCCTTCTCCTTGACCGTGAGCTTGCGAGTCAGCTTGTTGATATCATCACACGCCTCCTGCAATCTAGTGAGTACACGTTCCTTCTCATGCGAGATGGAATCGCTGTTAATCTCGCTAGTACTGAGTTTGTGTGTAGCTTGGTCTAGGCGTGCTTGCAAGGTGGCCACCTCGGATCGAAGCCCTGTACATGTTAGTGCGAGATTGCGCAACAATTGGTTCTCTGTTACGTACGAGAGTTCATTTCAGCAGTGTGGTCATTGTGACGATGGCTGTCTGGGTTCTGGCCCTTGGCCTTTGCTTGAGCTTCAAGCCTCTCGACTTGCTGCTGTAGGTTCATGGCATACTCTTGTACCTTTTCATGGTGTTCTTGAAGGAACATAATTTCGTCGCGGATCATATCCATAGAGACAAAGATTCTTTCTTCCTCTTGAGGAACCTTGACAGAGTCAACAGCAGCATGTGCGGCGGCAGCGGGGCTTGTTTGCTTGTCATGCACTTTGCCCTGCTTGACGAAGATGGGGACGCCATTTTTCATGGAACCACTGAAGCGAAGAGTACCAGTGACAAAGTCGCCAAGGTGAGAGACGTCGGGCATAAAGAATGAGCGGGCATTGGCGTCATTGTTGGGGCTAGCGATGGAATTGGGCGAAGGAGGCACCGCAGTGAAGCTAGATTTAGCGGAGGAGGCATTGGGAGATGGGCCGTTGGTTTCTGGCATTTGCTTTTGGTCGGTTTGCTTGGGGCTGCTTGAGGCCTTGCGCAGGCGCTCAAGAGCCTCGGAGATGGAAGGCCGCCTCTGGAGAAGCGGCGCAGGCTCTGAAGGCGCGCGGGCATGGGCACGCGAGATGGGGCTGAGGTGGCGGTTATTTTTGAGGGAGAGGGCGGCGGCGGGAGACTTGGAAAGTAAAATCGAGAGATCGGATTCGTCGTCGGCACGAGGCTGCATGTCGGCTCGCTTGCGCCTGGAGCCATTCCAGATGTCTCGTGTGGAATCTTCTTGGAGGAACTTGACAGGGGCGGGTTTGTGATTTTCCTTGAGAGGCATTGCATCATTGTCGAATAGAGAGTTTTGGGGCTTGGAAAAGTACTCGGGCCACTTGCGATGGGCCGCCTCCCAGTTGACGGGGAGTTTTTTGCCGCCCGTAATGCGGGCAATATCGTTATTTAGTCTGCGAGTCGACTCGCCGTCGGGGTCGGAGAAGACAGAGGTCATAGTCGGGCTGACGGTGCCATGGGAGCCGGTAGAAGAGGGGGGCGAGTTGAAGGGGTTCTGGCGATTTGCCTGCTTCTCGCGAAGAATGCGAGAAAGGTACCGCTGGTTACGCTCCGTCTCCATGGCTCCTGCAACGCGTACGGCGCGGTGCCGGGGAAGATGGAAGGCAAACGGGAACGGTGTCGATGGTGTTGATGAGAGCGCGAATCGGGGCTATTTCATGAGGCTGAGCAATTCAAACAAGATACTGGTAAATGGTTTGAATAGGAACGAAAGGCAAGCAAGAAGAGCGCATGAGCTAAGACGATGGAGATTGGAGATTGCAGATGGGGATGCTGGGTTGTGTCGATAGCAAAGTGCTGGAGCGAGAACGGGCGGTGGAGCCCACCACTTCTGTTTTCGGCACAAAGTAAACAAACCATCAAGACGCGACGTTAAATTTATGTGGGCGCGCTGATTCACGTAGACTATAGTCGCACTGCACATAGGAAGCTGTCGAGAGAATTCAACGATTCCACAATCAAATTTAATATTCAGAAAATTCGTGCCAAGTTGTTGACCAACAGACAATTTTTGCTTCGTTTAATAATTTATTAGCCTCTTCTGTGGCTACATACATGCCTTTCAGATGCTGCCTTTCGACACGGCCATTTATCCATTTTTACCCATGATTGCACAACTATTATGCAGATTATACAAATTCTCCAAGTTGTGCAACACCTGCACATACCATACACAACGGCTGCATCGCAAACGAATTAGACACAACTCAGGCAGGAATCAGAAGGTCAAGTGCCAACCCAAAGGTATTTGCTACGCCAAGGACCTAACTATAACATGTCTCGGCAACCCAGATGCCAGACTACCCGCAAAGCAGCAAAGTCATCTGCACGCTGCCAAGCTGCCTTGTTAGTCCATGCAGTCGCTGACATGCCCGCCACCTGACTTGATGTACATGGTAAGATGCTTGGCGCAGACATGCAGACAAAGGTCTGGATGCCTTGTCCGTGCCTGTATAGATGCATTCCTCAAGTTACGACTACTGGCTTCCCACACCAGCACTTGGTTCAGTCTCAAATTACCCCTCATCACAATGCCTTCCAGCACCTCCCTCACACCAACCAACCCGCGTCATCTACCGGCTGTGGCGTGTAGAACAATGGAAAATAGGCTCGAAGCTTTGCCGCGAACCGGATTGTTGCAATTTAACCCAAGACTCTTCATCGAGGGCTAAAGACATAATAGGATCGTCGCTCTTCGCCTTGCAGCAACACTAGTCCTACACCCCCCCTTGAAGCTCGACCTTCCCATCCGGGCTGGTCCCGGCAGCGCGCCATCGTGCCTGCTTCGAGTTGCCTCCGGAGCGGGGTGGCACTGCAGTGTTATCCATCCGTCGAGTTGATGGCTCACCGTCAATGTGCTGCGTCTATCTACACCTTCCTCATCCTCCACCACCGCTGCAAACCAAAGCTGACACTAGCCTTCTGACCTACTTGCATGAAATGATCGGCCCATGTTATTGAACACCATGTAACACGCATGAATACACACTCACTATGCTTAGGTATCTTGATCCTGAAGAGGGACTTGTATTGGTGGTCTACCATCGGCACGTTATCATACCAGGGACGGCACGCAGAGACATGATGCTGGGCTATATTAATAGTGCTCGTACGTACTTTCTCCTTGCTTCTAATGGAACCAGTCTCCGAGCCCTCGGTGACCATAAAATCCCATCTGGGTTTCATTATTCATCTCGAATATACATCATGATCGCTTCGTTACTTGCATTTGCCCTTTACGGCCTCGCAGCCTTACCTAGTGTCTCAGCTGGCGCTAACACGCCCTACTGTTCGGTCCTCGAGAGGACCAGATCTACACTCGAGTGCCGCCCGCTGCCAAATGACTTTCTTCAAGTGCGAGGCGCTTCCACTTTCGCTTCTGCTTCTGCTTTTGCCTCTGCCTCTGCATCGTCGCGCTCAACCCCCGACGTCACTATTCTGCAAGACACCTTCAAGGCCCTCGCCGACTTGCAAAATGACTATTTTAAACAGGCTCATAAAACTTGGCCAGATGCCATTGATTGGACTGCTGCCGTCATCCAAACTATTGTCTCGAGCACCATGTCGACTCTGACCCAGTCTCTGGACGCTGCTGTACCAGGTCAAAACTGGAAGCAAAAAGAGAATCTTCTTTCCTTTTTGCATGAGCAAATTGTCAGCTCATTCTTTGGTCAACGGGCAAATGAGATTCTTACACAGGTACGCGCTATCACCGTTACGTGTAGCAATCAAAGACGGCTGACTGGTGCTTTGCTTTGCAGGCGTATGATGATGTGCTTTGGGTAGTTCTTGGCTGGATAGAGGCTATCAAGTTTCGTCGTCTTCATGAGGACTTGCACTATCCTGAAGGGGGATTTAGTGACAAGTCTATCCCAGAGGATATCACGCAAGCTGTGAAAACCATGGCTTGGCACGGTCAGTTCTGGGTTGACACTTTTGCGCATCGCGCCAACGACTTTTGGGCCTATTCAACCACTGGCTGGGATACCAAGTTTTGCCAAGGTGGCATGAATTGGAACCCGCGCCTCGAGATGTACAAGAATGCCATTACCAATGAGCTGTACATTGCTGGCTCCATTGCCATGTACCAGCACTTTCCGGGCGATCGCCTCAATGGCACTGGCTCGCGTGACCCTCGTCATCTTCAGGCAGCAAAAGACGGCTACCAGTGGTTGATGAACGTCAACATGACAAATAGCCAGGGTTTGTTTGTTGACGGCTTCCATATCAACCGCAACATCCCAGGCAACACCAAATGCGATCAGCGCGATGAAATGGTCTACACGTACAATCAAGGCGTCATTCTAACAGGAAACCGTGGGCTTTTCAGCGTCACCGGTGACCCCTCCTACGTTGAGGATGGCCATAGGTTTGTCAGGTCTGTCATCGCCGCCACTGGCTGGGACTTGCAGAGGGGAAAGCCTGTTGATGGTCTGAGGGGCGAGCAACTTCCCCCATGGCATGGGCTTGGCCGCTACGGGTATCTGGAGGATCAATGCGATGCTTCCGCTACATGCTCGCAAGATTCGCAGACGTTCAAGGGCATCTACTTTCACCACCTGACAGCATTCTGCAGACCCCTTGAGTTGACGCATGGTAAGACCGAGGTCAACGAACAAGCTTTCGTGCAAGTGCGACATGCACACGCCGCTTCATGTCGCAGATACATCAACTGGATTAAACACAACGCCGATGCAGCACTGAAGACGCGAGATGGCAACGGTCACTTTGGCATGTGGTGGGGAGCCAACGTGTTCATGGTGAATGCGGCGCGCTCGGCTGACGGCATTGACCATTTTGCCGCCAACAAGACGGATTACCGTAACGAAGGTACACCACGAAACCAGCTCTGGGGCGTCGATGATGGGTTTGTTCCTGGTGGCGGCAATGCCACGACAAATGTCGGTACACAGTTTTCGGCGGGTTCCAGTGATCCCAACAGTCGCGGTCGCGGTCGCACAGTCGAGACTCAAGCTGGGGGGTTAGCCCTGCTGCGGGCTTATTGGGAAATCTCTCAGTCTTCATAGAGAGTTGTCTGAGACTCATAAGCTCGAGGTATTTGAAATGGATGAGACTGTGCTTCGGTTGGGGGGGGGGGGGGGGGGGAGGGTTTATTCGTACGTAACCAGTAATTAGGTGCTTATAGGACATAGTAGCCACCAATTTTTTCACATCTAGTATATTGCAGTAATTTTCACATGCAAAGCTGTACAAAGCTGTTCGGGCAACAAGGTGTTGACTCGGCCCCGAGACCGTCGCGGGCTATCAACACGCGAGTGCGAGGGTCAAGCGAGAAAAGGACGAGAAGCGCGTGAGGACGAGCCTTGTAAGGCTGGTTTTGAGCGGATCCATTTAGCCTAGTTGCAAATCGCAGGCAGCAATCCATCTTTACTTATTGGCTAGTTTGTTTTTAGATGCTTCGCAAATGTCATGGCGGAGGTCGGCACGTAGGTAGTGAGTGGCAAGTGCGTGGCTGACAGCCAGTCTAGCCGCGTCATCAGTGCGTACGACGAGGCGAAGGCGCAGCGTGACGTGTAAGTTGATTCGACAGGGCTGATGGCGGAGTACGTATGAAAAAATTGTTCCTTGTGATTTCTTTCTCTGAAAGGTGTCTATATATTATTTGTAAAGATTCTCCTTGAATCATGTCCGTTCAAGTCCATCATCACAGAGTTTACTTGACCTACACTGCTCAACACAACATTGCAATCAACTTTTTCTCAACAATATAAAACCCAAAACAATTTTTTCTACTTGAAGTATTTTCTTCTTCTTTTTTATCAAGTATACGAGAGACAGAAGAAGTTTTTTTTTTTTCCTTTCCTCAAGCATGGTTGTCGAGATCCTCATTGCGGTGGCCGCAGGCGTCGCCATCTGCCACAAACACCACAAGAAGCAGCGCATCAACGAGGCTTTTCGGCGCGACTACGAGGCGCGCAACGGGCCCCTCACCGAGGACGAGTGGAAGCAGCTGTGCCGCGACCGCAAGCGGGCGGCCAAGGCGGAGAAGCACGCGCGCAGGGCTGAAGCAAAGGACAGGCGTCGCGGCTGCTGGCGCACATCTGTGTCTGCGCCGGCGCCGCAGCAGCAGCCCGCGCCCGTGGTGACGGCGCAGGCACAGGCTCCGAAAATGGACGTCAAGTACGACGACCTGGGTGCGAGGGACGACGGATATGCGCCGATGAGTGATGATAAGCGGATTTGGATCCCGGTGCGGGGGCCGGAGGAGGAGCCGCCGGCCTATATGCCCGGGACGGGGACGGTCCCCCCGGAGAAGATGTAAGCGGGGAAGAAGGGGGGGGGGGGATAATGAAGTGCGAGCATGTATTTACACTATGGCTACGGTTCGAACCTGTTTTGTTTTTGAACTTATGAATGCAATGAACAAATCTCCTTTCATCTTCAAATATAAAAAGATATCAACGGCCAGAGATGCGGGAGATGAATAGGGAGCGTGCACGTTGTCCGTAAAATGTTTGGTTGGTTGGTGAGCAATTTTTAAAGGTTTTGTGCTGGGCTGTGGCTGTGGTGGGATTTTGATCTGGTGATGCGGGGCGGAATTAGGTGACATCCGGAGGGGAATGGGACGAGGGGCAGTCTCGCTGTTTGGATCAAGACACGGCAAAGAGGCGGTATGAAGGAACCCTGGTAGGATCGTCTTGGCTGCAGCATCCAGTAGAATTGTTATCGGGAAGATTGGGCTCTGGTTATTATCATTCGCTTGTTATTTTGGTAGTGCAAGGTGGAAGAGGTTGGAGCCCCCCGCCAGTCATACTTTTTTTTTTTACTTTTTTCCTAAGAGATGCGCCGGCACCGGAACCCGCGCGGGACGTCACAAGCTCTGACTGAGCAGTGAGCACTGAGCCTCTAGGTTTTGTTGGGCTGCAACAACTCTTGTAGTTATCCGTAAATATCCGTCATTTTTGTATTTAGACTCGTCGCTCAAGGATTGACGGATTTTTTATGATGCCAGAAATGGAAATGCAAAGGGCAACTAAAATTAGGGCGGCGCCGCCACAGCTGGGTGGGCAGATGTTGGAGGGTGGGAAGAGCTGGCTAAAGAATTGGCACAAGATTGTAGAGCAGGGCGGCTTACATTCCAAAAAAGGTTACGAGAATAAAACAAACACGATGTTGTATTAACTATCAAAATCTTGCCGTGACTCAATATTGCATCTTATCAGGTGGAGAGCCATGGGTCTCTTGGAGCGACACCGCAGCAATTGCGTCTAACTAGAGATGCCGCGCCGCCGACCAAGGAGCAGCAGCAGCTCTGCTCGTCATAACTAAAAAAAAAAAAAAAAAAAAAATAATGAATATCAACTAGCCAACTCCGTAGCGTAGCCCAAGGCTCTTCCGCCCCAGTAATTGGTCCCTTTCAACTTTTTTTCACCCGACTTGGCCGCTCCCAAAACAAACCCACCGCCTTCACCACAAAACTCGGACGGACTCGACGCCAATCGACCGACCTCGACAACAACAAAAAAACCGACATGCCCTCGCTCAATGGCTTCGAGGCGTCGTCGCCCGAGGGCGTCATCGTCTCCGATGAGCAGCAGCACGTCAACGGCAATGGCGGCGACCACAACCACCACCACCATAGCACCGTCGCCCACCGGCCCAAGACGCCCACCACGGCGGCCATGGCCCTCACCGAGTACAGCGCCTGCCCCTCGCCGCCATCGGAGACGGCTCAGGCGCGCATCAAGCAGGTTGTTCCTGATGAGTTTTTGCAACCAGACGGCTACCCAGATGTATGTTTTTTTCTTCTTTCTCGTTTCCGATATGATCCATTCCAAGTTTTCTTATCTGTTTCTTATTTTTTTTTTTTAAAAAAAAAAGATTAACACAACAACCTCCAGTACCTACGGATGATCCTCTCCGCCACATCGCGCATCTACGAAGCCTGCAAGGCCACGCCCCTCACCCACGCCGTCAATCTCAGCAACCGGCTCGAGTGCGCCGTGCTGCTCAAGCGCGAGGACGAGCAGCCCGTCTTTAGCTTCAAGCTGCGCGGCGCCTACAACAAAATGGCCCACCTCGACCCCGCGCGGTCCTGGAAGGGCGTCGTCTGCTGCTCCGCCGGCAACCACGCGCAGGGCGTCGCCTACTCGGCCCGCAAGCTCAAGATCCCTGCCACCATCATCATGCCCGAGGGCACCCCGAGCATCAAGCACACCAACGTCGCCCGCCTCGGCGGCCACGTCGTCCTGCACGGCGCCGACTTTGACGCCGCCAAGGACGAGTGCGCCCGCCGCGCCGCCGCCGACGGGCTCATCAACATTCCGCCCTTTGACGACCCGTATGTGATTGCCGGACAGGGCACCATTGGCAACGAGCTCTTTGCCCAGGTCAACATGGCCAAGGTCGAGGCCATCTTTTGCGGCGTCGGCGGCGGCGGCCTGATTGCCGGCATCGGCGTCTACGTGAAGCGCATGGCGCCCCACGTCAAGATTATCGGCGTCGAGGCCCACGACGCAAACGCCATGGCCCAGTCGCTCAAGAGGGGCGAGCGCGTCGTGCTCAAAGAGGTCGGCCTGTTTGCCGACGGCGCCGCCGTCAAGTCGGTCGGCGAGGAGCCCTTTCGCCTCGCCCGCGAGTGCGTCGACGACGTCGTCGAGGTCACCACCGACGAGATTTGCGCCGCCATCAAGGACATGTACGACGACACGCGGTCCGGGCTCGAGCCCGCCGGCGCGCTGCCCATTGCCGGCCTCAAAAAGTACGCCGCCCGCCACCCATCCCCGGACCCGTCCCGCACCCTCATCGCCGTCACCTCGGGCGCCAACATGAACTTTGACCGCCTGCGCTTTGTCGCCGAGCGCGCCACCCTCGGCGAGGGCAAGGAGGTGCTGCTCGCCTGCCGCATCCCCGAGCGGCCCGGCGCCTTTACCCGCCTCGTCGAGGCCGTCATGCCCCGGCCCGTCACCGAGTTCTCCTACCGCTACGCCGAGGGCAGCGACGTCGCCAACGTCCTCGTCGGCATCTCCCTCGCCGCTCCCGCCCCCGTCCAGCGCGCCGACGAGCTGCGCCGTCTGCTCGAACGCGTCCGCGAGGATGGCTCCATGACCGCCACCGACCTCTCCGCCGACGAGCTCGCCAAGAGCCACATTCGCTACCTCGGCGGCGGCCGCGCCGGCGTGCCCAACGAGAAGCTCTTCATGTTTTCCTTTCCCGAGCGGCCCGCCGCCCTCGAGCGCTTCCTGCTCGCCGTCCGTCCCAAGTTCAACATTACCCTCTTCCAGTACAGAAATTATGGCGGCGACGTTGCCAAGATTCTCGCCGGCATTGCCTGTCCTGACGGCGAGCTGCCCGAGCTGCTGGATTATTTAAACGAGCTGGGCTACCCGTATCAAGACTGCACCGATTCGGAAGTGTACAAGACGTTTCTGCGGACGTAGCGTTCTTTGTAAAGTGCCAACTTGGGACTCTTTTTACGCACGCAACATTCTTTTTTTTTTTTTTTTTTACTTTTTGCTGTTTACGAATGGCATATTTGCACAATGGACAAAATCTCAATGGCGTTTTTTTTTGTTTTTGCTTGATTTTTATGAAAAGTCTGCTTTTATGGGTGAATCTTTTCAATCACATCAGACTATATATCCAGGACGGTCATGTCTGCGTGGCATGTAGACACGGCTGCTGAGGCACAGGGCTAGCAAAAGTTTTTGGCTCCAGACTGCGAGCTCGTATTACACTAGAATGAACGTTTCATCATTTGTTTGCAAAGCCTTACAAGGCGTTACCTGATTCATCCGCATGGTGAAAATGTGTAGTTTGGTAACACGAGTCCGGCTGTCCGAGGGCACCGGTGAAGCCGTGATTAGTACGTGCCTGCTTCAAGCTCAGGTGAGACTTGCATTTAGCCCTCATCAGAGCTGCTTACGACAACAAGCAAATAAGGTCTGCCGCCAGAGAAACTTTAGTCAAGCCGGCACCGTTATATGCGGCGTAAATTATAGGTGCACCAGTCATGAACAGTGTGGAAAAGTCACCGGAAACCCAAGCCATGTCTCTTCCGATTGGTTGCCGATCGGCCCATGATATGCATAACGGTTTAATGAACCGGCCCCCTGGACTCGCGGCGAACACAATTGCCTTTCGTTTTGGAGGCCTTTGGGCCGTGTTTTGGCGGCGGCGTCGCCCTTCCTCTGAGTCGGCCACGTTGAGGTGGGCGCTTGAGATGCCCGAACCCGCTCACTGGAGCCGTCGGATTGAGGGGATTTTGGTGTCGGGCACCAGAATAACAGAATAGCATAGTTAGGCGAACAAGGACGAGGGACGTTGGCAAAATCACCAGTACCAGTAGATGGGCCGATTTCCTGTGTCATCTTTTACTTTCATTTATTAATCTTCGCCAACAAATCCCACACAAGGCTTGGCCGGCGTAAATCGATTGGGTCAAGGACCCCGACGCGAGAAAAAGAATGCGGCAAGGGCCCTACCTAAACCCGGCAAGGCGGGACGGGTCTTCCAGGCGTGTTCCACCAGGCTTCTCCGGCAGGGGTGCAGCCAAGGGCGTCGAGGACAGGGAGCGCCCTGTGCTTTATTTGCGAACGGGAGGGCTAGCTGGAATCAGGGGGGGGATTTGCCTTTTTTTTTTTTTTTTCCTAAATCTCGTTCAGCAAAAGCTTCTTTTGGAGTGACGCACCGTGATACGCGGCCCCGGGATGCTAATGCAGAGCTGTGAGCCAAAGTCGGGGGTGCTTGGGGTATGGCTGTTGCTTGATCTTGTGTTTCGTCGCAGACTCGTACCGGAGAGCGACTTGTAGGGATGTAGGATGTGGGATGTAGGGAGGGCAGTGCCGACGCATGTGTTGTAATGCAAGGCTACCGAGTCGGGCGTGTGTCATGCAGGTTGGACAGATAGACGCTTGAGGGTGTAACGTAGTATAGTGTAGTGTATGTTTGAAGAGGACGTTGAGATGAATGTTGAGCATCAAATCATGGTCGTGTCTAATGGCAAGAGATTTGCGTTTGGCTCCGCATCTCTCGTCAGCGTGGATCCTAGGCGTGCAAGCCTGTGCAAATCGGGTATTATGCAAAGTCCGCCTGTGCCATGCCGTTAGACGATGTGCGCGCGCGAGTAAGGGTCTCGGCGTCAATAATGACGATGCGAGCAAGTGCGTTTCACGTTTCTCCCCGAATTGTTCTCGGCGGACGGGGTTGAAGAGGGAGAAAGCTGGTGGGTGGGTATTGATTACGGTGGAGGCGGGGAGACGGAGCAAGGGAGGGACGGACTTGATTGAGGGGGGTTTGGCGATGCGGCAGAGGAAGACATGTACTGGTGCGTTGTGGCTGGCAGCCTTGGAAGAAAGGCATCTCTACAGATCTAAACGTCTATTTGCTGGACAAAGTGAGATGAAAAAAAAAAAAGGTAAAATTAAAAACAGAACTAAAAACAACAGGCCCGTCTTGCCTGCATCAGAGGTCGCAAAACCGGCCAGTAGACTGCTGAATTCACTATTATTAGGCTGCAGGTACCTTTTCAGTACTCAAAGTCTCAGCAAGCCTGGTGCAATTGTTTACCACGCCGACAGACAGCCACTTTCGAGCGGCCTCAATGTGCCTCAATTCATCACGCTGAATGCTACCAGAGTCATTGTCGATTTTTTTTTTCTTTCTTTCTTTCTTTCTTTCTTTCCTTTTTTTTTATTATTTTTTTTTTAACTTTGGCAGAATTTAATGCGCGCTTAAAGGTAGAATTGGGCCAGCTCCGTACCAGTAATAAAACACCAGTAGCTCCTCCACCCTGTTCCCCGAAATAATTAGAGGCACCCGCCGGCCACCCCTCACAAGCTAAGGTAGGTAGATTGTAGGTAGGCAGCTTCTCTGCATCTGTCAACTGCCACCTGCCACTCCAGGGTCTGAGAAGCAAAAGAAACAGGCGCTGCTCTCTCTCGCGTTTCCATCCCCGCCAGGTTTGAACTTGTTACGACTTTTCGATCCGGACAACCGCCTCCTTTATATGCAGCTTCGTGTTGCAAATCATCACTCACTGCCATCACCAACACTCTTCTCTTAATTAGGTAGTCGCCCAAGCACCAACGACCCCAACGCCCTGCCGCCGCCACGCCTCCTCCTCCTCCGCCCCACGGTGCACTATCCGGCCTCGCTCTCACCAGTCAAGCAGCATTATTCCCTTGCCTACCTAGTTCGCCTGCGACCTGCACACATCTCACGCACCACCCCAACTTTTCAATGTCAAATCAGCCCCGGACTGGCTGACGATCCCGAATCCAAGCCTGCCTGTCCACTCTGCTCTTCACCTTCTTCTGGCGCTGACGCAAACACCCCTCATCCATCCGCACACGCCGATACCTACTTGTTACCTTTTCGAGCTTCTCGCACATATTCAGTCTCTCCGAATTTCAGCCCCCGCCAATTTCTCCATTGCGCTTGGTATCCTAAATACTTGTGCGGCAACGCCTGCACTCTTCGTCGACAAACGCAGCCTTGTCACCCACCATCGGCTCTTGCGGTGCCTCTCGCCAGGTAAGCCACACCACCGGTCAGTGCTACCGTCGAGCAAGCTTCCTCTGCCTGCCCTCGCGTGCCCCAAGCTAATCCTGGTTTGCCAGCAGACGACAGACAGCCTTGACTTATATCGCACGCGACACACCCGCATTACTGCGCCCGACCACTTTCGCCAGCAATCCGACCTTTTCTTCCTGCCGTGTCATCGCGCAGGGCATTGAGCTCCATCAATCCATCACCTTCGATTCGATACCTCTGATCCCCGGTCGCGCGCCCGCTAGCTGGTCCACGCGATTCACTTCCGCTATCCCGTCCTAAATCGGTGCGCATAGGTGCTCTTGTCTCGAGCTCGGCCGCCGATTGCACCACTCGACCTCGACCCGGATCCTCGATTCTACATCACACTCGGCGGAACGAGCACTCGACGGAGCATGCGCGACCCGCCACAACTAGACTCCTAGTTGTCTGAGCTCCCCAAAATAGACGCTGCAGCAACCCACGCAACCACGGTGCCACAAGCATCTGTCAACGCCTTGATTGCATACGAGTCTTTGTTCCAAGCAAACGGCCCGCAGGCGCCACTGTGCGCACCCGAGCCCTCAAGCTCTAGCGCAGGAACCCGGTCGCAAGCCCTTTGTCGCATCTTATCCCGCTGCCATAATGCGACGAAATCGCTCGTCCGGTTCGTCCTCGCCATTTCGAGCCTTGGCTCACCATCAGCCTCAAACTGCGCCAGGCGATCCCTCCTCCCTCATCCGTTCCTTCAATGTCGAGACAAACCCAGCACGGCCCATACGGCCCTCGCCCCTCACGGCATCCACCATCCGCGACATGCCCCTCGACTTGGTTGATCGCCTGCGCTCATTTCCACTCTTTCAATCTGCACCCGAAGATTTCCTCGTTGAAATTGGCAACCACTTGAAACCTCAGGTTCAAGCTGCAAATGACCACGTCGTCAACGAAGGAGACGACGCAAAGGCCATGTACTGGCTCGTCCGCGGGGTCGTCGCCGTTACCTCGCGCGATGGCGAGGCAGTTTATGCTGAACTCAAATCCGGCGCCTTCTTTGGCGAAATTGGCGTTCTCATGGACGTTCCCAGAACAGCTACCATTGTCGCCAGGACAAAGTGCCTGCTTCTCATATTGAAAAAGGAGGATCTGCAAACCATCATGCCCAAGTTCCCGCAGATGGAGCAAGCTATCCGCGAAGAAGCCCAGGAGCGCCTAACTTTGTTGAAGAAGAAGCGACAAGAAGGCAAGTTCTTATCAAATTCTCACACTGGCGATGTCGGTGCACGCACGGCGGGCCCAGGCGAAGTCTCGCGAGGTGACAGTGGCGTTCTCAAAGATGGTGCCGTTGTCAACTCCAAAAAGCGCAAATCTCCCAGTCCAGGTATCATTGAAGACCCGGCCGTCGGGAGTGCCATTGGTAGCGGATATGTCAATATTCGTCACACTCTGCGTGAACTCCCACTCTTTTCTAACCTTCCTCCCGAAATCCTCCATTTTCTCGGTCTCAGTGCCCAACCCAAAATGTATCCGCCGTTTAGGGATATTGTTGAGCAAGGAACTTCCGGTAGCGAGATCTTCTTCATCGTTCAAGGAGAGGCAGAAGTTATTCACCACTCTGCCAAAGACTCATCGAACAAGAGCATGCGTATTCCCAAGCGACCCCGGCTCAGGGCAGGTCAATACTTTGGCGAGGTTTCCAGCCTAGGTCTCTCGCGAGAAAGAACCGCCACTGTGCGATCAATTACTACAGTGGAATGCTTGATGATCCCAGGCAACACATTGGATGAGCTGTGGCGCCGATGCCCCGCACATGTAAGGGCGCAGGTCGAACAAACAGCCCGAACGAGATTGAGCGGGAAAGGAGACGATATTGACATGACTGACGCTGACGATGAGCTTCGCCCAACCCACTCCGCCCCCCCTACGCCACCTACGCCTTCAAAGTCACAACCGTCACACCTCACGTTGACAAATCCATCCCAGGTGGCCTCACCCAGCAAAGACGATCTCGATCGCATGGAGCCCAAGGACCCAGATCCCTTCTTGAGCGTCAACATGGAAAATATGCGCAACAGAAGAAGGCACTCTTTGGCACCGCCTGTTCCACCACCCGATCACTCTAGCAGGTTGAACAGCGGTCTCCCTTCGCCAGACGGAACTACCCTCAAAATTGCCTTTTCACAGACCTCACTCGATTCTGATGTGCCTGCAAAGCGTGCAAGAAGAGGTTCACGCCCGACACCGGGTTCAACAGGCCCCGTGCTCTCTGACGCCATTCTAGTCCGCATATTTGCGTACTTTGACGTTGTTCAACTGCTTAGACTTCGCATTGTAAACAGCCAGTGGCAGCGGATCATTACGACGCATCAGGATGTATGCAGAAATGTGGACTTGTGCAGTTACAACCGGCACGTCACGGACCAAGTTCTTACGCAAGTTTTGGCACCTTTTATTGGCACCAGAGCCAGGACGGTTGACCTCAGCAATTGCTTCCACATTAGTGATGCTGGGTTTTCAGCTCTGTGGAAAAGTTGCGGAAAAAATGTGCGCTCCTGGAAGATGCGATCAGTATGGGATGTATCAGCCAGCCAGATCTTGGATATGAGCGAGAACGCCAAGGAGCTGCAGGAAGTGGACTGGAGCAACTGTCGCAAAGTCGGCGATAACCTTTTGGGGCGTGTGGTTGGCTGGGTGGTTCCGGAGCATTCACCAACAGTGCAGAAGAGGGTGGTGACACATTCGAGCAAGAAGCCGAGGCCACGCCATCATGCTGAAACGGTCAACGAGAACCCTCCTCCGCCAGGTACCGTGATTGGGTGCCCCAAGCTTGACACATTGAACCTGTCTTACTGTAAACATATTACTGACCGATCGATGGCACACCTGGCTGCACACGCCTCGGACCGGATACGTTCACTTTCACTCACACGATGTACATCCATTACAGACGCGGGATTTCAGTCTTGGGCGCAGTACAAGTTTGAAAAATTGACGCATCTCTGCCTGGCCGATTGTACATATTTGTCCGATCATGCAGTTGTTGCGCTGGTCAATGCCGCCAAGAGCCTGACACACCTTGATCTCTCATTCTGCTGCGCGTTGTCGGATACAGCCACTGAAGTGGTGGCTCTGGGATTACCCAAGCTGCGAGAGTTGCGCCTAGCATTCTGCGGCAGCGCAGTCAGTGACGCCAGCTTGCAGACGATTGCACTGCACCTACCAGAACTGGAAGGCTTGAGTGTGCGGGGGTGTGTACGAGTAACTGGAAAAGGAGTGGAAGTCTTAGTTAGGGAATGTACTTGGCTGAGCTGGCTTGACGTGAGCCAATGTCGGAACCTGGAGGATTGGCTCCGAAGCGGTGGTCCCATGCATTGGAGCTCAGCAGCTCAACTGCAGAGTGGGTGGTCCTCGGACGAAGAGGACGGCACGAGCTTCAGTCCGCCGAGCTTCGGACCCAAGGTGATGAGTGTTGATAAGCTCACCAGCACGTCAAGCTTCGCACGGCGCTCGGGGCTAGGAGGAATGACAAGACGACGTAGACAACCTGTGAAGTTTGTCCTGGAAAAGGGACCTGTTGGGCTGAGATAGGCAACGTGACAATCGCAGCGCACAAATGGTTCTGGAGAAGGAATTGGAGATGATACCCAAACAGCTGTACTTTTTTTGTAGAGGACGGGAACCGATTGGATACAATAATTATGATTTTATGAAACTGTTTCGGATGATAAAGGTGTTGAGTAATCTGCATTAAATTGTACACTCTGCTGGGAACATTGATCCTATTCAAGTTGCAGTGTGAGGATTATAGAGTTGCGGAGCAGACACATGTCCTCTAAAGCCAAAAACAAGATGCATATTGTACACATTTCTTGTGTGCCGTAAGGGGAGGATTGATCTGATCTAAAGCACTAGCAGATTAAGCCCCATCCGAAGATACAAGCTTGGATCGCTCATAAAGCCAGAGCTGCACATCATCGCTCATCAAGCGTATGCCAACAGTGCTTATACCGTCTTTCGTCTGTGCATAGTCGGATTCAGGGTCAGTACTGACCCGGAGCCGGGGTTTCGGCCGATGAAAATTGTCCTGTGCCGGGCCGGGGCAGCTTCCGTTGCAGTCAGCCGCAGCCGCAGCCGCAGCCGCAGCGCCTGCCGCCTCTCTGAGCACGTCGGCAACTTCCCAATAGCCTGCGAGCTCGGCAACGGTCTGGGCCGTGAATCCGTTGGCATCCGTGGCGGCCAGGTCGACCGCCACTCCGAGGTCCGCCGCCGCCGAGGTCGCGGCGGCGCGCCGCTCTCTGCGCTCCTTGTCGCGTAGCAGCAAATGAACCATTTTCAGGTAGCCAATGTATGCGGCGATATGCAAGGCGGTGGAGCCGTCGTTGGTGGGCAGCGCGGCGGAAGCATTGTGCTTGAGGAGCCGCCGGGCAGTGGCGGCGTGACCGCTGGCAACGGCCCAGTGGAGCGCCGTCTGGCCGCAGTGATCCTGCATGTCGACGCTTGCGCCGCTCCGGAGTAGCAAGGGCACCGTCTCCGCGCAGCCTTGGATGGCGAACCAGTGCAGTACGCTTCGGCCGTGAAAGTCTCGGGCATTCACGTCGGCGCCGCGATCCAGCAGGACCTCGACCAGATCAGCATATGTGCCCTCGGCGGCCCAGTGCAGCGCCGTGCGGTCGTCTAGGTCGCGGAGGTTGACGTCTGCTCCGTGGTCGAGTAGCAGAGGCACCATGGCGTCCGCCTTTAGCCACGCGGCATGCGTGAGGGCAGTCGACCCTCCGACTTCGTCAATGGCGTCAATGTCGGCGCCGTCCTCGAGCAAGACCAAAAGACGGGAAGTCCAGCCGCTGTTGATGACGTTTCGTAGCCCGGAAACGACAACGCTTCTGGTAGCCTTTCTCGAGGCCATTTCTTGCATCAGGTGCGACACATCTGTATTCTACAGAGCCTGTGATACCAGTTGCAAGGTGTTCTCCCCATCCCGAGTAACTACCTTGAGCAAGTCGACCAATTCACGCTTTCCACAGACTATGGCAGCTTGCAGTGCTGTCCACCCATCTCTGTCCTTGATGTTGCAGTCGGCCCCGTAGTGAAGGAGCTGTCTGGAAACCTTCCAGGTGGCCTGTATAGGCGGCGTGATGCAGTGCTGTGAATCCATGACGATTTGACGCAATTGAAGAAGCACCCAGATCATGGAGCGTTGTCACCACCTCGACTTGACCTGCTAGTGCACTCCACAGCAATGGTGTTTCATCTCCATTTGACTTGCAGTCGACTAGAGCTCCATTTTTCACGAGCAACCGGGTGATTGTATTGTCTGTAATCGCCCAGTGAACGGTGCATGCCCGTACTTGTCTGGCTCATTCGGATCTACTGGTAGCGTTGGATACCTTACTCCCAGAGACTGTCAACTCGGGGCGGCGGAGCCAAGACCGGTAACACAATGCTTGACATTGCACAGACCGTTCTGAATTCTTGGAACACTCGCCTGATGAGGAATTCGAATTGCAATAGTGTGACAAGTATTTCTTCCTTTAACCATTTCGTGGCAGCTTCGCCGTCCAATGCCTCGCCGGCTGAGTCTGTAATGCTCAGTCGCTTAAGGTTCTGAATCAAACAGCACAACCTGATCCCTGGGTCAGATTGGAACGCTGGCAAAGGTATATCTTCCGTGAAGAAATTGTTGAACGTCAGAGACAAGTTTGCCAGTCTTGGGCATTGCTTTAGGAGGTAGATACATGTGGAGACATGTAGCTTGGGCAATATCATATGCACCTTCTCCGGAATTTCCGGCTTGGAACAATTAAGTTGGGTATCGGCGTAGCTCTCCCAGCCGAGCTGAAAGCTTGTCATATTGTCGCGGCCAATACGGCCTATGGCCATGAGCAAAGCTGTTGCACCGTCTATATCGACTGCATGCATGGCCGTTCCTTGATATGCCACAGGCAACGCTTCGTGGCGAACTTGCTTATTGACTCTCAGCAGTGTGTCAGCTTCTCCAAATGGGAAGTAGAACCCACTCGGATCCCCCAACGCGCGACAGAACGTATGTCGTCTCCAGGTCTTTGGCTCCGCCGTGTACCAGCAGCGGCTGCCCAGCATGTGTTTGTAGATGTGTTGCCGTATTTCAACCAGTAAACTTAGTAGAGCGCCATCGTGTTTTTGCACCTGGCCTATTGTAGCCTCCGGTCCGCAACGTTCCAATTCTATTACGGCCGCAACAACGAGCGATTCCTCTGCTGTAAGGAGAAACTGGATAGCAAGGCCAGAGTTATCTTGTACATCGGCAAAATACTGATAATAGCCTGGGAGATTTGATCGCCTCAGGTAAGACGACGACGGAGGGCGAGAATAGAATAACCCTGAAAAGCTGTTGTACTCGTGGAATAACCGTCTTTCAAGGTCTGAAGTATCAAGTCGATTCAGGTCCACTGCTAGGGAGACTCAGTGGAATGGCTCTTCGAACGAGTTCGTCTATCTGATCCCAGCGCTGTAGAAGAAGTTGTCGATATCCTTTTTTGCCGTCGTCCAAAGCTAACACCTTTTGGCGACACCCTTTGATCTCCTCCAGAAACTTGGCCAGAAGTTTCTGTAGTAACACATTATCAATCGCTCCAGGTGTACTCTCAACACGTCCTTTATCTGAAGTTGCAGGTACACAAAGCTGGTCCAAGGCAGCGAGAGTCTTCAATTGCTTGAGCAGCGCAGTCTCTTCGGGGCTCAATTCTGAAGAAATCAAATCGTCGGGATCAAATCGATCGTTTGTGTTATTTTGCAATAAGAACCCGTACTCGGCCAGCAAAAAATCATTCGAATGTTCGCCGTAACATGTGCAGACCTCGTCACCTGTCCCATACTCGCGGTCTGCCACAATGTCGTAGCTCTCAGCACAATAAGACACTTTGCATCCCACGGACGCATGATTGAATAAATCGGCAACAGGCAGCATCGCTAGGCGATCGTGCCAAGGATAGAGAAGTGTCTGCTGCGTCTCCTGATAAAACGCTCTGCTGCTCACAACGAACCAAGCATGCATGTAGTCTTCCGATGGGACGTAAGGATAAGCGCTTTGAAGATGCTTCCAATCTCGGCCAAAATTGCTTTGCTGCTTCTCTAAAAGGCGTCTAGCCGTGCCTGGAAGAAGCCTCTGGGCCTCTGGAGGCCAGAAAAAAGGTATGGAGTTGAACTCGTCGATAGTTGGAGTCACCTTTATCCAGCTTTCTGCTGGTGGGTTGAGAACAAAGTCGGCGGCCAAGAGACCATGTATTGACATTTCCTGAGGTAATCTGGCACGAATGGCTGCCGGTACCGTGCCCAAGCCCCTCATGGCACGAGTAGGTACCGTCAATAAAACATCACCTTTCTACTGCTTAATCAGCCTACAATCTTACAGCAGTGATGCTTCACGATCAGTACCTTGAGGTTCTTGGTCGCTGTCATTCCAATGCCGCAATTCGTTTTCGTTTGCGGTTGAATGCCGCGGATTGAAACGCCTTTGGAAGTAGCCCATTCGAGCAACGAATGTATTGGATCCATTTCGACTCAGAAAAGCCGCGAAAGGAATATAGCTGTCGGACTTTTTCAGACCTTTTCTCTAGCTAGAAAGCCTGGTACATATGGCAGCGATGGGTCAGATTATGTGCGCCACGCCAATTGCTTGCTTGCTAATACTGATTGAAATGAGTAATGACAACAGCCGGTGGAGTCAGGCCAACAGCTTTGCGGCACGCAGCAATCCTTAAGTCCGGGTCACGTGCAGTGGAACGGGGTCGAATCTTCCTCCCAGCCTTTGCCACAGCGCTCAATAGGTAAGCTACAGTGGGCAAAGTTGCCCGTGCAAAGACGACAGCTTGGCCCCGGACCAAAACTACCTACCTAAATTAAATTCCACCTCCACCCGCATCGTCATCCTTGCAACCTTGCATCGCAGCGACAAAGACACCAAACTCATCACACATACACAACACACAATCATGTCGTTTACGTTTAGTATTCGGCAAGGACCTGCGCGCCTCGCGCAGCGTCTACCCGAGATTACCAGGAGCAGCACCTCAATCCTGCGCTCCTCTGCTGCCGGTTTCCCCGCCCGCGGCTTCCACCAAGCGGCTGCCAAGAAGCAGCAGCAGGCCATCGTGTCCCGCCTCGCGACGCCGACAATGACGCGCAATGCCTTTCGACAACCCGGAACTCGATTCTACAGCCAAAATCGCGGACAGTACCAGCAAGCGGCCTCATCGACGACGATGAGCGGCAGCGGCTACCGCAAGGTGCTGATCGGCGGCGCCATCTTTGGCGGCACACTCATGGCAATCAACGTGGTGTTTAACCGGGAGACGCGCGAGGACGGCGGCATGCCCGTTTACGAGCGTGAGTACCTCAACAACACCTTTCTGCACACGGGTCTGGGTGTCGGCATTATTGCACTGACGGCCCGGCAGATGGTGCAGTCGGGCTTCGTATACCGCATCATGACGACGAACCCATGGGTAGTTGGCCTGGGTGGTCTGGCGCTGAGCTTTGCCACCATGATTGGCACGCGTTCCATTAGCCCCGATAAGTGAGTTTTGACAGCAAACACGCTCCATGTTTTTGACCAAACGCAAATGCTAACCGCATACCTACAGCTACGTCCCCAAGTACGCCCTCTGGACTGCCTTCAACGCCACTCAGGCCGCTTTCGTCGCCCCGATGCTCGCTTTTCTCCCCGGCGCCCTGCTCGCCCGCGCCGGCCTCTACACTGTTGCCATGATGGGCTCCATCGCCATTGTCGGCGCCACTGCCAAGCAGGAGAAGTACCTATACATTGGCGGTCCCCTGCTCGCCGGCGCCGCCATTGTCGCCGCCTCGGGCTTCGCCCCGCTCCTGCTTCCCGTTACGGCCGTTCGCACGCTCGCCTTTACCGAGAACATTTGGCTGTACGGTGGCCTCGCCGTCTTTGGCGGCTTCACCCTCTACGATGTGCAAAAGGTACTGCACCACGCGCGTCTGGCCCAGGCCGGCTACATGAAGCGCGATCCCGTGAATGAGAGTATTGCGTTTGAGCTGGATTTTCTAAACATTTTCATTCGCATGGTGCAGATCCTGTCGACAAACCAGCGTCGCAAGTAAATAGGGACGCAAGGAGGAGGGAGTGGTTAGAGAGTGGCAATGGGCGGGGAATTGAGAGGCGAATGGACGCAAGGACGACGACTTTCCACTCATTCTTTGCAGATGTTGCGACTCTTGTGTTTTTTTTAAGACCGGACATTTTTGATATTTCCTTATTGTAGAACTAGATTATACCAGTTAAATAAAAAAGAGGAAACCCGAACTTTTCGAATGACCTTTGGATTGTGTGTGATTGTGAACGGTAGATTGTCTGCGCGATAGAGACGAGTATGGCCGACGTGATGATTTTCCCAAAGTCAAGCTGGCGGATAATACAATGAGAAGTATTTGAAGAATTGGAGATGCATTGGTCATGGTGTCATTAAGTACAGGATATATATTTTTCATGAACAAATCGTCGTCGTAAATTTCAGGTGAACCGATACGGCATCTCTGCCCAGCGCCCCTCAACGAACCTACATCTCTTCCCCCCACCCCCCAAAAATTTTTACAGCTTATTCCTGACGCCGCCGCCGCCATCGTCGTCGTCGTCTCCGCCGTGCGCCGCCGCAGGCAGTCACTCGAGCGGCTTAAACGGGCGCAGGTAATGGCTGGGGCACTCGTAGCCGGCCGGGTTGTTGTCGAGGTACAGCTGGTGGTACTCCTCGGCCGTCCACCACTTGCCGGCGGGGGCAATCTCGGTGACGATGCCGCCCTTCCACCACTGGGCGTTGGCCTGGGCCGTGACCTCGCGCGCGACGCGCTCCTGCTCGGCGTCGTGGAAGTAAATGGCGGAGCGGTACTGCGGGCCGGTGTCGGGCCCTTGGGCGTTGAGGGTCGTGGGGTCGTGGAAGCGGTAGAAGAACTCGAGGAGCTGGCGGTAGGAGACTTGTTTGGGGTCAAAGGTGAGCTGCGCGGCTTCGGCGTCTGCGATTTCATGTCAGCCGGGGTGTGCAAGGAGAAGAGAGCAGGGGGGGGAGAGAAGAAGCGTACGCCCAGTTTTGCCGCCGCAGACGGCACGGTAGCTCGGATCGCTCAGGTCGCCGCCAATGTAGCCGACTTTGGCGTCGAGGAGGCCCTTGCCGGCAAAGTGGCGGCGGTAGAGATGCTCGGTGCCCCAGAAGCAGCCGGCCGCGACGGTGCAGAGCTGTGCGCCGTCGGGGAGGGCGGCCGAGGTGGCGGCGCCGTTGGCGCCTTCGGGTGCAATGGACATTTTGGGCGACGACAAGGCAAAGGAGCGAGTGAAAAAGCGGTTGATAAAGGACGTAAACGGCATGCTGGAGGAAAGAGGAAAAAAAAAAAAAGTTCTGTAGCAAAGAAGAAGTGAGGTTTTTGGTGGTGGGGGAAACTGGTTCCTGACAAATGGATCCAGCAATGGCGTGATGTAGAATGGCGGGGTCTTGGAATAATGTACGTTGTGCGTGGAAGAAAGAAAAATAAAGGTCGAGAGCAAAAAAAAAGGCAAAACTGTTGGATTAATATATTGGCTCAGATGGAGGGAATGGAATTCAAAAAGGTTGATGGGATGAGGAATTAATGGTTTGCCTCATGACGACATTGCTTCCAAATAGCTCTTCTTTTTTTTTGGCTGCTACAAGGTTTCGGGACGCCAGCCCGCACTGAAGGGCTGGTGGTGGAGCTTTGGGCGGGGTGACAAATCTTGGCTCAGAAACGGGCGACCGAAATGGGAAAGCAATTTGGTATTAATGTGTATAAGACGACGGCAGAGACAAAAAAAAAGACAGAGAAATAAATGATACTCCCGAGCGAATAGATCATGGTAGCTATGTATATAGGCTCCGGCACGCTGTAAACTATGAAAAAGTACAGCGCAATGCTTACGAGACGAGGTTGAGTTGCATATAATGATATCAAGGAAATCGAGTACGACATACCTAGACAACTACAGCCTTGCACATATTAAAGTAGTGTCGCTCTTGACATTCATTACCTCTATTCGCTCTAGGCGTCGTCATGGGCGACTATGAGAGGATGGATGGTTGGTGGAGGCCCCCATGTAAGTGTGCACCAAGTGCACTTTGAAAATCGAGTCAAAAATGCAGCTTGCTCCCTTGTGAACCCTTGTGTTTTTCAAAATATCGCGCCCGATGACGCAACAACTTTCCAGATGCCCTGGTAAGTACTTGCAATGCAGCGCCCATCTCTCGGCGTTTCTACGTGGTCGTGGTTGTCTTTGCCCAACACATCACAAGGACACACAAGCCGTCGCACCTGACTATCCAGGACTTGCACTTCTCCGCGGTGTCAAACGTCGCAGAGCCAGAAAATGTATAATGCATTACACATATCCCTAAAATCACCTTGATGATTGAATCATGATTTTTCGTAATTCTCTAACCCCTACTGTCATGGCTTCGGCAAGGGAAGAGCTGTCAGAGACGGCACCGCTCTTGGTATGACCTCCTAAACTTGCCACTACACCAACACAGAAACAAGTAGATCCAGCAAGGTCTAACATTTTTTCCTCTTCCACTTAGGCCGCAGAATACCAGTCTCGCACACAAACCCATCCTTTACCCGCGCAATCCGTTCCCGCCCCGTACAGTGGCTACGGCACCGCAGATTGGCTCCGCGCACTCGTCCAGAGCACCCACGCTGAGGCGGCGGCGGCGGCGGCGGCGGCGGCGCCACCCCGATGGTGGCTGCCGGCGCAGGGCTGGCTCGCCGCGTGCGTCGTTGGCGTCGCCACAGCGCTCGTCGCTTTCGTCGTCGACGTCAGCGTCGAGACCGTCTCGGACTGGAAGAGCGGCCGCTGCGCCGCGGGGCGGTTCTGGCAAAACAGACGCGCATGCTGCGCCCTGGACGGGGGCATGTGCCAGCAGTGGAAACCCTGGGCGGTGGCCTTTTCGCGCGCATACTTGATTTATGTCGTGTTGGCGCTTGCGTTTGGCGCGTTTGCGTCGGCGCTGTCCCTGACTACGAGGCACGATTTGGTGGTGGCCCAGCCAGAATTGGACAGTCTCTCGCCGCGACATGGACAGCAGCAGCAGCAGCAGCAGCAGCAGCAGACTGTCGTGGTCAAGACAATATACATGGCGACGGGCAGCGGTATCCCCGAAATCAAATCGGTGCTCTCGGGCTTTGACATTCCGCACCTGCTCAGCTTCAAAGTCATGGTCGTCAAGTCGGTCGGCGCCGTCTTTGCCGTCGCCACGGCCATGTGCCTCGGCAAGGAAGGCCCCTTTGTGCACATTGCCACCTGCATCGGGCATTTGGTTGCCGCCCGCCTGCCGCAGTACGCTGACAACGCGATGCGCATGCGCGAGATACTCAGCATCGCCTGCTCCGCGGGTCTCTCCGTCGCCTTTGGCGCGCCCATCGGCGGCGTCCTCTTCAGCTACGAGGAGATTAGCACCTACTTTCCCCGGCGGGTGCTCTGGCGGGCGTTTTTGTGCTCGCTGGTGGCGGCGGCGGTCCTGAAGCAGCTGAATCCGACGGGCACGGGCAAGCTGGTGCTCTTTGAGACAAACTACGGCGTTGACTACGACGTTGCGCACTACGCCGTGTTTATCCTGCTGGGCGTCTGCGGGGGCGTCTTTGGCGGTGTCTTTTGCTACGCGAATGGTCTGTGGTCGAGGACGTTTCGACAGATTCCGCTCATCAAAAGCAGCCCCGTGCTAGAAGTATGCGTCGTCGTGCTCGTTACGGCGCTGCTGCAGTACCCGAACCCGCTGATTCGGGAGACGGGCGACAAGGTCATGGAGCAGCTGCTCGTCGACTGCAACGACATGGACGAGGGCTGGATCTGCGCAGCCGAGGCCGCCGGTGCGCAGGGCAAAGGATCCTACTATGCGTGGCTCGTCTCGGGGACGCTCGTCAAGCTGGTGCTCACAATCATCACGTTTGGCTGCAAGGTGCCCTCGGGCGTCATCATCCCCGCGCTCGACGCCGGTGCACTCTTTGGGCGTATGGTCGGCCAGCTCGTGCCGGACATTTCCCCCGGCATCTTTGCCATGGTCGGATCCGCAGCATTTCTGGCCGGCGTGTGCCGCATGACGGTGAGCCTGGCCGTCATCATGTTTGAGCTGACGGGCGAGGTCAAGTACATTCCGCCCTTTATGGTGGCCATCCTGACAGCGAAATGGGTCGCCGACTACATCAGCACAGACGGCGTGTACGATGTCGCGCAAACCCTGGTGGGTCATCCGTTTCTGGATTCGGAACAGGCTGTAGAAAAGCTGAGAGAGCACAATCGCACAAGGGCGCCTCTCCGTGCCGAAGCGCTGCTGTCTCGGTCGCACAGGGCCAACGGGCTGACGCTGCGAGTCACGGCGGAGCGACAAGTCGAGGTGGCGCATCTCCGCAGCAAGCTGGCCGAGGTCAGGGAGAATCACATTTGGGAACCCGGGTTCATCTTGGTGAATGAGAGCGGCATCTGCTGCGGCTACGTCTCGGGTGATGATTTGCGCACGATTGTAGCCGCCATTGACAAGGACGCCATGGCGGAACAAGGCGGCGTCGTCAACCTCGCGACAGATGACTTTTCAGCCCTGATTGACACAAGCCCGGTGTGCGTATCGGCAATGGCCCCCGTAGAGCACGCCGTGGAAATGTTTGGCAAGCTGGGCGTGGCCTATGTCGCTGTGGTTGCCGAGGACTCGTCGCGATTCGTGGGCTTGGTGACGAGAAAAGACTTGCTGTGCTTTCTGGACTCGCTATTGTAAATCTTCCCAGAGAGGAGGTTGAGTAAACGTGTGGAAGCTAGAGCGGTTGTTTGCATGGTATGATGTATGTACAAGGGACGTTGTCTGTTGGCTGTCCTCGGCCCCGACAAGAAAATTCCCCGATGACTGGTGTGGAGACTGGGCGCCCCGGAGCCATACATACATGATAAAAGATTAGAACGATTTAATAAAATTACTACCTGGATATACGCGTATCGTAAAGGGGAGAAACTCCACTGTGGCATTGAGCTGCAGTCTTTCTAACCATGTTCGGCTCGGATCCGGTTTCTGAGCATCAGGTCAGGACCCAGCGCTCTGAAGCGAATACGGTCATCAACCGGATCCGGGACCAGTTCAAGAATTTGACGGCAACGAGATCACTACCATCTGGCAAACGGCTTCAGATATATAGTCTGTCCCGGTGGCTGCTTAACGGCGGAATACACATCAATCCAGCACAGTCTGTCCTGTCGTTCCATCACCACGACACAATGTCGGTGCCAGTCGTCAACTACTCGTACTACCCGCCCAACGTCGTCATTGACGGCTATGTCGCCAACACGCTGTCGACGACGCAGATTCTCGCCATCTTCACCTCGACCCTCGCCTCCGTCCTGGTGCCCTGCTTCTTGCTGATCCGCCGCGTGCGCCCCTCCATTCCGACCTCGGAGCTGGCCACGGCGCTCTGGTTTGTGCTCTGTGGCGTCATTCACCTCGGTCTAGAAGGTGAGCTACATTCTTTATCCCATCTCTTTTGCGTCTTCATATTTTTCTCGTGAAGAGAGGGGGGGGGGGGAAACAACGCTTTACCAGTTAACACCCGTATACAAAGGCCATTATGCCCGCCATCAACACCACATTGGCGCCTCGTCCCACGTCCTCTCCCAGCTCTGGAAGGAGTACGCCCTCTCCGACTCGCGCTACCTCACCCGCGACAGCTTCGTCGCCTGCATGGAGGGCATCACGGCCGCGTTTTGGGGCCCGCTGTCGTTTCTGTGCGCGTACGGCGTCGTCCGCGGCAGCGCCTGGCGGCACCCACTCCAGTCCATCGTCTCGCTCGGCCAGCTCTACGGCGACGTCTTGTACTATGCGACCTGCACGTATGAGTTTGTCGTTTACGGCCAAGAGTTTTCGCGGCCGGAGCCGTATTATTTCATTGGGTATTATGTGTTTCTCAATGCGTTCTGGATCGTTATCCCGTCCGTGTTGCTGCTGTCGAGTGGGAGGGCGACGACGCGTGCGTTTGCAGCGCTTGAGAGGCGAGACAAGAATCCATAGGCTGTGCAGGGAAGAGGCCCCAAGTGAATTTAATAGCCAAACATTAATATTTACTAGCTAATCAACTAGCTAGTAAATAAATAGGTGTTCATTTCACGAATTCGCGGTTCACTGGCTTGATTCACTGGCTTGATTCACTGGTTTGATTCACTGGCTTGATCTACTGGCTGTTGATTAACTGGTCAATTGCTACAATTGTGAGATGTTAAAAAAAGTCCTCTCTATGCATATTATGGACAACAAGGCTGAGCACAAACTCACTGTGAAGCAAGTCTTGAAAAGCCATTCCTGTCCTCGTCTGGTGTATATGATACTAGGCTATGGTTGGTGTAGGCTGGTACGTATTGCTCTCCCATTTTTAGCTGCTTCTAAATAGACATTCTTTCTTTCACGTATTACTTAAGGAGCCTCAAAGAATATAACCTGTATGGTTATGTCATCTCGTACACGGCGGCTCATCGGCTCAGTGGCCGTCAAGGCTCCCGCCACCATGTACCTGTGCCTGCCACCAAGTACATTCTTGAGCAAACACACCGCCGCGTTATCCAAATCTTCAATGGCAAAGTCGGCCGCTCGCGCCGTGCGGCTCAGCGAGCCGTCCTCGTTGACATCGTACCGAGACTCGTCTGACTCGACCACGGTTTCCGGTCTGCCCTCGCGCCGAGCGGCGAGCCAGCGTGAGACGCATTCCACGGCATCCTCGTTGCTAATCGCCTCCCAGAGCCCATCGGAGCCCATAATCACAAAGTCGCGCGCACCGACTACGCGCGTCGTGACCTCGGGCGAGGCCGTCAAGTAAGGCGGCGTTTTAGAGTTGGCATGTGGCGCTGGGCCGTGGCAGTTGCCCCGAGCTTTCATGACCAACTCAGTGGGCCACTTCCATCGATGATTTCCAAATGTTCTTGTGGGAGTCATGCCTAAAAGGTGCCCATCATTCATATCCAATATGTCCTTCTCTTCTCCTGGATGCGCGGCAGCAATGCGGGCAATCTCTTGCTCATTGCATGTGTTCTGGTCTTTGCTTAGTACGTCCACCATGGGCTTACCTAGCTCTGGAGACCACTGGGCCCTCACAGCTCTAGAATCACCTGTGAGGGCGACATGTAAAGTTGCAGAGCTAGGTTGATATACAAGAAGCAGCGCGCATGAGCCAGCAAAGGCGGGACCCGTAGCGACACGAACCGCCGCTGTGCCAGCTGGGTGACCTGCGGCAAGCGCAGTTTCAGCAATGCTCAAGATCCGATTATCCAGGTTGATGAAAGCCTTTTTGATAGCATCTTCAGCGCTAGCGGGGTCATTGCTGGTAGGAAGACGAGCCAGTGCGTTGGCAACGTATGGGATAAGGCTTTTACCAAGGACAGCAGAAGTTTCCGCCCCGCTATCAATAGAATCAGTGGGACAAGATTTCACCTCCAATTGTTGGGGTTGTGATGAAGTAAACTTACTTATGTCCATCATAAACCCCAGTATATAGTGTATCTTGGCCGTCTGCCCCTCTCACAACGGCAACATCCCAACAATCCTCGCTTGGGAATTTAGTCCCAAGACTGACCACATCCACACGACCCAGGCGGTCGTTGGCAACTTTGAAAGAGAATGAGTCGGCACCTTTGCGGATTTCGGCGTCGGCTTCTTCATAACTCAGTGGCTTGACTGGTGAAACCACAGGGATATCAACTTCTTCAGGGACAACTTGAATGACGGGAGCAGCTCTTTGGGTATCCATATTCTTGTTAGAGATGCTGTGAGATATGTTCTTATGTGTGAAGTTGTTTGGTAGTAGTATAATCTTGTCAATTGGATTGTATTTTCTTTGGAACTGAATCGTACTCTAGTTGCTTCCCAGGCCCCTAAATATGAAGAAAAGGCAAAGGGGGTGGTGAGGGGTAAGAAGTCACGAGGTGAGCTCTTCATGCTATTTTTATAAATATAGTTCTTTATTGAGGCATGTGTGCGTGAGCCTCAAAAGTTCAGTCAATCCTTGGGAATATTGGGACAGCCACGAAAAGTGATGAACGAGACAGCGGCCAGGAGGATTCGTAGTCCATCCCTTCGTAGCATGGGCAATCTGTGCAATAGTACAGATTGGGATTGAGACAGAGCGATATCTGGGGCCATGGATATCTGCAATCCAGTATCACGTATCCTCTTTCAGACTACATGACAAGGCTGCGTGGCGCAGGGCCAAGCAAATTCGTCAGTCTGTGTTGTCCTCCACCTACCTGCCTAATCCGTTATTATTGAGGGCACTTTTGTTGACTTCGGTAGCACTCGCATAATAATTGGCTTTGAAAGGTGCACAGGTTGCTAAAATTGAATCAAGGCTGTTTATGTCAAGTCGTGGCTGCAAGGATTGAATTGGCGCGTCTCTCTCCCCGCACTCCAGAAGTGAACAGCGTTAATGATCTCAAGCAGCAGACACCAGACACTCCATGTCTTTTTAGATAGTCCGGAGAGTGATAAAACCTCAACAAGCAGTAATTTATGACTGGATTCGAGGGAGCCAAGACTAGGTAGCAAATAAAGTTGAAAGTAATCAGTGCTCGCTGAAAACAAGAGCAAAGTGGCTAGTCAAAACCATGGGCAAGTGTCGCACCAGTCTTTGCAAGTTGGTCCACCCGTTCGGTGGAGGATACCAGTGTGGCCAGATGACATTGGTCGTCTTTGTTTGTCCCATCCTAGTTCCAGCCTTGAGCTCAGCCGAGAGTTCTGCGGGCGTCGTCGATAATATGCCTGATTTGGACTGCCTGCACTTCCCTTCCTGGCTATCAATGCGTTCCCATAGATGACAGCGACCCAGTATACTGCCCCACGGACGGCATTATGCTGGATTTCTGTTCCCTAAAGCTTGTTCGAGGCTGCCAGTGCGGAACCGGAAGAAGCAGTCAAGGAAGCAAAGGTTGAGTTTGAGGAAGTCGCGGCAGTGCCCGTCGCTGTTGGACAAGAAGGCGGAGCTCAATGTGCTGTGGTGCAGTCTCTCGCATCAGTTTGACGCGGGTGTGCGGCAACCGCTTGCCATGCGTTTCTGGGGGGGGGTCATGCATGCATTCTTCCTCCTGTCCCTCGGCACCATGGCCTCTAAGAGACAAGCAGCACAGCCCTTCATGCCCAATCGCTCACTCTCGCCACCGCAACTCAGATCTGTTATGTGCATCATCGTCAACTTTGTGATCCCCTTGTCTAATTGATCCCCATGAGAGTAGTCTCACGGGCAATGACGGTCTCCTGTTTGGAGAGCTCCGTCTGCTTGCGTCGATTGGAAGCTATCTTCTTATTTCAGAACTCAAGCATCACTTTTTACGAGATCGTTGCCATTTTCACGCGAGAAATGCAAGACTTGATCAAGTTGACAACTGTATCCGGCGGTTTCAAGCTCCTTGTGACTTGGTCAAACCCGTTTCTAAACGGCCGGGTTTATGCACTCGATCTCGTCCCTCACGATAGGTAGTGGCTACGCCCTTGGCCGACAGGCTGGCGAGTACATTACCAGCCCCCTTCTCCCTTACTCTATAGCATATATATATATGTTTACTCTCAATGGGACACAGAAAACTGGAAAGAATAGTCGGCTAACTGGCGCATCCTGGCTCGAGCGCCGCTGCGGCATCGTTGGCACGTCTCTAGTCTGCCAGAATGGGAGTCTTTGTCCTTTGAACGTCATGGTAGACACGACGTCTTTACAAGAAATCTATTAGTGCGTGTCTATCAGCTGTGAGAACTCGATGCATGGTTTTTCGGTCGTGTTATTGCATGGGACGACAATACCAAGCCGATGAACCAAGATAACGTGCCGCCAATTGTACTGCCCTCGGGACATGGAGTAGAGCCCCCCAACACTGAGTTTGGTAGACTATTGCCAGATGCACTGAGCACTGTCTTTGAGAAAGGGTAATCAGGTGGGAAGATTCCTCAAAAGCCGCCGAATCACATATCCTCAGCCCCTCCAGCGATGGTGCGCCTCAATGGCGAGCCCATTTTAGCGGCCAAGGCTCTCGAGTTTCACTGGACGGTTACAGGGTCAGGTCGTACGGAATAACAGGCAGCAATAATTCTCAAGCTCCATGTTCATCGCTCTGGTTCGATAAGCAAGGACCAATCCCGGCGAAAGCCTCCATAACGTCATGCAAGTCAGAGGATGAATAGAGAGCTTCCAACTCTTCTAGTCGACAACCTTACAAGACAGCGAGAAATAACAAAAAAGGTGCAAGAGACCCAAGCATCCAAACGGAGAGCTTTCTTCTTTCTTTCAAACAACCTCACCCCTAAACTTTTGGGCGTGCTCTATGTTCTTTGTCGTGTGGTCATGGTCCATGTGGCCGCAGCGCGCCATCCCTTGTCCGCCGCCACATCTTGGCTCTCCGCCCCCCGCCCTCTTTCCCTCTGCGGCTTTTCAATGTCATACAATAGTTTAGTTCAACGTCGGCCTTCGCTTGTCTCGGACGGTGAGCGGAACAAGGCCGCATGTCCGCCGCCGTCGTGAATGGTGAGGCTGTACGAGGGCGTCGCTACATACTGTTCTCCTTGTGTTGTCTGACTTTTTTCGACAGATTTCGCCCACTTACGTTAGCCGTATAAACGCGTGTCCCTTACAAAAGGCCACTGGGTGGGTGCAAGAAAAGGTATACAGGACTTCTTTGTTTGCAACGTGGCCAATAGGGAGTCAAGAAGCATGCACATGAAAAAGTCTTGAGCTCACACAAACCAAGCTCTCTTTCTGCTGTCGTGCAGGATTGGCACAAACTTAACCCGTACTATGCAGTCCTATTGGATCGCTGCGGCCGTCGGGAGCCAGTCGACAATCACTTGTCTCTGCAAAAAAAAGATGCAGAAAGAGGGTCAAGTCACATTACATCGAATGTGGATTAGAAAGCGCGCAGAGAGACAAAGCTCCTTCTACTTGCGTCTCAACATGCATATGGGCTCAACTCGTCCTCGCCACACGCCTCGCACAGCCTCGCGGCCGACGTCGTGCAAAGGAACAACGAGTGTGGTGTCGTGTGCTTACGCCAAGACTGTGAGCGCTGCTACATGCATGTCGGTGAAGCTCCGCGAGAGAAAGCTATGTGCAACCTTGTTACCGAGCGACGAGCAAGACGAGGTGTGTGGGATCAAGGGGAAATAGTTAGGAAAGCAACGCTGAAATGTATTGATCGTATTGTCTGGTCCGTAATTCGTCTCATGGATATTGATAATTAAAAAAACGCCCCCATGTTTTGTCTTTTTTCCCCAAACTCCCCCACCTTGAGACATGAGAAATCACACAAGACTCGAGCCAAAATCCGCTACATCGGAGCGCATAAAAGCCGTACATCCCTCCTCGCCATGCATTTAAATTGATCGCCGCCACAAACGTTTTCATGTTCAGCTGCGGACCCCGGGGAAGAAGGAGGCGGCCTTGTCTGGAGAAAAGGCTGATCAGGCTGTACAACTTCGGGGGTGCGGACCTTTATCGGCCGAGAGGGACGTGACCTTGACAAAAATTCTTCGTCGCTCTTCTCACTACCAATGAGCGGCGGATTGTTTTGTCATCCACATGCATGCGTCGCCGGTAAAAGACGCTGATGGCCGTACTTTCCGCTTTGGCCCATGAGCTATAACGATACTAATTGTTGCCTTCACTTTCAAGTTGTCCTGCTCTGTTTGAGAGCCGGCGGACCCATGCAGTGTCACTCGAGCGGTGTGACAGCTGCGCTGCATGAGATCTTCGGGCGCAGCGTCGCATTCGTGCCCCAACATACCATTTAAAATCCGGATTCAAGGCCCGAAATCCTTTTCGACGCATATCCAGCGGGCAACTTCCGCGTTGATGCACGATGCGAATGTGATTGTCCGTCCACGGCTTCGGATGTTGGCCGAGCTAGCGTCCCCGCCTGTGCTTCAAGACTTCAGCCTGTTCTCCAGCCCACCTTTATCCGCACACAAAAGCGGTATTGCTCCGCCCATTTCGGGCATTAATATAAACAGGACCGCCCTCGCTTATATGGCCGAGCCCAATAAGATTCCCATTTCTGCAACATCCTCATTGACACACCTGTGTGAGCGCTCGAGGAGTTTTGACAGGCTCAAACGTCAAGTTCGAGGGATGGCTGCGCGATGAGAACTTGGTCCTGTCGTTGCTGAGCTAGCCTGCTCCTGATTTCGCTTTCATAATGAAACTGCAGTCAATCATACTCAGTCGTCCAGGGTGCAGAATCGGACAGTCACCGGCTCCAGGCCAATCATGGCGTGGTAAACATCTGGATGCACAGCTCCGGTTCCGAAGTCGTCGCCAATCGTCGAGTAAAACAAAGCGTGGGTCGACGACTGTGCAGCCAGCTCCGTCGTCGACTCGAGGGGGCGTTGATACAGCTGCCTGTTTTGCGGGGCAAGCGGTCGACGGGACGTGGTTTCTACGAGGCAGCCAGCCACAACGTCAAACGAAATGCCAATGGCAACAAGCTCCTTCAAAATGAAATCCGTCGAACGGCCGATGACTGCACATAATTGTCAGCGTGTTACTTTCTCAGAATGTGATTCGCCATCACTTACTTGGATTGAATACCATGACTCTGTGCAGCATGTGGAGGCAATAATCCAGACGTCGCATGGCTTGGGAGTCGCTCGGCATAGCCTGGACCTGGAGCAAGAAGACAGATGCGGCAATATACATGCTGTACGAAATCGAGAGAGCGCAGTACTTTATACTGTACGTCCTGGCAAAGAGATCGAAGATTGCAATTGTGGCAGTTGCCGACGTTACACAATTGATGAGATAGGTATTCCAGGGCAGCTGGCCGTCAAAGTCTGTGACGTATTGACGTGTGAGCATAGGCCTATACAGAAGGATCTTGTAAGTGTGAAATATGCAGCTATACCGAGTGTCAGCACAAAAGATCTTCACAAAAGATCTTCTTTTCGACGGGTCAAGTCCATCTGCGACTTACTTGGAGGTGAAGAGGTGCGTTGGGGGGCCGATGGCGGGGAGATTGGCGGCGTCCATTTTGAGGTAAGGAGGAAAATCATCCCACCATTTATCCAGAGCGGGTCCCTGAATGGCCAAGCACTCGAGCATTTCTGTCTCGGTATTTGGAATGACGGGATCGTACATGTGCAGCAAAATCTCGTTGAAGATGAGGGAAAGCCGAATCATGGCGATGAAGCAGGTGGCCGAATGCGCAGTCGAGGCCGGGTAATTCCATGTTCTGCCATCAGGTGGCATGCCAAAGGGTTGCCAAGGTTCGTTTTCAGCCGAATCGTCGTCTGCAGTTCCATGTTAGCACGTGTGAGCTGGACAAAGATGAGCATTGCTTTGCGGGACATACACATAACGAGTGGTGGCGAAGCAGGGGTGAGATGCAAAGTCGGCATTCGGCCCATGTACAGACTCAGCATCTTGTCCCAGAAGTAACTACTCCAAAAAATTCGACGACGAATTTCGATATCTTCTTCGTTGAGGGGAACAGAGCCGGGATATCGCTGGCCATCAAAACATACGCCTATTTGGTCCATGAGTCGGAAGGCGAGACCACTGTAGGTCCAGGCCTGAATTGTGTTGCCAAAGGCGCATTCCTCGGAGCTGAGGAGCAGCAAGGTTTGCACCATTGGAATGGTGCAAGCCCCGCGCCTCATGTCTTCGAACAGCATGCTGCGTGCATGTTTGCCAAAGATTTCTCCACCACCATAATGATCATCGAGGAGGAGGCGCGTAGTGGGGTCGTTTCTCCCCCAATTTACGGAATGCGACATGAGTGCGTTGAGGAGCATATGCGAGTAGTATTGGCCCATAGTTTGCATATCACCTGTCGCCTGGTTAGCATGAAAGTCGAGCTGGTGCGGTGGGCATCTTGTAGAGAGCTGGGGACTGACGAGTAAAGGCGGGCCTGTAAATGAACATGAAGAGTGGCTGAATCCAGCACCAATGAACGTTGAGTAAATATTGAAAGGGTTCCTGAACATGGGCGTTAGTAACATTAAACAGTTTTGCAATGGGATGCTACGCACTGGAGTGGCTGAGAAAGTTTCGAGGGCGCGCTGCTGCATAGCATTGGCGACTAGCCTTTCTCGTATTGACTGGTCGAGTTCGGCAGAAGTGTAAAAGCCATTTGAATGGAGACTTGCCGGTCGATCGTTGGCGGAGGCGCCGTTGCCGAATGTGATGCGACCCTTGTCGTCAACCGTGAGGCTGCTAAAGCTGCGGCTAAAGGACTGTTCGTCGGGATGGGATTTGGGTGGCGACCGGCCATCGTGCAGACCGGTGCTGGCGGTGGAAGGACTGGAATGGGCGGAAGCGGTGATGGAAGGGGGCGATCTAGATGCTGAAGCAAGTTGGTCCTCGAGTTCTTTGATGCGCTTCTCGAGACGCTGGGTATAAGAGAGCGTGGGGTTGCTGGCGGGGTGGTTTTTTGGTGTCAGCGGGCAGGCGGTCTGGGTGGGCAGGCCATGGCGGCACCGGCGCACATGGCAGGGTAAGACAGGGGGGGTTAAGTAAGAGCGACTTACAGCTTGTAGACGCATTCATCGTTGCGCGAGGTGCATCTCTGGCACATGGGTTGCTCGCCACCACATTTTACCTGTCGGGCGAAAAATAATGAAACTATGGTTAGCTGGGTGGTGATTTTGGGCTTGGGCGTGGGCGTGGTGGACGGGTAGGTGGCGAAATCGGAGGCTTCGAGCCGCCGGCTGCTGGCAGACACAGCAAGGGACAAGGAGGCAAACGAACTAACCTTGCGGCGGCGACAGGGCTCGCAGGAAAAGGCGCTCTTCTTGGTGGCTTTGGCGCTGGACATTGTGGTGGTGCAGCGACGGGCTCAACAGCCAAAGCCAAGTCGTCGCGTTGCTGGCCCGTCGATGAGGAGTGCGGAGGCGACTGGTCGGGCTGCGTTGTGTGTGAGTGAGAGGCGAGTGTGGTGGTGTTTTGTTTGGGGAAAAGACGATGAGCGATGATGGCGTAGGGGATTTTGAATTCGGAGGATCAGAGAGGGCGGGCCGGCGCCAAGCAGAGAGAGGAAAGTGCCCCGCAGCACGATGGAGGAGAACGAGGAGGAGGAGAAGAAAAAGAGCAGATGTGTGGATGGATGGCTTTTGGATGGTTAGGGCGAGAGGGAAAGGGAAAAAAAATGTCGACAGTGATTTTGGCTGGAGTCTGGATCGGCCAGGCTAAGAAAGCCAGGGACGATGATAGGCGGCCCGAGGAGATGTCGACAACAGAGGGGGGGGTCTTTGATGTCTTGGTTTAGTGCGAATTGTCTCTGCCTCTTTTTTTCTTTCATCTAAAAGCGCAAATGATTGTTTTTCCGGTTCCTTGTCGAATCTCGATTGTACTGGAGTCTGGCGCCCTGGCGGTACAGTTACCAAAAGTTTCTCACTCATTACCGATGGCAGTTGGGCGGCGGGGGGGGGGAGGGATGGGATGATAAGCGACAAGGGAAAATGGTCAAATGGTGAGCGAGACCAGTTCTAGCCTCTTTTGACCTCTCCTCTCAACCAGTTGCGACGTTAGCCTTTCTTGCGTTGTCTTGTCGACACCCAAGAAATCCCAGGACGAGGCGCACCCAGACGCCCGCCCCACTATACAAGACCCTCAAAATCTGTGCCTGGAGGCTGGACGGCAGTCGTGAAGGCGGGGAGACTGCAGTATTAGGAGAAGCAAAGAAAAGAAAAATTGAGAAGAAAAATTCTTCATTCCCTCGGTAGATACTGACAGAAGGGATGCCTTGAATGGCAGACAAGAGCGGTTCTTTATGGATCAATTATGGATGGCGCGGCAGTGGTCGTGATGGGCATGATGGGCAATGAGCACGGACGGGCGCGGCGACGATTTGTGGTCCATCTGCAGACTACTAATACTGGTAATAACCGGCGGACTACCTGTAACACAAGCAAACAACTTAAAAAGAAGTTGCGAAAAAAATAAGAAAAAAAAAAGAAAGGAAAAAAGAAAGAAAAAAAGGCTAAGGATTTGCCTCGGACCGAAACGAAAACGTTTCGACACACCAACAAAGCGAAAATCTGCTCCATCTCCATACCTGCCACTACCGTCTGCCGGTATCATCCTGTGTGTCTGTATCAGCACCTAGGGAGTAGTGGACACCGCCCTGCGGCTCCTCCCCCCCCCTTCTCCAAAACCCCCCCTGTTGCTTCTAGTGCTTCTGTTAATGCCTCTAGAATTTCTGTGCAGCAACTTTGTTCCTACCTTGCTGGTCCCCGGTTTCATGGCCTGATGGCAGTCTTTGCTCCATCCCCGTTTCTGTTTCGTTCTTCCTCTTTCTTTCTTCTTTGCCGTCTCTCTTTTTTTTTCTAATGTCTCCATTGCCGGATATGCAGGTGTGCAGGTATCTATCTCCTCGGTACCTACCTATACCTATATCTCACCACAATCCACTTGTACTTATAGGTATACAGACACCACACCACACATGATGCGCAGAAACTATAATATCCTGCGCACTAATACCCAACACACGTAAGACAAATGGGACCTTGTTCTGATTGACCCTCCATTTTTCTCTTCTCTTCTCTTCCTTCTTTTCTTTTTCCTTTGCATTCCTTTCCTTCGGTTTAATCTACCTACTTTGTCCCTTGCCCCCTGCCCAGCTGATCAGTTCAAACGTCGTTCGTGTCTGCCCCCGGCGATAACTCGACATTCCCTATTAGTAAATCTACCATTAAATCGCCCTGTAATTGTAATTCCCTGCATTCCCTTTGACTCTCCTGTTCTTCCCTGCAATTCTTTGTCATCCCCTGTCAGCCGCTGTGAATTCCGTCATCCTCCATAGTATTAACCCGTATTAACCCCCGCCGGGTTACGGATTACTACAACCGCAGCCACATGCAACCCCGGTCTTGATGTACCTGCAGCGGAGACACATTGGCGCAGAGATTAACCTTAATTCAATATTGTTTTTCTCTTTTTCCTGTTATTAACTCGTCGAGGCTTGGCTGTCATCATCTTATGATACGTACCAGGGGTGCCTCACCGTTTCTCTTGCCGGCAACTCGAGCCTCCGGATTCCTCTCAACTCCTTGCTTCTGGAAACATGTCTGTGCATTATTTAACCAACAACCTGCATTGACATATGAACAGGGGTGGAACAAATAAAACGAAATCGAATATCAACAAGATACTCCCACTTACAAGTCATGGCAAATGGATACCTACCTACCTACCTCGGCAGAAGCGAAAACGCACTCGCGCCAACCCGCAAAGCCCAGCACGCCACCCACTCTTCACGAGTCGACCGTTCGCGTCAATATCGGCGGCCCATTCTGGGTGGTGTAGCCCATGTGTGCTACGTGAGGCTCGGTTACATTGCTTGCGCCATTCCTTGTTGATCCGCGCTTGTATCTGGACTTCTCTGAGCCTCGGGCCCGGGCCGCCGCCAGGCCGCCTCGACATGCTGTTGTCGAGAGCAAACGCCCCCCTCCCCCCCCCCCCGGGCGCAGCACGCCACCAGCATATGCTAGCCCTCAGTGCCAGCCAGGCACAGGCTTGGAAACTTGATTCAGGTCAAGCGAAAAGGTCTTCATCAGCTCTGGCATCATTGTCTCGCTTTGTTTCACCCATCCGCCCTCGGCCGTGTGCTCTCACTCGTCTTTACCCACGCCCCGGCCCGGCTCAGCGGCGAGTCCGTTTCGGCTGGAGACTTGAGGGGCATCAGCCTTATGAGCCGTCTGGCACACACCAATCGACAGCCAGATGATCCTCCCAGTCTGACTCATCTGAAGGTAGATCAGGCTTGAAGTTCCACAACGAGAGCGGCAAAGTAAGATTGAAACGTGCGTTCCAATGTTGCTGTGCATCACGAATCGAGCTTGGATCTTGAACACCCCTCCCCCTTCTCATCAGGATTCCATACTCATAAAGCTATATCATCAGGATACAGTAATGAAACGCAAGCTAATATATCTGCTTTTGAATCTCAGGTATGGCTTCGAGAAACCAAGTACTCATAGTCTCTCGAGACGTCAAGTAGTACCTGACGCATTCGTAGGTTTTTAATCATATTTACAGCACATATATCCTTAGCCAGGTCAGACTATTGAGGAAGTTTAGAGATATCACGCAAAACATTATCCACCGGGCTTTGCGCCTCGCGCCAATCCTCATTACGAATTGCGTTTACTTTCGCTCGGGAGAAATCACGGCCGGCGTGGTGCTCAACTCCACCTGCGCAAAAGATGCATCTCGGGGTATTTGCGCGAGCATACCCTACGTGTCCACCCTAATGGCACTTATCGCAATATTGGTCTCAATAATGCACTAGTTTTACGAGCTGGAAACCGGCGTGGTAGCCGCCAACATTGTGCGGGTTGTCGCCCGAGCGGTGCCTGACGCTCGCCGAGAAGACCACGAATATGCCCAGCGTATGGCGGGTCATGATAACGTTGCTCCAATCCCATCACTGGTGTATCCGGATTCCGCGTGCCGAGGAGCGCGTATTAATGAACCAGAAATGATCTTCCTTCCGGCAGCCGCCGCTTCCGTATGCGGCTCTCGATGCGGGACTTGTCCACTTCGTGGGGAGCGACCCTGGCGAGCTCCGCATTGGCGGCGGACATCAGCGTGATATCTACCAGGAACAGATGAGGATCTTTGCCTTTCCGGACCTCGAGAGACATTTCACTCTTTTCGTACTGCAGTTAGTCGTCCATGTCGGGAAATTCGCTGCGCAATTTGAACCGCAAGGGCGACAGCAAACTGGGCCGGCTGACGTTGATGTAGATCTGCCGGTCAGAGTCTCGCGACTGCCGTTGACGCGATCAACCCACATTGTTTTCTAGGACCCGCGTGAACCATTTTCATAGTGACGCCGTAGAGCGTGACATGATAAAACTGTCTATACGAGGCGAGTCCTGGAGGTTGCGGATGCGTTTACCTTTCCAAACCATGTCTTTCCAGCTAGTGTATATGTTAGAGCATAATTCTCAAGAGTGCTATCGATCCATGTAGTGACACGTGTACCGTGGTCGAAGAGGACGAGTTCTTCTCTCATGTGGAGACTGCGGGCAGTAGCAAGAGCGATAGCGTCACGGGCCATGTCCAGTGACTCGTAGCCCTCAGCATTCGGCAGATCGAATGGGACAAAATGCTTTAGTTCTTGCGTAGCTAGCGAGTGAGCATAGCCCAAGGGCTCCTGGGTCAGTGCTCTTTGTAAAAGCGCATCCGCTTCGAGGGTCTTGTCTTCGGAGGTGCCCACCCTTCTTCCCACGAAAAAGTTATTCTTTTCGAGCCAATGCCCGTCTCTCATCACTTGTTCGTGACAGGCAATGAGTTTCTTGGAGTGAAGGAGCAGAATAAGAGTCTCTGCGAACAAATAACTCGAGCCTGAAATTCATTTCCGACGAAAATCGTGCGGGCAGGTTTCTCAACTCGTATTCAAGCTGAAAGCGGTATTCGGCAGTATATCCCATGTCTGGGATAAACTCTCGCTGCTCTTTCTGCGTATTGTTCGCACCCATTACCACCAAAAGAGACAGCACCGTGGCAGCGCTCGTCATTCGAAGATGGGCGCCACTGGCTCTCTCTTGGAGAAAAACTCCATTCAGGACATCATCTCTTCGCAAAATCTGAGGGGCATCTGTGCGAGATTTCTTTCACTGGCGACTCCGGCAGTCAGAGGATCGGGTAATGTATTCCATCGGCGAGACTACCGTGAGCTGTCGTGAACTTTCATGAGCTGTCGTGAGTCGTAGTGCAGAGTTGACACGATGAGTGTTGACGTTGACAATTGTAAGGTTGTTCAATCGACGACCAGAACCGCGTGTGGAAGTGCCGACGAGCTTTTCCACGTTGCCAAGCTTCTTACACTGAATGCTGCGATTGCTGTCCTTGCCGCTTCAATTCGTCATCATGGAGCCATCTGCAATCTCCATATCTGTGCACATTATTGAAAGCTCGTGGGGAGAATGGAGCGAGAGTATCGAGAGTAGAGTAGATAGACTCGTAAGCTCGGAATTGCGTGGCGAGGAGCTAGAAAACAGAAAGCGATACTAAAAATCGTAGGGCAAAGCGTGGAGAGACGCCAGCTTGGTGGGTATTTGCACACGTTCGTTTGCATCTCGGGTCCTGGACAGCTATGCAAACAAGAATGTACATTTTCTACCTATAAACGCGTCAAAAAAAGGATGACAAAAATATGCACATGACGCAAACGCCTATATACCGAGCCTTTACGCCGCGCAGCCTGGCAGCCCGCCAGGCCATGTCCAACCGTGTATGCTTCACTCTTACATCAGGCCAAACTACTTAGATCCAAAACACGGCCATCCAAAGGGCTACCATTCCAGAAGCGATCATCCAAAATACCCGTCTCTAATTGCGGTGCTATTGTCCAAACAACGTTCGCCCTGGGCCAAACACCCAGAGCGTGTTTACACGTCAAAAGCGTCCGCTAAAACGACTTGGGCGTGTGTGGTTGCGTCAGCCCACGCTCGCGCGAGCACCAGCACGAGTTATCTCCCTCGCGCTCGACTTGCACGACGGCATCGATGCCTTCCTTGAGCAGATAGTGGCGTACGCGATCACGTACATCTTCAAAGGCGTAGCCGAAGCCAGTGGTAACATGAACAACACCGACAAGCTTGTCGCCCTCGTCGCCCCATGATCTGTCGTCCTTCCAGAATTTGGGCACCGAGTAGCCCACAACACCGCGCTGCTGAAGGATGCCGCCGAGGACATTACGTAGGTTGTACTCGGTGTCTTCTGGTACGCTGAGTAGCAGCCGCTTCGCGGAAGAGATAACAAGCGGTTGCGAAGAGAGAAAGATCAAAGTGGCAATGAAGCATGAAGCAAGGGGGTCCCAGCCGGACCAACCCCAAAAACTGGTTAGCACCGTAGAGACAATAACCGAAACACTGCCTAACGTATCCGCAAGGATGTGCAGATAAATTCCGTGCATATTTTCGTTGTCGTGGGAGCCACATCCTCCGCTAGGCTTGGCTTCAGGAAGGTCGTGCGAATGCGAATGCCCGTGGCTGTGCCCGTGGTCGTGTCCGTGGTCTTGGGCGTGTGAATGAGAGTGCGAGTGGCCGTGGCTGTGACCATGATGATGGTGGTGGCCAAAAGCCATCATGCCAACGAGGTTGATGGCGAGACCGAGCGAGCTGACGATGAAAAGCTCGCCGAGTCGTTTCGTTTTCGTGCCCTCCCAAAGTCGCTCAAAAGCCTCAAAGCCAATCTCCAAACTCAATAGCCTGGGACGTTTAGCGCAGATCATCAAGCAGTAGGCTGAATGACTCACATGAGTAGGATACCGTTGGCAAAGCCACTGAGTGTTTCGATTTTGCCAAAGCCGTACGGAAATCTTTGACTAGGGGGCCACTTGCTCATGACGGCGGCCAAGAGGCCAACGAGTAAGGCAACACAGTCGAAAAACATGTGAATGCTGTCACTCAGCAAACCAAGCGAGTCGGTCAGGTAACCGTAGAAGGCTTGAACAGCCATGAAGCTGAAATTGAGTCTGCCAGCCGGTTAGTACATCACGACAGCAACACAAGTGTCGAGTCGAGCACACACATCATGAAATAGAAGATTCTCCTCGAGTCTTTTTCCGTCATTATCGCATGTATAATAGGGAACTTGGCGGTATATGGTAGCAGAGCCGCGGTGAACATGGAGCGCTCGGCATTGGCGTCGTGCGGCAGGGTGTGCAAGGTATTGTGCATCTGTCGTGGTGGCGAGTATGGCGTCGCCGAGGTAAGCTCACCATCATGCGCTATGATGCTCTTGCCGCTCATCGTCTTCTCGTGTGTCCAGCCGTCCATGACGTCGAGCGAGGCAGGGCGCGGACGGTCTCTGGTGAGAGCAGTGCCGCGATTGGAGACATGTGATCCGGTTCGGGCATGGTGGGCGTGCGAGTGCGAGTGCGAGTGCGTGTGTGTGTGCGAGTGCGTGTGGTCGTTCAAAGTCTCGTCCTGATGCTCCTCGATGGCGGGAGCGAGATTCTCGGTCGAGCCGGCCCTCCAGGCACTCAGCGACGACTGCGATTGGGAATGCGAATGCATATGTTTCTGGTGAGCATGAGGTAGCGCGGACGAGGGAAGTGTGTAGGAAGCAGCCATGATGCCAGAAAGGCAAATGACCGACAATTGGCGCTGTCGTGTCGTCGCGACCGAAAGCGGGTCGAGCTGGTAAGTGGCGGGTCGGTCGCTGGTGGTCGGTTCAACGGGCTCAACGTTGCTTGCCGTTGAACGACTACATAAATGTCGGGATAGCAGAAACGGCAATGTTCTCGGGGAGTGCAAACCGAGGCGAGATGCCGTGTTTTTTCAAGGACGAAAGTGACACCAAGATATACTTGACAGGCGACTCAGCACGAAGAAATAGGGGGCAGCATTGGGAAGCAACTCGGCGCGGGAGGTGGAGGAGCGCACGTGGGGAAAGCCGTCGTCCTGAGAACCGAGACGGGCGGAATCAGTTGCCCGCCAAAGTTTTAAAAAAAGAAGGGCAGGAGTTGAAACGAGTTTGTGTCGGATTAAGGAGCAATAATGAAAGAGGCGAGAGAAATAGCAGCGCATTGAGGCCAAAGTCATTTGCGGCTACTCAGAGATGAAAGACATTTCTAATAAGACGGCAGGCTGTCTCCTTGCACTGAGTCCGTCATTACCTAGGTAGGTAGGTAGGTATTTAGCGTTGGAGTGCAGGAGCCAGAGTCAGTGCAATTCATCGTTCCAAGATTCCTTGGGCGGCATCAGCATGAACCTGTGGCGAGCAATAATTAACCTAAGACCGAGGACGCAAAGGACACGCGGTACTACTGGAGAAGCTTGGAAAGCCATTTGATGCCCTGTCATTGATTGTATTCAATTGTCGTACAAAAATCGCTGGCGCAACCTGTCTACATGAGATGTGAGATCCATGCCAGGGCCAACCTGCGACCAAGAGTCCGTTTTGTGCTAGTCAGGAACCCCATAATCTACTCCGCCAAGTCGTGTGCAACAGTTTGTGGCTAACTAGCCCGAGAACCCCGATGGTTTCTCAATCTTGTTTCCTCGCGTCGTCAAAAGTCTCTTCCACAACTGCATCGTTGGTTCTAATCGGCCTGGCTTTCCCGTTTTTTACTCGAGTTACTCAAGTACTATAAATAGTTCAGGATTATCCTTCAGACAACACCGTCATCACGGCTCATAACCAGGTAGATAATTGCTCGGGTTCCGACTCCTTATGAGAGCCAAATGCTTTATTAGTCTTATTCTTCAACATTGCACCTTGAGCAAAGTGAACACTTATCTCCTTCGCAAGAAACATTTCCTCGGGCCAATTCACTGCCAAGCTTCCTATACGTACCAGCGCGCCCGCCACAGGCATCAGCTGGAGAAGCCCAGACTTGATTCTGGCGTCTCCTGCCGACGCTACTAGCTCGGCCAAGACGCCTCTCCGCTTGATACTCGGCACAGTACAAAAGATCCAACGGGCCGCCCCCCAGCGAACCCTTGAGCAGCCAGTCGGCCTCAACCTGCGCTTGCGGCGCTGCGTGCTAGACTCCACCAGGCGTTGGGTGGTCAAAATAAGAGTCCCCCAGCTTGCCCCAGAATGGCAGGCGATAAGCCCAGATTCAGCGTGCGGCTTCGAGTGGCGTGCTCCCTTGTCAGGCGTGCAGAAAGCGAGCCATATGGACCCTCATAGAAGGCTTGGGGTTATTAATAAAAGGTCATGACATGACTTGGCTAGTTTCGAAGCGGTCGAGAACTCTCATCTTTAACCATTGCTGTCAAGCTGTTGCTGTCAATAGTAATAATACTGGGTGCAGGCGGACAGGCGGACAGGCGGGAATTTAGTCCGGGGCCCTCTGAGGTGATCAACAGGCACCACATTCGCTAATTTCAGCACCTTCAGCGCCTTCAACGCCTGGGCTGGCTCTCTCCACCACGCCCACCCAATTCACCTTGCTCTAAGCAAACGCCAGCATCACGGCAATTCTGCCACATCGCCTCACCTACGACACACTTGCGCGCGGCCGATTGACGTCCATCGTCGCGCAATCGCCCGTCATGATTATTCCATTCATACTGTCCGTCATTGCCGGCGCTCTCTTTGTCTTTCTTGTCAACTATGGCTGGAGGTTCCTCGTCTACATTGGCCGCGGCCTGCGCAGCTCCTGGCCGACAAAATATCAACCTGCTCACGACCCCAAGGACAACCACGTTCAAATTCTCGTGCTGGGCGATATTGGACGGAGCCCGCGCATGCAGTACCACGCCATCAGCATCGCCAAGCATGGCAAGAAGGTGGACATTATTGCTCTCAAAGGTTGATTTCACTTGATCAGCTCGGACATGTCTAATCTGGGCGCCTTGCTAACCGCCATGGTAGAAACGGCCCGCCATCCTGAACTCATTGGCAATCCCAATGCCACACTCTATCCTCTCGATCCTCTCCCCGAGTGGCTCGCGTGGAATAATTTGAGCTTCTTCATTCAGATTCCTGCCAAGGTTATTCAGCAGTTCTGGACTCTGTTTAAGACTATGATGTACACCGCGCCTGCCGCTGAATGGATCATCATCCAAGTAAGCAGACCGAATCGTATTCCCACCTTCGCTTCTAACCAGAGCAGAACCCCCCTTCAATACCGACTTTTCATGTGGCTCTATTTGTTGCTTGGATGCGCGGAAGCAAAGTCATCATCGACTGGCACAACTATGGCCACACCATCCTCGCGCAGAAAGGCAAGCTCTACGCGCCTCTTGTGCCACTCTACCGTTGGTACGAATTCTTCCTTGGGCGCAGACTTTGCAACGTCAATCTTGCCGTCACGGACGCCATGGCCAAGCAGCTGCAGATGGGCAAATTCGGGCTGGGAAAGCCCGTCCACACTCTGCATGACCGCCCCGCCGCCATCTTCGAGCCCATTACTTCCCGCAAAGAGCGGGAGGAGGTACTCATGCGCATTCCCGAGACCCGTTCTCAAGCCCAGGACATTCTCGACGGCAACGTCCGTCTGATTGTCAGCAGCACCTCTTGGACTGCCGACGAGGACTTTGGCATCCTCCTCAGCGCTCTCGTCGCATACGCTAGCCCTCGTGAGGTGGACGATGAAAGCGAGCCCGCCTCACCCATTCTCGCCATCATCACCGGCAAGGGCCCTCAAAGACAAATATATCTGGACAAGATCAAGGAGCTCACCGACGGCGGTCAGCTCCCTGGCATCAAGGTCGTCTCTGCTTGGTTGTCCAACCGCGACTATGCTCAGCTCTTGGCGGCCGCCGATCTCGGCATTTCCCTGCACAAGTCTTCATCTGGAGTCGATCTGCCCATGAAGGTTGTCGACATGTTTGGTGCTGGTCTACCTGTTGCGGCCTACTCCAAGTTTGAGAGCTTCGGCGAGCTCGTCAAAGAGGGCGTCAATGGTTGCGGCTTCGAGAGTGCTTCTGAGCTTCATATTCTTTTCAAGAGGTTGTTGGCCAGCGACGGCGCCGACGAGCTCGCCACCCTCAAGAAGGGAGCCATCAAAGAGGGCTCCTTACGCTGGGACGAAGAATGGAATCGTGTTGTTGCACCACTTGTTGGTCTGGGAAAGGAGTAGTAGCAGACATTTAATCATTCAAAAAATCAATTCAGGCGCTTTCTCGCTATGACCATGATTGCCACTATGCAAAACCAGTGCGAGCATAGTAGCGCTACAACACTTTTGTGTTCCCTCGAGTCAACGTCCATACATATATAAAAGCAGACCAAATACAGCAACGCCACGCCTCTTTCATGACATTAAACTCCGGCCCCCGGGAATCTTTGAGCAGTTCCCGCTTCGCTAGTCCTCACCCAGGCTCTCCCGCACGCACTTCCGGCACCGCCGGCGAAATTCCTTGTGCTTGCCTTCCTTCTCCTCGCGCAGCATCCTGGCCGCCTCGACGTTGGCGGGGCTCTCGTCGTTGGGGCTGTGAAACAGGCTGATTGTGCTCAGCAGGATGGTCTCGGGGGACTGTACGGGGCTCCAGCGCTCCGAGGCCGCCTCGTAGCCGTACTGGTCCTCCTCGGGCGGATGCAGGATTGAGATGCAGAGCTTGCCGTCTCCGTAAATGTTGGGGTGAAAGGGGATCGGGTCCTGAAAGGTCAGGGACGGCGGCATGTGCGGGTAATTGGGCGGGAAGACGAGGCGCGCGCGGAAGTTGCCTCCTATCAAAGGAACAAGAAGGTTAGCATGAACCAATATAGGGGGGTTGCAACTGGGGGGGTTGCAACGAGACGAGACCGTGTTTGTCCCGCAAGAGGAAGAGGGCGGCGGCAGCGAAGCAAACAGTTCTCTAAGAAACGTACCTCCGTAGTATTTGCAGTCGTCGCTGATCATGAGCATGACTTCCCACTCAAACATGTTGCTGTCGTTGACGAGGCCGCACGATATCCCGGGAATGTCCTTGCCGACCTGCATCTCTTTGAGCTGGCGCCGCAAAAGCGATGCGGCGGCTGACGAGGGTCCCGCCATGCTGAGGCAGTATATGCACGGATGCGGTTCCTGGTCTGTGGCGGAAATTCTCTTGGTAATGATATAGGTAGCTCCCAGGTAATTCTTGAGGCGTCTTTATGCTCGATGTCTGGCTCGGGCTCGTGGGCTGCGCTGTAGGTAAGTCTTGCTTTTCCTTGTACCATCTCTGGGCGCGCGGGGCAAGTTCAAGTGGTGTGGAACCGGCCTTCCACATCTTTGTATTACCCATTGGTCGTAACTGAGCTTGTGGCGAATGGCGGCAGAGTCGGATCTTCAGACTATCGCTCAGGAACTTTTTAATTGGACTTTTGTCAAGAGTTCTAGGCTGTGGTGTGTTTTCATTGCTGGCGCAGAAGAGGCGATTTCGCCACCACTAATGACTACCTACCTACACGGGTGTTGCAAAGATCGTCCAGATGTAATCATCAACTCGATAATTCGATCCGAATATGATTCAAACCAGTATAAGAACAGCTATATTGACTTCTGTATTCTCCAATGATACTTTTCAGGCAAGTATCGGGGTATCGTATTGTGTGCCAAAAATTACGCCGAGAATGCTCCCTAGTCTTCATTTCTTTGACGTGCCAAACCCAGTAAAGCCCATTTGCGCCATCATGTCGTCCTCTTCATGCTCGCCTTCTATCCTTACATCCTCGCCATATTCAACTTTAACTTTGGCTGCCTCTTCTTTTTCCAATCTCCGCTTTTCCGCTTCGTCACGGCGCTTCTTCCTCCTCTCTTCTGCCTCTTTTTCGTTTTCCTCTTCTCGTATTTGCAGTCGTTCTTGAAGACTAGTAACCTTGGCCTTCTCTAGTTCCTCTCTTTGTTTAACGTAAAACGTGATCCGATCCCGAACCTCCTCCACGGTAGCGCGTCTCACTTCGGTCGTCTGGCCAGCATTCAAAAGATGCTGCGTCGTGTTGAGATGTTCAATATACTGCGAAGTTTGGTGAGTAACAGCGCATAAACTGCAAGCGATGAATGCGCACCTGCAGATTATCCTTGAACGTGAGGTCGCACGCCTCGCAGTAGAATCCCGCGCCGCGACCGCGCTTTCCGACACCTGCGCCGGCACCAACCAGCTGTATTTTTCCCACTTGGCCAGTGAAATCTATGACAGTTCGGCGCGCGGAGGTATATGTCTCGTCGCCAGTCATGGGTTTGTAGTATTTCTTCCCAGCCATCTTCGCCTCGTACCTGGCCTTGCCCTCTTCTTTCTCCTTGGCTTCGCGCTCCTTTGCTTTTTCCGCATATTCATCGAGGTCCCAAGTCTTACGAAAATCGGTATCGCCAGCGGGTGCGCCGTACGCGCTGCCATTTTTCGGATTAGACATGGTGCTGATCGGGGTCTCGGCGAGGTTATCGTGTTGCAAATAGGTATCTGCTGATGGACAATTCAGCACGCACAGTCCGAGCTAGGGATCTTGATTCAGCGTTGAGACCCAGTAAAACCGATGTTGGCGCTAGTGTCGCCGACTCTCTTCATGTTGTCTGCCCCGCCGCGGGGCACTTCGACGTCAACAAAAAAAACTTGCCGGGACTGTCTTTGGCGAAAATGTTGTATTTGGTCGGCCTTGGGCTGTCTGATGAAACAGATATTACTGTCAAGGGTCTGGAGGTTGTGAAGAAATCCTCGCGCATCTATCTTGAGGCATACACTAGCATCCTACTCGTTGATCAGGCGGTTCTGGTAAGTCTCCGGGTCGCAATTCGATCGCAGCTTTCTGACTTGGGCAGGAAAAATACTATGAGCGTCCAATTACCATTGCCGACCGAGAAATGGTCGAATCCAACAGCGACGAAATTCTGCGCAATGCGCAAGTAGAGGATGTCGCGTTCCTAGTAGTTGGAGATCCCTTTGGGTTAGTACTCTTGCAGCCACAACACTCACGGTATTGACAGCAGCAGTGCAACGACTCATACCGACCTCGTTCTCCGCGCTCGCGAACTCGATATTCCTGTACGAACCGTTCCAAATGCTTCCATAATGTCTGGCATTGGCGCATGTGGCCTTCAGCTGTACAACTTTGGCCAGACAGTGTCCATGGTTTTCTTTACGGACAACTGGAAGCCTTCCTCATTTTACGACAGAATAAAGGAGAACCGTCAGATAGGGCTGCACACGCTTGTTTTGGTTGATATTAAAGTCAAAGAACAGAGCTGGGAGAATCTTGCGCGCGGCCGCATGATCTTTGAGCCTCCTCGCTACATGACGGTGGGCCAATGCGCACAGCAAATGATCGAGGTGGAAGAAGAGCGTAAGGAAGGTGTTTATAGCCGCAACTCGCTCGCAATCGGTGCAGCTCGCGTTGGCGGTAAGACAGAAAAGTTTGTCGCGGGCACATTGGAAGAGTTGTGCTCGCAAGACGACGAGCTTGGTCCACCGCTCCACAGCCTCGTCCTGTTGGGCAGGAGAGCGCATGAGCTAGAGAGTGACTTTGTCCGCCATTTTGCCATTGACAAAGAGAAGTGGGACAAGATATGGAAGGAAGAATACGGAAAGCATTAACTCGGTGGCTTAGCTTGCCATGAGCATCGCGTTTAGTATCATTTCCACCTGCGCAGTGTCACTCCAACTTGTATAAGGCTAAACGAGGTGCCCGTCTTGAATGTGCAGCAGATGGGCTCACGCCGGGATGGTATCTGATAATCAAAGAACTCTCAAGTCGATAAAAAAAATTGCCCTTTTGACAAAACCCTGAATCATCGGTCATGGCGTGCCGCCAGCTTGCTAATGCTACCTAAGCGGCGTACAGTGCGCCATCACTGTTCGGCAGCTGTCAGGTGATTGGTGGCTGCCAGCCAGCCCGTGAGCCGACACCAGCACGCTCCCCGCCAGCTGGCAGGCGACTGACTGCATGAAGGAAGGAGCAAACCGCCGACAGTATAAGATCAGGTACATTATCCCGCTCGCTAGAGCAGCCCCGACCCTCGCCCGACATACTCTTTCAAACGCACATTTTTCCCTCGACCAGTCGTCTTTTTGAAGCGGCGCAGCCATCTCGTTGCAGTGGCCGGCCCTCTCGCCCTCTCGGCTTTGTTGAGCCCGTTCAATGACTGACAGGCAGGTCAACATCTATTTCTCCAGAGCGCGCCGCTCCTGACAAATAGCAGACCGCCACATCGGTTTTCGAATCACAGATGAATCAGCAGCGTTAATCACCATTCACCGAAAGAAAATTCAAGTTTTCTTTTCTCACCAATAACCAGTATTATCTTCATCAGGTCCTTACGAGAGCGCATCAGTGATCTAGACACCTCGGCACCTGAGATATTTTTTGCAGAGTATCTTGAGCACTGTTCGCTCTGCAAAATTTTTCGTTTTTTTGTGATCTTGATCTATTTCTATTTTGCTCCTTTTTAAGAACATCTCCTTGCAATCCCATTACACCTCGTTGGGGGCGAATTTCGTCTTCCGCTTCCATGATGAGTGCAGTAAGTCTGCTGAATTATTCATGCAAACGGCCTTTTCTAACGTAATTAGAATGTTGTGCCCTGGGAGTGCCGGGACAAGGATGACCAGTCAGAAGCGCTTTACAATGTACCCTTACACAGGACCAATCGCGCTCTGACTCAAGAAAATCAGCGACTGAAAAAGCTGCTTCGACAGCACAATATTCCTTGGTCAACGATCTCACAGACTCACTTGTCTACTGTAGAGCCCGGGCGCCGCAAAACTCGATCATCGAACGCGGGCAGCGAAATGGCAGGGCTTCGACTGCCAACAGAGGTTTTGCTTCGCATTCTCAAGTTCGCCATGACCAGCCCATACCCTATTCTTGATCCGCTGTCCTCGCTTGCCCAGGAGAATATATCCGAGTTGGAAAGAGAGCGGGGGAATCAAATCTCCATCCACTTTCTAGCCACTTGTAGTGCTATGCATACAGAGGGTACGAAATATCTTTGGGAATGTAACCGATTCGTCTTTACTTGTCCTCAAGCTCTCCAAAATTTCGGCGAGCTCAATGCTCGCTTCCGCCACCCTATCCAAAGCATCACTTTGCGCGTGATTGCGCGATACTATGATGATCAACGCCGCCGTCACAAATTGGAGGCTGGCTATCATGCAGATTTGAAGAAGGATCAGCCTCTTCGGGTTCATATGCGCCCTCGCGAGTCCCTCCTTGTTCGAGGTGGCTTCCGATGTTATACCTGGAACCAGATCGTGGACTTCTTAGCTGCCTTGCGTGCTCCATACGATGCCGCTCATCGCGACAAAGCGAAAGCACGGCCAAAACTTCTACCAAATTTGAAAGTTCTTCGCCTCGATCTTGTCAATTTTTCTGATGAACTTGTTCCCTTTTCAGGCTCTGAGCTGCATGGAATTACATCTCACGAGCTAGGTTGCACGCTCAACGAATTGCAGGTTACTGGGATGCCTTTCGATGACGCTGGAATGAAGGCTTCGGCGGAACTGAGTGGCATGCTCAAGGACGAAGGCCTTTACCTTGACGGGCCAGCTGCCTTTGTTGCCCATAAGAAGCATTTGCAGGAGCTATCTGGTAGCAAATGGTGCGCAAGGATCATTCGCGCGTGGAAGTCGGAAGAGGGGGAAGACGATGAGATGGATGATGGGCATGACGGCCACGACAGTCCGCTGACTGGATGGCATCGACCAAAGCTGGGAATCCTTCCTCCAGCTCCCGAGGAAAAGGGGCATCCGACATCGACAAGACTAGAAGGTACTGTGATTTGGAAACGAGTTCCTACTTCGCGAGACAGCGACGAACGACAGTGGACCGAATTTTCCCGATTCAGCGGGTATGAAATTGACAGTGCAGATTCGGACTCGGACAGCAATCTCTGTCCTTGCTGCGGCGAATCGCATCCTGGGGCATCATTTTTGGACTTTTTGATGGATGATGAAGATGGTGAAGATGATGAAGATGACGGAGACGATGACGAGGATGAGTCGTTTGACTCGGATGAGGAAATGTAACAAGCAATTGTGAGGATGAAGGTTTAGAGTACTGCACGATTGTTTGAGCGTTGTAAAGCTTTGCTAGAAAATTTGTTCCATATCGACCATGGGTCTAATCTAGCTAGGTAATGAAGCAATGATGATAGATGTTGATATTGCTCCAAGTTTTGTGTATAGTGGCGGCGGCGCAATTCGTAGAGTAGATCAAGCCAAGGCACCAAGGAATAGTGTGGGTAATAATGACGGCACGATGTCGGAAAGCTGTGCGACGTCGGTGGCAGCCTGGGCATGATTCTACTCGGTATGATATAAGACGTTGGCGTTGAGAAGACTAGCACACTGGATAGGCACGCTCGAACTAAGATTCGAAGTAGTGTTGACAAAAGACAAAAGAGGTCAACCCTCGCCAGGGGCCTTTCATTTGATTGACCAACAGTGGTCCAACACGCGCAAGTGGAGGACACGTTCGTTCAGTAAATAGGTCGTTCTATTATTAGCTAGGCATTATTACCTACAGACTACAGTATCATTTATTAGCACATTCTGATTAGCAGCATCGTGCAATCCACCCCACTAAAAAGGTATTGACTGCAGGGGCTGCCAGCAAACTACAGTGAGTATGGATAGACTGCCACCCAACCACCCTTGCCAGGAGGCAATGGTTGTCATTTCTACAACGCGGAGCTAGGGATCTCTCAAACGGACAAGCTCTCTCTTTCAAACATTTCAGATTTTGTACTCATACCTGACACGCTCCAGCTATGGAGAGCCAAAACGGACTGGGCAAGCTATTGCCCAAGTCGCTGGCGGCGCGACGCAAGCTGCGAAGCAAAAGCAGTAAGACGCGCGACGGAGATACGATAGACGATGCGACGACGGGCAGACCACCGTCTAGCGGAAACCAGTCGCTGTACGCCGACGACCAAAACGACGACCGCGAGTACAGCAATGATGCAGATAATGGGAGCTTTGCATACTACGAGTCAGGCGCAGATGCGAACCACAGTGGAGAATCGTAAGTTGGTCTGCTTCCTCTTCCTCTCCTTCTTCTCTTCTCTCGCAGTTTGCCCCAGCCTTGCCTTATTTTGCAGAGGGGCGCGCAGAAGGCAAGCGAATTTCTATCTATCAGGATATTCGGCTCGCCTTTGCTTGGCTTGGACACCAATTTGGGCGCAGCATCGCTGTTATTTTAGCTCGTCTCTAAGTCTCTGGGTGCGACTCGGTGCCTATCCGACTGCAACAACGTGCGTGTTGCAGGCCGGTGGCTAAACCCCCCGCCCTAAGCCTGCTTGCTTCTCGTACTGCTCGGCCGGCTGCGTCTGTCATTACGCCAGCTTCTGACATGGCCAAAGCAATCCCTCGAGTACCTTTTGAAACACCGCTTGTGAATTCCCTCCGACACTCTCAATTAACCATTTTCTTGTCGCGCGCTTCTCGTCCGTCGGGCTTTTCGCCCTAGTGTCACACCTGCAGTGCACACTGGCTCCTGCGTTTTCTAACATTGTCTTTGCAGCCTACATCCGTCGTCTGGGTCGCAACCAGTGCGGCCGGTCCCTTCCAACCACCCGTCACTAGTTGGCTATCTCACCACTTCCTCTCCTGCCGTCCAGGCTGCTCACTTCGATTCGCCGCCCAAGATTCGGCCCTCGTCGCGAAACAGCCGCAGCCCCTGGCGGAGGGGTTCCAGCAACAAACAGGCAGACGCTCCAGACGCTGCGTCGTCAGACAAGCTGCCCGGATTGCCGGCGCCTGCCAAGCTGGCTGTCGCCGATCGGGAGACTCGGGGGGGAAGGCCCAATATCGAGGTCGACGTGCCCCGGACCCCCCCTAACGGCGACAAGCCGGGCCCTGTTATTGTCAACACGCCACCGACGCCGACCGACGCCCGCCTCGCTTCCAGCCGGGCTCCGACCTCTTCACCGGACAAACGCTCTCCTGGCTCTGCAACCCAGAGTCCTGCCGAAACTGGATCGCCCACACGAAGCATGAACATTCATAGGAGAAGCAAGTCGGGAGGGGCTGCTATCGGGCCGAGCAAGCTGTCCAACATCACGTCCGCGCCACTGACCCCGGGTTCAGAGGCGGAAAATAGTGTTCAAACGCCGAGTGCAACCGGATTTTTCTCTTCCGTCATCTCCGCTGCCCAAAATGCAGCGACGACTTTGAGCAACAATATGCCCGGCGCTAACATTGGCATAACCGGACAAAAAGGTAAAGCACCGAATTCGAAAACAGGAAGCCTAGAAGCCGTCGACCAGTTGGAAGACAACAGTAGTACGACTTCTCAACAAAATAAAGAAGAAGCTTCTCAGTCACAAGCACGAAACATGCAGCGCAGCTCAGCCATCCAAACCCTGGGTGCCGGAGAGCTGAGCCTCAGCCAGCTTGGCCTCTCGGATGCACCCAGCAATGTTACTAGCCCCGCCAGTGCTAGATTCCCCGATGTTGTTGATACTCGCGCCAGATCCGAATCAGCGCCCGTCGAACCCCATAGCGAGCTGCCAAGCGACGAACCAGGCAGTAGGCCACGATCGGTCATTGAATCAGCCAACGGCGATGATATCGCACAATCGCAATCGCAAGCCGACAGTGCCGGTCCCAACAGAAGCTCAAGTGTGCGCAGCGCACTGAAGCCTCATAGGAAGAGAGGCAGCTCCGTGACTACCGGTGCGACCATTGGCGTGCCCACGAGTGTTCCGCTGCAGCCAACACCGACCTTGGGTGCTCCCAAGCTCACAGGTTTTGCTATTGCTAGTAAGAAGAGAAATCGCGACTTTCACTCTTTCTTCAAGAGCGTTCCGGACGATGACTATCTCATTGAGGACTACAGCTGCGCCTTGCAACGAGAAATTCTGGCTCACGGCCGTCTGTACGTCTCCGAGGGTCATCTTTGCTTCAGCAGCAATATTCTTGGATGGACGACTACGCTGGTCATGAGCTTTGACGAAATTGTATCGGTCGAGAAGCGAAGCACGGCGTTGGTCTTCAAGAATGGCTTGATGATTTCAACTCTGCACGCCAAGCACATTTTCGCAAGTTTCACGAGCAGAGACGCTACCTATGACTTGATTGTCAATATTTGGAAGTTGGGTCACCCCACGCTCAAGAGCTCTCTTAACGGCGTCCAGCTCGAAGGAACAGGTGGTGACAAGACAGAAAAGGTGGACGATGAGCCTCAGGGCCTAGGTCTGGAGAATGAGACTCCTGTGGGATCTGAGTCGGAGGGTGACAGCGACGATGAAGAATTTTACGACGAAGAGGAGGACGGCGCTTACGTGGATACCGAGTCAACAGAAGCTGGTGTCGGCGCAGATGCGGACAATGAGAAGGCTGTGAGTCGCAAAGTTTCCGGTATGACTACACTGAATGGTGCAAACGCGGACAGCGCCAAGGATATTCAAACCTCGCCAGCGCTCGGTGGTGATTTTCCAGGCCCAGCAACACACGCGCCAACCGAGTGCTCGGATGGCAGCACGCATTTCGACAAGACTGTTGGTGACGACATCATCCCTGCTCCGCTAGGAAAAGTCTACAGCTTGCTCTTTGGCTCCGGATCAACGGCTTGGATGACCAAATGGTTGTCTGAGGACCAGAAATGCCTTGAAGTGACGATTGACGAGAAAAGGGGGTTGACCATGGACAACAACACGAGGGTATGGACCTATATTAAGCCTCTCTATGCTTCACTGGGTCCCAAACAGACAAAATGCATCGTGACGGAAAGCCTGGAGAGCCTCGACTTTGAGAAATCAATCACACTGATGCTATCGACACGGACGCCCGAAGTTCCGTCCGGGACACTGTTTACGGTCAAAACCAGATATTGCCTTACATGGGCTGAGAACAATGCGACAAGGGTGCAAGTGAATTACACGACGGAGTGGACTGGTAAGAGCTGGATCAAAGGCCCGATTGAGAAGAACGTGAATGACGGCCAAGCCAAATTTTGCGAGGAGCTGTTTGCTTCGGTCAAGGCGGCGGTGACGACTAGAGGTCGGTCCAATACGTTTCCGAATGGCGGCAAGGGAAAGAAAAAAGGCAAAAAGGGCAGAGCCAGCCTGACTGCCAACGAAGAGTCGGATTCCTTTGCCAAGAGGAAGGAGGCGTCGAAGACGAGCTGGGGCCCGTTGGAACCAATCCGGGGAATACTGGAGCCGATATTCGATATTCTCAAGCCTGTCATGACGGGCAACGTCATGTACGGACTGCTTGTGGGACTGTTGGTTGCGTCGTGGTTCGGGTTCGGCTTTTCGCCCAGCAAACCGGCGGGCGGGTTCGGCGCAGGTGCCGGTGGGCGAAGCGAGCTGATGGACATGTACGGTCCTTTGAGGCTGGCTGCGTACGAAGAGATGTGGCGCAGAGAGGAAAGTGAGCTGTGGGAGTGGCTCGAGGAGCGAACAGGCCTGGGGCAGATGGACACAGACAGTCATGGCATCAGGAAGCGCGCGGTTGAGCCGCGTACAATGCAGGAGAGGCTTCGTGAGTCACGAATGGACGCGCGCGAGGTGCAGGAGGCGATTCGTGTGACGGAAGAAAAACTCAAAATACTGCGACAGGTCATTGTGAACAATCCAAAGCAGGAAAAAGCAAGTGAGGCGGTTTAAAGAGGGATGGTAATCGGGGCAAATGGGTCGAGAGTTGCGAGGCAACCATTGCAATCCTTTTCATGCTGATTTGTATTCTTTCTTTGTTTTTTTGTTTTTTCCTTCTTTTGGTCAGTCCTTTTGTTTGGAGACGGGTAACTAGCACGTTGATTTGCATCATATACATGGCTGAGCGTGGGGCGGGTTTTGGCTTTTTTTCACCTTGTTTTGTATAACAGAAGAAAGCAGACGAGTCTTGCAAATACATTTCATGGCAAAATTGCGCTGTACATTGATATATGGGTTTTGATGTCGGCCAGACTGCCGACGTCAAGCAAGGAAGGGCATGGGTTCATCTTGGGGGGGTGGATGGATGCATGTGTGATGGGACATGCAGAGAGCGTTTGTGGGAATTCGGGACCCCAGGTGTTGCGCACTGCAATGGTGGCCAACGGGCTTCGAGGTGTTTCGGCAGTGACAGCCTGTCAGCATACAGATCAATAGTTACAGGAAGCAAATTCGATGAACGGGCAGCGAGTTGCGGTTTGATTTGCATGCGGGCTGTCTTGCGTGCGGGCTGCTTTGCGGGCCACGGCATTTGGGCAAGCTTGGGGGGGGGGGCGTGTTGGGCTGAACAAGGTGGGTTGTGCTGTGTGGTGTTGCTGGCTCCGGGGCGAGGAGACCGCGCGACCCTCTGTGGGTAATGAAGGTGGATGGCAAATGGAGGGAGGGGGGTGGTTTTGAGGGACATGCTGGTTTATGTGTATATGATGTGGGAAGCACTCCGGATCAATTTGTAGAGCTGAGATTGTGACTGCATACATGAGTGGCGGCAAGGATCCCGTCTATTTTTTTTTTTCTTGAGATGTGAATGATTATCCCATAACATGTGCTGGCATCATCAGCTAAGGGAAGCTAGAGGCGTGTGGTTTTTTTTGCCTGTTTTTCGATACAGACCCCACTCGATGCTCATTCCACAATAACGACCAGTTTATCGTGCAGGAACAAATAACACACTTTTCTCTCATACTATTCGCAGGCGTGCGAGCATAGTTATTAATCGCGAGGCCAACGGGCACATGTGTGCACCTGCAACCTTCGAACTTGCAGATGCATCCATGGAGGCAGAGCAGGAGAGTTAGTTCCGGGAGATGGTACCGGGTAGGGGGACTGGAGAAGGGGGGCCAACACACCACCTTGGGACGCAGGCAAAACTCGAAAATGCAACTGGGGAGGCACGAGACACACACCCCCCTAAAATGGCGCTTAAAATGCTTAAATTCGGGGTGCTTGGGTTTCTTGTTCCGGCCGTGATGGGCGTTAAATAACTAGGTATTAGTTGGGATGGGGGAGCAGCCGCCGCGGGCACTGGTAGATCGTGGATGTGGTTCCTTTTTTTCTTTTTTTCGCGTCGGCAAAAGATGGCGAGGGGCTCTTGCAAGTTGCTGCAGACAGAACGTCTGACATGTGCTATCGTGATGGGTGTGGAGGAAAGACTAGGTATTATAAATGACTACTACGACGACGGGCGGCATGTTGATGCATGGCAGCGGTACCGCCCTCGGTTACCGCCAAATACGGAATTGCGATGGAGTTGTCGAGTTGGCAAATTGAACGCGATCAGGGGTACACGATTAAACTTTGCTCGAGGCATGAGCAATTATTCAAACATCTGCCCTGTGCGTTTCGCATCGTACATTCGTCGCGGTAGAGTTTTTTTTCGGTCGTTTTGATCTGCGACCGGGTCACTCGCTGACTGAATCAGCGTTGCCCCTTTAGATAGTCCCATAAGTAGGTACCTAAGTACGGATAAGTAGTCATCGCTGTATAGACGGCAAAGGCTGAATCAAACTGATGAGAGTATTCTTTTTCTTACCGCTGATGGAAAGTGGTCGCACAGCCTGCACATCATCGGCCAAGCCCAGGTGTCAGTGTGTATCTATTCAGTACGACCATTATTTAGTTAGTGAATTACGTGGCAAGTGGTTACCATAGTGCATAGTTAGGTAGCCTGCAGATATTTAGGTTGATGGGGAAGAAGAAAAAAAGCCACAAGAGGCGAGCGAGCCTGGGGGCCTGGACCTGATTAGAGGGGTCTTGGTTGGTGGGCCTGATGGGGATGGGACGGCGTTGTTGATAGCCTTGGAACTTGGAAGCGAGGCGCGACAAAGGCAGTGGCGGAGGAGAAGAAAGAAGACGGCGCCCAGGCCTCTTTTTCGTAAGAATAGGTACTACCGAATATAGATAAATGATAACTACCTAGGTAGGTACCAGCAGCAGCCCGATTTCAACCTATTTTTATTCCATCCTTACAGCGCCCGGCATACGCTACCAGTTCAACTAAATCCACTAAAAAAATGCTCTAGGTGCTGTGCCACCAGTCTAAAAACACACAAAAGCACCTAAAAGCACCTAAAAGGACCTAAAAACACCACCAGTGTCAAGCTACGTGCCACATTGGCCGTGGCACCGTGTCTTCTGCCACACGCCCACCCTCTCACTTTTTCCTGTTCATACTTTTTCCCTCCTATCCCCCCTCCCCCTTCCCTTTTCCTCCCTCCTCTTTTCACTCCTCCTTTTGCCCACACCTCCTCCTGTCGCCACGCGCTGCAACCTCCACGCCTCTACCTCCCTACCCGGCCTGCCAGCCCAGCCTGCCACCTGCCTGTCTACCAGCAGCCCATTCCAATTTATCGACACCCCCAAAAAAAGAGTCCACGCTCCAGGGGGTTTTCTTTTTCAACTCTCTTGCTCTGAATAACCGTGTTGGCTCGAGGTAAAAAGCATACCGTTTTTTATTCTGCCCTCGCAGATTCGCCTCGATTGCCGCCGTCGCGGCGCCCGTTTCTCGTTGCACCGCCTCTTGCAACCGCCGGTCCGCCACTCAATCTGCTTCACGAAATCCCTCGCCTTGCTGTCGTGGGCTCGCCCGGCCCTATCCTGTCCCCGCCAACGCGGTCTGCCCGAGCGCTTTGGGTGGACGAAGACTGCCATCTGCACAACAAATTCATCGCTTGCTTCGCGTTGCTACTGGGCCTTTGCTCGATTTCATCGCCACGTGGGAATCGTTTTTCGTCCCGTCGCCAAAGGTGCCGCTCGCCCCAATATCGATAGCCGTTTTCGTGACATAGCCTCGCCTCCAGCAAAAAAATAAAAATAAAAAGAAACAGAAAAACAGGCTCAACCACGCCTGTAGTCTGGCCCGTCGCGTCGTACTCGCTCCTCCTCATCGACACGTTTCTCTTCGGCAACACACACTGCGTGCAAGATGTCGACACTGGGGCCGCCTGGCTCCAACGCGCACGCCGCCTTGAATTTCCCACAGGCTGGCCTCCGTCGCAGCACCGCCTTTCCGCCATCACACCCGAATCAGCCCAATAAGCAGTCGCCTGCACCTCACGCCGCCTCTCCTTACCAATCTCACGCCTACACGCCGCAGCAGCCACAGCAAGGCACATATCAACATATGTTCACCTCGAGTCAGTTGGGTGGTAATGTTGCCAATGGACCTTCACGCGCCCCGAATCCCCATGTTCCCAACACTCTTGCCGCTCAGCGCCAGCGCGGTGCACCCTCTCGTCAGCAGATGTCACAGTCGAACCCACCACCGATGCTCTTTCCCGGCTCCATGAGCCAGTCAATCCAGCACGATCCGATCCTGTCCCACCATCAGCAACAGCAACATCAACAACACCAGCAGCCTCATCAACAGCAACCGCACCAGCAGCAGCAGCATCCGGGACATCAGAGCCACCAGCAGCAAGGCCAGCACCAGCAGCACCCGCACCCCGGCCATCCAACACACCCTTTGACGGCTCACCATAGCCAACAGAGCCACCAGGCTCAGCAATCCCACCACCATCAAAGCCAACAGCACCAGCCTCACCCGTCCCATCAAAACCACCCAGGCCACCCCGCCCACCAGACTCACCAACTTCCCGCGCATCAGAGCCACCCCTTGCACCAGCCTCACCAGTCACTTCAGCAACAACAGCAGGCGCAGCAGCAGCAAGCGCACCAACAACAGCAGCAGCAGGCGCACCAACAACAGCAGCAGGCGCACCAACAGCAGCAGGCGCACCAACAGCAGCAGGCGCACCAGCAACAAGCGCAACAGCAGCAACAACAGCAGCAGCAAGCGCAACAACAGGCTCAACAGCAGCAGCAGCAGCAGCAGGCGCAGCAGCAGCAGGCGCAGCAGCAGCAAGCGCATCAGCATGCTCAACAGCAGCAGCAAGCACAGCAAGCACAGCAAAAGCAACAATCACAACCTCAGCCTCCGCCTCAACAGCGTACTCCTCAGCCGCAACCACAGCAGCAGCCAACTCCCCAGCAGCAACAGCAACCGGGCCCTTCGAGCCAGCAGCAGTCTTTGCAGCACCAGGCAAAGAGCCGCACGCCTCAGGCGCAACAGAACCATGCCACTCCTCAGGCTGCTCCCGCCCAGCTTCCACAACAGCAGGAGAACCACACTGTTGGGGATCTTGAGATGGAAGATCAGGGAGCGGCCGAAGATTCTGAATCACTGGATGCCAAGCTTCGCAACGATCCTTCGTTTGTGCCCTCGCAGCCTATGGGTGAAATGATGTCACCACCACCTGAAGGCGGCAGCTATCCCACACTTGAAGCCGTGCAAAAAGCCGTTCTCCGTTACTGTACTTCTGTCGGTTATGCTATTGTCATTGGCCGCTCAAAGAAGACGGTACCCGGACTTAAAAAGGTTCTATTTGTTTGCGACAGGGCAGGAAAGCCCCCAAGCCGTGTCAGCCCCGAATTTCGCAAGCGCAAAACTTCGTCTCGCAAATGCGACTGCCCCTTTGGCTTCTTCGCCATTGAGCAGCGCACGCAGTGGACCATTCGATACCGACCCAACCCGCAGCATCTGTCGCATAACCACGGCCCTAGTGAAGGGCCTTCTGATCATCCTGCTGCCCGGAAATTGGACAGTAAAATGGTCGCCGAGGTCAAGCGCCTTAAAGAAAACGGTAGGCTCGTTGACGCCGTTCATCTACAGACTCTCACTAACTGGAAAGCAACAACAGGGGCGGGTGTGCCAGAAACCCTGCAAGCTTTGCAAACTGAAAACCCCGAGTGTCACCTCCTTCCAAGGGACATTTATAATGCACGAGCTGCCATCAATCGCAATCCTACAAAGGTGGCTTCGGGCATTGCCGAAAATCGGCCAGCGATATACAAGACCGCACAGTCACCTGAGGATCGGATCCGCTCTGACTTGCGGCGTGAATTATCCAAGGCCCGCGATGATATGAAAAAGATGGAGGAAGAGAAGCAAAAAGAGATCGATGCGCTCAAGACCAAACTAAAGGAAAAGGAGCAGCTCATTGAGAAGTTTGAGATGTTTATCGACATTTGCAACGAAAGAGTCATGGTTCAACGTCAAAGACTGGCTGGACAGGAGCAAGGAGCCCCGAGCGGAAGCAACATGTTGCCCTGAACTATGATGGATTAAAGTGAAAGAAAAATCGGCAATGAGTAAGAGGAGGCCTGTCTGGAACAAGCACTACGGAAACATGGTTCTGCATGGTATACGGTAATTTGATCGAACCTTTGTCTAGTGTCTTTTACTCTTTCTCTTTTCTTTTGGTCTTGGCTGTATCAGCCAGGTGGAGTTTTCGGGAAATCCTTGGGAATGGATTTGATATTTATAAAGTATATACATCTTTACCGACAATGCGTGCGGAGGAAAGCCGCAAGTCTATGGTTGGGAAGATGGGAAGCATGAGTTGGCCGGGATAGGGTTCAGGTTTATATATGAAGGACGCTTGATCAGGCTAGTTTTGTTTTATTCGGCTTCCAAGCCGAGGAGTATCATTGCCGCGGAGAATTTGTTTATATTTTACTTTTTCGGATCGTTTACAAAGTGAAAGGTGTACTTATATCTTCTCCGGCTTATGTAGCTGAATGGCTGATATGACTTGTATTGGAGGGCCGAATACTTGACATCTGATGTACCCCGTACAGGTCATGCAATGCTGTGACAGGTGTGTGGCGCACGACCAATTGATCAGTTGGGCCGCCGCAGCCTGTCAAGCCACAGTCCCCAAACCTAGGTAGGTAGGTACCTAGGTAGGTAGGCGAGCAAGCAAGGAGGTACCTACAGGCTAATCTGTACTTGCGTGACGGCGCGATGCAGGTCGCGGCCCCCCACTGCAAGTCGCGTACCTTGCCGCAGCCTAACGGGGTCTGTCCAAGCTCGGTACCTGAATTCCCATCTACTTGCTGTCTAATTTGGAGTACCGACCTTGCAGCAGAAGCACACCCATCACACCTCACCTCCATTTCCAGCATCGCACCCGGGCATAACGCAAACATCCTTCTTCTAATACGTCTCCTTCTTACAGGCGCAAACCGGTCTTTTTCTCCCACTGGGCTGGATCTGTGTACCGAAAGTTCACCATTTTCGTTCCTTTCCCTTCTTGCCGTTGCCTTGCCCCAGGCGCGGTACCGATACCCCGTTTCGTTTACAACGCCCCTGAGATTTTTGACCTGCCCAAGCTTCCCACTTTGTTGGACGACGCGACTACTCTCCAAGTATTACCTCGCAAATCATTTTCGTGTCGTGTTTATGCCAAACATTGCCACGCTTTACTCTTGAATTTCGACCCCCGATAGAACGCGAGACAAGCTCCACCGGATATGGTCCGTTTGACGCTTCACATTTCGACGTAGACTTTTTTTGCATCTCCCATCACGACAACGACCTGACTTGTTGCGGCAACCCCCTACTCTAATACGCCGCCATGGAGGTCTCGTCACCACCGCCGCCGGGACTTGCCTCCAACGGCCTCTCGTCGCCGGCCCCTTTCCCGACCATCGAGCCGGAGCGCGTGCTGGACCATCTCGTCGCCGTCTGCCAGGTCGCCCTCGGCGCGAGCAAGGAGGAGCTCGAGCAGCCGGGCAACCTGCTGAGCAGCTCACGACATGCCGAGACGGTGGCTCGCTGCACGCGATTTGCTACCGAAAATCAAAATGTGCTCTACATCCAAAAGGACGTTGCTACCTCCTCTGCTGTTGATGCTGGAAGCGACGTTGCTGGTGCGTAATCTAGCAAGAAGCTCGCCAGAGACCCCTCAAACGAAGAAATCGACGAAGAAATCGAGCTGTTAGCTAACTTGCCGCCTGGAATAGTTCCCTCCTCATTCCACTACACACTTACGACTGAAATCACATCGTCTGCCACCACCGTCGCCTCGCTCGTTCTACTAAAGTCGCCGCAGCCCATCGACCCGACTCGATCCCTCACATCCCAAATATTCATCACAAATATGCCTGGACCCGCTGCCCTCAACGCCGCAGTTGGAGAGCAGGGCACCAGCATTTCTCCATGGGAGGTCCTGCATTCGCAAGTGCACCATGCCCTGGTACCATACTTTGACGCAAACACCAAGAGCCAGCTAGCCGCCAACGGGCTGCGCGGCCGTGCTGATGTCGACGCCAAGACTGGTATTCCCGTCACTAAAAAGAGGCTCAATGACCTGGAGCTCAGTCTCCTCCATCTCCAGCAGAACGTCGACATCCCCGAGATATCCTTGACCTTCCACTCCATTGTTCAGAACGCTCTCGAAGAAGCCGAAGCTCGCCATGGCCGACCCTCCATCGATTCTATACCGCCCACATTACTTCAGGACAGCACATTTCTCAACCGCTTACAGGCCAATGTGAATACATGGATCAAGTCGATTCAGGGTGTTACCAAAATGACCAAAGACCCCTCGTCTCCCACCAATCAAGAGTTTAGCACCGCCAGCCAAGAAGTCAACTTTTGGTTATCCATGGAATCGGCTTTGGAGGGCATTGAAGGACAGCTTCGCAGTGAAGGTGTTTTGTTGACGCTTGAGATACTCAAGCACGCCAAGCGTTTCCAAGCGACTGTTAGTTTCACTGCTGATACTGGCCTCAAGGAAGCTATGGACAAGGTGCAAAAGTACAACCAGCTTATGCGAGACTTCCCCCTGGATGAGCTTCTATCTGCGACATCCCTCTCCAAGGTCCAGGAAGCTATTTCCCAAATCTTCAACCATCTCACCAAGAAGTTGAGGATTTGCCCTTACCCGATCCGCAGAGCGCTGCCGCTGGTCGAAGCAATCTCTGCCGATTTGGACGACGTGCTCCACCGACTGCTCCCTGGCATGGAGCTGGTCAATCTCGACTACCAGCAGTTCCAGACAATCATGCACACATGTGACGAAATTTTTCATACGTGGGAAGACAACATCAAGGATTTCACCAATGTCGCTCGTGAAGTAACCCGCCGCAGAAACGAAAAGTTTATACCCATCAAGATTCACAAGAAGCATTTGGAACTCGAGTCACGTATCAATTATGTTAGCACCTTTCGTGATAACCATGAACAGCTCCAGCGCACTATTGTCAATGTTCTCGGTCCCAATGCCACCATTCCTGGAAGTACAGAGACAACTACCACAAATGGCATCGTGATGGAGGAAATGGGTGATGTGGACGCTGTTGAAGAGGTTCAACAAGCCTGGGAAGCCCTGCAAAATGTTGATCTCTTGGACGTCACTGAACAGGGCAAGGAACGCTGGGTCCTGGCAGAGAACCTCTACAACGAGCGCACGACGAGAGTAGAAAACTCCATCATTGCACGCCTCCGTGACCGCCTCGCAACTGCTAAGACGGCAAACGAAATGTTCCGTGTCTTCTCCAAGTTCAACGCGCTTTTCGTGCGTCCCAAGATTCGCGGCGCCATTCAAGAGTATCAGAACCAGCTCATGGATCATGTCAAGCAGGCCATCAACGGTCTCCATGAGAGGTTCAAACAGCAATACGGTCACTCGGAAGCACACGCAATGGCGCAGCTGCGTGACTTGCCGCCCGTCTCGGGTGCCATTATCTGGGCTCGCCAGATCGAGTTTCAGCTGGACGGTTACATGCGCAAGGTGGAGGCCGTTCTCGGTCCCGAGTGGACACTTCACGCGGAAGGCCACAAACTCCAGGAAGAGAGTGAACTTTTCAAGCACAAGCTAGATACAGCACGCATTTATGAAGCTTGGCTTGCGGATGTTGGCCGTCGTAAAATTTCGATTTCTGGACAGCTCTTCGATATCGCTCGTGTTCGATCTGCTGGCGGTATTCTGGAGCTTGCTGTCAACTTCGATCCTCAGATCATCACCCTCTTCAAGGAGACTCGTAATTTGACATGGCAGTCTTACTCTGTCCCTCACGCCATCACCACTGTGTCCAAAGATGCCAAGCGTGTGTATCCCTACGCTGTCAGCCTCATGGAGAGTGTCAGAACTCTGTCTCAAACACTCCGTCAAATATCTGTCATGGGCGAGGAGTCTGTCCTTTTGAATGGTTATCGCAACGATGTCTACAAGCTTATTGCCGATGGTGTTCCTCTGCGATGGGAGTCTTTTATCAACTCGCATGAGCTCTTCTACACAGATCAGAGGCAGACAAGAGCACTGCTGCCAGGCGCTAACGACTATGGCCTTTCAAAGAATACGGAGAGCAAGCACGGAATGTTTATTCGTGGATTTGCGGCTGCAGTCTCTGTACTTCAAAGCAAGGCCGTTGCTCTGAGTTACATTCACACCACAGTGGAACAGGCTCTAAAGGAGTTTGGTTCATGCGACTACGACTCCTCTGCCTTCCAGTCGAGACTTGACACCATTCAGGCCGCAGTCGACCAGCTAAATCTGGAACAATACGTCAATCTCGAATTTTGGGTGCGAGATCTGAACAAGAAAATCCAGGCCGCCCTGCTTGACCGTCTGCACAGCGCCATTCAGTCGTGGGTCGCGGCGTTCGAGGAGGAGATACCTGAGGGCACCCGCCGCAAACCCCTTGCCGAGGATGAGACCAAGCCGATGGGACCGACGATGAAGCGCCTCGTTCTGGAAGTAGCGATGCGCAACCAAGTTATCTATCTCGACCCGCCCATGGAGTACGCCAGAGCTAGTTGGTTCCTACATTTACATGAGTGGCTTGGCATCGTCTGTAACTTGCGCAAGATCAAGGCTGCTCGTTACCAAATGAGTCTAAATACCACCATGACCGATGAACCTCGCTTTACTGATCTGCCTACCGAGTGTGCTGATACTCTTCAGCGTGTCTATGTGTCTGTCGAGAAGAAGTTACAGGAAATCAGTGCATATGTGGACAAGTGGCTGCAATTCCAATCTCTTTGGGATCTTCAGTCCGAGCAAGTTTATGACATGCTTGGTGACCATCTTCCGCGCTGGCTGGAGTGCCTGCAAGATATTCGAAAGGTGCGCACCACATTTGACACTCAAGAAGTTAGCCGTTCCTTTGGCCATCTTACCATCGATTACGACCAAGTGCAAACCAAGGTCAACGCCAAGTACGATCAATGGCAGCAAGAAATTCTCATCAAGTTTGCTGGCCGTCTCGGAACCCGCATGCGCGAAGTCAACGCCGATATTGAGAAGGCTCGAAAGAGCCTCGAGGGTCAGAGCTCCGACACCTCGTCCACAGCTCAGGCTGTTCAATTCATTACTGCTGTCCAGACCTGCAAGAGAAATGTGAAGCTGTGGGCTCCTGAAATTGATATGTTCCGTCAAGGCCAATCTACACTTGTCCGCCAGCGTTACCACTTCCCCAATGACTGGTTGCATATTGAGCAAATCGACAGTCAGTGGGAGGCTCTCAAGGAGATTCTCGAAAAGAAGTCCCGTGTGATGGAGGAGCAGTCGGACGCGATGCGAGCCAACATTATTGCCCAAGACAAGCTCGTCAGCGGACGCATTGCCGAGATTGTGGCCCAATGGAACGAGGACAAGCCCGTCTCTGGTACGATCCAGCCCGATATTGCTTCTGCTACGCTGAGTGGCTTCGAGACTCGTATTTCTGCCATACAAGAAGATTTACAGCAAGTCATCAAGGCCAAGGAAGCCCTCGACTTGCCCGGTTTCGCAGATACCTCTCTTGAGGCTACTTTGGAAGAAGTTCGCGACTTCCAGTCTGTTTGGTCCAACCTCTCCACAATCTGGGCCAATTTGAACGAAACCCGAGAAATCCTTTGGACAGCCGTCCAACCTCGCAAAATCCGCTCCAAAGTGGACGACCTCATCAAGAGCACCAAGGAAATGCCCAGCAGAATGCGCCAATATGCTGCATTCGAACATGTCCAGGGCATTCTTCGCGGATTTCTCAAAGTCAATCCTATTCTCTCTGACCTCAAGTCTGATGCCATTCGCGAGCGTCATTGGCACAAGATCTACAAGCAGATTAAGCCGCAGAAGCGCTTCTCTCCTAGCTCCATGACGCTCGGCGATGTCTGGGATCTGAACTTGGTTGCTACCGAAGCCATTGTCAAGGACATCATTGCCCAGGCGCAGGGTGAAATGGCTCTCGAAGAATTCTTGAAGCAGGTTCGCGAGACTTGGCAAAACTACGCCCTCGAAATGGTCAACTACCAGAACAAATGCAGGCTCATTCGTGGTTGGGATGATTTGTTCGCCAAGTGCAGTGAGAATCTGAACTCCTTGCAGGCCATGAAGCACTCGCCCTATTACAAGGAATTCGAGGAGGAAGCAGTTGCTTGGGAAGACAAGTTGAACCGTGTTCACGTCCTGTTCGATGTCTGGATCGATGTGCAGCGACAGTGGGTCTACCTCGAGGGTGTCTTTACTGGCAATGCCGACATCAAGCATCTCCTTCCCATTGAGTCTGGTCGCTTCCAAAACATCAACAGTGAATTTTTGGCTGTTATGAAGAAGGCCAACAAGACACCCTACGTGCTTGATGTCCTGAACATTCCCAACGCCCAAAAGTCTCTTGAGCGTTTAGCCGAGATGCTAAACAAGATTCAGAAGGCGCTTGGCGAATACCTCGAGAAGGAGCGTGTGTCCTTCCCTCGGTTCTATTTTGTTGGTGATGAAGATCTTCTCGAAATGATTGGTAACAGTAACGATACTCTCCGTATTGCCAAGCACTTCAAGAAGATGTTTGCAGGTCTCTCTGGTCTTGTTATGGATGACGAGACAATCATCTCTGGATACACTTCAAAAGAAGGTGAGGTCGTCAAGCTGAAAAAGGAAATTTCTTTGGCACAGACGCCGCGCATCAACGACTGGCTTGCTTTGCTCGAGGGTGGCATGAAAACTAGCCTTGCCGAACTCCTTTCAGAGGCTGTGGATCAGTACACTCCCCTCTTGCAGTCCAGCACCATTGATGCTGCAGCGCTCCGCAACTACATGGAGGAGTTTCCCAGTCAGATCGTCGTTCTCGCTTCTCAGGCTGTCTGGACTACGGTTGTTGAAGAATCTCTTGCCAACGGTGGCCAAACTCTCTCCGACATATTTGAGCGAGAGGTCCAAATTTTGCGTGTGCTTGCCGACACTGTTCTTGAGGAGCTGCCCGTTATCCTCCGCAAGAAGTGCGAACAGATGATCACCGAATGTGTCCACCAGCGAGACGTAATTGAGAAGCTGGTTGCTGCCAAGGCGGATTCGCCTACACACTACCTCTGGCAGCTCCAGATGCGCTATATCTACACACCTCAGGGCCCTGCCCTTGAGCGTCTGCACATTAAGATGGCCAACGCCAAGCTCAACTACGGCTTCGAGTATCTCGGTGTACCTGACCGCCTCGTTCGCACACCTCTCACAGATCGATGCTTCTTGACCCTGACCCAAGCTCTGTGCCAACGTCTTGGTGGTTCTCCTTACGGACCTGCTGGTACTGGTAAAACCGAATCCGTCAAGGCGCTTGGCGTGCAGCTCGGTAGATTTACCCTCGTCTTCTGCTGTGATGACACTTTTGATTTCCAGGCCATGGGCCGCATCTTCCTCGGTATCTGCCAAGTCGGTGCTTGGGGCTGTTTCGATGAGTTCAACCGTCTTGAAGAGCGCATTCTGTCTGCAGTTTCGCAGCAAATTCAAAACATCCAACTTGGCTTAAAACGCGGCGGCGAAAACGATGACTCACAGATTGACCTCATTGGGCGTCAGCTGCGCGTCAACGAGAACACTGGTATTTTCATTACCATGAACCCTGGCTATGCAGGCCGTTCCAATTTGCCCGACAACTTGAAGAAGCTCTTCCGCAGTGTTGCAATGTCCAAACCCGACAAGGAACTCATTGCCGAAGTCATGCTGTACTCTCAAGGTTTCAACCAAGCCAAGAAGCTTTCCAAGCAAGCTGTTCCGTTTTTCGACATGTGTGCCAAGCAGCTCTCCAAACAAGCGCATTATGATTTCGGCCTACGTGCGCTCAAGAGTGTTTTGGTCAGCTCTGGTGGTCTCAAGCGTGCTCGTATCACTGACAGCAATATTGGCACTGGAGAAGTCGTCGAGCCCGAAATCATTGTGCAGAGTGTCCGCGAGACCATTGCGCCGAAGCTCATCAAGTCTGATGTCGACATCATGACAAAGATCGAGGGCGAATGCTTCCCCGGCGTACAATATGTGCCGGCTAACCTGCATGCTCTCGAGGAGGCTATCCGTGCCATCGCAGCTGAAAGACACCTGGTCGTTACTGACATTTGGATGACCAAAGTCCTCCAGCTGTACCAGATTCAAAACATTCACCATGGTGTTATGATGGTGGGAAACTCTGGCAGCGGAAAATCTGCTGGTTGGAGGCTGCTGCTCGACGCTCTTCAGCGAGTTGAAGGCATCGAAGGCGTTTCTCATGTCATTGACTCCAAGGTCATGTCCAAGGAATCTCTCTATGGTAATCTCGACTCGACGACCCGCGAGTGGACTGACGGTCTATTTACAAGCATTCTGCGCAAGATTGTTGATAACCTTCGTGGAGAAGATTCCAAGCGCCACTGGATCGTCTTTGATGGTGATGTTGACCCTGAATGGGTTGAAAATCTGAACAGTGTTCTCGACGATAACAAGTTGCTCACCCTGCCGAATGGTGAACGTCTGAACCTGCCATCCAACGTCCGCATCATGTTTGAAGTCGAGACCCTCAAGTACGCCACTCTGGCTACCGTCTCTCGTTGCGGTATGGTGTGGTTCAGCGAAGAAACTGTCACGCCCAGCATGGTCATCACCAATTACCTAGAGTCTTTGCGCAACGTGCCATTTGAGGATCTTGATGAGGACAATGTCGCCACCGGTCAGAGCGCTGCCAAAACGCTCGCTGTGCAGAGCCAAGCTGCAGACCTTCTACAGGGCTATCTGGAAGGTGATGACTTCGTCATGCAAGCCCTCGAAAAGTCTGAAAAGTACAACCATATCATGGAATTCACTGTTGCTCGTGTGCTCACTACCTTGTTCTCTCTCCTCAACAAGGCTGTCCGCGACATGATTGAGTATAATGGCCAGCACTCTGACTTTCCTCTCGAACTGGAGCAGATCGAAGCTTTCCTCCCCAAGAGACTCCTACTTGCTCTTGTGTGGGCCTTTACCGGCGACTGCCCCCTCAATGATCGCAAGTCATTTGGTGACGAGATTTGTGCATTTGCCAACTTTGGATCTCCACCCCTTGATGGCTCCAGCTCACTGATCGATTTTGACGTCAACCTGCCCAAGGCTGAGTGGAACTCCTGGCAAACCCAGGTGCCCACTATCGAGGTCAACACGCACTCCATCATTCAAACCGATGTTGTCATTCCTACACTAGATACTGTGCGCCATGAAGACGTTTTGTATTCTTGGCTGGCTGAGCATAAGCCGCTTCTACTGTGCGGTCCTCCCGGTTCTGGTAAAACAATGACCCTGTTCAGTGCCCTTCGCAAGCTGCCCAACATGGAAGTCGTCGGCCTCAACTTTTCCAGTGCTACTACTCCCGACCTTCTGATCAAGACTTTTGAGCAGTACTGCGAGTACAAGAAGACCCTGAACGGTGTTGTGCTTTCGCCCACGCAGATTGGACGTTGGCTTGTTGTCTTTTGCGACGAAATAAATTTGCCTGCGCCGGACAAGTACGGGACGCAGCGCGCCATTTCCTTCCTTCGTCAGCTCGTCGAGCACAACGGTTTCTGGCGCACCTCGGACAAGTCGTGGGTAACTCTGGATCGCATCCAGTTCGTTGGAGCTTGCAATCCGCCTACCGATGCCGGGAGAACGCCCATGGGCGCAAGATTCCTTCGCCACGCCCCTCTTATCATGGTCGATTATCCTGGTGAGCTGTCTCTCAACCAGATTTACGGCACGTTCAACTCGGCCGTGCTCAAGATCATCCCCGCCCTTCGAGGTTATGCCGAGCCGCTCACACAGTCCATGGTTCGCTTCTATCTGGAATCTCAGAAGCGCTTCACACGCTCGATCCAGCCACACTACGTGTACAGTCCTCGTGAACTGACGCGCTGGGTTCGTGGTGTGTATGAAGCTATTAAGCCGCTTGAGACTCTGTCAATCGAAGGCCTAGTACGTATCTGGGCCCACGAAGCTTTGCGCCTATTTCAGGACCGCCTCGTGGCTGAAGACGAGCGCAAGTGGACCGAGGAATCAGTTCACAAGATTGCCTTGCAATATTTTCCTACCATTGACGAGGAAAAGGCTCTTGGAGGACCCGTGCTCTTCTCCAACTGGCTGTCAAAGAATTATATCCCCGTCGATCGTGAACAGCTTCGAGAGTTTGTCAAGGCTCGTCTCAAGACTTTCTGCGAAGAAGAGGTGGATGTTCCTCTTATCCTCTTCAACGACGTGCTGGAGCATGTTTTGCGCATTGATCGTGTTTTTCGTCAGCCTCAGGGCCACTTGATCCTCATTGGTGTCAGTGGCTCCGGAAAGACTACACTCTCACGCTTTGTCGCCTGGATGAATGGTCTCAAGGTGTTCCAGATCAAGGTCCATGGCAAGTACTCTGCTGAAGACTTTGACGATGATTTACGTGAAGTCTTGCGCCGCTGCGGCTGCAAGGGTGAAAAGATTTGCTTCATCATGGACGAGGCCAACGTCTTGGACTCGGGCTTCCTTGAGCGCATGAACACCTTGCTTGCCAACGCCGAAGTCCCTGGCCTATTCGAGGGTGATGAATATGCTGCTCTGATGACTGCTTGCAAGGAAGGTGCTCAACGCCAAAACTTGCACCTGGACTCTCCGGAAGAACTGTACAAGTGGTTCACCCAGCAGATTGTCAACAACTTGCACGTCGTCTTTACCATGAACCCGCCCGAAGATGGACTCTCTTCCAAGGCTGCGACGAGTCCTGCCCTATTCAACCGTTGCGTTCTTAACTGGTTTGGAGACTGGTCCGATCAAGCACTATTCCAGGTTGGCCACGAACTTACCCAATCTATTGACCTGGATAAGAGCAATTGGTCTGCGCCTGACACAGTGCCCGTGGCCTATCGTGGCCTCAACATGCCGCCTTCTCACCGCGAGACTATTGTCAACTCAATGGTGTATATCCACTACTCGCTCGCAAGATACAACGAGAAGCTTTACAAGCAACAGAAGAAAATCACGTTCCTCACCCCACGTCACTTTCTGGACTTTGTGGGCCAATACGTCAAGCTATACACGGAGAAGCGTGAGGATCTAGAGGAGCAGCAGCGCCATCTGAACGTCGGCTTGGAGAAGCTCAGAGACACAGTCGTCAAGGTGCGCGATCTTCGAGTCAGCTTGGCTGAGAAGAAGGCACAGCTCGAGCAGAAGGATGCGGAAGCAAACGAGAAGCTGCAGCGCATGGTTGCTGACCAGCGTGAGGCAGAACAGAGAAAGAACACGTCATTGGAGATTCAGGCTTCATTGGAGAAGCAGGAGGCTGAAGTTGCCTCGCGAAGAAAGGTTGTGTTGGAGGATCTCGACAAGGCCGAGCCTGCCGTTGAAGAGGCCCGGGCCAGTGTCAGCAACATCAAGCGTCAGCACTTGACTGAAGTACGTTCGATGAGTAACCCACCGCAAGGCGTCAAACTTGCTCTGGATGCCGTCTGCACGCTGCTTGGCCATAAAATCAATGACTGGAAGGCTGTCCAGGCCATTATTCGCAAGGATGACTTTATTGCAAGCATACTCATGTTCGACAATGCCAAAATGATGACCAAAGCCGTACGGCAGAAGATGCGCAACGAATTCTTGTCCATCCCCGATTTCACCTTTGAAAAAGTCAATCGTGCCTCCAAGGCGTGCGGCCCCCTCGTACAATGGGTCGCTGCTCAAGTCAACTACTCGGATATCCTTGATCGCGTGGGGCCCCTAAAGGAGGAAGTTACGCAGCTTGAGGAGCAGGCTCTGCAAACCAAGGCCAATGCCAAGGCTGTTGAGAATAACATTGCAGAGCTCGAGTCCAGCATCAACACATACAAGACGGAATATGCTGCGCTCATTAGCGAGACACAAGCGATCAAGGCGGAAATGTCCAAAGTTCAATTCAAGGTTGACCGCAGTGTCCGCCTGCTGGACAGTCTGTCCTCTGAACGTACTCGATGGGAGGAAGGTAGCAAGTCTTTTGAGACGCAAATCAGCACCTTGGTCGGCGACGTCCTAGTTGCTGCTGCATTCCTCGCCTACAGCGGTCTGTATGACCAGCAATTCAGAAAATCCATGATGGATGACTGGCTGCACCAGCTCTACCTCTCTGGCATCCAATACAAGTCGCCCAATCCGGTTACAGAATACCTTTCAAGCGCGGATGAGCGCCTGGGCTGGCAAGAGAACTCCCTGCCAGTGGATGACCTCTGCACAGAAAATGCAATCATCCTCAAACGATTCAACCGCTACCCATTAATTATTGATCCCTCTGGCAGAGTAACGGAGTTCTTGCAGAAGGAATGCAAGGATCGTCGGTTGACTGTGACTAGCTTCCTAGATGACACGTTTACGAAGCAGCTTGAATCCTCGCTTCGATTCGGAAACCCCATATTGATCCAGGATGCTGAGCATCTTGACCCAATTTTGAACCATGTCCTCAACAAGGAATATCAGCGCACTGGTGGCCGTGTTCTCATCCAACTCGGCAAGCAGGAAATTGATTTCTCGCCAGCTTTCAAGCTGTATCTCTCAACCAGAGATCCTTCGGCTACGTTTGCCCCCGACATTTGCAGTCGTACCACGTTTGTCAACTTTACCGTTACGCAAAGCAGCTTGCAGACGCAGTCGCTCAACGACGTTCTCAAGTCGGAGCGTCCTGACGTGGATGAGAGGCGTTCTAACCTTATCAAGCTGCAGGGCGAGTTCAAGGTCCATCTGCGACAGCTAGAGAAGCAGCTTTTGCAAGCTCTCAACGAGTCGCGTGGTAACATTCTGGACGACGACAATGTCATTGAGACTCTAGAGACACTCAAAAGAGAAGCGGCGGAGATTTCCGCCAAGATGAGCAACACGGAAGGCGTCATGGCCGAAGTGGAAGAGATTACGCAGCAATACAGCGTCATTGCCCGAGCTTGCAGCGCTGTTTTCGCTGTGCTCGAGAACCTCCATTACCTCAACCACTTTTACCAGTTCTCTTTGCAATACTTTTTGGACATTTTCCAATCTGTGCTCCACAACAACCAGAGCCTCGCCAACGTGACAACTCACAATGAGCGACGAGATATTATTGTCAAGGACTTGTTTGTCAATACTTTCAAGCGAACAGCTCTCGGCTTGCTGCAAAAGGACCGCGTTGCCTTGGCTCTCTTGCTCGCGCAGGCAACCCCGTACAAGATGGACAAGTCTCTACTCGACATGGTTCTGGACAAAAGATTTGAAGGACGCGATCTGTCTTCAAATCCCGACGCGAGAGACGATGCCTTCATCGAAGCGAGAAAGATCGGTGCGCTAAAGGAGCTCCTCGACGGAGTAGCAGTCTCCGACTGGGACAAGTTCTTTACCGAAGAGCTTGGCGAGAATGCTGTACCCAAAGTCTGGAGCGACAGTGCCAATGGCATGGACCAGGCGCTGCTTGCGCTCCTGCTCGTCAAGTGCTTCAGAATGGATCGTTTCGTGCCTTGTGCGGAGCGCTTCGTCGCACAAGTGTTTGGAGCGGAAACGTTTGATATCGTGGAAGATCTCAAAAACACGGCCATGCAAGTGTCTGCTACGCTGCCTGTAGCTCTTGTTTCTACGCCTGGATTCGATGCTAGTTACAAGGTGGACAATCTTGTGGAGAGGGTCGGAGTCAAGTGTACCAACATTGCCATGGGTTCCAACGAAGGACTGGCAAGCGCCGACAAGGCCATTGCGGGTGCGGCTGAGACGGGATCGTGGGTTCTTGTCAAGAATGTTCACTTGGCGCCAACGTGGCTGCAAAGTCTGGAGAAGCGTATGGAGTCTCTGAATCCTCACAAGGACTTTCGTCTATTCCTGTCGATGGAATCGAGCCCCAAAATTCCTGTCAACTTGCTGCGTGCCTCACGCGTGCTCATGTACGAGCAACCCGCAGGTATTCGCGCCAACATGAAGGACTCAATGTCGTCGCTGTCGACGCGCGCCACCAAGAGCCCGGTTGAAAGAGCCCGCCTGTACCTGCTCATCTCGTTCTTGCACGCCGTTGTACAAGAGAGGTTGCGCTATGCACCTACTCTTGGCTGGAAGGGTTTCTGGGAATTTAATGACAGCGACTACGAGTGTTCTGCTTTCATCATTGACACGTGGCTAGACACGGTGGCTGGCAACCGCACCAATATTGCTCCGCAGAATATCCCATGGGACATGATTTGCTACCTGGTGACGGAGACGTATGGTGGCAAGGTGGACGACGAGGCCGACTTTGCCCTGCTGCGCCAGCTCGTGCACCAGATGCTGACGGCCGCGGCGTACGATGCAGATCACAAGCTGGTGGACGGCCCAGACGGCGGTTTGACGGTGCCGTCGGGAACGAGCCTGCAGGAGTTTGTCACGTGGGTGCACAACCTGCCTGAGCGCGAGCCGCCGACGTATCTGGGTCTGCCGGCCAATGCAGAGAAGCTGCTGCTGGGTGGGCTGGGACGCAGCCTGGTTGAGAATGTGAGGAGCGTGACGGAGATTTTGGATGAGGGAGAGCAGTTGATGGCTGATGGATGAATGATACCCCGAGACGGCGGAGGTGTGAATTTTATAAGATTGTAATTGGGTTCCTTTTGTCACTTGGCATTTTATATACATGTACAATGAATGAAATATTTTGTTACGTTATCCAGGTTGTGCTGTGCTGTGCTGTGCTGTGTTGTGTTGTGTTGTGTTGTGCGATGCGATGCGATGGGTACCTTGTTTAAAGAAGTGTTGTGTGGTACGAGGACGTGTGAGGGAGTGGAGAAGATCGGGGAGCGGCCGTTATATCGTGTCTCCACAAGTCCGGGGAAGCGTTGCGTGATAGGACCTGAGGGTGTGTGTGATGGGCTCATCGGAAAATTAAAGATGCGTGTAATAAGCTCGTCGGACAATTCGAAGAGAGGGTGTGTGGTTGTGGAAATCAGCTAGTGAGCTACACACAAATGTTTCTGGAGGGTTAGATGGAAAAAGTAGTTTGAGGGGCCGAGGTGCGCCGAGAACGGTAAATGCTGGGTTAGGGCTCGCTTGGCCAAGTACAGTAGAGATTGGAGGGCAGTGATGGGGAATGGGCATCTTTAAAATTATTTAGCATCCAGCATCTGCAAGCTCAAAAAAAAATGTGAAAACAAACATCAAAGACTGCTCCCATGTGTCTGATGACGTTTGGGTTTGGTGGGGTCATCAACGTCAAACTGACGTCTGAGATTGTGTGTGGTGGCGACGAGATGAAGAGCTGAGGGCAGCCACAAAGAAAAATATTGGTGCTTACCGCTCGACATCGGCGATGAGTCCGGAGCCAAGGAAGAAGGAAGAAGGACGCGTGTTATACTTTGGGGTACATGTGGCTGCAGGAGATACGGTATTTCCAAGAGGTTGAGAGGAGGAGAGGGAATGCGTACCCGGATTTAGTGGAAGCGGTGCATGGGCAACGGGGAGAATTCGACCAAAGCAGGGCGAAGTTCTGGGGGCAATTGAAAAGAAGAGAGGGAGAGAAAGGTGAGAGGGCAAGAGGGCAAAAGGCATCGTTAACGGTGACTTGGGACCTTGATCAATTGTGGCTTGAAACATTGCCAGCTCCTAGGCCTAGTTGATTCATGGTTTGCGTTTGCGCGTCCGGGGGCCCCCTCTGCTGTGCGTTGTGTACCTATGGAGTACATGAACAATTGTATGTGTATGTACGGATTTAATGGGCGGGGGCGAGAGGCCTCTTCTTTTTTTTTTTGTCTGTTTCTCTTCAATCTTGCGGTAATAATGCGACGAGGAGCTTTGTAACCGAGGCAGCTATGAAAAGAAACAGCAATAAAAGGCGAAATGTAACGCTGTCCAAGCTTTTTTTTTTTTTTTTTTGCCCAGTCAGTTCATTCATGCATGCATCATCATGGGTAGGTACAGAATGATTGTGGTAGCTAAAATAGAAAAGTAGCGGGGTGGAAAGGGAAAAAACAGGTGATGGACGACGACTTGCACAGACGCGCAGGCCACCCACCCCCCGCTCGCCTGGGACAAGGGTTTGAGTGACCTTGATCGTTGGCGTGTGATTTGAGGACTGGACAGCTGCCGGCGGACAAGGGAGAATGAACTGTCGGTATTCGCATGCGAGGATGCATCGGGTCTGGGATATTTATTATATTGACAAGAAAAAAAGGGACAAGGAGAGATTGTTGTTTTGGTGATGAGCTGCCAGCTGCCAGCTGCCGACCTTGATGGCCATTGAGCTAGATATTCATTTACCTACCTACTACGTACATGCAAACAGGCAGTGACTGATTAATCAGTGATTGATGCCATGGTGCAACTAAAGCAGATAGGTATCCGTAGAGAAGGAAAAAAAGAAGAATGCAAGGCAGGAAGTACAGCTTTCACTAGGCTACAGCGACGATCCAAGCTACTGGCTCGCAAGGCCAACAAAATAAAAATACGACGTCATCCAAGGTCCAGACCATGACCATCCCATCCTCATCCGGCTCCCTCCCGCGCGCACCCAGTCATTAATAACCTGCCACTGCATCTGCACCACCTCCTCACTTTTTTCTGTGCTCTCCCCTCTTTCTTGCCGCCCTGTTTCTTTTGCCCCCCTCCATCTTCCATCCTTCATCCTTCATCTTTCATCATTTTACTTCTTTTTGCATCGTTGCATCAACGAAATAAGAGGCAACTCATCGTAGTTGCTCTTCCAACCATTCTCCGGATAACTTGATACCTACCTAGCTATTCCTCTTACACGCTGCTCACAGAGTTAGCTAAACGACGCCACAATGGCCAACATCAACCGCTGTATGCCTTGACGCGAAGGAAAAAAAAAAAAAAATTTCACACGGACAATCATGGGAAAAGCTAATCAATCATTCTCATCAGACAATCCCTTTAGCCGGCGCGAGTCGCACTCGACTGCCGCCGTCACCACCTACAAGGTGCTCACTCTCCTCACCTGGGCCCTCTCCGTCTTCGTCTCAGTCTGGTACACGTACCACGGCCGCATCTGGGACATCAACTACCACCACCGGAGCGCCTTTACCATGAATTCTGTCATTGCCTCAATCTTCTGGTGCGTTTAATCACCACTCCTATTTCGTTCACACTGCTTGAAAATAATTAATCCACTAACGAGTTCCCCAGGATCGTCCTCTTTGCCCTCCAGGTTGGCTACGTCGGGCACCTCTTCTCTGGCAAGCCCGAGATTGTCAACGCCGCCTCGAGCGTCGGCAGTCATTTCATCGTCAACAATCTGCTGCACGCCCTCTTTGTCTACCTCTTTGCCCGCACTCATTTCCACTGGGCCGAGGTGGTGCTCATTCTCAATTTGATCAACCTCGTCTCGCTCTACTTTCGCCACAACACGTACGCGCGCTTCATTCACGCCCCCGTCGTCTCGGGCCCGCTCGCATGGACCTTTGTCGCCATTTACTGGAACGGCGCCATCATGGTGCCGCACCAGGAGAGCTTGGTGGCGCGCGTCTTTGCCAACATCTTCATCTGGTCCCTACTCGCCTTTGGCCTCTTTTTCCTCGGCGTCTACAATGTAAGTTCAGCCCGACTCATTGGCCGTCTTAGTCAAGTCTGTCGAGTAAGCGGTGTGTTGACATTTTTTTTCTTTTCCAGGATTACACCATGAGTTTTTCGCTTTCCGTCCTCGCTGCGGCCATTGGTGTGGCTCAGTTTACCCGACACATTATCGCGCTTCAGTGGATTTTTGCCTTTACCATCATGGCCATCCTCTTCCTCGCCACTCTGGGTGTCGCCGTGCCCGTCTGGACTGGCCGTGATATTCGCTGGAGAAAGCGCACCGAGGTCACCGATGCCGAGCGCGCTCCTCTTCTCAACGAGTAAAGATGCAAATCGACCTGAAAGGGATACCTCCAACCCGAACCACACTGGAAAACGCTGTTTCACCTCGTCCCTTTGGTGCTCGAGAGCTGTATTACGACGGTGTTATTTGGATAGCCAACTCGCGTTGGCTTTGTGCAACGCAATGCCGAATGTTTGGAAATGAATGAGAATAATGTTTTGTGTATCAATGATCGAATTTCATCTGTCTTGCTAGTTTTGGGTTTACTTGACGATACTATTTCCATGAATATGGTTATGCTACGTTGAAATTGATGTCACTGGGCTTGGACGGAGCTTCGATGCAAGTGGGTCAGTGCAGATGCGCTAATTTAAACCAATGAAACGGCACTTGCCAGTAAATACGATACGTTATCGTCTTGTATCTCAACTGCGTGGTGTTGATCGAGTCCACACAACCGCAGATTACTGCATTCGCCACTTTTCAACTCCAACACTTTGTAAGTGACTCTATAAAAGCATCCACAACAGATCCAACACATACGAGTGGCTCTAACAAAATTAGTCATAAATATGAAACCGCTGCGTGCGTTCCCGCTGCCGCTCAACGTGGGAACGGACATTTGCCAGATTTCGCGCGTGTACGGCATCCTGGCTACGCCGCGAGCGACGCGCTTCGTCAACCGCATCCTGGCTCACGAGGAGCGGCCGCGGTTCGCCGCGCTGGCAAGCACGCTGCCATTGAAGCCGACGAGCATGCCAGAGAGCGAGCGCGCGGAGGACTCGGCGGTGTCGGTGCGGGACCCGGAGGGGTGGAAGGCGGCGGCGTTTATGGCCGGACGGTGCGTTTTTTTCTTCTCTCTTCTTTTTTTCCGTTCTTCTTTTCCAGCCTTGACATGACGAAACGGTTTGACGGTGACTGAGGGCAAAATTGCGTTCTAATGGGATGAAAAAAAAAAATTGAGCTGTATAGATTCGCCGCCAAGGAAGCCGCCATCAAGGCGCACACGCATAGGCAGCTCACCTTTCACGACATCGTCATTGAAAGGCGCGCCGTGGCTGCCCGCACGGAGACGCTGGGCAGCGGGCCGCCGGTCGCAAGGATAAGGGCGGGGGAAGGAGGAGCCGGGGAGGATGAGAGTGCCATGATTTCAATAAGTCATGATGGCGACTACGCGACGGCGGTGTGCCTGGCGCATGACCCGAGCGTGACGAGATGAGGAGGATAGGGAGGGGCATGAACGGTGTGTCTTCGTGTGAGAAGAGAATTGTACGAGCTTTGTATACGATAAATTTTGTACACTATTGATGACGACAATGACGACATGAATTAACTGTTTGAAATGGTTAAATTCTTTTTTTTTCCGGGCGTGAAATCAAACAGTAGCAAAACTTCTATAATGAGGTAGGCAGGCAGGCAGGCAGGCAGGCAGGCAGGCAGGCAGGCAGGCAGTTGGTGATGGGCCGCAGCGCAGGAACGCGTCCGCGTCACCGGATAGAGTACCCTGGGGCTGGGGAGGAAATGGGCCGGGGCGGCGTTGGGCACAAGGTGGTGTGGTGTCAGGGTGGAAACTGTTGTCACCATCTTTTGAATTCAAAGGCAATGAGCGGCTGTGTCGGATGATGGCTTTAAATGCTCATGGCATGAAATTCGAGCTGCTGCTGAAGGGTTGTTTTGGTGGTACTATATAACTGAAGATGAGTGCCAACTACCGAATCTGTTGGAACTGGGTGGGCATTCCGAGACGGCTCCGGGCCATGAGCTCGGTCGTTGAATGCTCGGCAGAGAAAAGGTACATAGGACTCGATAAGAAATAACGTACGTGGAGGTAAGCATACGTGGAGAAGCGTACCTATCTCTGGGTACGGCTCCCATCGACGTGATGGAAAGCCGTGAATCGTACTCCGTACTTGAACTAGTATTATCAAGAGAGGTGAACGACATGGCCGGGTCCCCGCCCCCGCCGCCACGTCGGGACGTGGTTGTGGCCCGTGGGTGTTTTGGGTGTGTATGCAGACGAGTTGTGTAATGAACTCCGTATGCCGTTTCTCTTACTAGGCTAAATCGTACCTAAATATGATTTGTTCTTGAGGTGTTTTAGTTTTGCTCTCATCTCATCCTTGCAACAGCACTCGGGTAGCCCAGATATTCATTTGTACAAGGGCCCCTTTGCAAGCTATTTACAGGCCCGTTTGCAGGCCCGTTTGCAGGCCCGTTTGCAGGCCCGTTTGCAGGCCGGCTGTTGTATCCGACCAGCGGACATTTGGCGGATATTCAGAAACATTCACAGTGGATACCTACCTAGGTCGGTATAAGCCTACTCTTCACCTTCACTTCCTAGGTAGGTGCAGCCTTTTACAAGGCCAACTCACCCCCGCCAAAGTCGACTTTTCGGCGGTTCAACCCCGCTGATTTACCTGCTGTCCCCTGATGCATCTTCTGTCCGCCCGCTATTCCGCCCGCCGCCTCTCCCTGCCTGCCCCGTTAGCCGGCCCCGACTTTTTTCGTTTGTCATATCAACTTCGTTTCAAGACGTACCCGGCCCTTCCTCTTCTTCTCCCCTCAAAGGGAATTCCAGTTCACCCTCCAAAGCGTACCGAGTCTGGCCTCTGCAGCTGGCTCAGACACGTACCGCGCCATGGACGTCGTCATGGAGCCCCTCGACACTCTCCAGCTTAGCACCTTTTCGCCCTTTTCGCCCATTGTCCTCCGGCCCCATCCACATGCCCTCCCCAGGTGAGCCTCACCTCGTCTGCCCTGGCCTGCCCTTGCGCCGCGCCGCACTCGTCGCGCGAAGCTGGCGCACTCTCTCTCATCGCAAATATCTAACAGGCCCCTTCTTCTCTTCCCATCTACAGTGACGTTGAAACGTATCCCTCAAGGCCGCTTCTGCAATGGATCAAGCAAGTCTGCGACTACGCCCGCTCCGGCCGCCTGCAAGCCGCCACTCTCCTCCTCTCGCTCTTGATCCTGGCCCTTACCGTCATACTTCGCCGCCAGCAACACCCCGTCACCTCAAAGAACCCGGCTTCCGCCATCAAATGGCCCTACGAGATTGTTTCCCAGCTCTGCAGAGCTTCCGCCCTCGCCTTCCTGATCCGCGCATACGTCGACAACCCCCACCACCTGCCCATTGCTACGCTCACCGCCTACGTCTTTGGCCTGGGCCTCATCCGCCTCAGCTGCACTCTCCAATGGCGTCGTCGCATTCTATACCATGTCAACTTGGTTCTGCTGGCTACCCTCGCTCTTCTAGCCGTCTCCGAGTACTTGCCATGCGCCCAGCTGCGCTACGACTGCTCCTCCGATCATGGCGTGCGCGGTGCCCTTGTCTCTCTTGTCGCCGCCGTCATTGTTGCCGCCGCTACCCCGACCGAGTGGCTGCCACCCCAGCTTCCCTACAGCATACCCGACTACGATCCCAACAAGGAGCCCGCCCCCGAAGAGACCGTTAGCTGGTTCAACTACTTTTGCTCGTACGAATGGCTGACCCCCATCGTCTGGAAGGGGACTCGTGGTCGTCTCGACGCATCCGCTGTTCCAAAATTGGCCTGGTATGACGAGCCTCTCTATCTCTTACGCAAGATCCAACATGCCCGCTCCTTGAGCAAGTCCACTATGTGGACGTCGCTCCGCTTTCAGCGCTCCGAGCTCGCCCTCATGGCTTTCTGGGCAGGCTCCGCCTTTGCCGTTGAGAATGTTGCCCCGTTTGGCATGTTCAAGCTCCTCGAATACCTAGATGTCCCGACTATTGCCACATACCGCCCCTGGGTCTGGCTCACCATGGTCTTTCTCGGCCCCCTCACGCGCTCTCTGCTCTTCCAGCAGTACGTCTTCACCTCGACCCGCCTTATTGTGCGCATCAAGTCGGCCATGACCCAAGAACTCTATCACAAGGCCCTGGAATCCATGGAACTAGAAGATGACCCTTTTCAGAGCGCAAAGCGCAGCGGCGATGCCAAGAAGGAATCCTCTGCCAAAACTCAAAAGAGTACTTCCGCTGGACGACTCGCCAATCTCATGGCTGCCGATGTCGACGCCGTTTTCCGTGCCAGAGACGTCATGATGGTTTTTGTTGGCGTCCCTGCTGGAACAATCATCTCTCTTGTCGGTCTCTACCAGATGCTCGGATGGGTCTCCCTCGTCGGTACCGCAGTCCTTATTCTAGCCACCCCCATCTCTTTTTGGCTCTCAAGAATCATGTACAAGACGCAAATTGTTGTGCGTAAAACTCAAGACGCCCGAATCTCCCTCGTCACCGAGTATCTCGCTTCCATTCGTGCCATCAAGTTCTTTGCCTGGGAAGACGCTATTACTAACAAAATCGTTGCCGCTAGAGCTAGGGAGCAAAAGGGACTCTGGAACATTGCTGTCCTGCAGACTGTCATCAACCAAGTGACCCAGGCCTTTCCCTTTCTTTCTCTTCTAGTCATGTTTGGTCTCTACGTTGGTGTGGGTGATCGTCGCCTTGACGCTTCCACTGCATTCACTACCGTCTTTCTCGTCAAGAATATTCGCCGAAACATCATGATGGCTAGTGCACTCAGTCGCTCGTTTGCCGGTGCCATTGTTGCCTTTGGCCGTCTCGACAGATTCTTTGCTACCGCCGTACCTCTAGTCGAGTACCCCGTCGGGCCTCTTCGCATCATCAACGCTTCGTTTCGCCGTAACAAAAAGGCCGTCTTTAGTCTCGAGAATATCTCTCTCAACTTTGTCGAGGGTGGCTTGAATGTGGTCACTGGCCAAAGCGGCAGCGGAAAGTCGACTCTACTCATGGCTATCCTGGGTGAGACGTACCTGGAAGCTGGTGCTGTCACAGCACCTTCTGATATTGCCTATGCTTCTCAGACAGCATGGCTCCAGAATGACACTATTCAAAATAACGTCTTATTTGGCAGCCCCATGGATCGCATTAGATATAACCGCGTCCTTGAGGCTTGCTGTCTGCTCACCGACCTTCATGAACTCCCACTCAAGGACCAAACTATTGTTGGCGAAAACGGCACCTCCCTGTCCGGTGGCCAAAAGGCTCGCGTGGCATTAGCACGAGCTCTGTACTCTGGTGCCTCTCTCATCCTCCTGGATGACATCTTCTCCGCTCTCGATGCCAAGACCTCAGCCGGCGTCTGGAAGCGCGCCTTTTGCTCCAACTTGCTCAAAGGCAGAACTACCGTCCTGGTGACCCAGATTCCGTGGATCTCGTCTCAGGCCGATTATGCCATCTCTCTGGACAAGGGTCGCGTCGTCAATGCTGAAGCCAATATCGGTGCCGTTAGGCGTCCTATCACCATTGCCGAAGTTCTCGGCGGCGATGGCGATGAAGATGGCGACACAGAAACTCCTATGGAAGCCGACCTCATCGCAGACGGAGATGCCGAGATTGCCGGTCGCAAACCTGCTAATGGCGCTGCCACTAAAGACCTCGTCAATCAGGAGATGAGGGCCTCTGGCAAGGTCGGCAGACTGACCTTCGTGGAATATATGGGCTACTTTGGCAGTCCCATATTCGGCATCTCTTGCATTGTCGGTCTTTTCCTGAGCAACATATTCTTCTTCGGAGGCACCTTTTGGCTATCTGTCTGGGTTGAGGCTTATAACAAGAAGGGTTATGTGGATATTGCCTACTACATGGGCATCTTTGCTGCCTTTACTTTTCTGGAACTTCTCAGCTTTGGCTTCATCATTGTCATGTTTGAGTGGGGTGCATGGCGCGCCGCTCGCAAGCTGCACAATGACTTTATTCGCGCCATCATGAGCGTTCCTCTTTCCTGGTTCAACACTATTCCCGTCGGTCGCATCACGAACCGCTTCTCTGGCGATATGGCCTCCATTGATGGCATGCTTAGCCAACTTCTGAGATCGGCACTTGATGCCATCATGATGCTCTTCTTCCGCATTGCCGCCATTAGCTCCATTATGCCCATCTTCATGATTCCAGCCTTCTTTACCTGCCTCTTTGGCGTCGTCATTGGTGAAATGTACACGCGAACTGCTGTCGTGCTGAAGCGACTTACATCCTCCTCACAGTCGCCTGTCTTTTCCCAATTTGCGGATACTCTTGCGGGGTTGGCTGTCATTCGTGCCCGAGAGGGCAAGGGCGAGGAATTTGGCAAGGAGTTGGCCGCTAAGCTGCGAGTATGGTCGGCGGCATCGGAAACTAACTACAATTGCAACCGTTGGGTGGCTGTCCGTGTTGATTTCGTGACGTCGTTGGTCGCTTTGGCCGCTGGTGTCATTGCTATTAGTCAGGCTGGACTGGTTGGCGCTGGCTTGGTAGGCTTCTCGCTCACCAATGCCAATGGTCTGAACCAAACGATCCTGATGCTGGTTCGCGCCATGAACGATCTCGAGGTTGAGATTCAGAGCTTCCACCGTGTCAAGGAATACGTCAAGCTGGAGCCCGAAAATGCTCACGATACGTCGTATCCTGACGAGGACGACTACGCGGATGACGAGACAAAGGTTATCCCGAAAAACTGGCCTCGCGGAGGCGACATTGAGTTTCGCAATGTGACAATTCGATACGACCCTGATGGTCCCAACATTCTTACCGACGTCAACCTCAAATTTAAAGCAGGCGAGCGGGTAGCCGTGGTCGGCCGCACCGGCTCTGGCAAGAGTACTCTTGTGCTCTCGCTGCTTCGCTTTACACATATTGTCTCTGGACAGATCTTCTACGACGGCGTGGACATTACGCACGTATCCCGCGACCGTTTACGCAAAGGTCTTACCATTATCCCGCAAGAGGCTGTGCTGTTCAACGGCACCGTGGCCTCCAACCTCGACCCCACGGGACTCCTCCCCTACGAGCGCCTGGAAAAGGCGCTAGAAAAATGCCGTGGCATCGCTTCCTTCTCCGGCAGCGACTACTCGTCCGACACGGACGCCGACCACAACGGCAGCCCCAGTCAGGGCATCTCGCTCGACACGGACGTGGACGCGCAGGGCGAAAACTTTTCCCACGGCCAGCGCCAAGTGCTGTCGCTGTGCCGTGCGCTCATCCGCGAGAGCAAGCTGATGCTACTCGACGAGGCCACGGCGAGCATGGACTACGAGACGGACCGCGGCATCCAGCAGGTGCTGCGCGACGAGATGGAGCGCGCCAACGGCGGCGGCGCACGCACGCTCGTCACCATTGCGCACCGTCTGCGGACCATAATCGACTATGATAGCGTGGTGGTTATGAGTGCGGGGAGAGTCGTCGAGAATGGCTCGCCGAGGGACTTGTTTGAGTCAAAAGGTCTGTTTTACGACATGATTTACCACAGCGGCGAGATGGATGAACTCCAGACGATTCTCAACGTGCAAGACAAGATTGCCGTGTCGACGCCGTCTTCGACAACAGAGGTTGAGTCAGCAGAGTAGGGCTGACTTTTATGAATGACATGTATATGAAAACAGGCATTGTACAGATTTGCAGGATTTGCATGAAAAGTTTGCCGTATATGGAGATTTTGCCGTGGATGGGCTTTTGGGATATATAAAATATGTTTGTACGACGGGTTGGGTTACTTTGGGCAAGATATCTCGGATTTATACATGTAGATATTGGAGCAGATTGGTCTATATTCCGCCAGTAATACCCTTTCAGAGCAGGAGCAGAATGACAATTTCTGGATGACGTTCTTCATTTTCTATCATCATTTATCTTTGCAAAAAACTTTGGAGGCATGGCCTCCCAATCAGCTTGTGAGTCATCATGATGGGACTGGTAGCATCGAGTAGGCATAGCAGGTCTGGTAGATGCGAACCAGCTCTGTGACGAGTGTGTTGCATTGTGATCTTGGTGCCGCACAGAAGCAAGGTCGAATGGCATATGCTCCAAAAAGGAACAAATCAGCAAACAACGTGTCAACAAAGACCATGTAAGATCTAGATTCATAGGCTCGTTCGACTTTGAGGTGTCCATGTTTGCTGCCAGCTGCCAAGCATCTGCATCAAAGGCCTGTTGCGAGCCAAGCTGAACGCTTCTGGCACGCCACATGAATCATCACAGAGAGAGGCATGACTGTAGCAGCAGCAGTATCTATAACTACCGTGGTCTGATTTCGTATATTCGACCACCCCGTGTATGCGCAGAAAACAAAGCTTACAATAATGTCTGAACAAAACCCCAACAAGCCCCTAACGCCGTATACAGTTGCAAAACAGTCGGGCGTCGAAGCTCGCGCTGCTGCACATGAATCCTTCATTCACCCCGACGGCTATCGCCTAGCATTGCAGCTGATTGCCGCTTACTTTGTTACCATGCCACTGTATCCAAACAAACACAGTTTGAACCGCTTTCTGTTCCTTTTCGTCAGTTCCTCTATTGTGCTGGAACAGAGCCGTCTTCCAGGCCGGATGCGCCGGCTTCGACATTGTGGTAGTCAAGAATTTCAGAGTACCTATAACTCAAGTTAGCATCTCGTTGATCTAGCGCAAGTGCTTTCTCCTACATCATGATCTTCCATGTGTCAACAGGAAGATCAGCATCGTTGAAGCTCCAGTCAAACTTTTCCTCAGCAACAGGCTCGTCAGTGGGATCATGATAGGGGGCGAGGTAATCATGTGAGAGCGCTTCGGCAGCCGTGATTCGCTTCTTGGGGTCGAAGACGAGCATGCGCTCCATCAGATCGATCGCTATATCTTGTTAGTAGAAGTCACTGCAGTGCTAAATTCACCACATACCAGAATCGTCCGCGTTCTTAAACTTGTTGCGGAGGGGTTGGCGTTCGCGCTTGGGGAGCGACTTGACGAATCGTAGAGTCTGTCGTATGTCAGCGATCATGATCATGCTTTCCGGTACGGTGAAGCGCGCTACGTACATTTTCACTGGCAATGGTGTTGATGACATCATCGGGGGGTGTTCCAAGAAGCTCGGTAATGATGGAAAACTGGTTGACATGATCCTTGCCGGGGAATAAGGGCTTGCCGTCGAGCATCTCGGCGAAAATGCAGCCCGCGCTCCAAATGTCGACCTCGACGTCGTATTTTTGCCATGTGAGCATGATCTCAGGAGCGCGGTAGTATCGGGTGGAAACGTAACCCGTCATCTGGGGGTCTTGAATTCGAGCGAGGCCAAAGTCGCAAATCTTGAGATCGCAGTTTTCGTTGACGAGGATGTTGCTTGGTTTCAGGTCACGATGAACGACGCCAGCCGAGTGGACGTACTTGAGGCCGCGCTGGACAAAGACTCGTTAATCACATCGGGATACATGGTTTGGTCTTGCAACATACCATGATCTGGTACAAAAAGTATTGGATGAATTGCTTCTCGAGCGGTCTCGACGTGAGGAGTCTGTGAAGGTCGGTTCCTAGGAGCTCGGTGACGAAATAGCTACGGTCGGGTCAGTACCGTCGTTGGAGGTAAACACGGGAGGGCGGAAGCCGCATACATGTCTTCGAGAGGGGAAATGAAGATATCGCTCAGAGAAATGACCTGAAGAGGAACGACGATCAGTACTGTGAAGGCTATGTACGGGTGGTCGAGGGTTCGGTACATTTTCATGTCGGAGATGCTTGAGCAATTTGAGCTCACGGTATGTGCGCTTGGCCAGGACCGGGGTGCTGAAGGGCTTCATGATCTTCTTGACGGCGACATTTTGGTTGGTGAGCTGATCTCTGGCAGAACTAAACTTGTGTTAGTAGGGATGGGGGCGCTACTGCGTGAACGGCTGCGTTGATGAGCAATCAGCAGAGAACATACCAGACGAGACCAAATGCTCCCATGCCAACAGGCTGGAGGTCAGAGTATCTGAGAAGAGTCAGTATGAACGGAGACGAAGGAATAATGGCGGGCGAAGAAGATGATGAGATACGCACCTTGACGTTATCTCAAACGTCGTTCCAAAGATCTGCGCGCGAACAAATTCGGCCATTGTGAGGGGCAGCCAAAGGCAAGAAAACGCGGCTTAATAAATGCGGGAGTTGAGAGGGGGGTAGAGCGGTCAGGGGCGCGGGGTAGCGACGTGGCCAGGGCGATTGGGACAAAACGGATGCACAGAGGGGCAACGCAAAGGGTGAATGAAGACGAGTCGATACCTCGGGAGGCCAGGCGCGACAAAATTGGTGATCGAATAGGGTGAGGAGGAAAGGATGCGAGGGCGATGAGGCACTCAAGTGGGATTGCCAGCTGATAGAGGGGAGCTTGACTTTTGCGGCTGTGGGCTAAGGCGGGGCAACAGTGCAGAAGCAGCGTACAGCAGCGCAGGGTGTGGCGGGCGGATGCTCCAACGCGGTCCAATTGTGAGGCGGGGTGGGCGTTTTATTGAAGGAATCTGGTCCGGACCAGTTCTAGTTTTGTAGTTTGTCGCTAATTATTCAGTCGTTGCTACAAAGTAAGAATGAGACCGATGAATATAGAGTTTCGCTGTCGTTGGGATCGTACAAGATCTAGAGTGCCGCATACTTCAGTTAGCGAGAAAAAAAAAGGAAGGGCCACAATTCGTCTTGCGACAGTAGATCGTCTCAAGAATCAATATTTAATAAAGAGCAGTCAAGTAAAAAGCAAAATGCGATGCCCAAACAAGCTTTGCAACGCTACCCGCAGCAAGAAAGCCCGTGCAGTCGTACTGCAACGCTGTCGGTGGCGTGTTGTCGACGGCCTCGACGTACAGCGGCAGCCACAGTAGCCAGTGAAAAAGCGACGACAAGTCGGCGCGATTGGCATGCCAACTGACAAGGCAGCTGCCGATACCCGATTCCACTCCACGCCAGCCGAAGCGTGACAAAGATGCGTCTCCTCATCAATCAGAGCACAGCACCGCCGAAACCAGTGCAAAAGATCAAGCAACTAGCACGAGCTGCTTCGATTCAGCAATCTCCCCACTGATGAGGGCGACCTTGTTGAGGGGCGTTTTGTGGTCTCGCGGCACTCTTCGTTGTGCCCCGGCGACAGCTGCAGCCACTCACACTATTGCGACCGAGGCGCCATGCTGCGAGCAGATGGATTACCATTGGCCGAAACTCGTATCAGACGACGGAGAGATCGAGCCGTCGCGAATAGCAGGCTACTAGGATGGCCAAAATCCAAGAAAGCAGAGGTCAAAGAAGGGCTCTACGTACCTTTTGGAGGAGGTGCGCAAACGGGTGTAGCAATGACAAGACGGGATCGTGTACGGAGTGGTCACTTGGCGAAGCTGAGATATAGCTTCTATTGAACAAGATGCTGCTAATCTCTTCTCACTGCAAAAAGCCAGAATACTGTTAGTCAAAGTATCGCAAAAGGAGAGTAGCCGCGTCGCAGAGAAGCAATCATCAAATTCGGTTGTGCAGCGCTGCAGTCCCGCCTGGGGGGGGGAGATTTGCCCACTATAAAAGCTTCTGCGAGAAGCATTGAACAAGGGGAAACGTACCAAGAAATACACAAATCTTGCACAGTCATGAATTTGTCCCAGAAAAAAGGATGAAAAATCAAAAAAGCAACAAGACGTGAGAAACTCTCTTCCCCAGAAACATAGGTAGGCATCGGAGAAATAAAAGCCCAAACAAAGGGACCTGCCTGCCCTGGCGGCGACCACCGACCGAGCTCCAAGCTTTCTCGTAAGTAACGCGCGGGGCAAGGAAAAAAAAAGAAAGAAAAAAAAATAGTGTCCACTTTCCCTCTTGTTTTGAAGATCGAGATTTCAGCAACCAGCACCAGACAGCCGGGTTGCGGGAACAAGTTGCAACGACCAGTAGGACAAAACCGTCCGTCACAAAAGGTCCATAGGTGCCAGCGCCACCTTTTTTGTCTGCTGGTGGTGTCTTACCGACCCTCCTCGTCTTCATCTCATGTGTCCATCTCCGTAGAGATCTGTAGTCCGTAGACTGTGAAAATGATAAATAATTCGTCTCTTCCGTCCTTCGCATCTCGCAACCGCCATCACCATTCCTTCCCCGCGACATGTGACGTGATGTGGCATCTGGGAGCCGCTCTCTCACCCAAAAGATGACACTTCTACCCCAACTTCAGCTGGCTTCTACCCCTCCAAAGAAAACCCTCGTGGCCCCCTCCATGTGGAGGAGCGCCATCATTTCCTCTCATCTGCCAGTAGTTGCACGACGCCTCTGCGCCGACGTCGTCATACCCCCATCTTCCTTGACCAACATGGCATTTCATGCAAACTGCGGCCCAGAATTCCATCAATCAGACACTGCATTTTTCCAAACAAAGAAGCAAAAACAGCCATCCGCCCGCACAATGAGCTGGGGCCCTCTACGTCTCGTAGTTGTTCTGCGGAGCGAACCGTCCGGTCCAGCGTTTTTTTTTACTTCTCTTCTTTCCTTTTTTTTTTTTGGCTCGATTCTTACTAGTCGATGCCCCACGATGTCTAGTCGGGTAGTTACTGCAAGCCCGTTGCGCAGCCATCGCCATTTGTGTCTAGATCGGCTCTGAAACATCAGTGTCATCGCCCCACTACATTATTAACTAGCTTGTCAAGCGAGCATAATAATCATTGTTAGCCTCAACACCACCAGTACCAATGTTTTGGGCCGCACGTCTTCGTACTCATAGCAAAAGCAGTCCATCGTATTCTTCACGACTACCTATGAGTGCATGCGCACAGCTGAAACAAATAAGATCAATCTGCTACTTCACTCTTCAATCCCAACCGTCACGACCGAAACACGAGGCGCTCAAATTTCTGCACGCCTCACTTTGATCCGTGTCAACTCCGCTCTTCCATTACTCTCTAATGGGCAGCGGCTCGACGTTCCAGATACTGTCAGCATACTCGTTAATGCAGCGATCACTGCTGAAGAAGCCCATCCGGGCCACTGCAGTGATGCATTTGGAGACCCATTCGTCCTGGTTGCGATACGCCTCATCCACAAGTCGGTGCGTCTCGATGTAGCTGTGAAAATCATCCGACACCAGGTAGTAATCACCGTGGTCACGAACGGCAGCAATCAGAGCTCCAAAATCGTGTGGTGCTCCAAATGTACCCTTTGAGATCTCTTGGAACACGGCATCCAGGTCTGAGTCTATGGCGTGTGAGCCGTATGTGTGAGCATGACGCAGGTCTTCCACATCCTCTGACAGGTTACCAAACAAAAAGATGTTGCTCTCGCCAACTTCTCTTGTAATTTCAATGTTGGCTCCGTCGCATGTACCAATGATGAGGCCGCCGTTGAGAACAAACTTCATGTTGCTGGTACCAGAGGCCTCGGTTCCGGCAGTGGATATGTGCTCGCTGATATCTGATGCAGGGCAGATAATCTCAGCCTTGCTGACGTTGTAGTCTTCCAAGAAGATGACCTTGAGCAAGTCGCCAATATCAGCGTCATTGTTCACCACCGACCCAACCGAGTTGATGAGATGAATGATTTGCTTGGCCATCCAGTATCCGGGGGCGGCCTTTCCACCAAAGATGGAGACGCGCGGAAGCTGCTGCTTGCGTTCTTCGGGAGACATGTTCTTGAGCGTCAGGTAGCGGTGAATGACTCCGAAAATGTTCATTTGCTGCCGCTTGTACTCGTGGATACGCTTCACTTGAATGTCAAAGAGCGATGCAGGGTTGACAGTCACTCCAAGAGTGTTCTTGATGTGCTTTGCCAGGCGAATCTTGTTGGCGTACTTGATCTCCGCCCATTCCTTGCGGAACTCCTTATCGCCCACAAATTGCTCAAGCTTGCTCAGCTTGGTAAGATCTGTCAGGAAATCGTTGCCCCCGCATTTGCTGGCAATCAGTTCCGACAGGCGAGGGTTGGCCTGATGAAGCCACCTGCGGGGTGTCACGCCGTTGGTCACATTGGTAAACTTGTCTGGGCCATAGATGGCGACAAAATCCTTGAAAATGGTCGTCTGAATGAGATCAGAGTGAAGCTCAGCAACACCGTTGACCTTGTGGGAGCCGACAATGGCAAGGTAAGCCATGCGAATCATCTTTGGCTGCGACTCTTCAACGATGGAAACGCGACGTAGCATATCCCGGTCCTCTGGGAATTTTTTCTCGACATGCTGCAGGAAGAACATGTTGATATCGAAGATAATCTGTAAATGTCTTGGCAAAAGGTTCTGCAAGAGGCCAACAGGCCACTTTTCGAGCGCTTCGGGAAGTACGGTGTGGTTAGTGTAGCCAAACTAGCGGCAAGTTAGTGCCATGCTATCGCAGTTGTGCCATATTTCACTTACAGTATTGGTAACAATGTCCCAAGCTTGGTTCCACTCAAGGCCTTCGACGTCGACGAGAATGCGCTGCAGCTCAACAATGGCGAGCGTAGGATGGGTATCATTCAGCTGAATGGCGACCTGGTCCGGGAACTCGCTCCATCCGCGCTTGGACTTCTTGAAGCGACGGACAATGTCAAAGAGGGAGGCGGCGACCCAAAAGTATTGTTGCTTTAGGCGCAATTCTTTGCCTCTCTCCAGGTTGTCGTTGGGATACAGCACAGCGCTGATGGTCTCGGCGCGCTGCTGGTCGGCAACGGAGCTTTCGTAGTCGCCATTGTTGAACTTTTGAAAGTCAAATTCACCTCCAGAAGCCTTGCTGGACCAAAGGCGCAGGTTGTTGGTGGTGGGTGTTGCGTAGCCCGGAATGGGAACATCATACGCAACGGCCTGGACAACTTCACCGCCATCCCAGACCGAGACATTCTTGCCATTCGTGTCGGTTGATTTTCTGACATTGCCATAGAATTGAATCTGTCATCTGTGTTAGTTGTGGAAGACTGTGAAAAGGTGTGCAGAGAACGTGCGTCGACAGTTACATCATGGCGAGGAAACTCCCAGGGGTTAAAGTCCAGCCAATAGTCGGGAACTTCCACCTGGTAGCCATCGATGATTTCCTGCTTGAAGATGCCGTAGCGATAGCGAAGGCCATAGCCCCAGGCGGGATAGTTGAGCGAAGCCAAGCTATCGAGGAAGCAAGCGGCGAGACGGCCGAGGCCACCGTTGCCGAGAGCTGCATCGTTCTCCTGGGTTATGACATCTTCAATTCTGAACCCGAGCTCAGCGAGACCAGCTAAAACAAACTTTTGTAAGCACAAGAAAATAGAGAAACTGGTGCATAATGTTACCTTTAGCAGTGTCTTTGTGGCCAACATTGAGCATGGCGTTGTCCAGAGCACGTCCCATAAGAAATTCGAGACTGAGGTAGTAGACTCGCTTGGAGTCGCGGAATGTTTGCTGCTGCTGTGTCTTGTTCCAATCGGTAATAAGGCGATCGCGGAAAGCTAGGCTGGTCGCGGCATAGGCAGCGTTTTCGTCGCAATTAAACAAGCTGCGGGCCAGGGTGGTCTCGACATGACGGACGACCTCGCGCTCGAAGCCATCCTGGTCCTCGAAGCTCTTGACAGCATGCTTCTCCCAGGCTGCGCGCTGAGGGTCGGGGATGGAAGCTACATAGGGCGTGTTAGTCAAACAGATGGATGATCAAGACGCTAGAAGCTCTTATGGTTGGTGGTAGCCAACCCCGCCCCCGCCTTAGACTGGGGATGGCAGTTGGATAGCTGGGTGCCAAGAGCAGCCAGGTTCGATGGCGAAATTAAAAGCAGTAGGTAAAATGCTTGCCTTGAACACTTTTGATTTCGCCAGCGCCGAAGCCAGTGAATGTCCTCTTGTGCTTGGGACGCGAGACGCCGGCGGGCCCGACGGAACCTTGGATGTCGACGATTGGAGCAGAGGTGGAGGGGCGACGCTGGCGGGTAGGCAGTGCTTGCTCAGACGCCATGGTTGCTCGATGCAATGCGTGACAATGCTTTCAATGCTATTTTGTAGATGAAGAAGTCAAGGAGAACGCTTGAAAAGAGGCGATATGCTAGGAAGAGGACGGAGGATGATGGATAAAAATGGGATGAGAGCTTGGGAGGAAAGAGGCGAGCTGTCGACAGGTGCCGTCGGTTGGTATTTGTTCTGATGGTGGCACAAAAGCCAAGGGAGGTACCTACCTACCGCCTCAAGTATCAGCCCATCGAACCACTGACAGCGAACCACTTGACAGCCGGTAGCTTATTAGCTGGGCCGCTAAAAGAACGTCAAACGCTTTTCCAGGTGTATGGAGGAGCTACCTGTGCCATGTTGCCATGCCATCCCGTGCTGCGGCAGGCGGTGGATGGGTTGCTGCGTTGTCAATGGTTGCACGGCGCCATCAACATGTGTGCATGCTTGTCTTCAAGCTCCCAGGCATCCAACTAGTGGCAAAGGCTGCATCAAGGAGCTAAATAGTTGGCGTTTGACGGTGATCCAACGAGCGTCTGGACCGTCTTTGGTGGGGGAGCTGTTGGAGGGGAAAGCTATGGCGGGGCACATCACCTCGCCAGTCTTGGTCAAGTTTTGGTCAAGTTGCTGATGGAATCGGCCCTTGATTCCGTTGGGACATTTGCCAAGTTGACGAAAACCCGAGTCGACAAGAGAATGGCAGTATCTCTGTCGAATTAACTCACATATTATAAAAGACCCTCCTTTTATCTATTTGCTTTCTCCTTCATATCAAAAGAAGGACACAATTAGTTACCAGTACGCAGCCAACTCGCCAGCAGTTAACGAATGGCTTTTCTATCATACCCGGGAAGCGCAGTCCCTCACCTCCTCTCCATTCTACATCCGCTGCACCCGAGTTCCAGCCATGCCCGTACATGATTCGTACTCGAAAATCCACCTAGACCGGGGTTATTTCTTGTATTCAATTCTGCTGTGCTGCCATGTCGCTCGGTCAGTTGAATACGCATGAAGCCGCATGCAGCATGCACAATGGCCTCATACCTGTTGCCCCACCGCTCATCCCTCCTCCGCCACTACAGCTAGGGAGCTACTTATTACTCCATATTGTCCTTGAACCAACCCATCATGCCCATAATAAGCCCGTCTACCAACCACTGACTTGCTCCTCGCGCAACTTGTTCGGGAAAGATGTTTACCAAAACATTAACACATCACGTAGCCTTCACTCGAAGCGCTTTCATCACGTTACCCCTAGACATCTGTAACGGCCTGTTAAAACTACCTGTGGCCCTTCAATCGCATTATTGCCACCCACCCTGATAGTCATGACTGTACGTGGCTTTTTTCCTGTTCCCCATGAGAAATCAGACATTGCATACCACGTGCATGCCAATCTGATAATTTCACTCACCCCCCTTTGCACCACCCCCGTAATTTTACATTCGCCCCCTTGTATCAAATCTTCTCTCATTCGATTCATCGCTAGCAGTCAGCGAGGCACGCTCCAGCTCGACTGAACCGGCCGCCGGCGATCAAGACTGCCCGATATGTTCTCGCAGACATGGCAGGTAGCATTAGGTACATCCATACAGACAATCGCATACGCTTCCCAGACAAAGAAAATCATCAATTCGGCAAAAACAAGACGGCCCATGCTTACTGCGCCGGGGCTATAGTAAAGAAAAGAGACAAGGGAATAAGAAATGACAAAAAAGCAGTCAACGCCATTCCATGAGGACAGTCCTCCCCAACTGCAACAATCCATACAGCCTAGTCGCAGCAATTCGGTGTCGTGACATGTCGAATTATGTAAAAAAGGAGACCCGCCGTCGTATCAATAAGTCGTAAAAGGAAGTCCAGAGGACAACAGATGGTCGGTGCGCGAATCGCTGCCCAGCAAGTGCTCCAAACTCCACAGTCGGCGTCTCGCATGCAGCGCCGTGGCACAAAGCCAGCCATGCCAGCCATGACGGCGATATATAAGCGCCATTTGGCTCCTCAGCGGATATGTAAGCGCCATCTGACTCCTCAGATGATGCCGGTATCTTTTAGCGCATTGCTCAAGATGGTCTCCTTGACCGCGGCAAAAACGAGTCTGATGTTTGATGTATCTGTAGCTTGCGTCAAGCTAGATATGAGTTAGCAAAAGCAAAATGCAGGTATGGCCAAGAAACGTACTGGGGATAAAGATTGAGGTGAGCTCGGTTGACCTGATTGAACCTCCATAGTAGGTATTTGGCGGCCTTGTTGACGTCGTTGCCGCCGGAATAATCGGGGAAATAGTTGGCCAGTGGCGACCGAGTGAGCTTTTGCTTAAAAATGTCCACCTTGTTGAGAAACAGGATAATACTCGTTCGCATGAACCATCGCGAGTTGACAACCGAATCGAAGAGCAAGAGACTCTCCATCATGCGGTTCTACAGCCGTCAGCGTTTGTGCCATACTTGACAAAGGAGGTCGCTTACCTGACTACTCTCTTCCAAGAGCACCTGGTCATATTCGGAGAGAGCGACGCAAAAGATAATTGACGTCACGTTCTCGAAACAATGAATCCATTTCTTTCGTTCACTACGCTGTCCACCGACATCGAACATGCTGTGGCAGGGTTAGACAAGTCATCTTGTGATGCATGGGCAAGACGCAACGTACTGAATACTGAGAGCACCCATTTGGAAACGAGTCTCGTATATGCCAGTCGTCTTGGTACGAGCACGCAGAACGTCCATTTCCTTAGGAAGATAGTTTGGCGCAACGATGCGCATCGCTTCCTGAAAAAAGCTGAAGAGATTTGTTAGCACAACACTGGCTGCAATTTCTACTCAGACTGGATCTGAAGCTCACTATTCGGCCGAGTCCATCAGATAGAATTCGGTTTGGTGCTCCATTAGTCGGTCTTTGGCGGGATCTGACCATAGCGACTGAACAGCCGTGCCGACTTGGGGGTCAATCTGGGCTTGAGGGCCTGACTCTGCTTGATATTCCATGAGAAAGGCCATATGTTTGCGGTTCTCTGCTATTTGGGGCTCAATGCCGAACTGCTGCATGGCGGTAATGATGGCTTTGGCGCATTCGACCAAGTTCTTGAAGACTGTGGGCCTGTAATTGTAAAGCTCATCGTCCGAGTAGCCCTTGAGATGAATAATCTTCATTTGCTTGACAATGGTTGACTTTCCGCTCTCGCCGGAGCCTAAGTAATTGATCGGCTGTTAGTGACAAGGCCGTGTTTGTGCAGGCATGGAGGTTCTGTACCTAGCAGCAAGATCTTGCATTCTTTCTTTAGTCTCTTGGAATCCTCCTCGATTATGCGATCAATGGCCTGGCTCTTCTTCTTCTTCTCAGCCTCCTCGCTTGTGGAACTGAGGCAATTGCCCATCATGAGAGAGTTGATGGGGCGGGCGGTGCCCTCGAATGTGGCGGGAAGGAAGCCGTTGAACTGCGAGGCGGTATACGGAGTTGGGGCGACGTTGAGCAAGGCGAATCAAAAGCGGCGCATGGTCAAGCAGACGGAGAATGAAGCGGCGGTGGGCAGCAAGCGAGTAGACTGCTGCGGCGCGAGGGTCGAAGGACGAGCGGGTGTCGCGAGCAGTGGTCGGAAAGGGTCGTTGTGGGACGGGAGGCAATCTGAGGTAGGACGAGAATCGCGGCAAAGCACTGGGGTACGGAAGCAAACGGAATGTGTGGCGATGTAGCTGGGGAAGCACGGGATCACAGCAGCCAAATGTCAGAGGATTGTTCGAGGGCGGCAGGGTCGCGTAGAGAGGATGGCGAATGATGGAGAGCCAAAGAGGCGATGAATGGCGATAGCTTGACAAGAGAACGGGGCAATGATGAAGACGTCGTGCGTGTGAGGTGGGCCAATTGGGGGGAGAATCGGTGGGCGCTGGGCTGCTGGTGCGGAGCGAGAGCTTTTTAGTGCCAGCAAATAGTGCGGAGGATTCGGTAGCTATCCACGGTAAGAATATGCGGCCATGGGGAAGAGCATTGATATTTCTGATGGAAAAGAGACGATAGAGTCGAATCGTGGAGGAAAGGGAAAGCGACAGAGACGACAAGATTGCAGCTGGACGAGGCAGAGATGGGAGACGTTGGAAATTGACAAGAAGCTTGTGAGGGGAGGGATGGGGGGCGTGCAAGCTACCTAGAACGGTGGTGTTATGCTGTGGACTGTGGAGAGGCTCACGAGCGGCTGTGTGGGTGGGTTTTGTGTACGCTTGACAAAGGTAGAAAATTAGGCAGGCAAGAGGTACTCTTTCATCAGAGGGTTGGTAGGCCAGAGGAAAGTACCTATTTACCTAACATATCTGCTTGTTCCACAGCCCAAGCGATGCCCCGGGGTAATTGGCAACGAATTATCCTGCTTTGCTTGCTACTAACTAGTTATTTACATGTTGGATGACTTGTTGGATTGGCTAGTCGCAACTACCTATTTAATCAACAGCCTGATCGTATTTGAATGAAATTGAATTAGGGGATAAAAAAAGGAACAATAAATAAATAAATAAACGCCGTAAATTACTGGTATAAACAAATGAGGAGTCCGTGGTGGTCTGCCACCTGCCAAGTGCCCACCACTGCCACCATCAATCAGCTGGCGCAGGGATTCACCTAGAACTGCACGAGCGCCTGCAGGTATTTTATTCAATAACGATTGGTAGCCAGCTATTACTCCGTGAGCGCCAAAGAGCCTTGAAAAATCCTTGTCAACACATCCGCCTCACTTCTTGGCTAGTTGGCTAGGCTCGTGACTGCGCTGGTGGAGAGCATCTGCAGAGAGCAAAAGCGCCAAGTAAATATCAGCCTCGGTCCTCATACTAATATCTGGTAGGCAACAAGTCTGGCACAAGCGACTCGAGTTGATATTGAGACAATACATGCACATGTGGACACGACAAGATCCTGGCCAGTTCCCCAAGACACTCTAGCAGGCAATGCCCGTGCGGGCAGAAACTATACTCGGCCCGGCCTTTGCCATCTCAAGTGCCTCGATGGGAAATAAGGACTATAGTGTGCTGGATCGCCGAGCAGGAAACTAATCGACTAGATAATAGTACGAGTGAATGCGCCAAACGTTTCTTTTCTGGGCCCGTGTAATGTAAAGTCTAAATTCCGGGTATGATGCGAGTCTCTCTGCGAGCAGAGAAATGGAACGAAACAGGTGTACAAGTAATAACTAATAAAATGACATGGACAAATAAATGAACATGGCCCCCGACGGCTAAATACTTTTCCAGCCTTGGAAAAGGTTCCTCTGCGACAATGTCCGTTTCTGTCGGCGCTCAGGTACCTGCCACCCTGGTCCTTGTCCGCCCATCTAGTTCCACGCACAAGCCAGCTGACAACACGCAACGTCCAAGCCTCTCTGTCAAGCTTCTTCCATTTTTTATTACCATCGACTAGTTCAACATCTCGCGAACCATGATTCCATTTCATCTCCCGCCTTTGGTAACTTGCCACCGTCGTTTCCAAGTCATCGATGCATCCCCTGAAATCTGCCGATGCCTGCAGCTTCCGTCACGATCGAGTGTCATGACCCCTCATGCCGCACCCTCTACTGGCCTCTAGTTACTTGGTCCGCAACACGCCCAACGGTATTGACACGTTGTCTCTCCTCCTTTTCACTTTCCATCAATAGTCAACGGCATTGGCCTCGCCTTGCATACTCTGTATATGCAGCCACGGCGCCAGCCTTATGCAGTCCGCCGGTTGCCTGTCTCAATCTCTTGCCAGTGCGTCGCACCACTCACCTTGTCACCCAAGATGGGCTGTGCTGTGCGCCAAGGCTCAGTTATCAGCATTCGCCCGCCTCATCTCCCATTTGCCGTGCATCTCTTACCTTCCAAACACCAAGGCAGCAGCAAACATGTTGCATCTTCGTCTGCGATTTCCCTGCCTCCGTGCACTAGCGGCGATCAGCACGGCCCCGAGTTGCCGCTCGCTAATAAAATGTTGTTGCCTTCTATGGTTCTCAGCTCCGACGCCACGGCATGCCTAGCTCTCAGTCCCGCAAACCCGGTCCTGGCCCCAAGAGTCTGTAGATCGACGGACGAGTTGACAACGACGTCGTCTCACCACTGCTCGCCAAGCATCCCTCGCCTCCCGCAACGTGATTGGTTTCGGAAACAAGGCGTTCATTGTCATGATCGCCCACCATCTACTCATACGAGAAGCCGTCTTGGCATAGCCTAACCGGCTACTTCATTCAGCTCACGCAGTCGTTTTTTACTCCATTCAGCTCACACAGTCGTTTTCTTGTTGCCAAGTTTCTTCTTAACCCACATACTGGAAAATAGCACCCCGTGTGCAATGAGACACGCTCGACGGCATAACACGGCTGGTCCCGGTTGGTGGACCGGCATGGCTTGTGACGGACTTACGATCCCCAGCGCCGCGCCGCAGCTCGCAGTCAAGACCCTGCTGTTTCCCCGTGCTCAAGTGCCCATTAACCTCTGACGAATCGTCCGAGGTGACTGTGTCGCACAAGGTATCAGTGACTTGTGCCCACGTGTACGGAGGAGCAAGCATCCCAGTCACTTCTTCAACTTGATACAGCCCCTGTCACTCGGCAAGCCACAGGCAAACTTCACATGCAGGGTTCCCAGAATGCCACCATTACCGAATGAAATGAGAGACTTGTTGAGAGTTTGTGTTGCATGACAAACGGTTACAAAATGATTGTACGTTAAGGCGTGTTTTGCACTGGTAGGCGTGTTTGCATTATTTAACTGGAACGTAATTCCAAATCTCGAATTGTAGACATGATCTCCCAGATCTCATGCGCACAGGCCAGCTAGACTGGCGTTGCGTCCAAGTACCCAGTACATGAGCCCTGGTGAATGAGCGTGCCGCGTAACTTTCGAGCTCCAAATTCCCATCCTCGATTTCCACTCCTCTCTTTCTCTGTAAAAAGTCAAAAGAGTAAACAATTTCAAGCGAAATTTCCACGATTGATGCGGTCGGGTCCGAGCCGGCGTTGTCTCGCATGCCACAACCTCGCAGAGGTCTAAGTGTACCCACTGCGAGCTTTGCCGCGCAAACTAACGGCGCTGCTACTACCCGCCCGACAGCGCCGCCCTTGCTGCTGAGTTGCGTGAGTGTGCAGGATATAATGACGACTACATTCTGCATCTTGCTGAGGTCTACGGGATTCTTCTACAGACTTTCGCCCAGTACACGCATTATCTCGCCCCTGCCTGTCTTTTTGAGGCTCCGAAGGCTGGCATGTAACTTGCCTAGCATCTAATTATGTATCAGTAAGTTTTGCTGCACTGACGATTTAATTGTTGATCGTGACTTGTGCCAATAATCTGTTTTTGAATCTGTAAAAAATTGTCCTATCAGCATACCATCAGTTTCTTGTTTTATTGAACTCGAAGAGCTTCTACCTGTGCAAGATGAATCATGGCATCAGGAGGGCACATATCGACGTGGATCATGAGCGGCTTGCAACTGAACCTGGCTGACCAGAAATGCACCGGATCTTTATTTCTGAGACCTGGAAAGATGGGCATGAGTCAAGGCAGAATCAAATCTGTCCTATTTTTACATTTTTGTTCAACAAATCTCTCGCCCATATTTACTTTTCGTCGCCGGACATCTTCACTTACATACGGCCGCGGCCCCCACACCGTCCGTGTGTCCCCGTCCACCCCGCGAGATAGCATCCGCATCCGTAACGGCGCGTCACCGGAGGGGCGGTCCGACCGTGCAAATATGGTTACCGTCGTAATTGATGTTGCTTATTGGCCCGGTCCCGACAACGGACGAGTCTCGGCGCAAGAGATCAGACGTGGAGTTGACAAGCTCCGAGACGCTGGCAACAGGCTGATGCGCCAAACTTTACGAGCAGCGACTAAAGCGTCGTCGGTGACCACTGGTCCCAGAGAAAAAGACCGTTCCGCTTTCGAGTCACTCTATTACAATTGTATCCTCTCCCTTCTTTCACTCTTCTATTACCTTGGCACTAGAATTGCAACTCACACGCGCACCCTGCAGCGGTCCGTCTGTGATCGCCATGCCTGACCCACCACAACCACAGCTTTGCATTGGCGCTGTTGTTACTCGTCAAGTCAGACACAACATATGTTGAACCTCATTTTGTCGCAACATATCCATTGAGCTGGACCGCCCACTTCCAGTCATGAGCTTGGTACAGTCGGAGCGGAAAAAGGCCTGGGCGCCGAGGAGCCGCAGAGGCTGTTACACATGCCGGTACGTTCCCATGTCAAAACTTGACCGAGCCTCTGTATAACCTCCCCCCGGCTCATTATATCGCGCAGATCTCGTCGCATCAAGTGCGACGAGCACCTTCCCGTGTGCAACAAGTGTCTGGCTAGCGGCCGCGCCTGTCGCTATCCAGACCTTCGGCTGGACCGTGACGAGCCGCGCGAGCTGCCAAAGCTCGCGAGCAAGGCGGCCTTGCACCAGAGGGAGCCTCCCGACGTATACGGCCATGAATTATTGTCTCGTGTAAGTCCCTTTGGTGGCGTTGACCTTTCTTTGCTAAGCTGAGCTATACGTGCTCACCCGTTTTGTTTCCAGATTTACTGTCGTTGGAAACGCCTGCAGCCCAGTACATGATCAGATCGACGGCTTGTACTCCTGGAGTGAAGAGGATATACTCTCCATTTACACACACACTTTTTACTTTTGTTTCGCATCGCCATCCATTTTGTTCCTTGCCGTTTTCCGTGTTACCCGCCTTCGAATCCTCGTGGCCAGCAGCCAATCCGCAGACGAGCTCCAGACCATGGCAGAGACGATTGCCCACAGTGTGCACCGCTTTCCAACCACAGACTGGACGGAATCCTACGCGCTCCCAGACGATCCGCTTCGGTCTTTGCTTGCCGCCATCTTCAAAGTGGCTGCCATTCTCTACGGCTTGCTGTCGCTGCCGCCAGACCTCGCGCGACCTTTTGCCGGTTCATACTGGGATGATGCCGCGAATGATCCGGTCGAGAGAGCTCGCTTGCATTATCGTGCCATGCTGCTCGACATGGTGTGGCCCACGGCCAAGAAGGTACAGTTGAGCCGTCTGAGCTGGATCTTTGCCGTGCTCGGCGTAGCGTATCTAGGCGGGCCCGAGGATGTACAACAGCGCATCCTGCAGAGCCTGAGGGCGATTCTCAGAATGGAAGATGTCGGCGGCGGCGCAGCGACCATGTTGAAAATGTTTCCGTTATACTGGGCGTCGGGAAAGCTGGGGTGGGAACAGTGCTATTACAAGCCGTGTCAAGTTCTGTGCTGAGTAGTGATGCGCACGAGAACAAACAGAGCTAGGCGCACTCTGCTCCAGAGCGACTAGCTCAATATTGGACGGAGGCTTCGATGTCTGAACTTTGATAAGGGGCATGCCGAGAGGATGACTGAAAAGGCATCCGTTTGTAGGATCCATCGGTGTTGACTCGGGCGAGCCGCCGGCAGTGACCTACCATCGCGCGTCGGGCCATCATTGGTGGATGGAGCGCAACTGATGGAAGAGGAGGCCAGCCAACAGTATCCGTAAATAGAGAAACAACTTGTGCGAGCACGTTGATTGCATTGGAGCCAGACAATCAATTGATGATGCCTGCGGAGGCTGGCTGTCAGGGACGCTGAATGCAACGATGTCTGCTAGGAATTGCAGGTCCATTTACTTTCGTTTGATGTCGCCAACTAGCGACTTCAAACGCCATCTTATTTATACACAAGCTACATTTGCAATCTCACCACCGCTCAGCAAAAAGAAAAACATCGTAGCTGTCAAGTGGAAAGGAATGCAAAAAAACGGGTCTGGCCGGGGATTGAACCCGGGACCTGTCACATTATCCGGTTCACCGAAATGGGGAACGAATCCCGAAGCGACAATCATACCACTAGACCACCAGACCGCCTAATGTGCTGCAGATCTGAACACTATCAGGGTATATAAGCTGCAGGCAGCCTGCTGGAAGTAGCAAGCCGCGACCAAGTTACCACACACAAGGTCCAACTTAGCATGAGCATCATCTACGATTTACTTTCTCGCAGGCCTGCCTTATTCTGTCGCGTCAAGGCTAGACGACTGCAGGACGGCTACTTGCACTTCAGCAGCCAGCGGCTCTACAATAAAGTCAATGACAGAGGGCAGGTCGTCCGTCGATCGACGGCGGAGCGCAATTTAGCGAGGTGCACCAGCAGCCTCACTTCTATTTCCGTCAACTTCAATATCAGCAGCTCCTTTTTTCTCCTTGAAATCCTCTTCGAGTCTATTCTGGGGCCTGGTGACTTTGGCTGCCTTGGTCGCTGCTAGGCGTCAAGCATGGCTCAACCCTGAGAGTCGACAGTTGGCGACGAGTGTTTGTCGTGTGTCGTTTGTCACCTACCTGTCACGGTCTATGGGAGGTACCTTATGTGCCTATCATGTGTCTACTAGCCAGCACGTTCACTTTGCTGTTCCTTTGAATAACAAAGCCCTGTTCCTGTGAGCACGAAACTTCGCAGCATCGTAAACGACTCAAGACATTGTCTGGCCCTCAGGTCGCTTCGAAAACTTGCCCGATTATGCTCATTGCCGCAGTTGTTTCCCAGTTGTGCATTGTCCTCGTTATGCGCTGGACAAGTTTACATCCTTCGAAGGATTTTGTCCAACACTGCGAGTGGTCAGATAAGGTGCCCAGGCCGAGATCGTTGGCTCATGACCGAGTCGAGGATCTACACTACACATTGACTACAGTGTCAGTATGAATCCGTTCTTGTCATTTGATAATTGCCTACTTAGTGTTCCTTTCAAAGAACAAACATGGAATGACCTCCCCGAATGACAGAACCCAACAAGAAGAGCCCCAAGACTACCTATCTACTCCTCCCGCACACGGTCCTCAACGAAGCAACAGACCCCCCCTTGTGCTGTGACGTGGTGAGCCATGTCAGTCTTTGCCAACAGCAATCCGGTCTGCTAGTTATCCTCTTACTTTTTGACTTCACACTTCATTCTCATTTCCAGAGATCAATGGTATGCGGATGCTTCAACATGTAATGCTCTGGTCGCCCGACATTGCTAGCAGTCAGCCCAAACAAATTCTTATTCTGGAACCTTTGGTACTTGCACCAATGCCAGACAATGATCTGTCGCGGCCCATGGCAACGGACGGGGCATTGGGTCAACTGCAAACGCCAAGCTTGCCGGCTGGCAGTAGTCGCGCCACATGATTTCTACTCGTAAAAGCTCCTAATCTTCTCTCATGTTTTCATAATTCGAAATTTTGTTTATGTCATCCTTCGCTACAATTGACCATATTGCTTCTCCCTCGTTGCTTCCCTCAGGTTATTATATCATACTTATCCTCGAAAAGCAATTCCGTTTTCCAAAGTTTCAAGACTTCCATCTAGACCTTCCCCCCATCAAGAGTCTCATTTCTCCAAGCGACTAGTTCCACCATGATGAATAATTCGACAGCTCTTCAAACGGTTCTACCCCTCCGCCACGATACTTATCTCGTTGATGAGAAAGACAGCGAGCTCGTCGGAAGGCTCGTGAGGATCTACAGAACTTACGCGTTCTCTCTTTCTAGTCTAGAGCAGCAAGATTTTCGACAGATGATCAGAAAGCGAGAGTATAAACGCGGCGATGGGCGTCCTGACCCAAGCGATATTGTTCTACATCACGTATACAGTGGGATGTACCACAGAAAGAAAAGGTGCTGGATGGGTGACAAAGTTACATTTACAAAGTGGGCACTTCTAGCGACGTTGTATTCCGCAGAGAGCCTGGCTGAGCTTGCCAAGGTTGTCACGAAATTGGGCATTGACCGGCAGCCATGCTGGCAGAAATACGCCGATCATCACGATGGTGATGATGAGAAAGGTGACGACAATCTGGGGCCGTTAGAACTGCCCAACGCTGCCGAGCTGGCATCAGTTTGTACAAAGAGGGTTCGAATTTCTGCTGGTCCTCCGAGAGCAGCGAGCGGCAGCGACACTGACGAAGCTCTCTCCGTTTCCAATGGCGCGGAAATGCAGCCGCCATCCCGGTATTTATTGAACATCGAGCAGCAGGATGTTGAGAATCATGAAGATGGAATAAGCGGCCGGATATCAAGCGACACTTCACACGGAGAGCTCGAAAGAAGGGTATACCACCGAAAACACAGGCTTACAGAGACTGACCTGACATTACCGCAACCTGCGTCAAAACGGAGAGACTGCCACTCCGACATCTCGCATGGGGTCAATGCGAGCGTCTGTTCACTTAGTCGGACTGCCAGCCCTAAGCCAAACAACTATGAGTTGCCGCTGGATAGCGACGATGCAGCCCTAATTTGGCAAGAAATAACCCGGCTGCATCAATGCTTAGGCTCTATTACAGCAGACAACATCGCTCTGCGTAAGATAGTAGACGCATCAGAAGCAAACAGCATCGCTCTGCATAAGAAAGTAGACGCATTGGAAGCAAAAACAAATGCACAGGACGTCGATGAAGCTTTATTGCAGGACGCTTTGGCTCGTGAGCGTGAACAAAATTGTCTACTGCTTCAAAGAGTGCACAAATTGGAGGAGTCGCACAAGTCGTACTCTCCGATTATGGACAAAATCTATCAAAAGATACTTGAGTATACCATAAGGACTGATGAGCTTGCCAGAAATCATCAAAAAAGGGACGAAGCGCTTCTCAAAACCCAGACAGACGTCGAGGAGTGCCGGGGGGAGCGTGGAAGAGTGCCAGGCGGGCGTTGAAGAGTGCCACAAGGCTGTTGAAGAATATCGGGCGGATTTGGAGCAGTGCCGGTCGGGTGTAAAAGATTGCCACAAAGTGGTTGAAGAATGTCAAGCGGGCATGGAAGAGCGCCACAAGGTTGTTGAGAAATGCAGAACGGGTATAGAAGACTGCCAGATGGCTGTCGGAAATCTCCCAGCAGATTTAGATCGGGTAAAGGTCAGCATTCGTCGGATGGTTGAAACTAGTATGAGAAAGTCGGATGAGAGGTTGGCAGAAGAGCTGCGACGTTCAATGTCATTTCATAGAAAGAACACTACGGGGTCGCTGAGAGACATGAACAGAGAAGTGCAAAGGGCTCTGGAAGAGACGAAGCGCTTGGCACAACAGTGTAGCGACGAAAACCTCGATAGGGTGGTTAGACAAAAGCTTGCACACTTTTTCGAGTTAGTGGGAGGCATTGTAAAGCGAGGACTGGAGGATAAATATTGATTCTTGTATAAAATGCAATAATGTAGGACAGTACCTGGTAAAAACAGTGTTTCGTGCTTTATCCGCACATCGTATATGCGCATGGTGTAGTCACGAAAGTCAGTCACGTCTATGACCGACTGCTTTCCGTTCATACCGTGTTGCACAGCACTTGTTTGCCTGCTGGTGAGAATATACTACACTTGTACTTGTTGTCTGTCTTTCTGCGATTAGGTAGAATGCTTTCTGCCTTTTGAAATTCTTTACTATTTTCCTGATTTGATTCAAATTGTTCTTTTATTCTCTTTACTTTACTTTTTTACTCCCTTTTCTTTTTCTCCTCTTGTTCACAATTCTGTGATTTATTTCCTCTGTCAGCTTGCCGAATAACATGGGGCGATCGCCGGTCACCGACCGGACATTGGCGAAGACGACGCCAGCTTTGCAGGGACCCGAAAGGCCGATTAAAAGCAGCCTCTCTCTCTGTAAAATCAACAGCATAAGAATGAGATAGCAATAGCCTCAAAAGTCAAAATAGCTTCTTACAGAGCTGCCACTAACATCACTTTGTGTCCTGTGTAAACGTTACTCCATCACACCTCGCCAGCTCCGGCTGTCCGTCGCCCGACAAAATTCCCTCGGCCGTAAACTTCATCCCCCCCCCCCCCCCCCCAGAGTTGTCATAGCCGAAGAACACTAAGGGACTCCGGGGCGGGACATCAGGGAGATGGCGCTTTTTTCGACCAATGCAAGCCACTGAATTCTGCGGCTTTACTAAGACGGACCCTGGCTTTATTTATCATGCTGCTGGCTAGTCTAATTCTTAGTCTGTCATGTTGCAGCAAAAAAGTACAGCATCTGACTGGCTGCTACGTCACAAATCCCTGGAACACCTAGTGACCTACCTAGTTACCACCATACCCGTTCCCGCCGTTTGTCGCTGCACGCGCAAACCACATCTTACCTTACCCTCCCACCACAAATTAATTTCTCTCCTCCTGATTCTAATTCCCTCTTTTTGCATATCGTCAATCCGTCAAGCCTTTTTTTCCTTCTCGTCTCCATTTCCTGCCTTTTTGCGCGTTTGGACGTATCCGAGCCCGCCCAGCAAGCCGCCCCACGTTCCAAATAGCCTCGGCTCCAGCTCCAGAACCAAGAGCCCTCTCGAAAATCTGGGGAACTCGAAAACCATCTGAGCTTGTGAAAGAATTGGGTTCCTGCTCGCCGACCCGAACCAATTCTTCTTCCTCCTCCTTTTTTCTTCTTTCTGCCTCTCCTACTCCCCCCCTTCTCGAACAACAACCTCGACCTCCCCCCCCCCCATCCCGCCACGATGCCCACGTCAGGCTCCTCCTCCGCCACCACAGAGGCCGTCGTCGCCCAGATTGAGCAGAAGCTTCCCGACGCGGAGCAGGTCAAGGCCAAGGCGGCCTCGGGCCTGCTCAATCAGCTGCGCGACACGGGCGCCGGGGCCGTCGGCGGCGTCTGCGCCGTCGTCGTCGGTCACCCTTTTGACCTGGTCAAGGTCCGCCTGCAGACGGCCGAACGCGGCGTCTACTCGTCGGCCATGGACGTGGTCAAGAAGAGCATCGCCCGCGACGGCCTGCGCCGCGGCCTCTACGCCGGCGTCAGCGCGCCCCTCGTCGGCGTCACACCCATGTGTATGCTGTTTTGCCTCTCCTTTTTTTTGTGCTCCTTTTCTAACAATCCGCTAACGAATCCCAGTCGCCGTTTCTTTCTGGGGCTACGGCGTCGGCAAGCAAATAGTCACCAGCGTCTCCAACGTCGGCCCCGAGGGCCTCTCCATCGGTCAAATCTCCGCCGCCGGCTTCCTCTCCGCCATTCCCATGACGGCCATCACCGCGCCCTTTGAGCGCGTCAAGGTCATCCTGCAGGTCCAGGGCCAGAAGCCGCTCGCGCCGGGGGAGAAGCCCAAGTACAGCGGCGGCCTCGACGTCGTGCGCCAGCTGTACAAGGAGGGCGGCGTGCGCAGCGTCTTCCGCGGCAGCGTCGCCACGCTCGCCCGCGACGGGCCCGGCTCCGCCGCCTACTTTGCCGCATACGAGTACATTAAGCGCTCCCTCAGCCCCAAGGACCCCGTCACCGGCCGACCCACGGGCGACCTGAGCATCGGTGCCATCATCGCCGCCGGCGGTGCGGCCGGCATCGCCATGTGGATACCCGTCTTCCCCGTCGACACAGTCAAGTCGCGCCTGCAGACTGCAGAAGGCAATGTGACGCTCGGTGGTGTCATTCGTGAACTATACGGACGCGGTGGTTTCAAGGCCTTTTTCCCTGGTTTTGGCCCGGCCTTGGCGCGTGCCGTGCCTGCCAACGCCGCCACGTTCTTGGGTGTCGAGCTGGCTCACAATGCCATGAACAAGGCGTTTGGCAAGGCCGAGTAATATACTGCTACATGTGACGGGTAGGAACTGGGACGGCACTATGAAAAGAATATACACACAACTAGACTGATAGACAATAAATGTACACTGAATGGCTGGGGAAAATAATTATAATATGTCTAATGTATATGCCGTCATCTCAAAACAACGCCTCGTAAATCATGTCTACATAAAGACAGTGTCAATGACCAAATCACACACTTCGCCGAGCGTGGGAAGCTGACCGCGCTGCAGCAACCTGCGTAGGCCCACGTCGTGGCTTTTGTTGATGTAGCCAGTGGCCAGAAACGCTTTTTCGCTGCCCGACAGCTCCCTCTTCTCCATGTCCTTCCATCTGCGCTCAGCGTCCTCGCGAGCCTCACGCAGGATGCGGTCCGTGTCCTCCGACTCCCACAAATTGCAGCGGTCGCATTCTTTGCAGGGTCGCGGGTCGCCGTCGGGGCGGAAGTGGTCGCAAAAATGGCGGTAGCCCTCGTCGCCCAGGTCGGCGCGGCAGACGTAGCACATCTTGTAGCCGCAGGGACAGGTCAACTTGTTGCAGCCGGAATTCTTGACGAATGACGTGTTGCACCGTGGGCACACGCGCTTGACGGCCATACTCATGGCCTGCTCAACCTGCGTGCGCAGCGCGACCAGCGATGACTCGTGGCAGATGTGAATGTCCTTCCAGGGCTTGTGGCACGAAAGGCATGATATGCGCTTGCAGTCGGGGCTCTGGCAGGTAAATTTAAGGCCGCGCCGTCGGCGGCTGTGTCGGCCGACGGCCTGCGCCCAGTGTCTTTGGAAGAATGGGGCCAAGGGGATGCACGCTGCTGCGACGACACACAGCAGTGTGATGAGAAGAATTACCGGAAGAAGAAGCAGTAGTGCAATGGCCGTAGCACCGAGAAATAGTATTTGGTAGCCACTGTCGAACCGGATGCGCAGTCCGGCTTCCTCGGCCGGCAGATAGAGGTCGTCGATTTCCGCATAGTTGCAAAAAGGGCAGCGAATGAGCGGTACTTTGGATTCAATGAGACCATGGTCTGCCAATCGACGATCCAGTTTCAGGAGCATGTCGGCGCCACCTTTTTGCTGCATCATTGCCTGCTGAAGTTGTTCGTATGGAATCTGCCCAAGACATCGATCACCCTCAGTAGAAAGGCACTTGAGTGTCCCGGTCTCGGGGTTTACGCTGCTCTGCCAGCCCTGTCCAAAAAGTGCCTCCTTTATCGAGTTTTGTATGCAGTCGAAGCAAGTCATGTGGCCGGATTTTGTACACGACGTCATTTCTTCAAACGGGGCCGTCGTGAAGCAGCAACCGCACTCGTACGTGGCCCCTGCCTCTTCTGCCTCCTGCTGGTTGAGTGTTTGGGCTAGTTGGCGATCGGAAGCCTCCTTGACCTCCCTGTCTCGTTTCTTTAACGGCGCCACCAGCGTTTCGTAGAGTTCCCTGTCGAGCTCGGCGCTGCCGGTCGCGCGGATGACGGGTATGATGAACCCCTGGCCGCTCGATTTCCACACGACGAGCGGGTGGTGTTCGGCCTCCCCAGTGGATATCGGCTTTCTTCGGAAAAAGATGGAGGATATCGTGAACCGCCACGACTTGGACGACAGCGTGGCAAGGGTGCGACGGGAATCGAGGTACGAGTAGTTGGACTCGGCGAGGACGCCGTCAATCGTGGAGCGGGAGAGGCCGCGAAACTCTTGCCAGGCGAGCGTGCGCACCGCCCGCTTGTACTCGGGGCTTCGAAAGGCGTCGGACCGGGGCACCAGCGGGCGGCCGTTCGGGCGGTCATCCTTGTCGGGGACGCGCCACCGGCCCTTGACCCATGTGACGCGGTTCTTGAGTAGCGCGTCGGCGACGAGGGCGAGCCGCGACTCGCCGTCAAAATTGGACAGGAGCTCACGAAAGACCTCGATCTGGATGTCGGGAAAGACGGCGGCCAGCGCCTCGAGGCAACTGTTGAGCTGGTGCAGGTCAGGCCGCTCGGGTGGGACGCATGGCAGCTGCGCGGCGTCTTGGATGTAGTCTGGCAGCAGCTCGGACTCGACGAGGGCAGACTTGGATCGGTTCGCTGACGCCTTGTCGCTAGACGAAAGGATACCGAGGGACACCATTTTAAGTGTTCATGGCTGACGAGGACAGAGATGATGGAGCTGGATGTTGTTGATCACCGAACAGTAGGACAGCGTCAAATGTCGAGCCACACAAGCCGCCCCACACAGTTACAACTCCCAACAACAAACAATATGATGAAACATGTTAGTCAACATTACAACCCGCCCACAATCCAACATCTATAAGCCGTTCATCTTTAACATTTCGGGCTTTTGCGTTGACACATTGGCGCAGTCAGTTCATTTCGGCGTGCATGCTTACATGATGCGCACAGTCGAGATTTTGTCGCCCTAACTTGGCCGCCTTATCTCGGTCTAACTAATCCAACAGTGTCGCGCTTGACCAAGACAGTTTGGGCAAAATCCAGCGTGACTGCCTACTGAAGGAAACAAACAAATTTCTCGCACTGTTCTCGCTTGGATAGCAGTCTATGGAAATCTTATCTCGCCGAGATTACACATCGACAAAGCCAGTCTTGCGGAGGAACCCGGCAGCTTCGGCGCAATGTGCAGCTTGTACACCTCTGTGGATGGGCCGTCGACGAGATCAAATATCCGGTTGACAGGGTGGTCGTTGCGGACATTTTCGTCTCCGGAGTAGACTTTTGTCACAGTTATCGTGGCATTCAATTCAAACTCCGGGTGTGGGCGGTAGTCGTCTTCGAGGCCTTCAACGCGGTATTCAAGGTTTGGTGTGTCCAGCTTAAATAATGGTAGAAACATCAGATTCAAAACCCGGCAGCTGGAGTTCTGTCCAGCGGCTGTCGACCTGTCACCGAGTACGGTGCCAGCAGGCTGGCTGCCTGTTCCAGTTTCGAGCTTGACAATATTCTTGGGGGGGGGGTCCATCTATTAGAGTGCAAAAGTAGTCGCCTTTGAGGATATGGTCTGGGTCAAGTCTGTGCTGGGTGCCCTCGCCAAGCTGCTCGGCCCCGATGTTGGTTAGATCATGGGTTGGCCACTGATCGTCGCCTGTGCGCTATTCGTAGCGTAGCGGGGTTTGCGCCATGATGCAAAGCGGAACGGCATTCGGCCGTGAGCAACGCGGTAAACCATGATAGATGCCCTTGGGAGGGACAAATTCCTTGAAGGAAAGTTGAGAGGAGAGTCGGTCAAGGGGCCCAATCTCTCAGAATGGTAAGCACCTCAAGTGTGAAACAACCGGCGGCATGGTTGGCTCGTAATATATAATTTTTTCTGTCCGCAATTGCTCTGTATCAAATGCAAGAATTACATTCGTAAATGTTAAGCTGGTTGCGGGTTCATTCATTCCAGAAAAGGAACTTGATGTAGACGACATATTTGTATAACCCGCCAATGGTCTCCATCGCTACAGCGCCTCTCAGCGCCATGGCGGCCCGAGTCTAGCGGTCAAGCGGCCTCCATGCCTGCCTGACTCGGGCGATCCACCACTTGACGTCTGGAAAATGCAAGCTCAGTGAGTCGACAGTGACCCTCCAGCCGATGCGTGGAGAAAATTGCCCCTCTAGTATCGTTTTGGCTTGACCACACTCTGTCCAAAAAACCTGAGACTTTTATTTCCAATTGATGCAAGACAAAGCATTTGCCCGTCATGGACTCCTTTGTTGACCTGAATGACGGATCTCAGGCATTGGACCTGTCGCGCATCCGATACCAGCTCATGTATGTGCGCTAAAGTTCCTCCCCTCACACTTGCATGCATTAACTCGACTGGCTGGCAAGTCGTCTGGAGGATACCATCATTTTTGCCCTCATCGAGCGCGTGCAGTTTGCCCTCAACAAGGTATGACTTTCTAGCCCTCTGTGACTTTCGCGGTGACCGGAGGAATTGGCATAACTCACAGCCTCGTACAGACCATCTACGTGCCTGGCGCCCTCGACATTCCCGACAGCAAGCTTAGCTTCTTTGACTGGTACCTAAGCGAGCAGGAGAAGCTGCAGTCCCTCATCCGTCGTTACGAGTCGCCCGACGAGTACCCCTTCTTTCCGCAGGCTGTGCAGAAGCCCATCCTCAAACCCCTCAACTATCCCAAGATTCTCCACGCCAACAATGTCAATGTCAATGACAAGATCAAGGACTTTTACACGGACAAATTCCTCCCCGCCGTCTGCCCCGACTTTGGTCACGGCGACCGCGGCGAGACGCAGGAGAATTACGGCTCGGCCGCCACCTGCGACATTGCCTGCCTGCAGGCGCTGTCTCGGCGCATCCACTTTGGCAAGTTTGTCGCCGAGAGCAAGTTTCGCTCCGAGACGGAAAAGTTTACCGCCCTCATCAAGGCCGGCGACCGCAAGGGTATCGACGACGCCATCACGAATCGCGCCGTTGAGCTGCAAATCTTTGAGCGCTTGCGCCTCAAGGCGCTCACCTACGGCAAGGACCCGGGTCTGAAGGAGGGCTCTGAGTCGCACGTCAAGATAGATGTCGACGCTGTCGCCGCCATGTATGAAAAATATGTCATCCCATTGACAAAGGAGGTCGAAGTAGAATACTTGATGCAGCGTCTAGATTCTGCGCCATGATAATGATCAGAACTTCAGAAAATATATGAGCAAATGCCGCGATATATACAAAGTTTATAGTTTTATTTTACTTTTTTTCTTCTATTGGCCAGGGTTTATATAATCATTGACTGCTTTGATTGCTGCCTGGAACTTTGAGGCTTCAATGAGAATCATGTGTCCTTGGGCCTTGATACCCATCTCCTGAAAAGCGCGCTTGCTGTCAGCGACAGCATCGCCCTCCTTGGTGTAGGCGAATCCGCCAAAGGCGGTAGCATACTTTTGCAGCACTTCGTCCTCGGGGTGAAAGTAAAATGTAGACGACTCTTCCTTGGCCTTTTTCTTTTTTCTGTCCTCAATGTCGAGCGTCGACTCAACCTCGGTGTAAGTGCGTGACAGAATCAGGTAGTGCGAAAACTCGTAGGGCTCCTTGTCCTCGACGGCGGCCTCGACCTCGTCAACAAGCATCGAATACAGAGGCGGTGCAATCTCCGAGGGCATGTTAATGAAGCGCTCGGAAAATACGAGGCCAACGTGCTTGTTGGCGTTGATGAGCTCTGCGACGGGGGCCAGGGCAGCATTGGTCCCAGCTTTTTGGACCAAGTACTGAAGGACATCCTTCATGGTGTCTGCATCCTTGTGCACGGCGGTGTTGAGGACAGTAAGCATGGCGTAGGCATCGGTGTTTTTGCCATCAATCTTGACGGTTGAGCCTATCGTTGGTTGCGACAAGACGAGGTCGGCGAGGGTCGACATGTTGAAGAGATTTGCATCGACATCGAATAGTTGGCGCAGGAGCGATTTGACACCATGAAAGTCAATCTCGGGATCGTAATTGAACCATTCAAAGTCGACGTCGACCATGTCAAAGTCCTAGAAAATTATAGTCAATAACTGTATGTAGCCTGGTAGACCGACCGCTGAGGGGCCTACCTCTCCGTCGCTGTCATCCTCGTCCATCTTGTCCGCAGCCTTGTCGGAGAGGCCACCGGACAGCCCATCCTGTTCCCTGGAGCGCTTCTTTCCCATTGTGAACCGTTTCGCGTAATATGAGGGTGAAAAGAGATGCAGCGTAGGCCGGCGCAATGGCTTGGAAAAAAATGGTTTCCAGTCAAGTCAAGCTCTACATTTTTTCGGATGGGCTGCCCCGCACTAGCCTTTATCGGGGACGCCAGAACGTTTATTACACCCACTGTACAGCGCTGCCACCATTGTACTACCCACTGTAGACGAGCGAACGGGCTGCCATGGGTGAGTACGCTGGCATATACCTTAGCATTAGTAGCTGGGCTCGGGAATTGAATGGTTTACCCGGTCTTGGGAAAATGGCACGGTAGACGACATAAAATAGTAGTGAAGAAATAAATTAGTACTTGCCAGTAGGAGCACTATGAAACTACAGGTACAATGGCCTGCCTGGCTGCCCTGGAGTTCCTGCCTGGTCGGGCCAGCAACCTCAGCCGAGTGACCCGCCTGCAGCTCGTCCCATCCAAACCGTTGCCAACCTGACCAGCTTCCCAAGTTGTCAGCTTGTCAGCCTCTCAGCTTGCGTCACAGAGCACCACTACTGGAGTCAATCACCGAACTGCACACACCGACACGCATCCTTTCCTTTGCTCTTACCACGCGAAGTCTGCTTGCTCAACTCATACGTATTACAGCGACCGCACACTCCTCTCCAGCTCACCGCGCGCTGGACCATTGCCGACGACGTCGACGACTCCGCATCACCTGTCGTCATCGCCATGGACTACAGCGCATCGATTCACGAGACCGATGATCCGGTGGGAGCTTCGCCCTGGGGCAACTCTCCCACGTCTTCGCCCAAGAGAAACCTACCTCCGTTTGCCAGCCTCCCGCAGGAGACCTCGTCGTCGTCGTTTCCCTTCTCGTCGCAAGACTCCAATGGCCTAGGCAGCCCAGCTCTCGGCGCAGACGGCTTCCAGCGGCCCGGCACTGCCACCACCGCCTCCGAGACTGAAGGCGAGACCGATCACGAAACTCTCCAAGGGCATGAAGAGTCCGAGGTCCGCCAAGAGATAGACCAGTCTGCTCCGCCAGTTCAGCACCACCACAACCAGCCGCCGCAGCAGCATACGGGCTTCGCGCCGCAGGGACGCGAGGCTGAAGCCATCCAGGGTCCCGTGCACCCTACTGAAGGGCACACTAGCAAGCCGGTGCAGCCTCAATATAGATTACAAGCCAAAATCACTGGCTTGGAGCGCACCGGCAAGAAAGACCCGCTGCTTCGATTCGATGTCTACGTATGTGCTCAGCGATCGACACTACATGCAGCCTTCTAACGATTCACAGACCAACCTCCCTCGATTCCGCACCTCCCAATATCGCGACGTTCGCCGCCTGCACTCTGAATTTGTAAAGCTTGCTGAGCACCTCATCTCCGCCAATCCCGACGCCTTTGTACCAGCTGTCCCCCCGGCCGTCACCTCGGCCGGCGCTGGAACCGATGAGGACGAGACCCGAGTCAAGGCTTTGATGCAGAGGTGGTTCAACTATGTCTGCAGCAATGAGACATTGATGAGAGACGATGAGATGATACTGTTCGTCGAATCAGATTTCGGCTACAGCCCATTGGTCAAAATGAAACAGCCCGCCACAGGCGTTCGTAGAAAGATTCTCAAGCAGTTTGCCCCGCCACCCGACGACACGCCCGAGCTCGCCGATGCACGTCCTGCCGTCAAGCTATTTTATCTCGGTACCATGGATGCAGGACACAAAGTCGATAAGCTAGTCAAAGCGAGACGAGGTATGTGTCTCTCCAAAGAAAGATATGCACAACGCTGACAATGCTCGCACAGGTCTCGGCCTGGCTGAGTCTGATTTTGGAGTCAAGCTCGGAGGTATGCATGTGCAAGAACCCCACCCTGGTCTGGCGAATGCCTACAGGAAGCTGGGCAAGGTTATCCAGAATGTGGGAGACTACCATGCCGCGCAGGCCACTGCCGAGGCCTCCACAATTGGCGACCCGTTTCAATATCACTCGCAGGATGCCTTTATTGTCAAGGAGACCCTGACGAACCGACAGATCCTTACCAGAGAATTCATTCAGGCGCAAGAAGCTACGAGGAGCAAGCTCAATGCCGCTGATCGCCTCAAGACCAGCAGCAGCGTGCGCCGTGAAAAGGTTGACGAAGCCATTTCGGCTCTCGACGATGCGCGCGAGACGGAGAACTACCTTTACAACAAGACCCACAGGGTAACGCAGAACCTGCTCCAGGAGCGCCGCAAGTGGTTCTCGCGGACAGCCACCGACTTGCGCTCAAGCATTAGGGAGTTTGTTTTACGCGAGATTGAGGCCGAGAGACGCACGCTGTCTGTACTGGAGAGCGTGCGCGCGGATATTCGTGCCATTGACTCGTCGGGTGGTCTCAGCCGACTGGGTCGCGAAGCGCATCCTGTCATTCGTCGTACCAATCTGGCTGCCAGCCAAGGCCCCAAGGGTGATGCGTGGAGTGGCGTCCCGCGGCGTGCCGACGCCGCGAACCGCAGCACCTCGACGAGCTTCATGGGCAAGCTGCCCGAGGACAGCGATGCGGATGACGCGCAGAAGGATGCGGGCGGGGCGGGGCGAACAAGTTTGGTAGGTGTTGTCGAGGAAGAGGACGATGACCGCATTGATGCGAGGAACGCGGCGAGTCGTTTAGCCACCAGTACTTTCTAAGAGCACACGGGGTGTTTCCTGATGCAGTTTGATTACTTGATTATTGCGGATGATGGGTCCAAGTCGGGGACAAGGCCCCTCATCCAGTGTTCAATTTACTCCAATGATGTTTCAAGTGGAAAAGAAATGATGGGTGTCTTTTTGTGCACCGCGTTCCAATTCTTATGTGAGCATAGTGTCCATGACCAGTTGAGTCTGTTGACAAGTCTTTGTAACGAGAATCCGGCAACAACACTGCTTCAACGTAATTTTTCGGACGATAGACTTCATCCTGCCACAGCTTCTTACATCATGACTAGAGAAGAACAGCGACCAAGCGGTGCGTAAATATCGCTTTCGAGCCTGTTTTCCGTTTATAGCCAACCTTTACAGGGTAATAAGTTGAGGAAAGGCGGGACTCGAGGTGGTGTTGCACCTACTTAAAGCAAAATAACTGAGACATTTCTATAACTCGCGGCCATAGATTAGCTGGGAGATCGTCAGACTGAAGTTCAACTTCAATCCTACGGATTTAGATACCTATCTGAAGGTCGTGTGTTCGAGTCACACTGGCCGCAAGTTTCTTTTTTTTGCTGTCCCCGGGTGCCTTAAAGTGGGGTGGAAGTGGACACTTTTTTTTCTTTACTCTCCTGGCGGGACGGGCTCCCCAGCTCGTAGCATTTCTGGGGGCGAGCGGGGGGCAGAGCATGTATGGATTGTGATTAAAGCAGTCAAATCGCCCGCTATACATGCCGCTTTTTATAATCTGTGGAAAAGTCTTTCCAAATGTCGCCTGTACAGCTATAAAGATACGAGAAGCACCTCGGAGCTCTCCAGACTTGCGCGCTCGTGCTCAAGCGTGGCGCCCGGAAATCGTTCAGCCCGAACACACCGTGACGTCTTCTCGAAAAAACCACTTGGCAAGCCTCTCGGTCTCGTGGAGAGGGCCACGAAAAGGCATTTCGATGAGTTAGAGCATCGATCTGGGTATTACTTTTTCTTTTTTTTGCCCATTCTTTTCAGCAGCGCGGTGGCGCCCCCCCCAACATGTGTCGCTTATAATACACCGCCATCCTTAGGGTAACACGAGCGAGCAGCAACAACAAGCGCGTGAAGGGACGTATGAATCTTGACCATGTGTATGATAGAAAATAAGCGCCTCGGAAATAACTCGGCGGCCATAGATTAGCTGGGAGATCGTCAGACTGAAGTCCAACTTCAATCCTACGGATTAGATACCTATCTGAAGGTCGTGTGTTCGAGTCACACTGGCCGCAGTTCTTTTTTTGCCCATTGATCCTGTTCGCACCAAAGTCCACCAATTTTTTTGTTGGCATCGCTCGCTCATGATTAGAGGGGCATATCAAGAAAGAATACAGCTGCAATGCACATGTACAAATATAATATGCTATTTAATCCATCTAAACCGAAAGGTCTAGTTTTAGTGAGTCAGCTCATGCAACCTCTCAAACGCCATGCCATGTTTTTCTCTTGGTCTTCGTGTCGATCATGAATATTTGCCGCCTTATTACAGGAGCAAATCGCCTGTGCCAGACAGTGAAAATGTCGGCGTACCGGGATACTCGCCACGTTTCTGTTGGGCGTTTCTGCACCCATCCACAACGGCGAATTTCTTACCCACTTCCCGCGCCTGACCGATGCTCTGCATGAGAGTACTCAAAAGGTTAATGGCCTCGACATCGTTCTGCTCTGAGATCATCTTCTTCTTGAAGGACTCATCGTCCGAGGGAATCACCAACCCAAGGCGGCCAGTGAGTGCTTTAATCTCTCGCAAGACTGTCAATGAGGGGGCCACTGTAGACGCATCAGTATCCATGGAGCCTTCGTCCGCCGTGTCTTTGCTTGCAAATGAAGGAGGAATACTGTCGAGATATGCAATGAGAAGGTGGATCCTTGATTGAAGCATCTTGACGGCGTTGGCTTTGGCGGTAAGGGCAGTGAGCGTCTCCTCTTCTTCACGCGAAAGAAATACACCAGGCTCGTCTTCCTGGGCGATATCGGTGGATTCTTCTCGTTCGCTTTCGACAAGGCGCCGCTTGCCTTTGCCGTTTGACTCAATAGATCGCGATGGATGTGTGTCTTTGGAGGCGACAGCGGCGGCGTTGCCTCCACCACTCGCAATATAGTTCATGCTTATCATTTCCGTCTCATCCGTCTCGACAGAGTACGGAACTTCTCGAAACTTGAGCTTCAGCGGCGGTTCTCCGTCGTCCATCTTTCTGTCTTCGCCATCGTGGATCGATTCGTCCGCTTCGTAGTTGCTCTCGTATATAGTCAGTGGCAGCTTGCCACCAACAGAGTGATTTAGAACCTCCTGGGGTTGAAAGCCCAGAAGAACTGCAGACTCGTTCCAGCCTTGTAGAATCTGGTTGTGAATGGGCAAGATCGTCGGTGTCGGCCCATCTGCGGGGAGCAGAGTGTACCAACCAACAAAGTCGAGCTGTCGATCCTTGTGAACGGTAGTCACTGTAGCCAGCATTAGAAGTAAATCAGTAGGGTGCATGGAGATAGAATTCACTTTGCTCGAGTCTGGCAGTAAATCTGGTGTAATCAAGCAGGTAGCCACCCTCCTCGTTCGGCGCCTCCACGAGGTGACATTCGAATGCATGCTCGATGGTAATTTCACGGCCATTTTGTTGGCCAAGGAGAGCGCCAATTATTGGCACGGTCTGCTGGCGGAGAGTATGGCGCGTAATGTAGTCAGAGATTGTGAGAAGCACCAGCGGATGGAGGACAGCATGGAGCTGCGAGCTCTTCTGGCTCGAAATGAGGGGGTTGAGGCAACAGTCATCCATTGTTGATGGCGCTGCAAAGCCTTCTGTGCAGTTTCGTACGAATCAAGTGCCACCTCTTCTCAGAACGAGTGGTTGTGCAGAACGAGGACCTGCTGGGCAACTGGTAGATGGAGATGTGAAGCTCAAATGATGCAGAAGCTAACTAAGGTATGTAGCGTAGCCCCCCGCAATTGCCTTGCGCCGCAGAGGCGACTGCCCCACCATTCCATGGCAAAGATGTACCACAGTGAAGTACACGCACGACAAGTGAACAAGATAGCTTTTCCTATGAATTTGGCATGAATCATTATGAACACTATATAGAGTTGAGTTTTTAAAGCACCAATCCACCAAACACGCTATGCAAACAATGCTCGCTGCCGATTGTACTGTGAGTACTGTAAGTCGGCTCTACTTGATACACTTTTATATGGCTGGATCAATTCTTGACCTCTGTTTGCTCTTCGGGATCGGCAGTCTTTGCTTTTGCCGGTTTGATAGACTTCCACTCGATGCCAAGAGACGAAAGCAATTGAGCAGCGGTGATGGCCAGACAGGCGATGAATATGCGCGTGACGGCATAGTTGTAGGCATCTACAACTTGACCAAAATATTGTTGAGGGACAACATTATGTAGCTGTGTGGCTCCGGTTTTGAGGATCTTATCAGGATCTAGACCGGGGATTCCTGATAGGCGAGTAACGAGGGCTGTGCTGAGAATGGTCTGGCCGACAGACACAAAGATGGCACCACCGAGCTGCTGGGCAAAAAAGCAGATTGCCGTACCAGTCGCAACATCGTCCTTGTCAACAGTGGCCTGCACTGCCAGGGGAGGACCTTGAAAGCCAAGACCGACGCCGAAACCAGCGAGGAACTGATAACCGATCCAGTGAGGCGACCCAGTCTGGGGAGTAAAAGTCGTGAGCAAGCCCTCAGCAATGAGCAAAAGACAAGGACCAGAAACCATGGTGGGAATGTAGTAGCCGCTCTTTTGAGTGATGATCCCAGACATGATGGAGGCAACAACGAGACTCAGAACAAGCGGGATGGTGTATATGCCGGACTTGACAGGCTCCACGCCATGAGTCGTTTGGACTGAAGAAAGTTAGCGTTTGAAAAGATGCTGTGAGTTGGGACAAAACTTACACCAAAGGGGAATGTAGTAAACGAGCATCATCATGCTGCCAGCCAAAAACAGCATAACGCAAGTGGCGAGAGCCATGGTGCGCTGCTTGATCAGGCGCCAAGGAAGAGAGGCAGACTTGGGCATCTTATACTGGACTGTGGCAAAGGCAACAGCGCCAACAGCAAAACAGACAAAAAGGACAATGATGCGCCAGTTGCTCCAGGAGTAAGTAGATCCGCCCCACTGGAGCGCGAGCAAGAGGCTGACGACGGTGGGGATGAAGAGGGTTGTGCCAACGGGATCGAGTCTGATGAGCTTTTGTTTCTGAGGCAGGTCCATCATTTTTGTTTTTGGGAATTCAAAAATGTAGAGGAGAATGAAAGCGACAACGCCGATGGGTAGGTTCATGTAGAAACACCAGCGCCAGGTAGCACGCTCTGTGAAGGCGCCACCAATCAAGGGCCCGGCAACAGAAGCGACGCCAAAGACCATGCCAAACATTGCCTGGAACATGGGCCGCTTGTGGAGAGGGACCAAAGGAATGATGGTCATCATGGCACCAGTCATAATACCGGCGGAGCCTAGACCAGCAATGGCACGACCAACAATGAAGACGGTCGATGAAGGTGCGGCACCGCAGATGGCGGATCCAATCTCGAAGAGGACAATGGCGATCAAAAACGTCCACTTGAGGTCGTAGAAGCTGTAGATGCGGCCAAAAAGCAGCTGGAACGCGGCCGTAGTCAGCATGTAAGCCGAGCCGTACCAACCAATATCAGCCTGGCTCCCAAAGTCATCGGTGATTCGTGGAACGGCCGTGGCAATGATGGTGCGATCAAGGGCGACCAAAAACATGGAAGTAAAGGTGGAAAGAAAAACGAGCCAAAATTTGAGAGTCTTTGGCTTGTATAGCTCATCATCTCTGGTGGGTGTTTGTTGCAGAGCTTCGAGGCTGGCAGTCTCGTCGACGAGGGTAGCATGCTGCTCCTTGGGGAGTTCCATGGTCGTCTCGGAGGAAAGAGTGCGTTGCGATTGTGCAGAGGAGTTGGGATGAGCAGAGGATGTCATGGCCATTTTGTAAGCACTCTGACAATGTTTGCCAACGGGCGCATTCTGGTGATGATATTGAGTTGGCGGGCGCGTTTATATACATGTTGTTTGATCCGTTCGCAAACATCGGGCCTCGGGTTTGACGCAGCGTCATGCCCGAGATTCCTCTGCAAGTCCCATGGCGCGGAAATTCGTGGCTGACAATCGAATCCTTCGCCCACATACTTGTGTGACGCTAGCAATGGCTCTTTGTTGGCTGAAAATTTTCAAGGCAGAGAATTGTAAGGCTGCAGCATCCTCAGCTTGGGTGCCACTGGTGCAAACTATTTACTTACTTGCTGGGTCATGGAGGAGACGTTGTTGGCCGATGACGCTAAGCCGGATTGGGCCCTATGCACTGGACCGAAGAACCCCGCTCGGGACCGACTCTCAATTCTCGCATCCGGCTTTAACTAGGTATGATGACTCTTCATCAATCCGCTTGCCAAGCACCGTCCCACTAACCGCCGCGTACTTGCATCTGTAACTCGTGGCTTTTGTTACATTTATCGGCCCCGTTTCGTGCTCATTGGCTTCTGCTTCCGGTGGATAAGGTTTCCGCCGCGGCCAATTGCAGTTGCTGGTGTAGACGTGGCCTGCAGCGTCAGAGTCAGTCTGTCATACGCTTTCTCAGCCTTATGACGCATCATCGATCCAGCTCTGTACATATGCTTATGTGCCCTGCGACAAAACTATACCGCGCGCTCGCTTCGTGCCAGCCGCCTGCCAAGATCGCGGATCGCCAGCTGATAAATATACCCGGCCATGGCTTCGCAGGGCCAAGCCCCGGCCCCGAGCATGGGGCCGCCGAACCCGCAACCAGACCCCTCTGCCATGAAGCTGACCCGCGGCACCAGTTGCGTCCGCTGCCAGCAGCGCAAGGTGCGCTGCGATAAGCAAAAGCCCTGCTCCAACTGCGTCAAGGCCGGTGCCGATTGTCGCGTCGTGCCACCTCAACCCCCTCGGAGACGTAAGAAGCGCCTGCAAGAGAGAGACCTACTGGACCGCCTCAAAAAGTACGAGGACCTGTTGCGGAAACACAATATCAAGTTTGATGCTTTGGATATCAAGTCCGAGGCTACCCATGAAGACGTTGATGATTTGGAGAATGATTTTGAAAATCTCAGAACAAGCCCGTCTGAGGGCACCTATATGTCATCATGGAACGCGCGTGGTCAACGGTGGAAGCTTGGCTCCTTTCTCAAGCTGCATAATAAAACAGTACGGATTATATGCTACTGACAATCACGACTTGCTAACCGGCTCATAGTTCCACGCTCATGCTCGCCTCGTGGACGACTCTTCCGACGACGAGGCCGACTACCCCACCATCTACAAGGCCTTTGACAAAATGTTTACCAACCGGAATCCATTCCCTTTCCTCATCAGCGATCAGGAGATTCCACTCGCCGAATATCGTCCATCCACGATACAAATGTTTCAGCTCTGGCAGATCTACATTGACAATGTGAACCCTTTGTTGAAACTCACGCATGTGCCCACCGTCCAGCAGCAAGTCATTGCCTATTCTAGTCACCCGGATCAATCTTCCAAAAACATGGAGGCGTTAATGTTTGCCATTTTCCTCATGGCAGTGTCGTCTCTTGACGAGCAAGAAGTACAACAGCGCCTCCAAGCCGACAGGCAAGAGCTGCTGGGCCAACTTTTTGCAGGACTACAACAAGCTCTCATCAACGCCAATATTATGCGCTCTGCTGACCTTGCCACTCTACAAGCTTTTCTTCTTTACATGGTTCGTGAAACTCACTTTAATTGCGATCTGTATACTTACTTTTCTATAGCTGGCTATCCGCTGGTTTCTCGACCCTCGACACGTGTTCTCTGTCATGGGCTTGCTGGTGCGCATGGCTCATCACATGGGGCTGCATCGAGATCCTGCAGGTCAAGGGCCGAATGCCTATGAAAGCGAATTACGGCGTCGTCTTTGGTGGTCAATCGCGGCATTTGATCGACGCGTCGGTGAAATGGCTGGCGCGACTGTGACAGCTCTGGCCGTAGCCAATGACACCCGCATACCCCTCAACATCAACGATGCTGACTTGCATGTCGAACAAGTCGAACTACCGACAGCTCACAACGGCGCGACCGAGATGACATTTGCACTGATCCGAGCAGAGCTTGCCATGGCGACGCCAGAGGACTGGGACCGTGAACTTCAGTCGCCGCAGCCCACTGAGCAACCCGCTGGCAGAGTTATGATCAGGTTGCTTGGTAGGGACAGGAAAACGTATACGATTGATGGGTTCTGCGCGCATATTGAGGGGACGTATCTTGTCCACTGCGATCCTAACATTCCCTTTCACTTTTTTACACTTACAATGACTCGCCAGGCGCTCAGCAGGCTGCGCGTCATTACATATCTCATTCGGCTTGCCCATGGACACACCTCGACGACTGATGAAGTCGACCGCGACTCGTTATTCGTGCAAGCCACGCAGATGCTTGAACACGATAATGTTCTGCAATCACGAGACAATCTCAAGTGCTATCGCTGGTTCACCCACCACCACTTTCCCTTTCCCGCCTACATGTTTCTCGTCAACGAGCTCCGATTCCGGCTCATCGGCCCTGTGGTGGACCGCGCGTGGGCGGGTATCGAGACGAACCAGTCGCTTCGCGGCATGATGCACGGATTGCACTCGCCGATGCACCTGGCCTTTGGCCACCTCTTTGTCAAGGCGTGGAAGGCGCGCGCGGCCGCCTTATCGGAGCGCGGCGAGCAGCCCACGACCCCGAGCTTCATCGTCGTGCTGCAGGAGTTTGTCGAGAGGCGGCGCCGCGCCAAAGAGCAGAACCTGCCAGACCCCCTCGATGAGCCGTCCGAGGTGCTGGAGGTGCCCAAGCCGTCGCCGACAGCGTACAGTACGCCGGGCTCGCACAACGACAGCGGCATCGGCAAGATGACGCCGATGATGGCCAACTCGCCCGTCGGCGCGCCTATGCCCGCGCCGCCTGGCCCCAGCCTGGACGACACGGACATGGACTGGTCGTATATCCTGTCGGGTTACCAAGACGGAACCATCTTTCAAAACTTCAATACATTTAATTTTGGAGAACCTGCACCTGGTATGGGGGGCATGGGTGGTATGGGTGGTATGGGGATGAACATGGGCGGAGGGCCCAATATGTTTGGAAATTGATGGGTTTTTGTATAAATACAACGTATGAATGTCGGAATTTCGGACGGCGTTTTGGTGTTGGACGAGAATAACTCTCCTCTGGGTGCTATCACGCACCATTTTGACTACAGACGGCTGCGAGGGCGATCCTCACTCTGCTCGATGATTATGGATGAAATCCTTGATAATAAAAAAAAATGTAAAACGAGAAAAAAAGAAGAACTCTAGAAACTTGACCTTTGTTTGCCTTTTTCATTCTCGTAAAATGCCAATATGTACAACAAACCCCGCGCTTGGCCGCAGCGCCTCGGGCAGCTTGTCGTCGGACACGCGCCACACGCGAAACTCGTCGACAAACGCCGCGAGCCAGGCCCGAAACACGTCGTCATCACGCAGCTGCTGCGCGACAATGCACAAGCTCGGCCGCAGCCTCTTGTCCTCGCCCATTGCCGTCTCCTCGTCCCGCTCCCATTCCTGCCACCGCCGCCGCTGCTGCCGCCGCCGACACGCCTCGACGCAGGTCTGCACCAGCGGCGCAATCAGCGCGTCATTGTACACGCAGTCGCACGCTAGCACGGCGTCGTAGCTGCGCCGCGGCGGGAGCTGGTCCGTCTCCCAGTCGAGCGTCTCAAAGGAGATGCGAGCGGCGTTGTGCGGTGGCTGTTGTAGCTGTGGTGGCGACGTGAGTTTTGATTTGCGGCGGGATGCGGATCGGGGCGTAGAAGCAACGGCGGCGGCGGCAGTCATGTTGGTGTCAATGTTGAGCTGCACGAGCCGCTGCACGTAAGCCTGGTCGGTGAGGAGGTGCGCGGCGACGCGCGGCGCGAGGGCGAGGGCGTTGAGCGGGGAGATGCCGCAGCCGAGTTCCAGGACAGTCGAGGCGCGGTCAAGAAGAGAGCTGGAAAAGAGGAAATTGGTGGGCGAGGCGAGCCAATCTGCAAACACGGGGGAAATCTTCCACAAAACTGATACGCGGGCGCGGGGCCGGTATTACGCCACAAGGTCAGCAAACAAAAACTACAATTTATTAATTTTGCGGGAAAATTTAACAAAGAAAAAAAAAAGAAGGGAGTGAAAAGGATGGAGGTGATGGATGGAGCGGTTACCGGCGCCGGTGGTGCCGCCGGCGCGGTCAGAGGACAGCACGCCGGGGGACTGGTGGATGGTGTAGTCGACGCCGCCGACGCGCGCCTCGACGGTGCGGGCCCGGGGATCGACGAAGCCAAGATCGGAGGAGGGCAGGGGCTGCGAGTAGAGCAAGAAGGTTTCTGCGCACGGAGGAGAGGCGTCCGTCAGCATGGGAGAGCTCCCTTGCGAAAAAGGAACAAACAGTGTGAGAAAGAGAGAAAGGGGGAGGGGGGATGATGGAACCTTCGTCGGCGTCTTCGATTTCGGGCTTGAGCAGCGACTCGAGAAGCTCGGCGCAAGTCATGTTGCCGTCGTGGACTTGTAGTTGCAGAAACACGAAAAAATACGAGATGCGAAGCGGGACGACCCACTGTAGGTCATGGACATGGATGCAGACGATCTTGGTTGGCCTCTAATAAATCTGTCTTCTCTCGATGGGCCTTCTTTCGATGGATATTCTCTGATGGACCCTTTCTCGTTACGACTTCTTTCCACACGTCTTTCTTCAATACTTCTTTATACATATTCAGACATATTGTAGAGTCGCTTTGCATAAACTTGATCAGGTACATTTCCATAATCACAAGAAACCAAGAAGTGAGAACGATCTGATCAAACCAACTGAAAACCAAAACGGTACACTTGCTTTGCTGTAGTTTTCTCTCTATGTACAAAAATTCCAAGTGGAGGGTCCGATTAGACGAGCCCATCGTAGAGGGAGAGGGCTGAAACAATAGTTTCGTCGCGTTTGCTGCCCTCCTTAAACTCTTCAATATCCAGGCTGCCATTCTCGTCCTTGTCCATCATGCGAAAGATTTTGCGGACGCGCTTCTCGGGGGTGTCTTCGTCTTCGGGAAGCTTAACCATAGAGCCGACCTGATTGTTCAATGTTAGTCTGGTACACAACTGGGACGGACAGGGTTTTCGCGCATACCATTTTGTAAATGGCTTCCACAATTTGCAGCATTTCGTCATAGGTAATCTTGCCGTCGCGGTCAATGTCGTAGAGCTGAAAGGCCCAGTCAAGCTTGTCCTCCATCTTGCCCCGGCTGGTAACACTCAGGGCGCAGATAAACTCCTTGAAGTCAATGGTACCGGAGCGATCGCTGTCAAAGACGTTGAATACATAGTCGGCAAAGGAGCTGGGATCGCCAAAGGGGAAAAATTGGCGATAGATCTTTTGAAACTCTTGTTTGCTGAGCAGGCCGGAGGGGCAGTCCTTGAGGAAGCCTGTCGGGGTATGTTAGCACGTTGATACATCGAGACAGACGGGGAGCAGCATGTGATTGATCGACATGACATGGAAAAATGTCTCGAGAGTGCAAGGCCGACTGCGCCTGATGGCGAAGCAGATTGTAATGTTAATCGAGACAGCTTACCCTTGTACCATTGCTGCAGCTCCTTCTTATCAAAATGAGTCGACTTTTGCAGCTCAAGAAGCTGCTCTTGGGAAAGCTTAGACTGCCTAGAGAAAGCGCCGAGGTACCGAGCGGCAGAGGTTAGCGAGTGTCTTTATCAATATAGTGCATATTGCATGCAGAATGTCTCGGTGAGCTGCAAAATGACGTCCAAGACAGCTAGACAAGGACAATGACAGGGCCTCCTAGTTGCGTGGCGCAACCAGCCGTCTGTGACAGGGGATGCGTGACAAAGAAAATGGATTGGAGGGGCAGCGCCCACGGCCCAGGCGTATTGTTGCGTCAACGGGGTAGCGCCATCGCGACCGACAGAGATTTACATAGACGTAGGTTGACAAGAATGATCGACGAGAAAATGAAAGCGACTCACGATTTGCCCATGTTTATTTTGTCGGATGTGCGGTCGTGGTAGGTTGAAAAGGCGTCGATCAAAGGGCGGCGCGGAGGGGTATGTAGGCCGGCGCCAGTGCGGCAATCGATGGCCCAGGGTCGGTAAGATGCGACTTGGTCTGCGCGATGATGTGTCAGTCTTGAGTGGTCGAGATAAACAACGAGATATGTACTCTTTTTGTACTGTCGGGGGTAATGCGAGGAACTCGGGGCAGCAGTATCGCAGAGGTTGGCAGCGGAGGGGTCGGGTCGAGAGGAGAGGGATGCCGGCGGCGGCGGGGAAGAGGAAATGACAAATCGTCAAAGAGAAAAGAAACCAAGAAGCGCTAGAAGACCGAGAGTAAAAGATTCTTCAATGTCGTCTGGTTCCTAGGGATCATAAAGGCGTCGTGAGGAAAAGAAACGTTATTTGTTGAAGGAGGAGTCCAAAGTGGCGGAAACAATGGCGAAACGAGGGACTGGACCTTATTAGACCTGTGAAGGCGGCGCGGCAAAGACAGGCTTTTGGTCTGGTCTGGCCTGGCCTGCGGGGGGGGAGAGGCGGGAGGGAGCAAGCTGAAGTGGGAGTGGGTGTAGCAGGCAGGAACTTGGAAAGCAGCACGCACCAGCCAGCTACCTAGAAATTCACAGCCAGCTATTTACAGCCAGCTACCTAGGTACTACCTAAATTACTGCCAGCCCAATTTTTGGAGCTAAAGGACACCAGCGTGCAGCTCTCTCCGCGCTGTAACCAGTGTGCATTAGCAGGGGCGAGGCGCTAGAAAGACCTTCCATTTGAATTCCAAGAGGCTTGGGGCGGGCTCAAGCCACAGACGGCGGCTCCCTCTATTTTGGGCTACTTTGGTGTACGCCTTCACATGTAGCGCCATTTCGTGCCAGCGATATCCTCAGCCAGGTGTGCCGCTCGCATTAGGTAACAGTTATTCGCATTCATTCGATTCCAATATCCATGCATTAGAATTATGCAGAAATATCTCTCGGTGACCTTTCAGACAGCTACCTACTCCCCCCAACCCCCCACAAAATAGGCTTGCCCTTGTGGTGCAATTGCCGCCGACACCGCCACGTAACTCATGACGCCGCATCACGACAAGATTTACTACGGGGTAGAAATCCCATTGTTGGCGATTACATAACCAGTCACGAAACATTGCTTTCCTCGTCTTCCGCAAAGCCCCAATTCTCGTCCTACGTCAAGTTGGCTCCCTCTTTCGAACCCAACCCTGTTTCTCCCCCAACCAAGCAGCGATCTCGCGATTCTCGATACACTTTGCGATTTGTCTGGAAGCGTCAGCCGCTCCCTGAATCACTCATCAAGGTGCAAAATTATCAAGGTCCGTCTACGACAATTGAACATGGTATACGCCAGTTTACCCATCGACGTCTGCAAAAGAGTAAATTTGTGGAAATTTCGAGATTCTCCGCACAGCTTAATCATCGCCATCGAATGTTCCAGCCAGCTTCTTTCTCGACGACTTTTGGTGCCGTAGTTATGCGCTGGCGTCTCAGGCGTTAGTTCCTACAACCTGAGGTGGTAGTCACCTTTTCGTAGCCCCTTCAGGTGAGGTATAAGTCTGTAAATAGACCATATGTGCCCTCAACGAGAAGCTCAAGTACCGGAAGAGGGTTATATAACGGCCAGAGGGTAGCTCTCTCAGGCGGGGCGAGCCGGTCAAGTATAGCTACCCCAGCTTTCACAATGGCATCGAGAATTTCGGCTTGAATTCGTCCACGATATCCTCATAACCGCAGGCATAGCTGAAATCAAAGCCTCTATCAGAAGAGAGGGGATTTCAAGGGCTACGAATACCAGGACAGCGGCAAACAGAGCACCGCGAGTATTGGGGAGGCTGGCCGCGATCCAGGTAGACAGGTGGGGCGCTGCCCGCTTCGATGCCAGCCGGACTCGGAACTCTCCATAACACTCAACTACAGCCTCCGCTTGGTCTCGATTAAAGCTTTGACAGCACGTTCGAGAATTCAACGAGAAGTTTTTCAAACACAGAGTTGTCATCTTAAACAAGACTACAGCATGGCCGAGCCACTCACTGCAGCCGTTCTCATCGTGTCCACCACTGCGGCACTGGACCCGTCAACAGACGCCGCCGGCGCGGTTCTCCGAGAGGTGTTCAATGTTGATGGCGCAGGGAAATGGGCTGTAGCGGATGAAAAGATTGTCTCTGACAATGTCATTGATATACAAAAGCAGATTATGCAGTGGACAGATGGAATCGACGCACCAAACTTTATCATCACAACGGGAGGCACTGGATTCGCCGTGTCTGATGCTACCCCGGAGGTACAAGCTGTGATGGATTTATTGTATGAATTTCGATGTGCTGATCAGTAGAGATAGGCAGTCACCGCTTTACTTCACAAGCAAGCTCCCGGTCTAGTTCATGCCATGTTGTCCACATCACTGGCTGTCACTCCCTGTAAGTTCATTCCCAAGCTCTGCTGTCTGATACTAATAGCCAAGCAGTTGCCATGATGTCTCGCCCTGTTGCGGGTGTGAGAAACAAGACTGTCATCGCCACGTTGCCGGGATCTCCGAAAGGTGCCAAGGAGAACCTCCAGGCAATTATCAAAACTTTGCCGCATGCCTGTCTGCAAGCTGCTGGTGCCAACTCAAGACAATTGCATTCTGGTGGTACAAGAAAGCTGGAGGAGGAAGCTGGAATCGCTGGCCATTCACATTCTCATCCACACAGTCATTCGCACACCCATGAACATGAACATCACGGACACGACCACAGCCACAACCACAGCCATGGACATGGACATGGAAGCCTAGTTCGCCATACGAAGCCGGGTTCTGATCCTCTTTCCAATGACCCAACTCTCGGGCCAACACGTCGCCACCGGGAATCACCATATCCCATGGTATCTGTCGATGATGCTCTTGCCATGATAGATGAATTCACGCCGCAACCAGAAGTTGTACACACCAAAGTTGATCAGTACATCATCGGATCAGTGCTGGCCGAAGAGGTCCAGGCACGCGAAAATGTTCCCGCTTTCAGAGCCAGCATCGTTGACGGATACGCCGTTGTAGCACCAAAAGACGGCAACTTAAAGGGCGTCTTCCCCGTCGTTGGTGTTTCGCATGCGGCGCCGGGAGAGATTGCCGCCCTCCAGGAGGGCCAGATTGCGAGAATCACAACCGGAGCACCGCTGCCCCCCGGGGCGACTTCCGTCATCATGGTCGAAGACACCGTTCTCAAGACCATGACGGACGATGGAAAGGAAGAGAAGGAGGTGGAAATCCAAGCCGAAGGTGTTAGGGAAGGTGAGAATGTTCGCGAGGTGGGAAGCGACGTCAAGCAAGGCACTACAATCCTGAGCAAGGGAGAGCAAATCTCCGGCGTCGGTGGTGAAATCGGTCTCCTGGCGTCTGTCGGAGTGGCTGAAGCCGCCGTTTACAAACGGCCAGTCATCGGTATTTTATCCACAGGCGACGAGATTATCGAGTACAATCGCCCCGGCGCGCTGAAACTTGGCGAGGTGCGCGACACAAACCGTATCACACTGATTTCTGCTGCAAAGGAGTGGGGATACGAAGTCGTTGATCTGGGCATTGCACAAGACCAGTCCAACTCCCTGGAAGAGACTCTGCGCTCCGGCCTGCGACAGGCCGACGTGCTAATCACCACGGGCGGCGTATCCATGGGCGAGCTCGATCTCCTGAAGCCGACTATCGAGCGCTCTTTGGGGGGGACGATTCATTTCGGCCGCGTTGCGATGAAGCCCGGCAAGCCAACGACATTTGCGACCGTCCCAGTCAAGGACAATGCTGGCCAGCGCGTGTCCAAGGTCATCTTTTCGCTCCCTGGCAACCCCGCCTCGGCGCTGGTCACCTTTCACCTCTTTGTCCTGCCGTCGCTGCACAAGCAGTCTGGCATCTACCCAGTTGGTCTTCCAAGAGTGCCCGTCATCTTGGGACATGACTTTTATATGGATCCCCGTCCCGAGTACCACCGCGCCGTGTTGACCGTCGGACCTGATGGCCAGCTAACAGCAAACAGCACTGGTGGACAGAGAAGCTCGCGGGTTGGCAGCCTGCGCTCCGCGAATGCATTGATATGCATGCCAAGCGGCAAAGGAAAGATGGAAAAGGGCTCCAAGGCTCATGCCCTCTTGATGAATGCAGTCAGGAGTTCATAGAGGATCAGCCAGCCGCCATGTATGAAAGCAGGGTCCATAACAAACAAGGCAGATACGAGCGCAACCAGGATGAAACGATGATTTTTGCATTTATTGATCTTTGCGCTGATGTACAACATATTAATACACCCGGAAAGCACATGCTTCCCTGACCGATCTTTCCGAACGCCAGACCACGCGTGTTAGTCTAATGCATATATTTTCTCCACTCATTATTGCTACTGGAGCTGCATGATTGCTGATAAATGCCGTCGAAACAAGTCCACGAGCTGTGCCGCCTCAAACGCTCTTTCCGATTTGAGGGGCCTTTTGTGCGACAAGAAGGCCAATGATGAGACCAAAAAGACCAAGAACCGAGCTGAAAATCTCGACAACCAGAATCTTGACGAACCTATTCGATCGGTTAGCAAATGGGTTTCACCGCCTTGTTTCTTGCTCTATTGAGACGTACAATGTAGCATCAGCAGCATCGGCAAGAGCCGCACCACTGCCGTTAATTCCAACGGCAATACCACAGACGAGGTTGCACAGGCCGACAGTCAGACCAGCCCAGAAAAGAGCGAATCCGGTATAATAAGTGTCGGCGGAATATAAGTCGCGGCCAGAAACGTTGTCGATTTTGGAGGAAAAGACAATGGCCATGATGACGCCATAAATGGCGACAACTTCGCAGAATATGATTGAGATTAGGTTCTTGGTTCGGATTCGAGGAGCCTTGACGGCTGCGCCAAGAATAGAAGAGCCGGTGATGAAGATACCCCTAGAAATCCCGATGCGTTAGTGATTGTAGCCTCAGAACAGCAGCAGCATTCTGCTAGATGTCGCGGGAGAGGAGGGGGGGGGGGGCAACGCACCAGGCCGCGCCAGCGACTGACAGACCGATGCAGAGGGCAATACCCAGATCAGCCCATGTGAATGGCGAGACGCTTTCGAGAAAGGCTCCGACGTTGAAGGATTCACCGCTGCCGGTGAAGAGCATATCTAGGCGACGACGTCAGCTGGCGGTTTTAGCACAGACTCACAGGACCTGGGTCCCGCGTCCATCAGAGAGAAAGCCGTACATAATCCAACCACGGTCAGAAACGACCCTATGCCGCCGAGTCCGTAGTAGAAGCTCATTGCGCCGGCTTGTTTGGTGTGTGGGAGTGTGACGATGAGGGCGTTGCGTCGTTGCAGAGAGGCATGCAAGCTTGTCGGAGCTCCCAAGTCGAAGTCGATCTGGCGCGAAACCGCCTGGGTCTGTCGCTGTCTGCGCATGCGTTTTCTGATTCGCTCGCTCTCCTGAGCTATCACGTGGGGTGGCCGCCCCAATCAGCAGCCACCCCAGCTAACCTCCTCCAGGTATCCTGCTAGAGGTAGCCTCAACACAGTTACTTTAGTTTATTATTCCTCATCACGGCTTCGGACTACATTTTTCGATAAAAGGCTTGAATAAATTATCTATTTTTTTTTACGTCCTTCTGCGTTCTTCTGCAACCTTTTGCGTCCTTCCACCGCTCTTTCTTATGCAGCTCATAGCAAGACTGCCACATTACGTCTCCAAAAGGGTTAATATAGTGCGCAGAACACGGGGACTCTCACTGATGGTTCACAGCGGCAGAACTCTTCACACACTGTAAAGTACAAAGCCCAGCAAGAGCGGCAGCGAGCCAATCAGCATATAGCATTTAGCTCAATTTCTATAGTGTCATTCAAGTTCCTAATTCACTTAATAAAGACTATAGTACTTTTCAACTATTTTAGCCTGTACAGAGTCCCCCGATTTAGCAACCTAATCACCCTAGTGTCTGTCTACCAGGGCTTCGATCTCCTCTTCATGTCGACAATGCTAGCAAATGCAACGGCACCAGCAAACACCATTTGTGGCAAAAAATATAATCCCGCCACTGAATTGAACAGGATCAGAAGGAAGCCCTGAAAAGTGCAAATCCATGAGATTTGGTAGCCGGAGTGCGAGCGTAGCAGGCCGCTTTCGTAGTAAGCCTGGGAGGCACCGAATGTGTTGATGATGCCCCTATGGGGTTGGGGTGTAAGAAAAAATTCGCTGAATATGTTACATACCAAGAGTTAAAGAAGAGCAGATGCGCTCCAAAGACCTGAAGCCATGCTTTCCACCCGCCGTTGGGAATGGGCTCAGTGGTTGGCGTTGGCGGGGGATTAGCCGCCAAAGAATCAAGCTCCCCCTTTACAGCGCTGCCTTGTTCCGACGTGTAAGCAGATTCAGGGTTTTGATCTGCCGAGATGTGGTCTGGGGCGAAAGACTGCGTGGAAGCGATGCGTCCAGACATGGCGAAGAAGCATACAGGTCGGCAAAACCACACCGATAGGCCAGCGCTTAAGGAGAGACGAGAAGATTGTCTGTCAGGGTCAATACTGCTGGAGTAGAGGATGAATGGCAATGAAGATTATTATTTTTCAGGAAATGACGGTGTTTTCAAAGTTCTCGATATGGCTTGCGTGTTGAAAAGCTTCCCAATCGGGCAAGTCGCTCAGCAAAGGTCCAAATCAGGAAATCAGATCAATTTAGAGCCAAGTTGTAAGCGGATTTCCCCCAACGACTTATAAGAACCGCCGCCGTTGCATGTACCACGCGAGGCTATTACCACATCACGCCGCTAGGAAAAACGACGGACTGATATCGCTTGAGGAGTAAGTGGACAAATTAGCAGTGGAAACGGCCACAAGTTCCTGCATGCTTATTATTTGGCTGACTATTATTGAGATGAACTCCCTGACGAAGTATGTAAAGCCCGACCTATTAAAATTGATCTCAAAGACGTGTTCAATATGGCTGAGTCTTAGAGAAGTTTGTAATACGTGCATGTCATGTATTTAAAGTGGCTAGCATGCCGCCCACTCGGGCTTTTCAAGGATGCGGATAATAGTCTCGAGTCTACTCTTGAGATTTTTTGAGACGTCCAACAGCCACTTGAGATTCAGCTTTGCAGACTCAGTCTCCGAGACAACGCTGGCCGTGAGTTCCAAGTCCTGGTGGGCTCGGATAGAGTCGTCGAAGTTGGCAACGAGATGGTCAATGTTGCGTGCCGTGGAGAGAATGACTAGTCGTTCGAACATTGCATTATTTTCCTCGGACAGCTGGTAGAGTCCAAGAGTGAAGCGGAGGTTATCGCTGGCGGGTCCGCCGGTGAATGCGGACGGGCTCTTCGCAATGACACACATCAACGCCACTTGGCGCTGGTGAAGCATGGCCAAATTCATCAGGCGGGGACAGCTAGTACCGCAGTTAGGACAGCCCAAATAGCTGGCGACATGCGCAGCTACTTCCTGCAGCGAGCACAAAACTGTATCGTGGGCAAATGTGGTTGGGTCCTTGACAATGGCGTCGATGCGATTGACAAGCGACTGATTTCATACATGGCAATTGCAGGAGCTTGCGGTCATAATGTCATTTGCAGACGTGTCGGTAGGCAGGCCAAGGTTGAACGAAGAGAGCACGGGACCAGAGGCGGGCGTTAGGAGAAAGCTGGCTGTTGACGGCTGCATCAGGTTGTGCTGCGCATCATCCAGGGTGATGTCCATCTACGATGTGCAGGTGCTTGTTGACAGCGGTAGAGAGGAGAAAAGAAGAGTTCCTTTGTTGTCTGAATACACGTACGGGTGCCATGAGGTTATCAGGAGCTAGCAGAGCATCGCTCAAAGCAGATATATTACTTGGTGTAGAGGAGGCGCCGAAAGACAACGAGGAGCTGTCCCCCGAACTCGGGCACCTCGCCCTGCGCCCGCCTTGGCGCTGTGAGATGCTGTACACGCAGGACGATGTATTGGATGATGACCTTGTACAGCGGATACAAGGCTGCCTACCCGAGCACTTGACACGAGACCGTCTGCAGTTGTCGCAAGAGCGACGAAACTTTTGGCTTTTTGCCGCCCGGGCTTTCCACCCTGCCGTTTGATTCAGAGACGTGCTTCTGGCTCGCCGTAGCGTCCCATTGCAAGACATATCCACTGGGATCTGGCTCGAGTTGACCATTACTCTGAGGCACTGTCAGATGTCGGTATAGGCGACTGACGACATGATGACAGTGGTGAGTTGAGTCTTGCGATTCGCCAATCCGCGAAAGGTAGGTTCATTGCGAAGGCTGCATGCAACGAGGGCTTTTGATGTTCTAGTGTATGGATGTGTCGGGCTAGAGTGTGGCGGCAAGCAGCCGAGCCTTTGGTGGCCAGTTATCCCTGTTGATCCCTTTGACTGTCGTAGAGGAGCTTTGAAGTTACGAGACCTATACACACCACTTCGTGGCCCAGGTACAAGAATGATGTTCGTGAATAACGTGTCGTCCTGATGAATTATTAGCTAGATATACTTGTATCTCTGAGAAAATAATTTCTCCAAGTTAATGATAAGACATATGCTCTCTGTCGTGGGAAAAGACTTGTCCTGTATTGCTCGTTCAGACAGCTGCGCTTTCAGTAAGGCATCCACTAAAGTATTGGTGGACATCACATGACGAGTTGGCTATGTTTGGCTTACCAAGTAAATGTCTTAGTCAGCAAGGCGAGGTTGCCTTCTCCAACCTATGCTAGAGCATCAGAAGCGAACTCAGCCGATTCATCTGCGCCTCAACACATCGCTTATTTCGAGAATATTGATACAATCAGCGGACGGAATCCAGGCATAATGGCTAGCGGCAACCAATCATACTACGAGCTCTATCGTCGGAGCAGGTACTGATTCCCACTTCGCCTGCGCGCTGGGGCGGAACCGTGGCTAACCCGCCTACTTTCGTTGCAGCATCGGCCTCGCGCTGACGGACACGCTCGACGACTTGATTAGCGAGTCCCGCATCCATCCCCAGCTGGCCATGAAGATTCTGGGCACGTTTGACCAGGCCATAACGGAAGCACTGCAAAAGAACGTGCGCAGCCGTCTGCAATTCAAGGTGAGTTGGCGCCCGGGGAAGAGATGCCTTTTTCTTTGTGGCGCGCAGAGCAGGGACGCCAGTTTTGCTAACGAGCTGTGCCTTTTCTTCGGCGCTTGCTCATGCGATAGGGCAGCCTCGACACGTACAGACTTTGCGACGAGGTGTGGACGTTTCTTATCAAGAACGTCACATTCAAGATGGATAATGGCAGCCAGACCGTGCAGGCGGACAAGGTCAAGATTGTCAGCTGCAACGCCAAGCGACCGGGCGAGGGCCCGTGAGGTCTTTGGACAGACGATGGAATTTTCATTGGGAACACGAGATTGGCAAAGCTGGATTTTGGGTGCATTTCATTCGGCGTTATTTTGCGTACACCTATTTCATGGGCAAGGTATTCTTGGCGATTGGCGCATTCGTTTCCGTGGGGGGCTGTCTGCCAGATACGTGGACGGAGGCTGGGAGTTGACTCGAGGTTGATCCTATTACTGTGATTTGTTGCTTTAGACGAAAAATTAAAACCACTACGAATCAACTTGCAACTTCGGACGACTATAACATGACGTTCTCCTCAAATAAACGTGCTTCAGATCAGGCATCACTGTAGGTGCTACAGCAACATCCAACATCTCCCCCGCTGAAGCCACTAGCCAAGTCCACCAAAACCTCCCCCATTGACGTAGCAGCTTTGCCCCCCTTATTATCCAGCGCCTAATGCCTTGGCAGAGAACCAGCGAACCCAAATTATCAGTTTTGCTTCCAACTATAATAATAACCTCGATCCGCCTTTTCCAAAGTCTAAATATTCTTTTGAAACCTGCGCAAATGGTCCGACAGCGTCGCAAACCAGCTCCAGACACGACCGCGGCAACAACAAGGCCTAAACAGCCAACAGCCGCGCGCAGCAGCAGCAGCAGTAACGAACCCACGATAATGACGACGACGGAACCGGCCACGGCCAGACAATGGAGCACGCGAACGCAATGGATCGCCTTTGCCATTGCCAGCGGTGTCTGCGCCGCCTTTAACGGAGCCTTTGCGAAACTGTACGTTGTGGTTTTCTTGCCTCTCTCTCTCTTGCTTGAAACGCGAAACTCCCCCCTGGGGACGGCGTCTCTCTCACCCCGGCTGCACTCACAGTTTCGCGCTCACCGAAGAAAACTAAAAGAGAAAAAAAATCACAGGACAACGACAGAGCTGACGACGAGTCTTTCCAACGGCATATCCAATCTTGTGGGCTTGTCAGAATACAAGCCCATTGTTGAATATGTGATTCGAGCCGTAAGCATCAACAACCCACGACGGGGCAAGTCCAAGCTAACCACAGAGACTCTTTTTGGTGAGCAGATGTTTTTCGTATTGAATCTCGTCTTCAACGGCGTCGTAAGTTGTTCCCGCATTCTCTTCATATAACGAAGCCGCATAGTTAATTCCCACCCCCTCCCCCTTTCCAGATGTGGTCTTTATTCACGACCGCCTTGGCCAGAGGCACATCGGCCACGCAAGTCTCCATCATGAACACGTCGTCCAACTTCATCGTCACCGCGATGCTGGGCATCGCCGTCTTTTCTGAGAAGCTGCCGCCTCTCTGGTGGGTTGGGGCCGCTCTGCTCGTGGTGGGCAACGTCATCACCGGGCGCAAGAATGACGGCGATGAAGTCGTGGATGCAGACGCCACCGTGGAGGCAGAGCCGCTCATTGTCCTTGAGAACGATGACGCTGCTCAAGAGGCAGACGAGTCAGCGTACAAGGATGATGAATATGACTCTGATGTCCCGGATATTCCAGTGCAATAATCCAATATTGTTTCTAGTTATTCTGTATCATAGTCGATCCCTAGACTCGCCGAATGCACAACGGAGTTCCAAAGGGCCGTTCGAAAAGTGTCGAATTCTATGAAACTGTTATATAATTATAAATCTAGGGCCGGCGCCTCTCCATTTCCAGCCCTTCGTCGCCGACGTCCTCGTCACCGTCTAGTATGGCATCTCCTCGACTTCTTGATCTGTCTTCATCAAACTGGCCACTAAGTCGAATCCTGCCGCCGGAAACGCTCCATATGCGATCTGATACCCAGGTGCTGGCGCGGCGAATGGCAGCCCATACTTGCTCCTGGCTTTCAATAATGTGCTGGTCGTCCTTGGGATTTTCCTCGGCCTCTACCTTGAACTGGTACTTGAGGCAGTCCTTGACGGTAACGAGACCCGTCAGCTTGCCGTGATACTCAATCAAAATAACGCGAGGCCCAATTTTGCGAAACAGCTCCATGACGGTTTCGAGCGGTAGCCGCGGATGCGCCGTGACGGGCGTCGCATCGACGTATCGGCCAAGGTCGAGTGACGTGGATGGCATCGACTCCATATTTATATTGACGGCTGTATTGATTGATGTTGCAGAATTTGCCGGCGGTGGTGGCGTGAAGAGGCATCGCGCAGACGGACTCATAGGCCTTTCACGTCGGAGCCGATTAATCGCATACCTCAGCTCCGTGCGCCCAATGTAACCGACCAGGGTTTTGCTGTTGTTGTCTGTGACAATCGGGAATCCCTGATAGTTATCATCGGCCAAGAGTGGCTCGACCTCGCTCAGTGTCATGCCGCTTGCAGGAAGCGAAACCACGGAAGATCGCATGACTTGCGAAACGGACACGCCAAAGTTGTGGTCCTCTTTGTTATCCAAAAATGGAAAGCCGTTGAACCAAATCATGCGGTCGGCGATGCCACCTTTTCCGAAGAGCTCGCTCACGGCTTTCGTGACGCCAACGACAATCATGGTCGGCAAGATGTAAGTCAGTGCGCCCGTCAGCTCAAACATGATAACCACAACTGTGACAGTAATGTGCATGATGCCACTGAGCGCAGCAGCCGCGCCCAGAAATGCATACGTGCCTGGTGTAATGCATGGTTCGTCAGGTTTGCATGCCGAGAAGAAGACGCTCGTTGGGTTGGCTTCATAAATGGCTTGCACAATGATGCCGACGGTTCGTCCAAACGACGCACCAATAGCCATTGAAGGGACAAAGATGCCGGCAGGGACTTTGCACCCGTATGAGATAATGACGAGGAACATTCGCAGAACAGTAGCAATGGTGAGTGACATGATGTTCCAGAAGCGCTTGTCTGCATCGCAGAGGCCCTGATAATCTTCCCCTCCCTCGCATTCGAGGAAGAGGATTTCCATGCTCTCAGTCATGTCAATGCGCAAGAACACGTTGGGATAAGCAATAATGGCAGTTCCAGCAGCAAGCAGAGTAGCTTCCAGAATCGCATAGTTGCCGAGATACTTTTTCCTGAAAGCTTGCACCCGCAGATTCCACTTGATAACAAATGCACCATAGAGTCCACCAAAAATGCCAATGATGATGTAAAAGAGAATTTCGAAAAAGTGCCAGTCGCGGTCATACTTGACCTGGAACATGACCAGCTGCCCAGTTCGAAACGGGTTCATTGCCGATAAAACAGCCGTAGCGACCAGGGCGCAAAAGTAGCTGCGCCACATTGTCTTGAGGGGAAAGTAACTAGACATTTCCTCGAGGGAAAATAGCACACCTCCGATGGGGCTGCCAAAAGCAACCGCCACACCTGCAGCAGCGCAGGCGCTGAGAATCTCTCGCGTCTTGGAGGCATTGTTTCTGTACTTTTTGAAGAGTCGCGAAATGACGTTGCCGGTGCAGACTGCATAGTGCACGCTGGGGCCCTCCTTTCCGACGGAGAGCCCAGACGCAATAGCCAGAGGAAGGCATATAGACTTGATGACGAGCGTCCAGAACCCGAGAAAACCCTTCATCACAAAGCCTGCAATGATGCACTTGATCTCCGAGATGCCGGACCCGGCGGCATAGGGCGCGAACGATCGGACCAAGGCAGCGGAAACAAATGCAAATATGGTCTATGTGGTGTTAGTAACGTGATTACGCAAGAGAGAGTGCCGATATACCCCAAATGCCATGTATAGAAAGTAATTGAAAGGGGCGAAGCCGGTCCATCTATGCCATTGAGGGCAACCTGCAACAGTTTAGCATGAGACCAAGTACGCCAAGACTCTTCTGCGTTGAATGTGCCCCTACCGTTGTCTTCACCCCAGCAGCAAAAGTTCTCGTTGAGATAGAATGCGGTTGTACAGTAGCCCAGTTTGATATCCGCCAGCCATTCAGTGACAATGTTTAAGAATGCCGCATTCAGGCCAATCGCTGCGCCAATGATTGTGACGACAATCCATCCCTGGGCGGCGTCATACGACTGCGACGCGCGATGGCGCCAGCTCGTCTGTCCCTGCGCGTAGAGGCCGGCCGCGCGTCGTTGCTTCGACTTTCGTCTCGCTTGTTCGCGTGCGGCGTCCTGCACCCAGTCTATCGTCGTAAAGTCCTCGTACCGCTTAATCTCGGCGATTTCTTCCGCGATCTGCACTTGCGCGGGCCCGGCAGCGACGGGCTCCTCTCCGGCCTCGGCATGCGACACCGCAAAGGAGAGCCGCGAGCTGATGGACGGCCGCCGTCCTGGCTGCGGTCGGAATGATGTAATCGGGGAGGTCATCTTGGCGGCAGTCTGACCATTGTTGCGGGGGGGCTGAATGGCTCGACGATGGTACCTGGGGACTGGATAATCGGATAGTGGCTGGGGCTCGATGACTTTGAGAGGATCCGGTTCCGTCGCGCTTTGCGCTGTATGCGTAGACAATTGTCGAGGGCTGTGAGGCTGAGACGGGCTGGCTGACGTAGCTTCAAGTTGGAGGTTTGCGCAAACAATTACAGGGGCCTCCAGCGAGAAAGTGGTCGGCACCAAAGTGCCATCCACCACTAACGAAGACCCACGCGCAAACCACAGAACTCCGGTTGCGCTGGGACGCGTAAAGTACTTTTTAGCTACTCCTTGTCGCGTTATACCACGCCAACCCGTTCTTCACCGTCCGCAAGCTTCCATCACAGCATTACATCGCTATAGCCCACTTGTCATCTTTGATTTGAACAGAACATTCAGTTGCTATTGCAAGCCGGAAAACGCAACGCGGCCCGGCCTTGTAGCTTGCGGCTCTATCAACATACTTTGGCGCGACGCCCACGCCACCATGCCTTACAACACAACAGCTATTCCGCCCAGAAAGGAGCCAACTGGGCAGACTCAGCTTCCTCGTAAGATGCACTCTGAACGTCAATGCACAAGCAGCGCACTTACAACCCTTGCTTTCTTAGTATCGAGGGTCAAGAAGATCATCAGCCAAGATCCGGATGTAGCCATGTGCTCCAACAACGCCGCCTTTGTCATTACGTTGGCTGCAGTACGTACTTTAGCAGTCATGAAGTCCTCATGTATGGAATGCTCTAACAGTCTAGTAGGAAATGTTTATTCAACACCTCGCGACCGAGGCTCATACTCAAGCTAAACTAGACAGAAAGCCGCGCAAGAATGTCCAGTACAAAGATATTGGTTAGTGTGTTCCTGTAACCCTGGTTGTGTTTGAACAGGTCATTAATCTGACATACCCTTACTAGCCAGCGCAGTTTCGCACCATGATAGTCTCGAATTCCTAGAAGACACTGTGCCAAAGACGGTGCCGTTCAAAAAGGCCTTGGCTGCGGCCAGCGCTACCCAAGCCCGCTTTCGCGGTGAAAATGTCACCTCGGACGAAGGGCTACAGTCTACGCAAGAGCCTGCAAACAGCAGCAGCAGTGTTTTGGTCAATGGCGATAAAGGCCTCTTCAACGTGCCTTTGCGGACAGACGACAGATACGACCCCAATGACCAACTGGAGCTAGAAATGAGACAGGCGGCGCAGTCAAGGGACCACGATGTCAGCATGGGAGGCCAGTAACCATGTGTATTCAATTTGACAAGGGATGGTCTCTCATCATATAAGTTAGGGGTGGATAAAGAGAAATATTATTTTGTTTCTAACCCCCCAAACAAGGGAAACAGCAAACCCTGTCAACACCGATTCCAGCTTTTTTTGCCTGACCTGACCAAATGCTCGTCGGGAAACTCTCAAGTAACCAAATCATCGACTGAGTCGTTCAAATTGCGCCTTGTTATTCCTCCATGTGATCCCCAGCAACGCCAGCTGGTAGACGTCCTTCGTTGAGCTCCTTTTCAAGAGCGATAATCTCCTGCAGGCTCGTGGCCTTTTTGATCCGGTCTTGTAATCTCTTCTTCTCTTCGTCTGTCAGCTTTATCCTCGAGAGCTTCGAGCGTGGCTCTGCGTCGCCGTTTGCCGGTGCGTCGAACGTTGTCGTCTTCTTGCCCATGATCTGTACATTGGCAGAGGTTAGTCACTACACGCGAAGCTGGTGCACAAAAGTTTTTAGATAACTCACCTTGGCGGCGAGTGCGGTCGGCTCCTCTTCTGTGCCAAACAGCTCGCGTCCTCTTTCGCGCTCGGCTTCCTTTACTTTTTGATAATCGAGGAAGCGTACGGATGGGCATTTCCAGACGATCCAGTAGCGGTAGTTCTGTAGCACCCTTGTTAGATGCGCGCTCGCCCCCATTGCCACGCGACAGGGCCCTCTCCATACCTCTCTCTTGGTAACGGGGTTGTCAACCAGTACCAAATGTGTCAGACGAGTCATCTTCCCCAAGACGTCCAGGTCCGCCAGCTCTGCCACATTGTTCGTCGCGAGAACTAGGTTTCTGAGGTTTGGGATGGCCTTTGTAATCGTGGGTTGGATGCTGGCGACTCGGTTGCGCGCCAGCAGCAGCGTCGTTATGCGTGGCGATAGGGGAAAGTTGCCCAAAACTTGGATGTCATTATCGGTGAAGTCGATTGAGTCGTGAGGCTACGTGACAGCAAGACGGTCAGAAGGGTGGCATTCCCAGCGGTCCGTGTTGGCGCTGTAAGGACTTACCCCGGCGGCACCTAGGTTCTCAATGGCGGGAATGCGGTGTCCTGCGAATGCCAAAATGACGAATGAATATTTTCTGCTCTCAGGCCATCAAGTAAAGTAGTATCTGTTCTTTTCAAACGCACCTCGAAGGTCAAGCTCTCGCTCCTTGAGAGGGTTGAGGTAGGAAAGGGAATCCCGAATGAGGTCTGCCGTAAGCCTCATCGTGGTGGTGTGTTACCGTCTATTGCGCCGTCAAGAGCTTCCGTACGTCGACTGTCTTCGTCTCGGTTGTTGAACTATCGTGGATGAAAGCGCCGTAGTGGTGCGCGTGTCGTGCCTGAGAGTCGGAGGTGGTTCAAAATTCCAAGGCTGAAGCTTGGTGCTCTTGTCAGAAACTTTGGCGGGGCACTGGCACAAGAGGCATAGTGCCTGTTGGACAGCAATGCGATTCTTACTTTGCGGCAACCAAACAATTCCTCAAACCAAGAAGTGAGTCAATAGGTCTTTAGGTTTTATCAAATAAAACACCATGAAGACAAAGACTCAGGATTTCCTTCCGTCTCGGTATAGATTTGTTGTTAGATTCTTCTCTGCGAAAAGCAACGATCACGTGATCGATTCTGATTGCAATATGAGGAATGCCACCGAGCCCGATTTGCTTCGACTGACTTGCTAAAATGAGTTAAGTAAAAGAAGAAAGTATCTTCCTGTAGGTATTCCACACCAAATTGCAAATTTAATATTGGCCCTGCTGATTGACCGAGTCTCGGCTGTTGTGCCGCCTTGGCATAACTGGGCGCTACGAAACACAACTTCAACTACCACGTGCTGCAGAGAAACACAAGAGTCTTTGTCGTTGGAATTACAAAAAAGTATTGTTGCGAGCCATCTGTCTAGACCAATCATTCTTACATCTCCTCTCTTCTCTACTAGGAGTGTACATTTCCACTCTATGTGCAGATGTGTGCAGAGCTAGTTAGCCTCTGCGTTTGATGCAGGCAATTAGTCAACTGTGAAAGCTCCGATAATTGATCACGAACTCTGTAACGTAAATTCATCAACATTCAAGGTATCATATGGCGTAGTATCTCTTATCTGCGATAAACTTCTGTCGACTGTGTGACTTTAATTTGGCCAGATGGCAAGTCCTCCTCGTCTGCACCCTCACCATAACGCGCATTCGACACTTCTGTCAGGGTTTTCCCCTTGTCAGCATGCATGACATCCAGCTCCCATCGCAGATTTTCTTCGCTTTCTGATATTTGCTTGAAACCAATGGGGCCCTTTGCGCTTTTGCCAATACTAAGCGACGAAGCACCCGTGGAGCTTTTTGTATGTGCCGAGACTTTGCGACGCGATAATCTCTCCTTTGACACTCGCTGTGTTGGTCGTTGAGAACTACGGCTCAATGTATGGGACCACGATCCAAGGGTGCGGTCAAATGCAGGACGAAGAAGAGGCGCGGACGCAACAATGATGGCCACGCCAGATTGGACGAGAGCAATGATGGAGATGGACACAAAGTTGTAGGTCACATCGGAGGTGTCAAGAGTGAAGACGCTGTACAGCCGAACCACTGTGAATGCAATGGTGCTAGAATCATGTTAGACGACGTTTCTTTTATCAGAATCAGTTCAGAAATAGAGCTTACATCAGACCAGCGCCGAACATGCAGGCAACAGCGACCTTGTATGTTCTTCTCATGTGCAGGCCCCAAAGCATCTTGACAGGAAGTGAGATGATCAAGATATCGGTGATGATATCGACAATATTGACGGCAGAGAACGCGACCTTTTGGTTACCGCAATAGCCTCGGCCATCTGTATCCCGATTCAATGTAATGGGGCGACAGAGTAGCACACCTGTCAGAATAGTCTGTATCATCCAGCAAAAGTTGAAAGCCATGAGACAATATGGTATCCAAGTGTGGGAAGATTCGAAGAAGATGCGTTTAATCATCCATGTGATGCTCATCTTGGTACATCCAAGAGTCAGAGCGTACAACACTTCGGCGGCAAACGTGGTTTGAGAAAATCGAGTGAGGTAGTCGCCCCCGGCTAGCTGAGGAAGATGGTTGCCGGCGCCGCCGAGTATCACCACTGCAGATAAGTTAGCAGCGCGCCTGTCCCCAGATCTCTTTGCTGGGTTCGACAAACTGCACATGTAATTGATCCCGAGACCCCAGAAGAAGAACTATAAAAGTGCGTGTCAGCAGAATTCGAGCAACTAAAAGTGTCAAATCGAACGCACAACTGCAAGGTAGCATAGCACATCCTCGGTAAACCGTGTTGAAACTCCTCTAATCTTTCGAGTCCAAATTCGGAGAATCGTCCATAGTGTGGCAAAGACCGGCATGATGATGGCTGTGGCGATGAGGCCCGCGCCGGCGGATGTGACTGGCGGGTGACGCTGTGTAATCGCAGGGCTGTATGGGGTCGTCGCGGCCATGGCGGAAGAGCTCGAGATGGCAACGATTCTTTTTTTTTTTTTTTTAATTATTTTTTGATCAACCTTTTCCCAGCAGCCTGTGATGCCTTTGGTCGTTTCGGCGCTGGCTCAGCGCCGCTGTGCCATGACAGCGATACAGTAGTTGTTGAACCAGAGAACGTTGAAGCGGGCTAGGTTGACAGATGCGGGAGCGGGCTGGCGGGAGCTAATGGATATGTATGGAAAACGGCATTGGAAGAAACGAAACACAACTATGCATGGGCACCTTGACAGTGGCCGTCCGAGTCCTTGTCTCACAACGCCACCCAAGCTGCTTACAGGCTAGTTGGATGGGGGGAGATTTGCAACCCTGTTGTTTCCTTCCTAGATCGTCTCACACCGTCTCAACTGCCAACTACAGACTAACCTAGCTAATCCGTAGCGGGCAGTCCGATCTAGAGAACCGTGAAGCCGTTCTATCATCGGCGCGTGGGTTCGCTTAAAATTGTTAGCCATCAGATCAACTCTCGTGTTTGTGAACGGCTGGCTGGCCAGTAGTGGCTCCGGATTCACGGATTAGGGGCCCGGGGGAGGCTCGTTTTTTGTCGGTAGCGACGGGACGCTGCGATCGGCAAATGTGTAGACCAATACCGGTAGCTGTCTGGAACAATCAAGAGACTTTGCTCTCTGTCTCAAGCCATGGGCCGCCAAGCCAGGAGATTGCCCAATGGCAGGGCGGCATTTTCCCCTGTGATTGAGCCGCAACCGAGTCAAGGCACCTGTTAGTTGATAGTCAACTTCAGGAATGACAGTATTATTATTAGCATGTGTGCGGAGACGGGCCAACGAGCCTTGTCGTTGTACTTGCTGGTACGACCATTGGGGTACATGTCGAAGCAAGGATTCAGAAAATTAGTTCAAAGTCTGCGCTCAGGACGCCAACAAAACAGCCAAAGTCATAAACGGCTGAAGCCGATCACACGAGCGGGAAGGCTCCATTGCCCGACACTTGCATGATAGCTCGAGTCAGTGCACTATGATTTTCGCATTTTGGCCAACTATCAGTACTGAGATCGAGTCTTTTGCAAGTATTTAGTCCGCTGGTCTATCTTTCGGCAGTCCACGTTTCAATGCAAGCCCATGCAAAGAAACCCGCTCGTAGCTGCGGCCTGCATCACAGGGTTGACATGGGTGACTAGTAGTTGCCAAGGCTTTCTGGAGAAACTCGCACAACTCAACTGGCGACTGGCGATTCTTGTCTTGTCACTAGATAGCAGGTTGCCATGGCCATTCAGTCTGTATAATTTAACCAAAGACACAAGCCCATCTGGAATCTTCATTGGCCACCACGTCTTTTCTTCTGCTCATGTTTCGGATCATTATGGTTGACCATTGCCATTGACAATCCACTTTGCCACGAACTTGCCATCTCTCCCGTCACCCCTGTATCCCTGCCCACCTCGTGCTCCAAGCCTCCCAACCGTCCAACGAATGGCAAGCGTCGACGGCAGCTGGGGTGTTGAAATTCGTCCCCCGGTTGGCCCACCCAGCTGCAGCTATACTGATATCATCATATCATCCCACACGGTACACCATGCCCAAAGCGTCGCGCCAGTGACAGAGCAGGGCGCTTGTTGAACATTTTCCTGCATGGAAGTTCCAAGGTTGGGGGAGCACCCTGAAATGTGCGAGCTGCGCTACTATTTATTAATTAGCCTGGCGCGCGCGAAGCTACTCCGTAGTCAAGTTTACTAAAACTACTTGGTTGGCAGCTTGTCTTCCATCATTGACAGAGTGGAATAGGTTCGATTGCGCTCCATTGTACAGATCAGCTTGCACAGGAAAATTTGGTTGAGATCGCTGCAGTGGTCTTTCAAACAGGCCGGCCGGGAAGCCAGGTTCTGCGAGATCACCAAGTCATTAGATCCCTGCTCCGTTCTCTGTGTGTCGTCATACTGCTGAGACAGCGGGATAAAAGGCGGCAGAATAAATTAAATTAATTGCCCGAAGCACAGACTCGACGGCCCTCCATTTTAGTGGTAATTGAAAGCCCCGCCACTGAGCAAGTTGTGGTCGGCAACAAGAATTACTCTTGAAATATGCATGCCCAGAAACTATGCCATTTGCAAACGAAACTGAGGAATAACGTTTGTGAGTGTCGGCACCTTTATCCGACCGTAATCGACCGTAATCGACCGTAATTAAGCTGCGTTTTCGCAAGTCAGACTTAATCGCAAGAGCTTCGACTGGACTTGAAAAAGGGGTCATTCTAATAATAAGCGTCCATGATCAGACACAGCGTGCTAATATATCACCTCAATCCCTCCCTTCAACGTATACATATACCTTGGTCGCGATCGCGAGCTCCGATGCCGACTGCACGCCAAACCTCCAACTGCCCATTCAGCAAGGCCCAGCGGATTCCCGTAGAGAGAACGGCCGCCATGCCAAAGGGCAAGTTGCAGACTGCATCGTACCGGAGATGAGATCGACCAGCTTCTGGACAATGCGCGACTGCTCCGCGCGAAACAAAACTTGACAAGTCCAGTACGCACTCGTCTAGGGTAATACGCGCTTGTGCGCCATGTTTCTGCGTGGCGACTCGCACCACCAGAGAGCCGTCCATGCTCCAATCAAAGATGGCCATCGTTCATGTCACTCTGTGTACGACCGCAAGAAATTAGACATAGTTATGTTGACGATTTGTATTTTTGGCGTGTGAGCAGCGTAAAGACCTGGATGTAAACTGATGCGGGAAGTGAGTCTAAAATGCGGCGCCCATCTATAGAAACCAACAATATCTCTATCAAGAGCAATATTCTAGCTCAGGGATGCCGTACTGATTCGGCTTGACCGCGGTAGAACAAGACTCGTTTTTTACTTGGCCCGAGGACCCTGGTCTGGAGTCGTCGTGTTCTGCGCCGGCGCCGGCGCCAGATCAGGGTTGGCAGCAGCATCCGCACCTTCGAGATGTTGCTTGATAAAAGACACGTAGCTGCCGACTCGAGTATAAATCATGGGGGCGTTGTTGCACATGAGCCATTCTTTATCCACGATTGACCATGACGCGACGCCAACGACTTGACCAGTCGTATCATCAAAGAAGCCACCTCCACTATCATATCTGCACGCGCTCTTGCCATTGCCACCAACGCACAGCACCGTGTCTCTACCTTTGACACTTGGCTCAAGCTTGTCACAGAACTCGCGTGCGTGAACAGGCAGAGTGACCTTGGCCAGGTTCTCTTCGGCGACTTCGCCTGCGAAAGTCCAATCGGCTTCTTGTACGCCCCTTTATGTGTATTAGCTCACTCAATCTGCACAGATAAGCTCTGAGCTGTTTGGGTGTATAAATAGTACTTACCAGCCTGCGACTGTGCCCATGGAACCGACCATGGCATCTGAGCCGTCTGCCGGGAGCGAAGCATAGTCAATTTTGTCGCTCTTCTTGATCGGACTTGCTAGTTTGATGATGCCAATATCATTATTCGCATAGGGTTTGGTCTTGACATATTCGCTTAGTAAATACTCGGGGTGTGATGTCCGATTCGCGACTTTAGCCTCTACACCACCCGAGTCATGTCTCTATTGAAAATGACAAAAGTTAGATTTCCTGTCTGGAGGGTCTTTCTTTGAAAGGGGTCGGGAGTTGGGGGGGGTGGGGGGGTTGAGGATTTACCAGCGATCCTGCCCTCACAGAGACAGTTCCAGCAAGGCAATGCGCAGCAGTAAGCACAGTAGTGCTATCTAGCAAAGTGCCTCCGCAAATACCATTTGAACCAGTAATGCTAACAACAGATGGAAATTCGCCATCCTTGGCATCTTCTCCACCGACAATTCTTCTGTCGATACTGACCGCCGCTGCCGAAAAGGCTGAGAGCGCAACAGTGAGAGAAATAGCGGCCTTGGATTGCATTGCAACGGTTGATCCTGGGTGCGGTAGTAATGAATACCTTGAAGAGAAGTAAGTAGGTATCTGTCGATGATGGCAGGTTATGACAATACGGTTGGACAAGCAGCTACTTTATATAATTTTTTTTTCAAAACGACTATGTAGAACAGCATGTTAGGCATTGAGAAAAGATTCTTCTAGACTCGTGAAAATAGCCACCTTTTTTGTATAGACTGATTCATTTTCAATAATGAACTGACCCATTCTCTGATATCAGATGGGAGGGCTGCTTGTATCAACAGCAATGTCTAGATATTTAACGGCGGCCTAAGCCTATTGTAGTATAATCGGCGCTGATAGGCTCTTTATATAAATTCCACTTTTCAGCATAAGCCACTTCAACTGATTGAAGTCACTTCAACTGATTGAAGTCACTAACTTGTTGATTCTCGCAGCTCCGTCTCATGCCTCCCAACAGCCTGCCAGAGCCTTTGAAGAGCCAAAAGGCACGGAGAACTTGCCAGCAGCGCCTGATAGAACCCTGAGAGAGAATTGAGAAAAGCACCAAGAAAAGGAACCAAAGAGGGCCCAAAAGACCTCATGAAGAAGCCAGGAAAATTCCTCCTATAAGTACACATGAGTACTTGGAATGCTGGCTGCGGCGCGCTCTGATTGCTTAGATCTGGCGAGTTACCTTCTGCAATTGAGTATTTAGAATCTGTAGTTGGCTTAGCAGCCCTCATCAAACTGTCTTCCTGAGCAATTCGTCAGGCAGACCGGCTCGCCGGCAGACCTTAGCAGGCGTGAAACTGTATGGCCACAACCATAAGAACCTTATACGACAACTCTGCCTATTCACTGAGAGCTTTGATTGGCTAGGATCATTCCATGACTCAGAATCTTCATGATAACACGTCTGTAAAATACTTTTGGTGTTTTCTCGCATAAGTAGTAATCTCTATAAATATAAAAAAAAAATCAAGAATATTATCTACTAGTTATATCTACTTACCATACCTCGAATTTCTTATCTTCTTTTATTTCTCTCCACTTGCAATACTATGTAATCTCTTTCTTGATAACTGAGGTTAGCTCTGAGGTTTTGTGCAAACACGAGTGGCGTCGTCAAGCCAAGCGGTGCCGAGTTGCCGACCGGGCTATTGTAGCTCCGCCAGCCAGTGGAGGAAGTGTTTTAGGCCAACGCTCTCAGCCAATCATTGAGTTCTGAAGCTGCAGGATTGTTTCTACCTGATGGCGTTTTGATAAGAGAACAGAGAGTACATGACGGGACTAAGTGGATCGCCGTTTTTTGATGGACACGCTGGAGTAGCTGAAACTACCCGCTGTTAACCAGCCTTAATTTCATCAGCTTCAAACTGGGCCGAATTAGAGCGCCCGCATGAGGTTTGACATCGGTTGACTCCTTGAGTCTGAAGATCTCCAGCATGAACTAGGACGTAAATGGAAGTAGTAAGCATTGATATCGTCTTTCTCAATTTCAGACAGTTGGTTGATAGACGACACCAGTGCACGCACACCTTCTATGGCGGGAAGACGAAGGGCCAAGGCTGAAACGCGGTGGGTTCGACTAGCACCAGCATGTATGTGGTAAGCTAAAACACGGGTTGGGACAAGTTTGCTATGATTTCAAGGGAGGCGTCCGTCTTGTATCTGATGATGAACTTGACAACGCGTACTCCACAAGCAACACCGAAAGATGGCATCGCATGCCAGAGAAACGGCATCCATACCATTCGGAATTCAGAATTCCGCAGAATTCTGGCGGTCATATCCAGGAATTAACCGAATGCTGTCCACCTCTGCATACCTGGCTGGAAGGCTCATGTCCCACCAAATTCTCGATCTCAGCTTCTGCTAGAGAAATACCCGTCGGCAATAAGGTCAGCTGGCCCGGGAATGCGACACTTGTCAGGGCTTCCATATTGTCAAGTAGCGCATTAATATCGCTGGCTAGACGCGCCACTGAATCGCGATCCTCTCCCGTATATCCTTGCGAGTTGCTGCCGGTGCCTTGCTTGGAAAAACTTGAAAAGCCGCAAAGGCTCATCCTCAGATACAGATCTTCAAATTAAGTTTCTCTGCTAACGAGCTAAAATATATGATGCTTATATACTAATGTCTTTCAACATTCTATCACATGAGGAAGTATACCTACCCTGCCTAGGGAAAACATATTTAAACTATATATTCTTTACCTGCCGCGGATGTTTTGTACCTTTCGGTGCCTCAAGACACCTCCTGGTTTTTGCCTATGAGCACGTAAATCGTGAGGTATTTCTTGTAACGAATTTTGCTGGTTGTTGCAAATGCTCTCCACGAGATCCTCAGGGTGTCCAAGACCCGAACTATATCCTCGACAGCAAGCAGCCTGTCATTATTCTTCTCGGCATTGGCTGGTACATCTGTCGCAACCTAGTTGCGTTTAGCAGCGTCTTTGAAGAGAAACACCATCACTACCACAGGTGCACTATACCCAATATGCAGAGGCTAATGTGATACCATTACGCTCATTCTGGCACGGGCCTAGTCGAGTACGACTCAGCGCACGTGCCATAGCGCGCATACATAGAAGCGTCATTAGTTACTCTGTATATAGTTATATATATAGTTATTTTTGATTTAATAAAAAATAAATATACTTTTTTAATAGTTCTTTTATTAGTAATAATAATACAAGTCACTTGTTGTTTTAGTAAGAGAATATTCTAACTAATATCGTATAAATAATAGATTTCTTTTAACTACTTAACCCTTATAAGAAATTAACGGTATAGACATTAGTTGGAGTAGGTATTCGTAGGGTGTTATTGCTGGCCTACGCTTCGTGCTTGTTTTTCCCCCCATTCATCATTAGTTGTCTCGTGGGGGTCAAATTGGGCTCGCCCCGGGGACTAGCGGAAGGTGATCCGATTAGCACGGCTTCCTTCCTTACCCATGAGAGGGGGCTTTACGCCCTGGCCTCTCGGCAACAAAAGAAAAAAACGATTGTGTTGCTGTCTATTTTCCGCATGTTACACCGCATGACCAGCCCGTTTCTGAGACCGACTTGCCATGTTTCTTCCAACGCCCACGATGCAACGTTGGCTACCAACGTCATAAAAAGGCGGCCCATCGGTCCGAATTCGCGGCTCTGGTGTCTGAGCCCAACCACCACGCAGCTTACAAAGAGGCTTGGATACATCATCAGCCCGGCCATTGTGTTTTCTACTTTTTACTTCAAAGGGTGTCTGCTCCATTTCGCCAGCTGCGGTTGGACTGCCTACGCACCTAGGACCGGTAGTTGTGCATCATGAAATTCTCCCTGAGCAGTTATGGCCTAGCGGGCATTTTGCTGCCAGCAGCTATCGCCGGCAGGGCAACTTCTCCAGACGTCTATCCAACCCGTGAGTCGACTCCTACCAATAGAACATGGCATTCATAAAATTACCGCTTTGCTGACAGCCTGTTTATTTGATGAGAATAGCCCAAGGTAAAGGCAGAGGACAGTGGGCCGCGGCGTACGAGAGCGCCCGCGCCTTGGTTGGCCGCATGACGCTGGACGAAAAGGTCAACATCACCCGTGGCTTCAAGGCGGACAACATTTGCGCCGGCACCACAGGCTCCGTCCCGCGCCTCAACTGGCCTGGCATGTGTCTTCATGATGCTGGCAACGGCGTCAGGGCGGCAGAGCTCGTCAACGCGTACCCCTCGGCGCTTCATTCGGGCGCAAGCTGGGACAGAAATCTCACGTACCAGCGCGGCTTCCATATGGGAGGCGAATTTAAAGGCAAAGGCATCAATGTCGCCCTTGGTCCCAACGCTGGGCCGTTGGGACGTACACCTCTTGGTGGTAGAAACTGGGAAGGCTTTTCTGTTGATCCTTATCTGTCTGGCCAACTCAACGCCGAAACTATTACTGGCATTCAAAGAGCCGGTGTCGTTGCCAACATCAAGGTATATCATTCATTCGTTTTGGGGTAAATATATCTGCTGACACTCTACAGCACTTCATTGCGAATGAGCAGGAAACCTTTCGTCGTCCGTACTTTGGAGTTGAAGCTGCGTCCTCCAACGTGGACGACAAGACATTACATGAATACTACATGTGGCCCTTTATGGATGGTGTCCATGCAGGCGTCGCATCTGTCATGTGCTCATACAACCGCATCAACAATACATACGGCTGCGAAAATAGCAAGCTCATGAACGGCCTGCTCAAGGGCGAGCTAGCCTTTGACGGTTTCATCCTGCTGGACTGGAACGCCCAGCACAACCTTAACAGCGCCAATGCCGGCCTCGACATGCTCATGCCCATGGGTGGGAGCTGGGGTCAGAACCTGACCGACGCGGTCCACAACGGCACGGTCTCTGAGAAACGTGTGACGGACATGGCCACGCGAATCGTCGCATCGTGGTATCTCGTCGGCCAGGATAACTTTCCCCAGCCTGGTATCGGAATGAAGAACCTCAGCAAGCCGCATGAGCTGGTCGATGCCCGCAACCCCGCCTCCAAGCCTGTCGTTCTAGAAGGCGCCATTGCCGGCCATGTTTTGCTCAAGAACACCAACAACGCACTACCTTTTAAAGGAAAACAGAAAATGCTGTCTGTCTTTGGCTACGATGCTGCCTTACCAGAGACGAAGAACATTGACGTGCTCTTTGAGCTTGGATATTACTCTTCGCCAGAGATGGCCCTGACTGAATTGGGCACGGAAGCACACTTTGACCAAGCTGCTCGCGGAGGCACCATCATCAGTGGTGGTCGTGCCGCTGCCACGGCGCCTTCATATATTATCGATCCATTAAACGCCATTCAGCAGCGTGCGGTTGACGACGACACCTGGGTCAACTGGGACACCAAATCGTTTGACCCTCCCGTCAACCCAGCCTCCAACGCTTGCCTCGTCTTCATCAACGCCATATCTACCGAGGGATGGGATCGAGATGGTCTGCACGACGACTTTAGTGACGGCCTTGTACGCAACGTCGCGTCCAAGTGCGCCAACACCGTCGTCGTCGTGCACGCGTCCGGCATCCGCCTCGTTGATCAGTGGATCGAGCATCCAAACGTCACCGCCGCTATTGTCGCCCACGTGCCCGGCCAGGACAGTGGCCGCGCCATTGTCAAGCTGCTCTACGGCGAGGCGGGCTTCTCGGGCAAGCTTCCTTATACCATTGCCAAGAATGAATCCGACTATGCCGTATACAAGCCCTGCGGCCTCACCCACAAGGGCGACACGGACCCCCAATGCGACTATACCGAAGGCCAGTATCTAGACTACCGCGCGTTTGATGACAAGAACATTACGCCGCGCTTCGAATTTGGCTACGGCCTAAGCTACACCGCCTTCAACTACTCGTCTATCTTCATCTCCGCGCACGGTGTGCGCAAATGCGCCAGCACTCGTCTAGACCAGCTGTTTGAAGTCGTCGCCACTGTGCAAGCCAGTGTCATCAACTCTGGCCCAGTCGCCGGTCAAGAGATTGCCCAGCTTTACTTGGGCATTCCCGGAGCGCCGCCAAAGCAGCTTCGCGGCTTCGAGAAGCTCGGCCTTGCGCCCGGCGAGTCTGGCAAGGTGACGTTTGAGCTGACCAAGCGAGACTTGAGTCAGTGGGATGTTGTGCTGCAGAAATGGGTGTTGCAACCTGGTACCTACAAAATATACGTAGGTGCTAGTAGCAGAGACATTCGCCTTACTGGCGATATTGTGGTCAGCACATAATGAAACCAAAGATTTTAATTGTGCACCCGTATAAATGTGACAAACTTGAGAAATAACATATAAAGACTTGTTTCGCTAATAAGGTTGGACATGGAACTCAGTGGCGGCTCAAACGTGCATCATGATTTATTCTCTGGCTGCTCCTTCAGCCCCTCGCGAAGGATTTCGATTTGCTTCTTAATCTCCACCCAAAGCTTGAGATGCTCCAAGTCAACATCGTCACGGCTGGCCGGGTGCTGGTCAACCACGCCAACCCACTCGTCAGCGAGATCAACCGTGGCTACACCGTACTCGTCGTCGCCGCTGGAGCTCTCGTCGCCGTCCTTGGCGCGTTCATCGCGGGCAATGGCAAGCAAGGCTGCAATGAATGCTTCCTGCATGTACGCAAAGCTAAAGTCGTATGTGATTTCGGCAATGGCCTCGCACAGCTTGTCGGGAAACTCGATGGACTTGTTATCTGCAAGCTTGGCTTGCCAAAAATGGCAATAGGCAATCCGTTCTTTGAGGTTTGGGTCAGGAAAGAGGTACTTGCGGTCGAAGCGCGAGGGGCGGTTCTAAAAAGCATGTTTTTAGTGCTGATTGGCATCGGAACGAATGCGAGTCCCCACACTTACGGCGATGCCAGGGTCCAGGCGATCAAGATGGTTGGTGCTTCCAATCATGAAGATGCCGTCGTTTGACTGAAGGCCATCTACTTCGTTGAGGAAATAACTCCGCACGCTATCCGAGACGAGGGAGTCGAGGTCTTCAAAGACGAGATAGCAAGGAGCAAACTGTCTCGCACGAGAAAAAATCTTCTTGATGGAGTCTTCAGGACCCAAGAACTGTAGTAGCCGTTAGTATGAATGGCGCAGCCAGGGCAATCTATCGACTTACCGAAGTCAGAGATCGCACGTAGAGTGTAGGAACCTCTGGAGTCAGCTTATACAGCGTGTGCATCATAGCTTTAATGGAAATTGTCTTGCCGTTGCCAGGTGGTCCATGATATATGATCCCTCGCTTCCAAGGTACTTTGAGATCCTGGTATGTGCTGCGCGATCGGAAAAAAGACAAGTGGTCATCAATGATTGCGTTTTTCATGTCTTGGTCGAGAATGACGGCTTCCCACGAGGCCTTCATGACGCTTGCGTATAGACCAGCGTCTTTGCGCCAGTATCCGCCATCAAACACCCAAATCTCGTCGTGCAGCACGCTTCCCCAAAGACCAGCCGCCTGTATGAGCGCGTCCGTCTTGGCCTCGTCCGGGGACAGAATGTAGTACGTCTCCTCCACGTCGTACAAGCCGTCCTGCGCCTTGACCAAGTAGACGATGAACTCGTCCTCCTTGTACAAGTACAGAAACTTGCTAAACGTGGGGATGCGAAGAACCGCACCGGTGCTGCCGCCATCTCGCTTCGCGGGCGGCATAAACGACTTTTGCCGCAGCGAGGCAGGGACGCCGCCCTCGCCCGTGTCGTCCTCGATTTCGGTGAACGTGGCCAAGCCGCTCGAGGCATACGCAAAAATGTTGACGGTCCGCGCGAGCACGATGCTGAGATGGAGCGCGGGATATTGCTTCTTCAGCGCTCTGGCGAGAATGGCGTCGGTGTTGGTGCGCTTGGCGCTCGAGTGGTGGAAATATTGGCTGGCGGCCTCGCTGCTAATCGGACGGCTATGATTTCTGCGGCCATGATTCTCCATAATTGTATTTCTTCGATAGATTGATTCTGTCGCGATGACTTTTCGATTATTTGCAACAACGCTGGAAACAATAATGTGATGATGCTGGTAGTTGTTTTACGGAGTTGGAGCTTGCGGGTGCTGATGTCGCTGATAACCCCTCTCGGCCAGCTCAGCCGAGCCTTCTGCCTGTTACACAATCGTGGCACTTGAACGTGTGTCGTCGAATTTTTTTGCTTCAACCAGCAAGTCGATTCACGAATTTCCCGTCGAAACTTTGAGGTTTGGGTGGTGCAGGCTTTCATTTGCGGCCTTGGTACCATTCCTGACCGCCAGAATGGTCGAAACTCGTCATGACGCGAATCAACCACCAACTCTGACGGCCGTTGCAGAAACAGTGATTCACGCCAATTCGGCAACGCAATACGAAATTATATCATATCAAAAGCTAATCGCATTATTCAGCTTCGGTGCCACGAATGTTGGCAACAATCTCCTTCCATACGTCAAATGCAACGACCAGCTCATCGTGGCCCGATCCAGCAATAGTCTTGTACTTAAACTCAAACGCATCATCAAACTCGCCCGATATGCCTTGCCAGCACTTTTCAACGTACTTGCGTCCTCCCTCACCCACAATGTTATCCGTCGCGGCAAAGAACGCCATAACCTTCAACTTGGCAGCAGAGACGCCATCCGCTGTCTTTACCCTTCTTGATCGCTCTTGCTCAGCAACCTCTTTCACAAAGACTGCATAGTCGTCTGCTTTTCCCCAGCTGCCCTGTGCTACTTTTCGCGCGCAGTGGCGAGCCTCATCGCTCGAACCGGCAGTGTTTTCCGAAAAGATGTGCTCGACGGTCTGAAGTTGGAGGGCGCCTTGGAATTTGGTAGATAGACCGCATTCTCGCTCAAGCTTGAGAGAATTCTCTTGGTCCCAGCTCTGGACGGCGCGCTCCTCTGCTTCCGAGCGTTTTCCCATGCCGAAAGCGTTGAAGACGGCTTCGCTGCTTGATACTGTCGTCAACATGCCGCGAGCAGCGAAGCGGCTCAGTCCGTTGAATAGCGAGTATGCAGGGGCAGGAATGTATTGTGCCACTTGCATCATGGTCATTTTGGAGTGCTGCGGGTCGACCCATGGTGCTGTTGTTGCGTAAGTAAACGAACCCATGTCTTCACGTCGACGAGACACATACCCAATAGAACAGCCATCGGTCGCTCAGGATTCAAGATATCTCTACATCGGTAGAGTAGATTGAGCGCGTAGACGGTTCCGGCACAGTGCGAAACAATTGTGATGTGAGGGATGTTGAGATGGGCGAGGAGTAGCGGCACGAGCTCGACCCAAACGTCGACTCGCTTTTCGACGGAAATCGCCGTAGAGCTTCCAAACCCGGGCCTAGGCATCGACTTAGCTAATATGCAACGTGCCTACTACGTTGGCCGAGTAGACCTACCTGTCAACAGTGAGAATGCGGATTCCCAGATGCTTTGCTAAAGCGTGCAAGGATACTCCAACATATCTCGAGGCGAATAGGCCCGGATGGAATAGTACTACCGGGACCTGCGTCGCGCCAGTCTGCTCCTCTGGCGAGACGCCAACATCACTGTAGCTAAACGTCATCTCGCCATGGCCGGCCGTCGCCGGCATGGTGAACTTTTTATGGAAGCTAGCCTGCGAGATGTAGGCCGCCGCTTCAGCGCGCGCCGACGGTGGCGGGTCTTGGTCGGCCATTTCTGTTGGAGAATGTGCGAAAATATTCGGAATCTTCTGCTATGTACAGTCTGTTTGACTTGCTCTGATGCGCAGTCTGGTGCTGGTGCCAACCCGTTAATGAGGGCAAATAGCTCGTCGTTAGTATGAAGATGGCTAGCCGCCCGCTTTCTGCCGCTAAATTTCCACGCCTACGCCAAGGAAGGCACCGCAATCTATTGATGCGGCTGAGGGAAAAAAAGAGGGCATAAACAACTCATCATCTGATTATTTACAAAACAGAACTCATCACGACTATTGTCAGTATTGAGCAATGCGAGCAGCAGGAACATGGGCAATACTGTAGTAGATTTACTGCAGCTTGACGCAGAGGACGGTTTCCATGAGCACGTATTCAAGAAGACCCGAGGAAGACGTACTGCAGACATGGAATAAATGAAGATGAGAGCTAACTGCCTTTTGATCGATAATTGCGCGAGTCTCTCAATTCAAATCTCAAGATTTGATTTACCCTTCACTACGGTGAGGATCTATAACACGTGCATGCCCTGTCAAGTGCAGTTAGCGACCACGACATGGTTTACAGGTCAGCACGCGCCAACTGAATGTGGAAGCATTCCGATGCATCGCTACCTGTGCTTTTACAAGTTGTTTCCGACAGGCTCCCCAACCCTACAGACTCTACATAAACGCAGCCTTGATCTAAAATTTGGCACGTTCTCAATTCTCCGTTTATGGCTCTTTTAGTCTAATTTGCTGAGACATAACGGGCCGCGTGGTCGGTTTAACCACCCGGATTTCGGGATTCCGCCTTATCCTCAAATCCCGCCAAAGTTTCCAGCAGTCGCATACCCGGCTCTCGGCGGGCGCAGCAGCTGAGGCCAGGGCGTATGGGACAAGTGCTGACGACGGCTCAGCGGCACCAAATGGTTCGACGCTTCGGAATATACCTTTTGTGGTAGGTACTGCTGACTGACTGGTGAGATGTGGTGGGGTCGCCAGAGAAGTTTCTTTCGAACTCGTTGAGGTTGGTCATCAATCTAAGGATGTAACCTGATCCCTCCCAAAATAATCCTAATGACACAATCATCCCGAGCAGGTGTAGTGTAGCCGACTACCAACAACGCAAAGAACACCATGACGCCTTGCAAGAGAAAAAAAGAAAAAGAAAGGACAAAAAAAAAAAACCCCTCCAAATGCGGTATAATACAACGCTGGTATATGTAGTATTCAAGAAAAGTGATGGAGTCTATGTATTTTTTTTTGTAGTCAATCAAGCCTCGCTCATGTAGCGAGACTTGGGAGCGGTGCTCTTAAAAACTGTAGGTGGGTACATGTAGCCGACGTAGAGGCAGATGATCATGAGAAAAATCTCCTCGAGGACGGACATGCAAAGAAAGATGGTGGGATCGCCGTTGAAGATGCTGAAGCGAGGATCGTTGCCAAAGTCGCCAATGCAGGCGTAAACCATGCGAACAATGAGCAAGGGTCCGCAGACGTAAATCGAATAGAGAGTGATTTTCTCATTGCGCGGCAAAATGTTGACAGAAGCAGTGAGCCAGCCAAGGATGCAGAACATGAGCCCCAGACAGGCAACAAAAAGAGCCAGGGCAATCTTGAGAAGAGACGGAATGGTATTGTTGTCGACTGCCTGGACAGCACCGCCAATACCGACACCAAGACCAGCCAGACTGACAACGTCGACAAAGAGGAAAACGTGCTTGGGGACAGACAAGACTGTCGCGTTGACGCGGCGGAGAAGACCGACAGCGGCAAGGGTCAAAGGCGCAATGCCAAGGAGATCGCAGGTCAGCTTCGTGACGACAATACCGCGATCGTTGTGGGTCATGAGAAGAAGCTGGCAGATGGCCGCGATAACACGCAAAAGTCCAAGGACCAGAAGGAAGCGCCAACAGGCAGAGACGGCTCTGATGCCCTGCTTGAAGCAGAGGACGGTGGCAAAGAATAGACAGGGAATGAAAGCAATAAGTTGCAGGACAGCAATGCCATCACGATATGTGAAGTTGGTCATCTTGGCAGTGTAGATTATTGATATGCGTCAGGTGGAGAGTCGCCAAGGCCTTTTGATGTGAATGGGGCGCAAATATGGCTGTTCTTGCTCATAGAGGAGTCGACGCAATCCAAACCTCGAGTAAGAACTGTGCGGGTTGACAAAGGTACGGATTGCTATTTTGGAGGATTTAAGAAGACAACTGGAGATGCCAAGGTGCGCGTTGATGACTGCAGAGTGATATTTTAGAAACATGGGCGAGGTGACGGTGAGGTTTTAACTTATTTCGGATCGCCAAGTCTTTTACGGGCTTAACGGCCGGGTGGAAGAGAGCAGTGGCCCGATTTAGCATGGCATGACAGATGGGAGAATGTGGTGGTAGCCTCAAAGGTGAGTGAGTGCGCGAACCCCGAAGCAAGGGAATGACGTGAAAGGGCGAGATGGCGTTAACATACGTAAGTGCACACGTCTCAGGATGCGCCGTGCTAACCGGGTGGGCAAGCTGAACCGCAAGGCTGTTCTAAGATAAAAGCCATTCTGTGAGCTTGCCGCAAGCTATCAAGACTTATGCGTGTATGTCTTTGGGAGGGCACCCGATATCCGATCTGGCGAAACCCAAAGCATACCTGATTTAGCTGGGTGTTAGTGCCGCGCAAGGCGCTGCTCAAAAACCGAAATCCGTTCCGTCTCCAAGCTGTCCCATTCGGGTAATATTTCCCGCCCACTGCCATTTCCCGCGTCCGGGAATGCCCACACGGGGCATTGTGGCAGAGTCATCTCGGCCGAAAACAAGTGCAAGGCGAAAACATGAGGCGCTTCCAGATTCGGGGCTGCCTTGCGACTGTGATTTATGCGACCGTCATGTATAGGCAAATGGAGGACCGATGCGACCAGTCAGTCAAGATGCGTCCTATCAGCAACTATACCGGCCTAGTTTGCTAGCATGGAGCGCTGTAACAAAAGAAGGAGGCCCCCAACAAGAGCTCTGCTATCCTTGCACTGGTGCTGACTCGAATAACAATAGCTTCCGCCCTGCGTAGCGTATGACCCGTGGAGGTTAACTAGTTTATTTAATGTGATTTAGTACATATTTCTCTTTGCTGTTGCTCATGGCTTTCTTTTAGCTCAGCAGCGGTCGGGCCCTTGCGACGGTTACCTGCGGCGGCACCTTCTGTACTGACATTGATTAGTGTTGCCACGATGTCTGCCCTAGAGGATGAGGCGAGACCAGATCATGTCATGTAATCAGAGCGCCGCCTACACCTCATGTTGATGGAGAGTTTCTTTAGATTCGACCCCACACTCCCGACTTGGACTACCCCATTTGTGCTTATACCGTCTTACCTCGCTTGGTTCCCCCAGTGTAAGCATGTAAGCCCGACAGCGACAGGGTCGTGAGCAGCGCTGAGCGGGCTGGGCAGTCTCCTCATAGGGCGAGCATCGCTGCCTCCTTTATGCGTAGAAACGTGCCGCAATCGAAATTATTGGGGTTTCACTGTGACGTTGCTGGATCGGACAGCGGTGGTCTTACAAACGTTACCGTACAAGCGTATTACTGCTGGACCCCAAACGGCAAGTGCCATAAAAGACGTCGCATGGCTACATGTGAGATTTGTGTATAGCTAAAGCATGATTTTTATTCTTATATATCTGATAATATAGACCGGAGTCTCCCATCTCTACATATCTGATTATCTTAGCCTTCCGCGTGGCATCTGCATTCTTCTCTCCCATTTCATCCCTTCTCTTTTAACCTCTCCTCACCATCACCAGGCTTAGTCTCAGGTTACACCCACTCACAATGGCAGTGCCCCGCACCAAGCTGCCTTTCTTCGACATTACCTTTCGCAACCTCGATGATGCCAACTATGAGGCCCCTTCGGACTATAACCAGGTTGCCCGCCAATCGACACCGGTCTTGGGGTCCAACGATGCCCTATTAAAGGCATTCGGCGCATTTGTTGTTGCAGTGTCCGACTTGGAAGACGTCGCTTTCACAGCCGACGTGGGTTCCGAGCGTCTGTTGGTGACGGCCAAGGCGATTGGCATCAATGAGCAACTGCGCACCTTTTCCTCCGATAGAATAACCATCTCCTCCACACCTCTCACAGCCCCTATTTCCGACGGCCAACTAGATTTTGAGATTCAGATCATCCCACACGGGAGTGCCTCAAAAGTCCCCAAGCAGCTGTCCAGTGTAAGAACAAACGAGGGCTGCGTACAGCCACCCCACGATTTGAACGACAAGTCGATAGGCAGTAATCGAATTATATAAGTGTACTGACTTGTACTCTTCTCTATAGGTTTTTGTTCTCGCTGTCTGTCCCACTGCAGGTGGTGATGTTGCCGATCTGCAGCTCTTTGTCGACGTGCGCAACGGCCACGCGGAATCTACAACACACCTTCTCGAGCTCGCCGCGCGCTACCTCGCTCCCGAGCCTGCCACCTATTCCGGCGTCTCTTCGAACAAGGCTGAGCCATTCTCTAGTCGGCAAAATGGCCCGTCCACCATGATCAGCCGCCCGCCGCTGCTGAAGAGCGATCGAAAGCTGTACAGCAGCGAGGCGAACTGTCCTGCCCTATTCCACAGCGCCTTTGAGCGTCGCGCGACCGAATCTCCCGATAACTCGTGCGTTGAGTACATTTCCGACGCCTCAGGTCAGATTGAGAAGTGGACCTTTGGCGAGATTCACGCGCTGGCGGAGAACCTAATGAAGGAATTGCACATTTTGGAGACCAATGTTGCCTGGAGCAAGCCCTTTAACGGCCAGCACATTGTACCGCTGTACCTACCAGGTTGCCCCCAGCTCTACGCTGGTTATATGGGCATCATGAAGGCTGGTTGTGCTTTCTGTCCTCTCCCTCTCGATGCTCCTCCCGAGAGAGTCCAGGTTATCCTGGAGGATATCGAGGCTCCCGTAGTCCTCGGCCTCGGCAGCAACCCCTTTCCTGGTCTAGCTGTTGATACCGCCGAACCTCATATTTCCGAATACCTTCGAAACATCATTTGGGTCGATCTGGCCAACATTCCGGCCTGGCGCGCACACAAACCCGTGGGGGCTCTTGCACCTACCCAGCCCCGAGAGCCCAGGGAAGAGGATCTTGCCTATATTCTCTATACCAGTGGCTCAACTGGTAAGCCAAAGGGTGTTTTAATCTCGCACATTTCCGCCTGCTGTGCCATTGGCGGTCACGATGAGATTTTCCCTCACCTGGCAGTTGGTCCCGAGCTGCGCTGGCTGCAGTTTGCTATGCCGACTTTCGATCTTAGTCTGATTGAAATCTTTATCACGATGGGCAACGCCGGCACGATTTGTGTTGCTGAGCGCTCGCTCATGCTTACCGACATTGAGCGCACCATTAAGCTCTTTCAGGCCAACACCATCTTCACCGTGCCCAGTCTGGCCACGCTCCTGCGCCCCGCCAAGGTGCCATCTCTGACAACTCTTGTCGTTGGTGGCGAGCTGCTTAACAGATACACTATCGATAACTTTTCCTACGACTCACCGCGCGGCCCTGGTGAGCCCCAGCGCCATCTCATCAATATTTACGGCCCAACCGAAGCTACCATGGCTGTCGCGACCGAAGAGTCCGCCGTCACCACGCGTGGTTCCATCATTGGTGACTGTCTACGCTGCGCGGGCATCATCATCGTCGACCCTAACTCGGATGAGCTAATTGAGATCCCTTCGCCTCTAACTGGTGAGCTTGCCATCATTGGACCCCAGGTAGGCTTTGGATACCTCAATCGCCCCAAGGAAACCAATGCTGCTTTCAAAGATGGCAGCCACCTGGGTCTTGGCCCCGTCTACAAGACTGGCGACAGAAGCCGCATCGTCTGGAGCGCGGATGGCAAGCCCAAGGTTGAGATTCTCGGCCGTCTCAGTATGGAGCAGGTCAAGCTCAACGGTCGTCGTGTCGAGCTGAGCGAGATTGAGTCTAGCATTGCCAAGTCAGAGCTTGTCCGCGAAGTTGCTACCGTTGTGCTCGGCAAGGCCCAGCTCGTGGCCTACCTCTCGCTTGCCGACGCCTTGGACTCTGCCAAAGCTCACGAGACCGCCATCGCCGACTGCCGTGATGTCGCGAACCGTACTATACCCATCTGGATGCGACCCAGCGACTACACAGTCCTGGCGGAGCTCCCTCGCACAGCCAGTGGCAAGGTCGACCGCAAGGTGCTCCAGAAGTGGGCGCAAGAAACGTTTGGTGTCTCTACGCCCGTCCCTGCTGCCCAGGTTACCAAGATTGCGGTGGACTTTGCTAGTGAGGACAGCGTCCGCGAGCTCATTGTCAAGACCATCACGTCTGTCATTGGCGAGACGGCCACTTCCGCCGATGCCACTACGCCGTTGTACACATGGGGCATTGACAGCCTTCAAGGCATGCGCATCCTGCAGACACTCCGAGAGCACGAGGTTGAGGGCCTCGCCCTCAACGACATCATGGTCGGCAACAGCCTCAACGCCCTCACCAAGCGCATCGTTGAGTTGCACGCGACCAATAATACCGATGCTGATGTCGAAATGAACGACGGCCCGATTGAGATTGAAGACGAAGAGGAGCTACTCTTCCTGCCGCTAAAGGCCAAGCTCAAGCACTTTGAAGCCGAATGCCGCCAGCAGTGCGCCAAGGATCTCGATATTCCGGTCGACGACATTGAGCATGTCCTTCCTTCAACTGGCATGCAGACTCGCATGGTCGCCTTCTTTCAGGAGTGCGTGGACGAGCTCGGTCTCAGCAAGCCGTACATCGAGCACTTTCCCTACAAGGTGCCTCAGATATTTGACTTGGATCGCTTTGAAACGGCCGTCCTTGCTGTGCTCAACGAGCACGACGCTTTCCGCACCATTACCTGCCCGGTCGAGCACCCCCTCACGCCCTTTGCGCAGGTCGTCCTGAGCAAAGATTCGCCGCGTGCCGCGCTTCCCGTTGTCCGCATCACATGCTCGACCTACGACGAGAGTCCCAACAGCCTGTGGACTAAGACGATTGAGCAGGCGCAAAAGTCGGCCTATGAGGTGCTGGACCTGGCGCACCCGGGCGCCGTTGTCACCTTTATCTACGACGAGGATCGCGAGCACTGCGTCATGGTGTGGTCGCTATTCCACATGATTTATGACGGCATCAGCCTCGAGGTGCTGCGGCGCGAGATTGCCGGCGCGTACAATGACCCACACACCGTGGCAACCATTGCCGCCAAGTGCCCCAAGGGTGTGCGCCTGCCCATCGAGGCGCACTACAGCGGTGACTGGCTCGAGACGAGCTTGTACTGGATGCGCGAGCGCGCCGGCGCCGGCTGGTTCAAGCTCGGCGAGCGCGCGCTGCCTGTACAAGGCGACTACTCGGAGTCGTTCCGCAACGGCGACGTCGCGTGCGAGACTCTTGTCTCGAGCCTCAGCCTCGACGACCTCAATGAGCGCACGCGAAAGCACGGCCTCAACTCGTCACTGGCCGTCACGCAGGCCGCCTACTCGATGGCGCTCGCGCAGACGATTGCCAAGCTCGACGGCGCCGACAGCGACGTTGAGGTGCAATTCGCGACCGTCATCCACGGCCGCCAGACACCCGCGGCGCTCGACTGCGTCGCGCTCATGCTCGAGACGCTGCCCGCGTACATCAAGTACCACATCGGCTCCGGGGCCACCAAGACGACGCACCGCGAGGCGTGCCGCCACATGCTTGCCGAGCACATCGGCCAGATGCCACACGCGCAGATGCCTTGCACGACCGTCGACTTTGCCAAGACGGGCCGCCGCATGGACAGCTCCATTATCTTGCAAGCCTATCCCAAGCCGCCGACGACCTGCGTCTCTGCCTCAACCGACAGCGAAAGCATAGTCGTCGACGACCTACCCGGGTTCAACCGCGAGGAGAACCTCCTGCCCCCCTGGCAGGAGACTTTTACCGGCTACCCGCTGCTGATGGAGCTCTGGCAAGGCTTTGACCGCGCCGACGAGAAGCTGCGTATCCGCTGCTCGTACGTCCCGACGTGGCCGGGTTACGAGTTTATGACCAAGGCGTGGGCCCAGGGCCTCAACGCCGCCCTCGAGGCCAGCCTCGTGCGCATACTCAGCGAGCCCGACGCCGAGTTTGACCCGGTGGCGTTTGTCAAGGCTGATGCTGCTGATGCTGGTGGCGCCTCCATGGATGTCTCTGCCTAATTTTAGGAAACGGACCAACAGAATACGGAGGCAGGGGACAGCAACGGGCGGTGATATGTCGGCAAGTTTAATTAGTATCTGAAGATTTGAATTTGAGCATGTATTTCTTTTTTTTTTTTCCGAAACGAGTTTTTTTCTGTCTCGAACGAGCAATTTCTATTCTTTGCACATATTCTAGTAATTAGAGCTCTCAATGACCTTTTCCCCCTTCATTCTTACAAAGTGTCAAGAACTGCGCTGTTGTCGATCTTGGGCTCAAAGTGGTGTCATGCGCCGCTGTGTAAAATCATAACACGACAAGAGACGCAGGGTCGCAAACAGAGATGTAGATTGTTCATGTTTTAGATTGCAAGCAGAGTTTAAAACATGTAGTTATATACGTAGCGGTGCTTCGCGACTTTGTTGTAAAGCTCCATCTAAATCAAGACATTGGGGATAAAAACAGTCCAAGAACAAATCGCTGACATGCAGATTTAGGCTAGTAAGCCAGCCGCCCGACACCAACAACGCCGTCTAGAAGATATATACAAAAAGTCTATCAATGTCATGTGCCAAAAGAAGAGTGATATACAAGACGAAAAAGAAGGAAAAAAGACAAAGTTCACTACTTTAGAGGTGGACGGAGGTTATGATGCTCGACAAATTTAGCAAAGTCATCCGCCTGCGTAAAGCCGGCCTGCGTGCTGATACGCCTCAGCTGCGTCACTGTCCAAGCACGAGTCTCGTCCGTCAGGCTGTGCATGCAGCCCACAGTCAGTAACACCCATGTGGCGAAGTAGCAGCCGGCGGCCGAACCCGTGTAGCCGCTGACGGGCTCAGAGGACCCAAAGACGGACGTGGGCGAGTATGGTGGGGAAGTGGCATCCCCCACGTCGATGCCCGAGTCCGACGTTGCCACAGGGGTCATGCCCCTGGGACGATACATTTGCTGTTCGTGCTGGACCTGCTGCTGGGCCGGCGAGGTCACGTAGCCCATGAGCTGGGGCACGGCAGCGAGCAAGTCGGCGCGGATGTGAGCCATGGTCTTGGAGACGCCTTGGAGGCGGTCGACGTAGTTGTTCGAGAAGAACCAGTTGGGGTCAATGTTGGCACCGCGTAGCAGCAGATAGCCAATGGCATGATTGGCCAGAATGCGGCAGGTGCGCATCCTGTTCCAAACATTGGCAATGTATACGTCGTGGTAAAGGTGGTGCACTTCGCCATGGAAACGTGTAGTGTCGAGGGTGGGGGCCGGGGGATTTGGCATGACGGCGTAGCACCATTCCGGAGGGCATTCGGCAAAACTGCTCTCTAGGCGGTAGTCGATGTCAAGAGCTTGAGACAGGAACCGCTCGAGTTCTTCAATGGTCAAATTTGGTGCAGCGTTTTTGGATGAGTTGGAAGAAAGAGCGGGCATGGAGGATGAGTTGTTGGGAACGGGAGTATTGGGGTTGTGGTTGATGTACGTGTAGCCACCCGGTGAGATTTGGTGGTAAAGGTCGAGGAGCTCGACCATGGCGCTGGCGCCAATCCAGTACGGGTCCGAGACAGAAAATGCCTTGGACGCCTCGGTGCGCAGCATGCGCAGGCTGGATGGCATGGGAACGCCGATGCGCAGGCAGTTTGTCAGGAGTTGTGTAAAAACATCCTTGAAGATTTGCAGACCAGTGGTAGTGGCAAACTGCGACTTGCCACGGACGTTTAGCAAGGAGACGGCACCGTCAATGTGCTGTTTCCAGCCATCGAGGGAAGCTTTGCTAAACTCGTACAGCGCCAAAACAAGCACAGTGACGATTGTGCTGTCGCGACGCGCAGCTACGGGATCAGCCAGGGCGCGGTTCACACGTTCCATGGTGTGCGTGTACATCATGATGGAGCGGCACATGAGGTCGGTTTGCTTGGTGGTACGGGCCAGACCACTAAAGCCGACAGCAAGGACAGCACCTTCGAGCAGCTCATGACCCTCTTCGCGAGCCAAGATTGTGACTACATAATCGAGAAACCCCGTGGACGGGCCGGACTGGTGAACGACGTAATGTGTGAGAAAGAAATCGAGGCCAATCATATCCAGAGGCAAAGACAGCGGCCGTTGGATGCTGCCCTCATGGCTGGAGCCATTGGGGGAGGCAGCCGTGGAGGCAAGCTCCATTCCAGTTGGGGAGCGGTGGGAAGGATAATCGCGGGGCACATCGACGGCCGAAACAGCTCCAGAATGGATGGCGCTGGCGGATGCGGGATCTGTGCCCGTCATCATGGCATCGGAGCTGTCTGTAGAGAGGGTAAAGAGGCCACCATCGGTGTTGAAGGGAGTGTTGAAGCCGAGCAAGTCAAAGTTGAATGAATTGCTGGCAAACATGGCCTCACCCATATCACCGAGCATGTCCTCGACCGGCGACATTCTTTGCGGAGGAAAGTGATGCGGCGAAGGCTGCGAGCGAGGTGCTCTGGAAGGGTGAGAAGTGGGCGGCGAGCGCTGGGCAGACGCAGGTTGTGATGATTGTTGCGAAGCGGAAGCGGAGCGCTTGTTGAGTCTTGAGCGAGCCTTGTCAATGACTTGGCTGCTTTCGTCGCGAAAGATGAGGCTGGAGGGGTCGCGGTAGCCTGGGCACTTTTGGCCCATGCGACGACATTGGCCGCATTCTGGATGAGCTTTATCGCACTGGAGGGGTTTTGCGCGTTAGTAAGTGCATGAGTTTTTATTTTCTTTCATCGCGCTGTTGTCGCAACTTGGACAATGGACATATGTTGTTCTCAACTCCGCCATCTGCGTACATGACTAGCTTGAGAGAGTCGCATTACCAATGCCGCAGCCAAGTGTCGCGCAACAACTGTTTCGTCGGCATCGTACCAGCGCCGACAGAGAGGTGAATGGCGCGCGGGTGAGGTAGACAAAGGGGAGATGTGGCCAAACTTACTCGTCTCTTTTTGGCTCTGCAATTGTTGCAGCTTGTGGAAGGCCTGCCGCAGTAGACCATGGTTGACGATGGGGAGTCAAACGGCCAGCCGTTTGTACCGAGCAAGGGTTGGGTATCTGTGCGGCAGGTCCAAGAGGAAGGGGAGGTGTGCCCGTGGAACAAGGTAGCAGCGGAAGGTGAAGCAGGCAAGCAGCGAGCAGAAAGCCGTTGAGATGGAGTAGGGATGGGCAAGGAATCGGTAGAGTCGCAGCAGACTGGAAGATGGGGTGGAGATGGAGAAGGGGAGGACGGAAAAGTAGACGGAAAGAGGAACCTCTACGACAAAGAGTCGAGCGGGAAACACCGTACCTAAATAATGAAGGTGTTGGAGATGCAAGAGGATTAGAAAGGAAAATAAGCTAACGAGTTTAAAAAAGAAATCGTGTCTGAGTCTGACAAAGAAGAGAAGCGGGCAAACGATGGTGGTGTATGTATGGAGTATGGGGATGATGATGGGTGGGATGGCGGATGATGGTGGAGGAAGAGGAGCTGTTTTATTTTTAGTGGGGGGTCCCTCGATTGAGTCCTTCTGACGAGTTGACCAGGCCAAGGCAGCGGATGCATTTACTGGTTTACAGAGGGCATTTACTAGCTTACAGAGGGGTCAACCTGATAAAAGTGGGTGTTGGGCACCTGTGCCTGTAGCTGGCACGCTGTTAATCAATAGCATGCAGTAAGGGAAGTGTGAGCAAACTTGAGGTGAAAAAGACCAAGATGAAGAAATGTTCAAGGCCACTAGAACGAGGTACAGGCTGGTGAAAAAGTTTGGGCTGCAGCAAGCGGTGTGATTTGATTAAATGCTGCCGTGTTGGGCCGAAGGTTGACTCGATGAAAGGGCGGCTTACAGTGATAAACGCGCTGTATTAACAGCAACCAACCAACTGCCAGCTTCGTCGCCGCATCCAACGGCAATACCAGCTTACACTGTTATTCTTTGTCATCGCCCTACATAACTACCTAGAGTGGGTGTAGTGATTGCATCGTCGCCCTAACGGTCAGCTGTTGTGTGCTTTCCGGCTAACACGGCACCAACTCGCATCCGCAACGGTGGGGATCGTCTTTGCAGTCAGATCTTAGCTGCCGGCGCTCGCACCTAACGCCCTCGGCCCTACCAACAGAACCCTTGACACGCAGCGGGGGGTGTGGCGTAGTTGCTTTGTAAAGTTTGCCGACAACCTTGTCTTGTTTTCACGCTTGGTTTGGTCCTTTTATTTTATTTTTTTATTTTTTTTATTTTTTTTCTTTTGGTTTGGTAACCGATACGCGAAACTTGTCGATACCTGATGTTTATTTCGCTGCATATTTTCTTCATGCGCAACTGCCTGCAGACAAGTCGTTCGGCCAACCACAGCCCAAGACGCCCTGTAGGTACAGCCTGTAGTACCTTACAGGCGCTCAAGCGCTGTATCAACGGGTTCCTTTAGCCACCTCCGGGCCCTTCGGGAGCTCTTTTCCGGGCTTTGTAGCGCCAGCATCCACCATATCGCCCGGTCCAAGACTTTGACGATATTCCCATCTCTTGGCCGGGTTTTGATGCAGCGACAGTCCAACATCAAACTACCCATCTCCAGCAAGGCAGGCAGAATACTAGCAAACCACATTGCAACCTCATTCTGCGCCACTCATTTCATTGAACAGCCCATCGAAATTGTCATGCTCCTTCTGCAGCTTGTGACAAGGCTCTTGTCCTCGGAGCCTGCGCACTGCTAACCCGTGCCCTCTAATCCTAACCCTTCTGCACCACTCTCCATGCTACCCTCATGCCATGCCATCCCATTAAATAAACTAACCGCACACCGAGCCAACCCCCATCGACCTTGTCCCTCTAACCAACTTCGACCTTGCACGTTATCAGCCACACGCCTTTTCTCACCTCGCCGCTCACTCGCCCGACCGCAGGCCGAGACCCTGCTCCTCCCCGGTACCCCTACCCCTACTCTCTTGATTTGCCCTGCAGATCATCTATACCATATACAGCGTACGAGGCAGCAGCTAACTAGCGCGTGAGTGACCAGTCACAGTCTGACTTCATTCACCACTCCCCCTCCATTCCGAAAAAAGACCCCCTCAATCCCCTCTACCACTCACACACAGGCTCGCCGACCATCTAACAAGCGCCAGCAGGCACTCTCCCATCTCACTATTAACTACTGCTATTCCACTTCAGCGTGCTGCCACCGCTTCAGGTTGCAGCCATCTGCCGGCCATTTCCTGGTTCTGCAGTACATCCGCCAATTCTTCTCACAACGGCTCTTTGACTGCCTAATCATCCATCCAATATAATCGGCCAACGCCACCTATCCCCGACTAACTGACAAATATGCCCATGCTCTCAACCCACTCAAAACATTACTTTGGATCAAGTTTGAGAGTACAAACTCTCTACAGGTACTGCTGACTGTTCACCATATAGTCGCCTTGTTCTCTGAAACCCACTGTACCACTCCCTATGCTACCTGTAATCATCATTGCATCTCGCAATACTGTCCCAGTCGACGCTCCCATCAAACTGGTCAGTCTCAATCGACGCGGTGCTTGATTCAGCCTAGTGCTCTCCTCCCCAGATTGCCTCTTATAGGTTTCCCGGTGCAGCCCTCAGGCCCCATTTCCCATCGGCCCTGCATTGCCTACTTTCGTCTTCTCCCCCGTTTTCCGTATCTACAGAATCTGGTCATGATTGCCGGCGTCAGCTTCCTCCAGAACCTGCGCACAAGCACGGATCAGCTTGCCGTTGCGTGTTGCAACAGCCAAGCCAGCCCAGTATAGTCCAGATTTCCACTTCATAATTTAGCATTACCTCTTCTGTCAGTCAGATGTCAGTCAGATGTCTTGTGTATATTATAGTCTACTCCTGTCCAGTCCCAACCATATTTTATCATCATTGCTCGCATTTTAGACATCTTATTACATCTGCATACTGAAACACTCGCACTTACACGCACGACGAAGCATTTTAACTTATTGACATCCTCCAACCATCTCAGATTCTTTTGCCTACAGCTATACAAACAAAGTCTTGCATACAGTCTACCAGAGCCTAGTTGATTGCTTGCCGTGGCTGTGTTTTTGCGCTGCGACTCTTTCACGTCAACTACCTCTAATATTCCTCTTTTTTTTGTTCGACTCACACATCACACGCATTCACAATGGCTGCTCAAGTCGCTATCCCCCGGACTCAGACTGCCATTATCGCGGCCGACGCCGACGGCACCCTCAAGATTGATAGCAACGTTCCCGTCATTGAGCTCGAGCCCGACGCGGTCCTCGTCAAGACTGCTGCTCTCGCTCTGAATCCCGTCGACACCAAGATGTTCAAGGGCTTCGCCGCCGAGGGCGCCATTCTCGGGTTCGACTTTGCCGGCACCGTCGTCGCCGTCGGCTCCAACATTACAAAGGACGTCAAGATTGGCGACAGGGTGCTCGGCTCCGCCGACAGCATGGACGTCAAGCGTCCCAGCGGCGGTGCCTTTTGCGAGTACGCCTCGACGCCCGCCAGCCTCACGCTCAAGATCCCCGACGACATGTCCTTTACCGACGCCGCCTGCATGAGCACCTCGCTGGCTTCGGCCGGCATGGCGCTGTGGTTCAGCATGAAGATCCCCTCCACCATGGACAGCCCGGCGACTGGCGACAAGCGGCCTTATGTGCTGGTCTACGGCGGCTCTACCTCGACCGGCACCATGGCCATCCAGCTGCTCAAGAACGCCGGTCTCCGGCCCATTGCCACCTGCTCCCCACACCACAACGAGTTTGTCCTCTCCTACGGTGCCGAGACGGTCTTTGACTACCACTCCCCCACCTGCGCAAAGGACATTCGCGCTTACACCGGCAACGCTCTCGCCTACGCCATTGACTGCATCACCCTCGCCTCCTCCATGAAGATTTGCTACGAGGCCGTTGGTCGTGCCGGTGGCCGCTACTGCGCCCTCGACCCCTTTCCCGAGACCCAGGCCACCCGCCGTGTTGTCAAGCCCGACTGGATCCTCGGCTCGACCGTCAAGGGCCGTGGCTCCATGTGGCCCGCCCCCTACGGCCGTGAGCCCGATCCCGATGCTCGCTCCTTCTGCGAGGACCTCTACGCCGCTGCCCAGACCCGCCTGGACGCTGGTCAGCTGAAGAACCACCCGGCCCAGGCCATGCAGGGTGGCTTTGAGGGCATTCTCGAGGGTATTGAGATGATTCGCCGCAAGGAAGTCAACGGCTTCAAGCTTGTCTACGAGATCAAGAACTAAAAGGTTCCTTCTGTCCGAATTCGAAAACAACCACGCGGGTGCGCACGCACCACTCAAAAAACTACCAAAAAAAAGCGACTTTTGTATATTTTCTCAATTTTGCCTTTACATCAATATACACCTTTTCGACAGCGGGGCGCCACTGAAACGCGTTTGAAGTGCCGATGCGAGCTGACCTTGTGCTTACATTGGTACGGCAATTGACTAGTTAGCTAGTTATTAGTTACGGGATAGCAACTAGCCCGTTGGCTTTACAAGACACACACACATACGATTACATAGATTTGTTCCTCCAACTTCTTCATACCAATCTCATTACCAACCATTGTTCACTCTGTGCTTTACCACTCAGATTTCGTATTCATGCGTTTCTGACATGATCAGCTAGCTCTGCGAGCGACCAAGCTAGCCACAGCCTACTGGGCTAGTGAATTGGAGTAACGTCGTATCGCGACAAGATGGTGCTGCTTCGATCTTAGCTAAGCTCACTTGGGCGTTCTGAACCTCAGAATTCTGCAGCAAAATCTTTGCAAAACGAGATACGCATTTCCTGTTCTAGAAACCTTTTTTTTTTTTTTTCGATGGTGGCTGCCGGAGGTTTCAGTCCTATATTTCTGCACCTTTGTGATGGCTTCAGCGCGGCGGGTAGTCATTTCGCAACACCTTCCGTAACTCGTATTTGCTAAATTATCCACATGAAAGGGGCGTACTTACAGGGCTGAATTGACCCCGTCTACTGGGCCAAAGAGGTGCATCGGTCCAGCATCCACGTTCGCTATCGCCTCATGCAGGGTAGTTTGACGGCATGAGAAGGCAAAGCCATGACAAGACCGGCAGCCCTACAGGATTGTGTTGAACTGATATTTTTTCTATCTAAACAGCGATGATTCAATGTGAAGGGCTGCAGGAGGCGTGTTTAAGCCCCATGATGCCTTTCGACTCTTTGTATACGAAGAAGGCGGCAAGGTTGACTTTACCTTGTACCCTCGTGTCATCACTGGAATCACACTAGCTACTGTATGTAGTATGGCGAGGTCAAAGCCTTTTTTGCGGCTGAGGTTCGCTAACTGACCACTTGATCAATTCACCCGGTGGGGGGGGGGGGGGGGGGGGTCGAGTCGGTAGGTTAACCGTCGTCGGTGAAAAGTCTACACGGTTCAGATCCTTGGTCGTGTCAATCTGTCAATATGGAGCAAAAAGTCATGAGCCAAATTGAGCGTCTCGGCTGCACGGCAACTCTCCTTCACAAGTGCTGACGGGCGGATGCAGGTGTTGGCAAGTCTCAGTCAGCAAAATGCACCATCGTAACATGGGCAATGCCATAATCCGGTTTGTTGTCTCTGGAAAAGTTGAGAGTTTAATTTTAATTTTAATTTGTTCTTTCGCGGTTCTAGAAAAGTATCGTCGTAGCGACCAAGTTTCGCATCTGGCTGGGCTGGTGATTTCTCATTTCAAATGTAGTTGTCTAAACTGTATAGCAGAGCGTAAATTGACTAGTCACCACATTAAATTGCAAAACTGTCTGCCAACAAAGGATGATTCGCTCTTCAACCCATCACGAACAGAGGCGGCCTAAAAGAAGTTGTGAAATATATGCAGTATAATTTGATAGTCTGCATGTCTTGCTTCCCACGTGGTAAACATCAAACCTCAACCTAATCCGTAGGCTAATTCGAGACGGAGATGGCGGCCTGACTAAAATGGCGCCCGGCTAACTAACCACTAATTATTATCCAGGGGCGTGGCAAGTACTCGACGAATATCCTGAGAAACATGCTATTCTTCCGAATTCGCCATCTTGGCCATCTATGCTCTTGACCTCAAAGGGTAAATGCCCGGAACCCCTGTTTACGCAATGCACCATATGTATTACGGCCGAGTGGGATGGGCGGGAAGGTACCATTTCTTTTCCACAGCTTGGCTCGTTCAGATCGGTCCATAGATGATTATTTAGATCTGGGGTTGGTCATCCCACCAGGTGGCTTGGTGGCATCCAATCCACCCCCCTCCCCCCACCTCCATTTTGTCTGTGGCTCTCGCACTCTCGCACTGTGCTCCATCCCCAGTAAGCGGCAACTCTTCACCTTCATCCCTGGTCGCATCATCAGCATCGCTGACTTAAGCCTCTCCGACTTCCCATCGTGGTAACCAGGACGCCCTATTGATCTCATGCGGCATCAGATACCGGATACGTCACTCTTCAGGTGGGCTGAGCCAATGAGCTTCCAGCGCTTGTTCCCAGCCACTTCATCCACCCATCACCCATCCACGTCCATCGACACACCCCCCCCTTCCTGGAACATGCAAATGTTATCGAATTGTGCATGGAGCTACTGCCACGGCCTGCCAGCCAAGGCAGATGGAACTTTCTTTAACCCTTCTGTGCGTCTCGGGGTGCTATTCTTGGGCTCCAGCCAGTCAAAACGGTCGCCACACCTCCCTGGTTCTCGCGCACACCTTGGCTGACAAGCTATCTGTACCCCTTGCATTGGCCTTTTCTCTCGTGCCTGCTCTCTCAGGTCCCCTTGAATCTCATCCTGTCACCCCCCAACCGTCCCACCTCCATCAACCTCTTGGTTGGTCAGCATAGCCAGGGCCATAGGTTCGCGAGCCTAGACATGCATCTGCAGCTTCATGTAAGACAATCTGCTGCCTTTGCGACGGGCTGATGCTACTCTCCCCTCTCTTCAGCACGTTTCCATTTTGTTCCCACATCCTCGCTCCCCGTCCCCATCTCGGGTAAGCTCTGCCCATGAAGCTGGCCCTACGCGGCTCCGTAAAACGGCTCCGGCACCGTGATTATGGATGGCCACGACCAATCAGCGCAGCCGCAGCAAATGGCCCAACAGCTCCTACACTCCTAAAGGTAGGATTGCCATAGTCTCCCATCAGACCTAGGCCAAAAAAGCTCAGTTCGTCAGATTATTTCGGAATAGTATGACAGCTACCGCTCCTCAAAGCACCACATTCTACAGCTAACTTTGCAGCAGCAGCAAATGCTCTGCAGTAGCCCGACTTTCCAATATCAGCTCCCCAGTGATGGAGTCCTTCATCCTGAATTATGGATCCAGAAGAGCTGCACGGCGAGGCTACAACCAGCAAAGCGGCTTGTGAGTCCATCGCCATCGCCATCGCTACCTGTGCAGGCTCTGTCTGCCACACTCCCACATGGACGACTGCCCTGTCCGCAGCCACCCACCTCCCGTGACGGGGCAACCCTGGTCAATATGTGCTTATACGCCTAGTATCTTACCAAAGCATTTGGTTTGGGCCGCTCATCCGGAGGCTTTTAGCGTGTGTCTCCATACTACGCCCCGAGTGCAGCTTCACATAACATAAAGGCCTGTGCCTGACTGTTTCTTGACTTCCAAATCAGAACCATCGAGTCGCCCTTCCTCTTCGTGATAGCACCATTCACTTTTTTCCTCTCTCCCGTTGATTCGTATCTAACAAACTGAGAAATTCGAGCCCTATTTCTCTCTTTGCTACATACAATCATACAATCATACCATCGACCTTTTGTGCATACATTCCTCTTCACTAAACATACTTGTCTTTCACGATACATACATTCAAACCACAACCACAACCGCCAACATCTACATACCAGCAAACTATCACACCACCTTGATATTAGAAACGAGTCTATTCTTCTACAACTCATTAAAACTTACACAATGTCTTCGCACCAAAACGAGCCCATCGCCATCATTGGCAACGCATGCCGATTCCCCGGTGACTCTACTTCCCCCTCCAAGCTCTGGGAGCTTCTGAAGCAACCCCGTGAGGTTTCGCGCAACATTGATCGTTTTCAATCTGCTGGCTTCTACAACAAGGATGGACACTACCACGGCGCTAGCAACGTCCAGCACTCTTACTTGCTTAATGAGGATCCACGCCTGTTTGATGCCCAGTTCTTCAACATCCCTCCTGGCGAGGCCGAATCCATCGATCCCCAGCAGCGCATGATTCTCGAGACCGTCTACGATGCCGTTGAGACTTCTGGCCTGGTTCTCGAGAACCTCCGTGGATCAAATACTGCTGTATACGTCGGTGTCATGTGTGACGACTATGGCAACATTTGCTACGTCGATCAGGAGTCCATTCCCACTTATGCCGCCACCGGTACTGCCCGCAGTATTCTGTCCAACCGCGTCTCCTTCATCTTTGACTGGAGAGGCCCTTCGATGACTATCGACACCGCTTGCTCCTCGTCCCTGGTCGCCCTTCACCAGGGTGTGCAGGTCCTCCGCAGTGGCACTTCTCCCATTGCCATTGCCGCTGGTGCCAACCTCATCTTCTCACCCAACATGTTCATCGCCGAGTCTAACCTGAACATGTTGTCGCCCACTGGCCACTCTCAGATGTGGGATGCCAACGCTGACGGTTATGCTCGCGGTGAAGGTATTGCTGCTGTTGTCATGAAGCGTCTCTCCGACGCCATCCGTGATGGTGATAATATTGAATGCATCATCCGCGAGACTGGTGTCAACCAGGATGGCCACACCCCCGGTATTACCATGCCTAGCCAGGAGGCTCAGACTCGCCTTATCCACGAGACCTATGCTCGTGCTGGCCTCGACCTTTCCAAGCCCGAGGACCGCCCCCAGTACTTTGAAGCCCACGGTACTGGTACCAAGGCTGGTGACGGTGTGGAATCCAAGGCCATTTACAAGGCCTTCTTCCCCGAGTCGGACGACAAGCACGACACTCTCTGGGTCGGTTCTATCAAGACCATCATCGGCCATACTGAAGGTACCGCTGGTATTGCCGGTGTGATGAAGGCGTCTCTTGCTATTCAGAACAAGACCATTCCCCCCAATATGCACTTCAACACCCTCAACCCCGAAATCACTCCCTATTACGGTAAGCTCCAGATCGCTACCGCTGCTCAGAACTGGCCCAAGCTCGCTTCTGGTTCGGTTCCTCGTGCCAGTATCAACAGCTTCGGTTTCGGTGGTACCAATGCCCACGCCATTATTGAAGCATATGTGCCAGAGGCGCCCAAGGCGCTTACTCAGGCAGCCCCTGCTGTCGCCAACCCACTGGCCCTGACCTTCTCTGCTACTTCTGAGAAATCTCTGACAAACTTGATGGCTAACTACCTCGAGTATCTCACTGAAAACTCCGAGGTGGATATCGGTAAGTTGGCGTGGACCCTGCATGACCGCCGTTCCACTTTCAGCTACCGCAGCTCGGTTGCTGCGCAGACTCAAGATGAGCTCGTTGCCAAGCTGCAAAAGTCTGTAGAGGACCAGCAGTCTGGAAACTCTTCCGCCGTGACCCGTGGTACCTCGGCCAAGAAGAACCTCCTCGGTGTCTTTACCGGCCAGGGTGCTCAGTGGGCTACAATGGGTAGAGATCTCATTTCATCCTCCAAGTTTGCTGAGAGCATCATCGACAAGCTTGAGAAGTCCCTTGGTGAGCTTCCTGAGGGCGATCGCCCATCCTGGTCCCTCAAAGAGCAGATGATGGTCGACCCTTCCAAGTCGCGCATCACTGAGGGTGAATTGTCTCAGCCTCTCTGCACCGCCGTCCAGGTCATGCTGGTTGAAATGCTCAAGGTGGCCGGCATTGAATTCGACAGTGTCGTTGGCCACTCCAGTGGTGAGATCGGTGCCGCATACGCCTCTGGCTTTATCAGTGACACGGATGCCATTCGCATTGCGTACTACCGTGGCCGCTATGCTTACCTCGCTCGTGGCCCAGAAGGCCAGCGTGGTGGTATGTTGGCTGCCGGTACTACTCTGGAGGACGCTCGTGAGCTTTGCGATCTTCCTGCCTTTGAGGGTCGCGTTAGCGCTGCCGCTTACAACTCGTCTTCTTCCGTCACCCTCTCGGGTGACTTGAATGCTATTGAGGAGGTCAAGGAGGTTCTTGATGACGAGAAGATGTTTAACCGTCAGCTCAAGGTTGATACTGCCTATCACTCTCATCACATGATTCCTTGCTCTCAGAAGTACTACGAGGCTCTTGATGCTTGCAAGATCAACATCATGACCCCATCTGGACGCACCAAGTGGTACTCGTCTGTTTACGATGGCAAGGTCATGGAGCCTTGCGATGCGCTCAAGCACCAGTACTGGGTTGATAACATGGTCAACATTGTTCTGTTTGCTACTGCTCTGGGCGCTGCTCTCAGCAGTTCTGAGCCCAAGCTTACTCAGGCTATTGAGGTCGGCCCCCACGCCGCTCTCAAGGGCCCTGCCTCCACTGTCATTGAGGAGACCATCAAGTCTACTATCCCTTACACAGGCACACTGTCTCGTGGCCAAAATGACGTTACCGCCATGGCCACCTGCCTAGCCTACCTCTGGGCCCAGTTCGGCCGCTCTTCTGCCGACTGGAAGGCCTACTACGGCCTCTTTGCCGACTCTACTCCCAAGACTATGCTCAACCTGCCCAGCTACCCCTTCAATCACGAGCGTCTCTTCTGGTATGAGGCTCGCAAGTCGCGCGTCAACCGACTCCGTGAGGACCCTGCCCACGTCCTCCTCGGTACCCGCACCGACACTATCAACGAGCGTGAAATCCGCTGGCGCAACTACATCCACTCTGGAGAAATTCCCTGGCTTCAGGGACACAACATCCAGGGCCAAACGCTGTTCCCTGCTGCCGGGTTTCTTGTCATGGCTGTCGAGGCTGCTCGCATTGCTGGCCGTGCTGAAGCTATTCAGGCGATTGAGCTGAAGGACTCTGCTATCCACCGTGCCCTAGCCATTAGCGAAGACAAGGGTATCGAGACTCTTTTCACTCTCTCCAACGTCACCATAACCGAGACTGGTGAGGGTACTTCCGTCTTGACTGCTCGCTTCGCTTGCGATGCGTGCCTCCAGAAGCAGTCTGACAACTTTGTCTCTATTGCTAGCGGTGATGTTATCATGACCTACGGCACTCCTTCCTCCTCTGCTCTTGTTGAATACCCCAAGGAGGAGGGTCTCGGCATGCTTGACGTCGATGCTGACCTCTTCTACGCTTACCTTGCCAACATTGGTTACAACTACGCCGACATGTTCAAGGGTATCACTTCCCTTCGAAGAACCACTGACCTTGCTCAGGGTGTCATTACCACCAAGGTTCCTGAGGCTCTGGCCAACGAACCTATTGACCAGTTCCTCCTCCACCCTTCTACTCTCGATGTGGCTTTCCAGGCCATCTTCGCCGCCATCTCCTTCCCTGGCGACGGTGCTCTCTGGGCCTTGCACATCCCCACCACTATCCGTCGCGTCACTATCAACCCTGTGGTTTGCCCCATGAACGGTGGTGTTGACGAAAAGGTCCGCTTCTCCGCTACCTCTAACCGTGCCGATGATGGCACCTTCTCTGGCTGTGTCGACATCTTCCCTGTCCACAGTGACTTTTCCATGTGCCAGGTTGAGGGTCTTGAGGTCAGCCCCGTCTCTCCTCCTACTGCGAGAGATGACCGTCCCTTCTTCGGTCAGACCAACCACTGGCTCAGTCTTCCCGATGCCGACTCCTTCGCCGCTGCTCTTCGCATTACCTCCACCCAGGAGGCTGAGAAGTCTCAGCTCGACCGCCTTGCTGTCTCCTACCTCCGCAACATCCTGCAGTCCTCCGGCCACGAGACTGACCAGCTCAAGAGCTGGGCCCAGACTGTCCTTGCCTGTCTTGGTAAGAAGGATTCCCTGCCTGTTATTGAGCAGTCTGATGTTGCTGTTCAAGACAACTCTGTCTACAAGACCAACTTCAGCATCCTGAAGACCATTGGTGCTGGAATTGAGAAGGGTGAGCTTCCCCAGGGCTTCGATGCCTCTGAGCTTCTCAACACCTTCTACGAGAGTTCTCTTGGAGCTGCTGAGGCTCGTGAAGCTCTCGCTATTTTGGCCCAGCAGATTGTTCGTCGCTACCCTCACATGAACATTCTGGACCTCTCCAGCGGCTCTGGCAGTGTCACCAAGACCGTCATGGACAAGATTGGTGCTCTCTTCTCTGCCTATACTTGCACTGGTGCCACTGACGAGCACTTTGCCCAACTTTCCAAGGAGTACCCTGCCATCTCCACTCGGACCATTGACTTTTCCGAGGATCTCGAGGAGCAGGGCTTTTTTGCTGGTGCTTATGACCTTGTCATTGCCGGCAACGGTTTCCACAGCATCAAGGATAACGTCGAGGGCATGCAGAAGCTTCGCTCTCTCGTCCGTCCTGGTGGTTACCTCCTTGCACAGCAGATCACCAACTCTGACTCTGCCCACGTTGGCCTGACGGTCGCTAGCGTTGCCCTCCAGCCTGAAGAGATCAGCAGCACTTCGTCTCTGATTGCTGACCTCGGCGAGTACGATGACATCTTCCGCACTGCTGGCTTCTCTGGCATCGACACTGTCACTCCCGACTCTGCCAGTCCTTTCACTGTCTTCGTGACCCAGGCTATTGACCAGCAGATTCTCAATATCCGCGAGCCTCTGCAGTCTAGCAAGGTTGACTTGGAGAATGTTCTCATCATTGGTGGCCAGCGCTTCCAGGTTTCTCGCATGATTGAGACCATGAAGAAGTCTCTGTCTCCTTTTGCCAAGAACATCGAGACTATCCGCTCTCTAAATGACCTCGATGCCTCCATGCTGGCTACTCGCCCCTACGTTGTCTCTCTTACAGAGCTTGACGACCCCTTCTTCGAGAACCTTACCGACACAAAGTGGGAAGCTCTCAAGACCCTCTTCTTCCGTTCTCGCTACATCCTATGGGCCACTCAGGGTGCCAACGGCGACGCTCCCTATGCAAACGTCATGAAGGGTGTTGTTCGTTGCATGCTTGTCGAGATCCCCCATCTTCACGGCCAGATGTTTAACATTGAAGGCCAGCTAAAGCCCGAGCAGCACTCTCTGACAATCGTTGAGTCCGTTATGCGTCTGCACATTTCTGACACTTGGAAGGACAAGGTCCCGACCTATGACCCTCTCTGGACTGTCGAGCGTGAATACATGCTCAAGGATGACAAGCTCTGGATCATGCGCTACGATTCCGAGAACACCCTCAACGCTGGCTATAATGCTCTTCGTCGCCGTGTTATTCAGGAAGTCTCTACCAAGGACCAGGTTGTTGCCCTCACCCCGGAGAAGCAGCTTCAGCAGTACCGTCTGTCCCCCAAAGCCACTGTCGAGATCGAGGGCATCTCCAACAGCACTGTCACTGTCCACCAGTCCCTTTCGTCTGCTATCAAGGTCGAGGGTCTTGGCTTCATGCACTTGAGTGTTGGCAGAGAGGCCGAGACCGGCGCCACTGTTGTCGCCTTTTCCGAGAAGAACCAATCTTCTCTTACGCTTCCCAAGTCTCGCCTCCTCCCCATTGATGTTCCCGAGGGCAAAGAGCGCAGCCTTCTTGTTGCTATTGCCTGCAACATGCTTGCTAATGATCTCCTTGGCAAGGTTACTGCCGGCGACCGCATCGTTCTTCATGAACCTCCCACTGTCTTGACCAAGCTCCTGACTGAGCGTGTCGCCAATACTGGTGTCCAGCTGCTCTTCACCACCACTCGCAGAAAGGCTGCTCTCCAGGCTCAGTGGAAGCACATTCATGCCTACAGCACTGACCGTGACATGCGCCAGATCACTGCTGCCAACACTGCCATCTTTGTTGACTTTTCCAACAACGAGAAGCGCCGTGACGTTGTTGAGCACCTCACCGAGGGTCTGCCTTTTGGTACCCGCAAGTACGAGCTTGGTGATTTCCTGCCTTCCCGCTCTGTTCTCTACTCAGACAGCACCGAGGAGCAAGTCAGCACTGCTCTCGAGAAGGCTTACTCGACCGCTACGGCTGAGCGTAGCTCCGTTCCTTTTGACAATGTTGCCAACACCCGTGTCCAGCAGCTTGCTGACGATGCCGATCTGGCTGAGACTCTCACCACTGTTGACTGGACTGATGCTACTCCTTTCCCTGCCAGTGTGACGCTGGCCATGGATGAAGTCAACTTCCGCCCCGACCGCACTTATTTCCTCATCGGCATGACTGGTTCTCTGGGTCTGTCCACTTGCGAGTACATGATGGAGCGTGGTGCTCGCTTCTTTGCTTTGTCTTCTCGTCGCCCCAACGTTGACAAGCGCTGGCTGGAAAAGGTCAGCAAGGCTTATGGCGCTGTTGTCAAGGCCTTCCCTCTTGACATTACCAGCCGTGCCAGTCTCCAGAAGGTGCACGATGACATCAACGACACGATGCCTCCCATTGCTGGTGTTGCCAACGGTGCTCTGATTATGCGCGATGGCCTCTTTATGGACTCGAGCGCCGCTACCATGAACGAAGCTCTTGGTCCCAAGGTTGCTGGTTCCGTCTTCCTCGACGACCTCTTCTACAATGTTAACCTGGACTTCTTCATCCTCTACTCTTCTCTTGTCTATGTTACGGGTAACATTGGTCAGACTTCTTATGCTGCCGGCAACGGTTTCATGGTCAGCCTGGTCCACGGCCGCCGTGCTCGCGGTCTCAATGCTACCGTCATGAACCTTGGTGGTATTAGTGGTATCGGCTACATTACTCGTACTGACCACGGCATTCTCGGCAAGCTTGACATTCTTGGATATGGTATCATGTCCGAGCTTGACTACAAGTACTTCTTTGCCGAGTCCGTCATGGCCGGTGCTGCCGACTCGGGTCGCAATCCAGAAGTCTCTGCTGGCCTTCGCTATGTCAACAAGACGGAAAAGAACCCTCCCAAGTGGGTTGTCGACCCCAAGTTCTCTCACTACGTCATTGACCGCACTTCTCGTGATGGTGGCGACAAGGGTGGCGACAGTGCCATGTCTACCAAGGCCCAGCTTCTCGAGGCTACTACCGAGAAGGACGCTTTCAACATCATCTTGAACGCCCTCATGGCCATGCTTGGCAAGAAACTTGATCTGCCTCCTACCGAGAGTGTCCACTCCGATGTTGCTATTGTCGAGATGGGTGTCGATTCTCTCGTGGCTGTCGATCTTCGCTCGTGGTTCTCCAACGAGTTTGAGCACGACATTCCTGTTATCAAGATTCTTGGTGGTGCAACCCTTGCCGACTTGGTCGAAGATACTGTTGCCAACATGTCTCCTGATATCTGCCCCAACATCAGTGGTGGCTCTAGCGACGATGCCGAGGCTAAGCCCGTCCCTGCTGCTGAGGCTCCCATCCCTGTTGCTGCTGTCGATTCATCCAGCGGCGACTCGGCGTCTTCTAGCGATGAGCGTGAAAGTGCTACCTCTGTCGAGACTGCTCCTACCACCGCTTCCAAAGTCACCAAGGAAGTTATTGCTGCCCCCAAGCCTACCGTTGATGTTGCTCCCAAGCGTCACTTTGTCCGCGAGGAGAAGATGACTCATGGTTGCTCTCGCTTCTGGTTCCTTCGCCAGTACCTCGAGGACTCTACCTGCTTCAACGTCCTGGTCCAGACACGCCTCAACGGCAAGATTGACTCTGCTCGTCTCCAGGAGGCTGTTCGCAAGCTCGGTGCTCGCCACGAGTCTCTTCGAACATCCTTCTTCGTCTCTGAAAAGGGTGAGCCCCGCATGGGTGTCATGTCCGACTCCCTTCTCCGCCTTGAGGTTGAGAAGGCTCAGGAGATCAGCCAGGCTGAGAAGGCCTACAAGGACATGATGGGCTACAACTTTGACATTGAGCGTGGTGAGGTCATCCGCATGAGCCTTCTCTCCCTCTCTGAGACCGACCACGTTTTCATCTTTGCTGTTCACCACATCGCCATGGATGGATTCTCGTTCAACCTCATGATCCGCGATCTCGACATGATGTACCAGGGCAAGCCTGTTCCTCAGACCCCTGCTCAATTTACCGACTTTGCCATCCAGCAGCGTCGCGATGTCGAGGCCGGTCGCATGCGCAACGACATTGCTTTCTGGAAGAAGACCTTCTCCAACATCCCTGATCCTCTTCCTCTCTTCCCCTTTACTGGTGTCGGCAACCGTATGCCTCTTGTCAAGTACGAGCACGAGGAAGTTGAGATTAGCCTGGACGCCGCCATGGCCCAAAAGATTCGCAACCTCTGCCGCCAGAACCGCTGCACCACTTTCCACTTCTTCCTCGCTACGTTTCAAATCTTCCTTAGCAAGTGGCTCGAGGTTGACGATCTCTGCATTGGTATCGCCGATGCCAACCGCAGCGACATCAAGACTTTGTCCACGATTGGTTTCCTCTTGAACCTTGTTCCCCTCCGCTTCAGTGCCCTCAACGGAAAGGCTCCCTTCTCCAGTGTCCTTGCTGCCGCTAAACAGACTGCTTACAACAGCTTGGCCCACTCGAAGCTTCCCTTTGATCTTCTCCTTGAGGAGCTGAACCTCCCCCGCTCTTCCTCCACTAGCCCTCTGTTCCAGGCATTCCTTGACTACCGTCAGCTGGCTGTCAAGACTCCTCCTATGCTGGAGTCGAGTGCTGAGGGCGAGCAAAACTTTGGAGCTACCGCCTATGACGTTGTCCTCGATGTGACTGACTATGCCATGGCTGACATCAAGATCAAGTGGCAGACCCAGAAGGCCCTCTACAATACCAAGCACACCGAGGCCATGATGGAAAGCTACATGAACCTGCTCAACCACTTCGCCAACAGCGCCACTTCTTCTGTTGAATCTGCCCCTCTGTACCGCTTTGAAGATGTCAAGGCCGCCGTCGAAGCTGGCCAGGGTTCCCAGTTTGACGGCCAGTGGCCCGAGACCCTCTCCCTGAAGATTGACGACATCTCTGCCAAATCTCCCGAAAGCATTGCTCTCGCCGATGTCTCGAATAATTTCACATACAGCTCGATGAACCGCTTCATTGACCAGATCATTGAAGAACTCGTTCAGGGTGGTGTCAAGCCTGGCGACAAGGTCGGCATCTTCCAACAGCCCTCTAGCCTCTGGATCAGCTCCCTCCTTGCTGTTTGGCGTGCCGGTGCTGTCTATGTTCCTCTTGATCCTCGCAACGGTGTTCCCCGTCTTGCTTCCACTGTTGGTGTTGTCCAACCCCAGGCCATCATCCACGACAATGCCAACGCCAAGGACGTTTCTTCTCTTGCTGCCCCTGCCAGTGCTAGCATCATCAACATTAACAATGTTCGCAAGAAGGATGCTACTGTTGCTCACCGCCCCAACCTTTCGACTGGCAACTCTTCTGCCATTATTGTTTCCAGCTCTGGCTCTACCGGTGTCCCCAAGTGCATCGAAGTCCGCCACTCCAGTCTCCTTAACCTCTTTGAGGGTGACAGCAAGACCTGGAAGCTCGGTAGCGCCAAGGTCCTCCAGCAAAGTGCCTACAGCTTCGACATCTCTCTGGACCAGATTATGACTGCTTTCGTCAACGGCGGCACTCTCTACGTCGCCTCCGAGGAAGAGCGTACTAACCCTGAACTGATTGCCAAGGTCATTGTTGACAACAACATTAACTACACCACCGCCACTCCTTCAGAGTACTCCAACTGGATTGGCTTTGCTTCTGAGACCCTTGCCAAAGCCTCTAGCTGGCGCATTGCCAACGTTGGTGGTGAAGGCTGGAACAGCAACCTTCGCGATTCCTTTTCCAACCTCAAGCTTCCTGAGCTCGTGATCCGCAACAACTACGGCCCTGCCGAGGCCAGTGTCTGGGCTACCCGCTACCCCATCGAGTACCCTGGTAAGGGCACTCTCATCCCCGCCGGCCCTGCGCTTCCCAATTACTCTTTCTACATCATCGACAAGAAGAACAATGTTGTGCCCACTGGTGTCCAGGGTGAGATTCTGATTGGTGGTGCCGGTGTTGCTGTCGGATACTACAAGAACGCCGAACTCACCAAGGACAAATTTATTACTGACAAGCATGCCACTGAGGCTCACACGGCCAAGGGCTGGAACCGTGCCTACAAGACTGGCGACAAGGGCTATCTTACCGAAGATGGTACTCTCGTCGTTCAGGGCCGTATCAGTGGTGACACGCAGATCAAGCTCCGTGGTTTCCGTATCGAGCTTGAAGACATTGAGTCCACCATTGTCCACGCTTCTCAGGGTGTTCTTACCCGTGCTGTCGCCAACGTTCGTGGCGACGGCCCTGCTAGCTACCTCGTCGCCTTTGCTGAGTTTGCCGATGGCTACCCCGCCGAAGAGCAGGACGCTTACCTTTCCAAGCTCATTTCCAAGCTGCCTCTTCCTCAGTACATGCGCCCCAATATCATGGTCCCGATTGTCGACATCCCCGTCAACGCGCATAACAAGGTCAATCGTCTTGCTGTTGCTACTCTCCTCATTCGCACCGCCTCTTCTGACGACAGCACCAACACTGAGCTTACGGAAACTGCCAAGACGATTCGTGACATCTGGGTTGATATTCTCCCTGAATCGATCGTTCAGAACACTACCCTCAACGCCTCCAGCGACTTTTTTGTCCTTGGTGGCAACTCTCTCCTCACTGTCCGCCTCCAGTCTCGCCTCCGTGAGATTTATGGTGTCTTTGTTCCTCTCATCAAGATCATGGAGTCTTCTACACTCTCTGGTCTCGGCAACACCCTCGACGATCTCCTTTCCAACCAGGAGATTAACTGGGATGTCGAGACCGCCCTCAGTGATGAGATGCTGAGCGTCACGCCTGCCAATACCAACACTACACGTCCCAAGACTACTGATCTGACTGTTATCCTCACTGGTGTTTCCGGTTTCATTGGTCGCCACCTCCTCCAGCGCCTGATTGAAGACAAGAATGTTTCAGCCATTCACTGTGTGGCTGTTCGCAACATTGAAATGGATAGCCCCTCTCGTCAGAAGATGAAGGCCCTCATTGCCTCCACCAACAAGGTCCAGCTCTACCCTGGTGATCTCTCCGAGCCTCGTCTCGGTCTCTCTGAGGCCGAGTTTGACACTCTTTCCAGAAAGGCCGACATGATTGTTCACAGTGGTGCCAACCGTTCTTTCTGGAGTGCCTACGACATGGTTCGTGCCCCCAATGTGCAGTCTACCAAGGAGCTTGCTCTGATGGCTGCTACTGCCCTCCGTGACTCCAACAAGGTCGTTCCCTTCCACTTCATGTCTGGTAGTGAGGATGCCGGTGTTGAGCCCTCCACCGATGGCTCCAACGGCTACGTTGCTTCCAAGTGGGCCAGCGAGCAATTCCTCCAGCGCTTCGCTGACCAGCTTGGTGTCCCCGTCCACGTCCACCGTCAGCTTCCTGTTCCCGAGGGCCGCACCGCACAGGGCGAGGAACTCGACAGCATTCTGCAGGAGTTTGTCGATGTTGCTGCCAAGATGCCAGAGCTTCCCAATCCTGACACATGGCGCGGTTACTACGACCTGATCCCTGCTGACCGTCTCTCTGACGACGTTGTTGATCTGGCCATGTCTGGTCTGGTATCTACAAGTAACGCCTTCAGCAAGCACTCTCACTATAGCTCTGTCCGCATGGACATTGGCGAGGTGATTAAGAAGATTGACTCGCTAGACGAGTACAAAAACACCGACCGTCCTTTGATTCCTGCCCACGTCTGGGTTGGCAAGGCCAAGATTGCCGGTTTCAGATACCAGTTCTCCACCATGAAGATGTCTTTGCAAGACGCCGAGGGCAAGAACATGGGCTTCCTGGAGCGGTAAACAGTCTACCCTCTAAAAGGATCTTTACTTTTTAATCAGATTGGCAGCATGAGGCATAAAGTGCCCATCTACATCCACTCCTCGTTTCTTTTCTTCTTTTTTTTTTCTTTCTTTTTGTATCAAAGCGTCATAGATTTCTGATTTTTCATGATTGCATGGCATTTGTGCATTTATTTTCCTTTTTGTTATATGTAATGATGGTACAAAATACAAATCATTAGGGCTCAACAGTTATTCGTCGTCTTGGTTGTGATTGAATTTGCTGGTACTTGTAGATGCAAATGAGTTTTCTGGTCCGCAAACAGAGTGCGAAAGCGACCAGGTTCGAGGCAAATAAAGCAACAAGTAAAAGAACGGCCCGAGTAAAACTCAAAAAAAAAAAAAAAAAAAAAAAAAAAGTTAAAATGATGGAAGGATGTCAATATATTTTCTTGTGGATGACACTGCTTTGTCTTGCTGCCTTTCTTTGGGAGGATTTGCGGCGGGAGGTAGGCTTTCGCTGATGCCACCTACTAGTTTATCAAATCTCAGTATGCCAGGTATTGTGGCTTTATACCAAAATAGACAGTTGTAAGTCTACAGCCGTGAGTCAAGGCGTCACCGAATGCCGGTCGGATGTAACATTGTTGTATATCTCGTCGTGGTGGTGGTTGACGACGCTGGTGGCTGTGTTGGTATCATATCACGTCTCAAACACAGCAGAAAAGCCCAGCAGGTTCACTTTGCGGGCTGAAAGAAGTATACTGATTCGTAACACGGACCCACCTATTTAAAAAGAGGAGGGGTTTCCAGAAGAAAATCGTAGTGTACAAACGGGATTCGGAATCGCTACCGTTAGTTAGTGCGAGGCATCTGCAGAGTTGCCTCGTCGGGACTCGCGCTTCCTTCCACCTACACAGATCGATGCTAGAATTCGAGAATCAGGTACAAGTGTTTCTAAGAAAAGCTGTCGTCATGCGTGGGACCGGGTTTCAACGAGTGGAGTGCCCAAGGGTAAGTGAGTGCGCATTCATTCTAGGTACGGGGCGAATCCGGCGACTAGATGCAGCAAAATCAAAAACAAAATGAAAAAAAAAATAAAAGACGAGACTATTTGAAGAAGAAAAAGACGCTCTATTTCGCAACTATGGAGTCATGCCATGAATTTTGTAAAACAAAAACAAGAATCTCATCTCTCCTATTTTACTGGGAGACCTCGCCGGTGCCGAGGTAGTCGTAGATGATGGTAATCTCAACATTCTTATCCGAGCCCTCGGTGGTGACGAGCACGCGACGCGCCTGGTACCTGACACCCTCGACCTTGACGAAGCCGAGGACCTGCTGCGTGACGACGCCCTTTGAGTCAATGTGCTCCGTCTTGAAGTGGAGCACCTCCTCGGTGCCCTCCTCCCAGCCGCCCTTGAGCCACGCGTCCTCGAGCTCGTCGACCTTGACCACGCGCGAGCGGCCGCGGATGTTGCCAAACAGGGTATGGTTGAGCTCGACGGGCTCCCAGTTGAGGACGCGCTTCTCGACGGCGCCGGGCATGCCGCCGCTGGGCTTGTTTTCAATGTCGAGCAGGATTTTGCCCGACGCGTCCTTGGTCTGCGTCACGATGAGCGTGACGGTGGCCATGGTGATGACCTTGCGCATCAGCCAGTTGACGCCCTGGGCCTTGAGGACAACATCAGAAGAGTCGGACAGCTTAGCGTTCTAGAAAAAAAAATCGCGGAAAAGGATTTGTTAGCCCCATTGCGTTTTGGTCGTTTTAGTCGCAAAAAGAATTCAGTGCAATGGCAGGTGGTGTGCCTTACCATGATCCAGTTGCCATTGAGGTCAAGGACAGTCTTTTCAGCGGGAGCAGCCATTTTCAAGGATTTAGTAAAAGTCGCGGTATTATGTCAAGTACAGAGTAAAGCGTGTGGCTGATGATGCTTGTTTTGAAGCTTTTTATAGTGGGAAGATGTAGTTGATGATGATGATGATGAATGAAATTTACACGGCCCTGGATAGTCAGATGTATTTATCTTGTTTTCATTTTTGTGTCAGTATATCACCGGTCAGGTCAGTTTTAGTATTACCACATAAAGTAGTCAAAATGAACCATCTCTTGCTACTCTAAGCAAAGTTGGTGATGATTTGATCCCCAGCATTTTGCGGCCCTGCACGGGTCAAGCTGACAGGCTGGGCGGGCAAGTTTTGCTAGAGAGCGCGGGATTCGTGCAAAGAGGTTACCCGATTAGGCAATCGAATCCGGGGTCCGGAAATCAGATCGGGCCCAACATCGTGCATGCCATATTGGGACTAGCGCGTTGGCTTCCCAAAATGGGCATCTATGGAGTTCGGCAAACACTATCCGGACAGCGCCCCCTTTCCTGAGCCAAGCAGCCCCTTGAGCTTTTTTTTTCTGTGCAGCTTATCGCCTGTGCTATCCCAAAACCCGGGCCCTGGACCCTGAGACAGCCTAGAATGTCATACCGCAAGATGGGCTTGCCTGAGGTGGGCATCCGTGAATCCCGGGGTGACGCAAAGGGCTTGCTGAATCCCGGTCCAACCCCCAAAACCCGCCCACAAGGCTACGGGATGTAATTTCACATCCACCTACATTTAAACAGATTCTTCCCCGTCCTTGTCCAGAAAGAAAATTAAATCATTACAAAGTCGTTTTACATTGTTCATCTCGAGCTTCCTTCTTCTCGAGTAAGCCGACTTTAGCATATTCTACTCGCGCTCTTAGTCCACATTCGCCTCTACATAACTTTCATCTTGTTTAGCGCCGGAGCGGGGTTCATCTCACCAGCCTAACCGGCTTTCTCTTATTCCAGCTCATATATAAAAAAACACGCCCGCCAAAATGTCCAAGGCTGCATACTACGCGCAGTCCTCTGCTCCCCCTCAGTACTCTCAGCCCCCTCCTCAATATTCTCGCCGCCAACCTTTGTTATACGGCCGTGACGACTACTACGAAGAGGAGCAGCGCCGCCACCAGGAAAGATCTCGCTACAGTTCCCAAGCCAACTACGATTTTGCTCCCCCTCGGGGTCCTCCTCCTTCTCAGCGCCGGTACGACGACTACGCGCCCCCTCAGGGTCCTCCGCCTCGTGGCTACAGCAACGACCACGATTACGCCTACGACAACCACCAATACGGCAACAACCAGCAGCTCCAGCAGTACAACAGACGACCACAGTCTCCCCAGATGGCTCCTGGTCCTCTTTCTCTTCCCGTGGTCATTCCGCAGCAGCGCCCTGGCTCGCCAGAGCGTGGCTTCATGGCTGCCTACGCCCCCATGCTCGAGTCTGCTGGCCTGGACCAGCGCACATTCATGTCCTTTCTGGATGAGTTCAACACGGCTGTCCAGGGCAACAAGTACCTTGCCGGTGTTCAGGTTGTCTCTTTCGGTGTTGGCTTCACTCCCGAAATCATCACCACTTGCGTCGCTACCGCTGTCCAGCTGGGTGCGTACGCCGCCAACAAGGGCTTCGTCAAGCACAAGACCAACTCGACCCTTGACAAGTTCAACAAGGAAGTCTTTGGTCCTCGTGGTCTCTTTTGCATGATTATGAAGTACGACCCCATCGGCCAGGACCCTTACCTCGCCGAACAGGCTGCCAACGGCGGCACCTTGAACAAGCTCAGTGGCAATGGGCAAAAGAGCTGGTCCAAAGACCCTGTTTCCGGTACCCGTGAGGGCATCAACGCTCTTCCCACTGCCGTCGCCCCGCTCATCTACATGGACGAGCGCCGCGCCCACAAGGAGTACCTCGCCAACGACGGCAAGGTCTCTCCCGAGCGCAGCAGCCCCGTCGACAAGGCGACGACGACCAAGCAAAAGGCCAAGAACGCCTTTGAAAACTTCAACGACTATCTCGATCGCCGCGCCCGTGCCAAGTACGCGTCCGAGAACCAGGGCGATATCCTCAACACACCGCTCACCAAGGGCTTCTCCAACAAGTTCCTCGACCCCAACTCCTCCATGAACAATGGCGGTCTCCTCGGCTTCATCTCTGGCGGTGCCTTTGCTCAGGACCCCGAGACGCGCCGCATCAAGAAGCTCAAGAGCATCGCCGAGGAGGAGGAGCGTCTCAACAAGGAGTACCAGGAGCGTGTCGACCAGGTCCAGCAGCAGCGCCAGAGCACCCGGGAAACTGAGCGCCAGATCAAGTACATTGATCGCGACTACCAGCCTCGCTTCGCCGAGTTTCGCCAGAAGCGCAGAGAGCTTGAGACGGGTCCTGAGCGCTCCATCAAGGAAAATATTCTCTACCTCACCATTGTCAACCGTCCTTCAGACTCTCAGCTGGCTGCTGCCACTGACAAGATCAACCACGGCCATGCAATGCCTGGCGGACCTCAGGGGCAGGTACTGTAAAAGCAAAGTATTGCAGCTATCCTTTTTTCATTTTTTTTTCCTACCATTTGTGTTGGCATGTACAATGGAAGCAGACGGCATTTATCTAATCATGAGCGGGTGCTGGCGGCGTTTTGTTCTTTCACATGTACCATTTTACGAAGACATAGATTATTTCTTTATACTTGTCACGATAATTCACCATTTTCGTCATCACAATTGGTCCATTCAATCCGTGCTTGTTCAAAGTAGGCGTCTTTCTCTTGCACAGCAGTATGATGAACAAATTGTAACCTTGAATTTGTACTTGCGCACGGCATTGCCATTCAATTGAGCGGATTTCGCCATTCCGAGCAGTAACACGCATTATAATTTACATTAATTAGACCTTGGTGCTTAGAAGAGCAGTGGTCCACCGGTGCCGAAATAATCTCTACGCCTTCCGCATTTGGACCGTTTCAGATTTGCCTGAACAAGTAATTGTTTGCTGCATGACAGGTTGATCCAGAAAAGGAACGCTATCCAAAACGACTAAAAAACTGTGTTGTTTTGACATGAAAGTTCTATTAGCAAAATATTTACGTATTCACGTTACATGATTGTAGTGTTCTGAGCAAAAACTAGCGTCCCCCGTAACTCTCTCCAAAAGTTTTGGCTTGACGCTGGAAAGCTGAAAACGGCAAACGATGTGACTGCTTTCTCAGTGCCTGAAACGGCCACAGTGCACATTTTTGTTTTTTCAAGTGATTATCTAGCTTTGAACGTCGCTAGTCATCAAATCCGTTCTGCGCCCACATGCAATAACAGAACAGCGATAACGTGACGAGCTTCCCCCTCGCTTCTCTTTTTCCTTGTGAAGAGAGGTGCTCCTGCGCCCCGAGTACTATTATAACTTTTACATACGAGGTAATCCTGATATTTCCTATGATTCTGACGTTCGGCGGAAGGGTTACAATCGGCCTTGGTTCTCTTGGCTGTTTCTTAGTCCATGATTGTGAAACCCGGAACAGATGTTATGACAAAAGTCGTACATGTCCAGCAAAGACACAATATTCGTCATGAATCCCCCTATAAGTGGCAGGACGAATGAATATCCGAGAAAATACAATTTTTCACTACCACGAATATGGCCGAATGTTGTCAAGCTCGTGGTAGTGCCGATCGGAAAGATGCCTCCACATATCATTGTGAGTCTCGAAGCTCCTGTGATCTTTCCATCTGGTTTCACAATGGAAGCAATACCAAATGTGTCCATGACTGTCTGGTATTCCTAGACGGCCCGGTCGAACTATGAATGATAGCCCATGTCTCGCACGAAGGTGCTCAATGGCTTCATCGAGGCTGTAGAAATCTTGACGGCCTCTGCAAAAATGGTCTGAGCACTCGTATAACTGTTGCATGCTCGTGTTGTCGGATAAGCGATTGTATGTTTGATGTCGTTTGAGACCAGAAAGAATCTAGCATCGACTGACTATGTTGTAGATAAAGAAGGCTAATGAAAGAGGTCGGTGATATAATATACTTCCGGACGCAGTTTGCCTCTTGGTAAGAGTATACAGTGTGTAAAGTACGTAAAACCACTGTGTGGGCTCTCGATACTTAAAACAAGACAGGACACTATCCGTAATCATGCGAGAATTCAACCGCTATTCTATAAAGATTCAACCCATCAATCTCTGACAAGAAACACGAATAGCAGGCCAAAGAAATAATTATGAGAGCTCAAAGAATGTTTGCTTTTAGAAAAGCGGTCTTTCAGATGTCCAACAGCAGCTCTGCTGCGGCTTAGACAGCCTCGTGCAGGCGGACCTTGACACTCTCGCCAGGCTGACTGACCAAGGTCAGACCCCAGGATACTTTACTGCTAGGATTAAGCTCTTCAAGGCCGTCAAAGCGCTGGAGGAGTCGGGCGAGGACGTAACCGGCCTCGGTGAGGGCAAACTGCTGGCCAATGCAGATGCGAGGGCCGCCGTTGAAGGGGAGATATTCCCAGCCGCCCTTGCGGCCCTCCCAGCGGTCTGGGTTGAACTCGCCAGCATCGGGACCCCAGATGTCGGTGCGACGGTGCAGGATGTGCGCGTTGTAGAGAACGGCCTGACCCTTCTTGACGTAGACGGGGCTCTCGGCGTCGGGGCCGCCGCCGCGGGGCAGGCTGGTGTCGCAGGTGGCGTAGCGGGCATTCATGGGCAGCGGGGGGAATAGACGGAGGACCTCGGTCATGACGCGCTGGAGGTAGGTGCAGGCCTTGAGGTTGGCAAAGGTCAGGTTGCGGGGGTTCTCGTAGCCGCCAAAGGTCTCGATGATGTCGCGGCGGAGACGCTGAAACTTGTCCGGGTGGCGGGCGAGGAGCATCACGGTCCAGGAGAGCAGCGAGGCGGTGGTGTCGCGGCCGGCGAGGAGGACGTTGAGGAGCTGGGCGCGGAGCTCGATGGGGTCCTGGGTCTCGGCGGCCATGGCATGCAAAAAGACGTAGTGCTCGCCCCCCTCGAGGGGCTTGCCGTCGGCGTCGAGCTTCTTCTTGCTCGTCTCGCGGAGGGCGCGCTCGACGCACTGGTCGACGAAGCGGTGGACCTCTTTGCAGCAGTTCTTGAACTCGTCGCCGTTGTACAGAAACTTGAGAAAGGGCGTGCGGACGCGCTGAGACAGATACCACTGGCCGCGGTCAAAGTTGGCGCCAAAGTCGGTGCCGCGAGCGGAAAACTCCTTGTCATTGTTGGCGTTGTCGAGGGCGACGAGCTGGGACTTGCACGACTCGCCAAAGAGGAGCTCGGTGGCCGAGTCGAGGGTGAGGCGGAAGAAGACGGTCTGGATGTCGACTTCGGTCCAGCCCTGGTTGTTGACGGGCGGCATCACCTTGAAGGCGTTTTGGACGTGTACCTCTTCGAGGCTGAGGTCGCTGATCTGGTCGCGAGTGAATTGGGGGCGAAGCATGGCGCGCGAATGCGACCACGCAGGGCCATCAGTGGTAAACTATGCAAAGTTAAAAGTCAGAATCCGTCTCTGTAATTTCTTTTGCGCAAAGCGAACTTACAATACCAGCTCCGAGAAGAGGACCCATGCAACTCTCTCGCTGAGCACCCACACAGAATTCCTTAAACTGGGTGGCCAAGATGGCCTGGATATTCTTGGGGTCAATGGTCAGAATGTTCTCGACAGCACCGGTTCTTAGGCGCATGGTGGTGACATAATTTCCTCCATTGTCGTCGCGCATCTTGTTGACACGCTGCTCCGTGAGAGCGGGAACTCGCTTTTCCTTGTCCGCCTGAATCATTTCCAAGAGAGACAGGATGCCGAGAGGATCCTTGATGGGAGCCAGGGGCGGAGGCTTACAGCCCAATTCGCGAGCGTTTTTGGCGTGGCGCAACGACTCCAACACCCGTCGAAGCACAAAGGTGACGACGACGAGGCCGATGAGGATAGCAGTGAGCGCCATGGTGATGATGTAGACGAAGTGAAGAAGGGAAGAGAAAAACAAAGGGAAGAGCTTTTGTCTTTTCTCACTCTCTGTCCTTGAGAATTGGCTCTTCTCGGTTATTGTTTTGACCAGGGCCTTTCTTTTTATTTCCTACTCCTTAATCGTCTCTGGCAAAAGGCTGGTGGAGTTTGACAAGAATTGTATGACAAAGGCAGGATATTTGGTCTGACGGCCCGCGAAAGTGGCAGCATCTTTACATAAAATAGAATGAGCACTTTTTTCGAGTATGGGCTCATTCTTATTCGCGATAGGCAATGGTTCGTCGAGTGTGCTCTGGATCGAAAAGCGGGAGAGACTATAGTCTGACATGATGACGCATGGCGCTGTCAGATTGGTGAGGATATAAGAGGGCGGCGGGATGAGGACACAGGACGAGAATCCAGCTGGCAAGTTACCTAATATGCAAAGCTGGCTAACAATCAAGCTACCAACACGGGCAGCTCAATGCACCAAGCGTCTGTAGCACTGCACAACAGTCAGTGCCTACTGGCACGTCTAGCAGACCAAAACACACGACGTTTATTTATTCATTTATTTATTCATTTATTTATTCATTTATTTATTCATTTATTTATTCATTTATTTATTCATTTATTTATTCATTTATTTATTCATTTATTTATTCATTTATTTATTCATTTATTTATTCATTTATTTATTCATGTATTTATTTATTCAATCTTTTCATCATCTTCGTAATTGGTCTGTGCCAATCCCGGGCAATTTCACCGAAACCCGATCTTCCCTATATCCAAGCCCCCTTTGCCGCTGCCGCATTGCCGCAACTTGTCTCTGAAACTTTAGTGTGGTGCGGAAAAGGCTTCCCCATTGGGCAACCTGGTGCAGCGCTGTCGATCGCCAAAAGCCCACTATAACCGATGCCCAATGGCCGTTGTGTGACGTGCCAGGGCTGTGCCAGCAGCGGAGAGGCAGCCCTACCAACTAAATGCAGCCATGGTGAATAGGAAGTGGTGTGTGTAACTCTGCCCTGTTTCTTTCTTCTCCCTCAAAACATCGTCCATGTACTTCTCTTTTCCAGAGCGAGTTCAACATGTCTCGACAACACGAATTATCTGCCATTTTCCCGCCCTAATCTGCGTCTCTGTCGTCTTAGTGGCGGGCCTCTGGTCTGCCATGGAATGCCAATGTACAGCCAGCATGGCCTGCTACCAAGGCACTTCCATGGCACTTTCTTCAGCGCCTTTACCTAGTTGCCTAGGTAGGTACCTATCCGTCGCAAGCTTGAAATACAGCGCCCCCACCCCACTGTACGCCACGCCCGAATCTCTCCAAGCTACGGATTAGTGCGGTCCTGTAACGCGGGGCTTCTGCCGGCGCTTTGCCGATGCGAGCCCGCAACCTCCAGATCGCGTGTCTCCTAGTCTGGCAACCGCGATTCCGGCCATGATCAGCAAATGCGACCTCTGCCATCATCAAGATCCATCCGCACGCACACCGAGGCATCGCTCCGCCGCATTCTCCGCCCAATGGTGCCGTGATCAGCTGCAATCCACCTCTGACGCTGACCACATCCCTTGATTCGCCTGGCTCAATCGGTCGCCCCCCCCCCCCTCCCCCTGCCCGCTCGTGCTCGCTCTGAGCGAAACCTCGCTCTGCGGGAAAGAATACCATGGCCATACCGAGGAGGGCATCACGCCTGCTGCTGCTCACCGGAGCCGCCCTCCTGGTCTTCCTCATTGTGCGCCTGCTGCCCTCCCACGGCGGCGGCTACGTAGCCAGTCGCGTGATCCCGCAGCGGCCCAAGATCTTTGAGGGCTTCGACCCCGTCAACCCGAAGCAGTTTCATCCCGCCGCGTCCATTAAGCCCTTGCCGACTGGGACCCCGCGCACGCTGCCCCGCGTGCAGGCGCCCGACAGCGCATTCAAGCAGACGCCCGAGACCGAGAAGCGCCGTCAGGCCGTGCGTAAGACGTTTGAGCGCAGCTTCGGCGCCTACAAAAAGTATGCGTGGATGCAGGACGAGGTGACTCCCGTCACCGCGCGGGGCAAGGACACCTTTGGCGGCTGGGCCGCGACACTGGTGGACTCGCTCGATACGCTATGGATCATGGACTTCAAGGAGGAATTCAAGCAGGCTGCGGAGGCCGTCTCCCATCTCGACTGGGGCCACACCGATTCCAACGCCATCAACATCTTCGAGACTACGATCCGCCACCTCGGCGGTCTGCTGAGCGCGTACGACCTGAGCGGCGACAAGAAGCTGCTCGGCAAGGCTGTTGAGCTCGGCAACATGCTCTACGCAGGCTTCGACACGCCAAACCGCTTGCCCGGCTTTTGGCTCAACTTTCGCGAAGCCGCCAACGGTCAGCTCCTGGCCGGCACCGCAGACCCCTCTGCGTCGCCCGCCTCTCTGTGCATGGAGTTTACCCGGCTGTCGCAGCTCACCGGCGACCCGAAATACTACGACGCGACCGACCGGGTCACGCGCTTTCTCGAGCGCGTGCAAAACGACACGCTGCTGCCGGGCATGTGGCCCACGGTGCTCGACTTCCAGCACGAAGAGGCTCGCGACAGCCAATTTACGCTCGGCGCGCTCGCCGACTCGCTCTACGAGTACCTCCCCAAGATGCACGCGCTGCTCGGCGGCGTCGACGACACGTACGAGCGGCTATTCCGCGCCGCCATGAACACCGCCGAGCCGAACCTCCTCTTCCGCCCCGCGCTGCCTGGGGGCGAGGACATTCTCTTTGCCGGCGACTACCAGGCCACGGCCGCCACCAAGCTCGTCCCGCGCAGCCAGCACTTGACGTGCTTCGTCGGCGGCATGTTTGGCCTCGGCGGCAGGCTCTTTGCCAACGAGACCCAGGTCGCCATCGGCGAGAAGCTCGCCCGCGGCTGCGGCTACGCCTACGCCGCCTTTCCCACGGGTGTCATGCCCGAAATATTCACCATGATGGCCTGCGAGCGCCGCGACCTGTGCGCCTGGGACGAGCAGGTCTGGGCCAAGCACGGCGATGACAAGCTGCCCCGCGGCTTCGTCAACGCCTGGGACCCGCGGTACCTGCTCCGCCCCGAGGCCATCGAGAGCATCTTTATCCTCTACCGCATCACAGCCAATGCGGACCTGCAGGACCTAGCCTGGCAAATGTTCGAGGCCATTATGAAATCTACCACGACGCAGTACGCAAACTCGGCCATTGCAGACGTCCGCGCAGAGCAGGAGACGAGCAAGCTCGACTCGATGGAGGTATGTGTAAGAGTGCACCCAACATCCCTATCTTGTTTGAATCCTAAATTTATTTTCGAATGTGCTAACCGGGATTTTCGTCACACAGAGCTTCTGGACAGCAGAGACGTTGAAATACTTCTATCTCATCTTTTCCCCCCCAAACGTCATCAGCCTCGATGAATATGTGTTAAACACAGAGGCACACCCACTGAAACGCCCGTCTTGAGACGAGGCTGACTAAACAAGAGGCGGGAATAAATGCAATCCGTCGGAATTACGACACCCAGCGTACGGTGTGTAAGTACGACTGTGGTTATCCCATGATGACGAAAACTGCACATGGGGGATTGCCATAAATAGCTGTACGGTAACACAAAAGAGAGTACGTCACATCATTCAAGCAGACGTCCAAGCAAAAATGGTTGCCAGGTGACGCGCATGCCCGGTCCAAATGGCAGAAATGCCGTGCCATGCCTTGGCTTTAAGAAGCCACTGACGAGGCTTCTCGTTGCCTGCAGTCGGTCTAGCCGCGCTTGGAGCAAACAGTAAGCTTGGGAGCGACTGCCAAGAAAGGCCTTTTACTTCAATCAAATTTGTGCAATCCTTGATTCCTCATTTAGCAATGTGCGTTTTGAGTGCAACTTGCTTACGCCTGATCCTAGCCGTTTACCCGTGAGGCTTAGGGCTGAAGGCAACACCCATAGCACCCTAGCTTCGCACAGGCAGCCAAGACAAGTTCAAGAAACGCACGAGGGCCGTAATCACGGGTTGGATCAAACGCTCAGCATCTCAGCAGCCTGTCGTAGTGTAAAAAGTTGCTTCTATTTTCGCCTCGGCTGACGATTCTGCCTTGACAGCTGGGGTTGTTGCCGCTGTGGCGTTTGGCTCGATGTGGGCCGACTGTACAAGTGAGTATTAACCAGACCGTTGAATCGGATACGATGACGGTGCTTTCCGCAGCCTAGCCCTCCTCTCCATTGTTCCAAGCCAATCAATTAGCCGCGTCCAGGAACGCCACTCACGAATGTGGCATCTTATCGTGGGCAGTGCTTGTGACAAATCCAGCCCTCGCGGCCCTCGAACAGTAACATGCCGCGTAGGATGATCTCACCAGGTCGGCGGATGCCCGAGATAACAGACCAGGAAACGCTACTTGATGGCGAGCTGAACGTTGGATAGGAGGCGAACGGGTCATCCCGTTTTCCGTCTTAGCCGCCAACTAAAACCTTGGATGATTGCACGTATAAGCAAGCCACGTCGGCAAATTCTTGGTCAGATGACTGCTATAGACGTGAGTGCTAACCGGAAGACATACATGATTGGCATCACCGGATTCTCGGAGGATTTGACCGCTCGAGCCGGTCATGGAATCCCGTACATGGTTTCACAATTGGTGCGACCGAGTATACTTCTCAGCGCCAGGTGTCCAAGGAAACTTTCCAGCCAGTAAAAAAAATTAAAACCTTCCGACGCCTTATGCGACTTAGCTTCCGTGGTCTTAGTCTGACGGCTCGCGCCGCTCAAGGCACCGTTTATAGGACGCAATCAGCACAAGGCAGCGGCCCACAAACTGCTCGCATGCTGCTTAGATCACAGGCACACATCGCAGGTACATTTCGAGGTGAGTCAGTCAGACAATAACTGCGTAGCTTGCACGAAAGTCGAGTCCCGTTGCTGAATTTTAAGCATCCATAGCATATCCGTAGATGGCAAATAAAGATACTAAATTGTCTTTGGTTAATGGCGACTAGGTGAGCTGGTTGCGAAGCAAGCTGTGTCAACACAGCACCTGGTGGCTTGGCTGCTCCATACCGAGCCCGGTTAGCACTGACAATATGCGCTATAAGCAATTGGGTTTCCAACTTGAGAAAAATAATCTCATGGCATCTCGCAACTTACCAACCCGGGTTGGCGCGGATTCGGTCTGGAAACGGGATGCTAGTACGGAGTACGTAGCACGCCGAGGTGTCGAAAGCTCAGAATACAGCCAGCGGCTTTGCAAGGGTGCAGGCTGAGAATTACGCGGTGGTGCTTTTAACCAGGGGGCCCTATAGCTCGGGTCCATTTCGCGGCCGATCTTGCACCCGTTGGTCAGTTCACTAGTCGAGCTGGAACTTACATGTGTCAAATGGGCATAGAGCTATATTTAGCTAGAGCAGATCAAATGGATATGACACTTGAACTGCGCATGGCGCATTGGCGACAGAGAGGCTTTACGTTTGCTGGCGTCAACGGCGCAGCAGTCCACGAATGCGCAGGGGTACGACGGCGGTGTGCCAGTACTGGTGTGTACAACTTATCAAATTTGGAAGGCTCATGGAACAGGCTGTAGAAGCTTCGGCTTGCAGGGTTGACGGGATGGTGGTGGGGGTGGCCACGGCAGTGCCTTCTGGTCCTCTCGTACGACCACACCGCGGAAGCGACGGCGTTGGAGCCGGGGATTAGTTGGCTTTGTATTCGCAGGGTCAGGCGTAAGATGCTGTGCCTCGAGACGTATGCACGTAAAGATGAAAAAGGGAGCCGGGGTGTCGTGTCTCAGAGGTACGTCGTTGCTGTTTGTCCGCCTGCGAAGTGCCGTAGCCAATGAGAAGCCGGGGGCATTGCTTGTCTTGTACACGAAGAATCGACCGGCCAGCGAGATGGCATGGCAAGTGTACACGTATGTACTGCGAGGCGTGATGTATGATTTGATTGCTATTCTTTTTGTCTTGGAGATGATGATGCAGAGGGACAAAGCGAGCGAGCGTCGACAAACGCGAGGGACAGACAAGCGACCAGGTGCTGCCAGCTGGCGGTGGGCTGGCATCTGCACCAGCCCGGCAGCCCCTCCTTGCCTGCCACTCTGGCCCCACGAAATTGCCAGTAAACAACTCTGTAATCCGTACCTGGGTAGCTAAACTACTGGTAGCTAAACCCTGCTCGCCCGCTTCTTTCTGTCCGTCATGCGAGTTGCAACGCAGGTGCTCGCAGGCGTTCGCAGCCAATCTGCCAGCTGGCCAGCCTCCCTGCCTGTCAGCTGGTGAGCCAACGGCTTCCTCACACACCGGTGGCCACAACGGATTGCTCGGATCCATCATGCCATCATGCCATCATGCCATCATCAACGCCTTCCTTTTCATCCGGGACTAGCTAGCTGACAATGGCGCTCGCCTTGCCTGCTTCGCTTGGGGGCGTAACCTGCGAACAGGCATCGCTACACAATATCACATCAGCCAGCTTCGAGCCTGGCTCACAGCGTCTATTGGTCCCTCTCCACCTCGTTCTCGTTCCAGAGAGTCTGACGTACGCCATCATCAGCCAAAAGCCAAGACTCACCATGGTACCGCTGTCGATTTATTTTCCCATCCACTGTGGGCCGTCGCAAGGGTAATAAAACAAGATGCAAGGATGGTCAAACACGACTTCAGCACGCCCACAGTTCCGCGGTCGACGAACTAGCTTGCCATTTTGCCATGGTTGCTACCCAAATTGCCCTGCGCGGACAAAGTTTCGGCGGCCCCCCGGATGCCCAGTAAGGTATGTGCCAATCCATACCTTTCAAGTTCCCGTCGCAATGGCAAGAATGATTCCCAATTAAGCAAGCCAAGCATCCGACCATCCAACCATCCAAGCTGCCACCACCAGGGGCCACCACTTCCACTCACTAGTGCACACACTCTTGCAACCCACTCATAGCCACGTTTCCGGGACCATGGCCGGCCGTCTGGCCTCTTTAGGATATCCTTTTATCTCGCCCATCCATGCGGTGCGGTGAACAAGTTTCCTCGTTCAAGGCAAGGCTGCCTCTGCCTGCTTCAGCCTCTCGACCTCGTGCCAGAGCTTGTCCCGAGCAAAACTATACAAGAACCGCCTCACCTCGCCCGGGCCTTCCTCACGTACCAGACCTATACTCGCACAATTAACCTCGACTTCCTGATCCGGCGACCTGCATCTCTTTTTCGCCGCCACCATTGAGCGATTGCTTGCACACCTCCTCTCCAGCCGAGTTCTGCGATCAAAACAGTATTACAAGACCTGGTCAGTTGGCTTATTGGTAACTTGAACCACGACGCACTGTTCTCGCGCCTTGCAGCCTACGTCAGTATTTCTTCCGAACTTTTGTTGCGCCACGGCCACATACTGCTCGGGAACCCTGTTTTTTTTTTTTTTTCGTTTACTCGATATCAGACTTGTTTCACCTCGTTGATATCCTGTTGTGTCGCATGCCTTCACGCCGTTGACGGCCGATTTCTCCGGTGACAAACGCCGTGAAAACCTTCTCGCACGATCAACTGTCGACGCCTGAGTCCGACTATAAAGAGCAAGCCAAGTCAATCCATCCGTGGTCGTGACTAGCAATTTCCTCGACTTGCAAACAATTCTGCACTGCTTGCGCCATTGATACCCCCTACTCTGACTATCGAAAAATTCCAGCCTCCGTTCGCTCTACAATCTAGCAAGACCTTTACTCGACGCCATGTCTGTCTCGTGCCTACACTCTTTCACTCTGATCAAATCAGACAGCACATTGATGCAATGGATCTGCCACTTTTGCCGCTCTGGTCCCAGCTATATGATCTATGAGTGCGCATACTGCAAGCTGCATCTCTGCCGCATGTGCACCGACAACGCCTGAGACTCTGCCCTTGCAGGCCGATATGAATGGTCAAACCACTACCAACCATATACAAAAGTCATACACACCGTGCTGATATATACTTTATGCCGGGCCAAGAGCTTGGGTCTTTGCGCTCGTTGCTATTGTCTCAGATGGCCCTATACCCTACTCCGTCCTGGTAGTTGCTTCGAGCTGGATAGTGCAGGGTCTCCTCAGTTTTCTGTTATTTGGTCTATCAATTGGCGCTTGTTTTGTTTTCTGAGACATGGGCTCAGATTTTTTATAGAGCTTAGCTTTTGCTACAGTCAGGCCCACGCAGGGTCTCATGTTTGACATAGAAATGATAGATTGGGTTATTTAGCATTGATCTGCAAACACAAGCCATGGCTCGAGCCGCTCTGCTTGCTCCAGCTCAATAAACGAGATTGCTTGTTCGAATCTCTGCGGATTTTGCAAGTGCCTCGTGTTTAAATTCCTCGCATAGCTCAAACATACTATACACTGGCATGTTGCACGGGCTGGGGTAAAACGGCAGAAACGCCCTACGCACAATCTGAGACAATCGGCTTGTATCTGCCCCTCACCAACCTTCTAGAAGGACTCTAGAAGAGGGGGTGGCTGGGCAACACAAGAGGCTTGACGGATCCAAAGACCATCGCACACATCATGCTTGTTTGCCAGGCTCCCACCACACATGGTCCTTGCCATCAACACGTCTACCAAGCGGACAGAGCATACAACATTCCTCCCCCCCTCTCCCGACCCCTTTTCCCCCTCATCTATGTAGACTATTACGGGTGACGCAACTCTGTTTTGCTGCTCTCCCCTTTTTTGTAGCACCCGCCTAAACGCACATCTCAACTGGGCGATTGTTGCGATTTTGATGTGGTGGTGCCTGGGTCGTCCCCCCCCCCTACCTCTAACCCTGCGGCCGAAACCAATGGGAAGTCGTTCCAGTCTGCCTGATTTTCTCGTGAATAGCCATTTCTAGAATGTCGCACCAGCAAATCACGGGGCTTCAAAGGGCACCCCTCAGGTCGATTTTCTACGAGAGCGGGGGGAATGGGGAGGAAATGAGACATGGCAAACGTGCTTGTTGTGTCATGTCATTGCTGGTAAGTCATTCTCGCCAGTCTCTTTTTTTTTTTTGGAGGAGGATTGGACTGCAGAATTAAGGCATGATCCCATTGGCAAATTGACATGGGTTTTTTAAAGTGAGCTTCGCGTATCACGTTGTAGAAGGTGATGGATTACAGCGTCGAGCGTGAATGCTATTTCGGCGCGCCGACAGTGAAGCCACGGCACCGGTGCTCGAATGCTGGCAACATGGAATCACTTTGTCACGAGTGCCCCCCTGCTTGCAAAACAAAGTCATCATTGGTATCTAACATGAGCATGTGTTGAGCAAGGGAAACCCATTGCGTTTGAAGACAAAGATTCAACCCAACATCATAAGCTTCCGCAGCCCCAGCCCTTTTTCACGCGTAGCGGTAATATCTGCCAGGGTCGTCCTTCTTGGGTTTCATCGGCCAGTCCCAGCGCGGCCGCTCCTCCGTGCGCCTCGTCACGGCCACGTCGTCGCCCACCGCGACGCGCAGCCTCTCCACGCCGTCGTCCAGGAAGCCGTAGCGCCCAAACGCCGGCGCGTACGGCGAGCCCGCATCGACGCGGCGGTCCCTCATCAGCACCTTGAGTATGGTCCCTTGCTCCTCGCCGGGAGCCCCGTAGCGGCCCTTTGCATAGTCCACGTTGAGCGAGGTGCAGCGGTTGCAGAGCTTGGTGAGGAGTAGCGCCGGCGCGCCGTTGATGGACAGCGCCGCCCAAAAGTCCTCGTCCCACTCCGCCTCGCCGTCGACGACAATGTTGGGCCGAAATTTCATCATGTCCACCTCGCCGCTCGCGACGCGCGCCCGCACGCTGCGCAGCGACGCCTCGGTGGCGATGAGCAGCGGCGCGCAATCGGTAAAGGTGAGCCAGTCGGGATCCTCCTCCTCTCGCCTCCCGGCGACGTAGCCGGAGAGGGATGAGAGCCAGCCCTTTTGCGGCGCGGGCTCCTCCGGCGGGGGATTGCGCGGGGAAAAGGTGCCGAGGATGGGACGGCGCTGCTGGCCAATGTAGAGAAGCGTCGTCTCGAACCCGAAGCAGGCCGTGAACCAGTCGTCATATTTCTGGCCCATGCGATATGCCAGAACGCGGCTCTGGTGAAGATTCATGTCAGCTCTCTCGAGCCCGTCCGTTTCGGGTTCGACTGGAAACTCCAGCACCGTGTCTTGAAGCTCGTGGTATCCCGTCACGGGCTCCTTTGGGCGGACATATCTGACGCGGATATGATGGTTGACAATATCTTGCTGAAAGAGAGCGCATTCGGCATGCTCCGACATTTGCACTTTGATCAACTCTCCATCGGCGCCCAAGCGGCACACCATGAATGTACGATCATATTGCAGTCCTTGGCCTCCAACTTCTGTCGTGTCGAGACGGATGCCGCAGAGTCCCTTGACTGGATAGATGTAGAGCTGCGCGTTGTATATAGCCCACTTGGTTAGCGCGAGCGAAGGGAACACGACGACGCCGCAGCAAGGAATTGCATGCTAAAAAACAGACTCACGGCCGTGACTTTCATGTTTGGATCTATTTTTGGGACTCGTGTTCTTGTTGGTGCTAGTTGGAAAGGATGAGAAGTCGGCTTCAGGACGTTTTTGATGACTGCATAGCCACATGTGTCTACGGCGGGGCAGATGCCCAACTTGCGTTAAAACACATCACATGCCCGACAGAAGGCGCATGCGAAATACATCGCAAGAAAGGATATCCGAAGACTGCTATGGGCTCTGGCTGCGCTGACATTGAATTACTATATCCCGAATATAGTCTGAATTTTTTGAGTTGCAAAGGCTTTCGAATGGAACGATGTTAGAGTATGGCCAGCCCATAAGTGCTTAGCCTAGTATCAAGTGCGGGTGAATGTAAGAACTTTTGCAAAGATTCAGAATTATATATTACCAATATACTGCTTCATGTAGGCTCATTCTGACTCACTGCCTTGTTGTCTGTCATCTGTTTACACCAGCAACCTATCAAGTTTTGACCAAGCCATCCATCCTCTCTACTCATCCCACAAAGATGCCGAGCGGAATCGTACAGACGACGCCATAGTGCGGCATGTCGACCGCCTGCGCAATCTTCAAGTCGCCCGCCACCGAGCACAGCATGTACGCCTCGGCCCTCTCCAGGCCCTTTTCCGCGCCGAGCCACTCAATCGCCGCGCGCACCGCCTTGCGGGCCGCCTCGCGCAAGTCGGGATCTATACCCATGACGGCGTACTCTTGCCCGCGGTCCGCGTACGGCTGCACCCCCCGCCGCGTGACAAAGTGCGGCGACCGCACCCACGGCCTGTCCTTTTCGAGGGTGAAGCGCAGACGCGCGCGCATCGGCGTTTCAATCGCCGTGCCGCAGACCTCGCCGTCGCCCTGCGCGGCGTGGCCGTCGCCGCAGCTAAAGAGCGCTCCGGCGGTCTGCACGGGCAGGTACAGGGTGGCGCCCTCGGTCAGGTGCTTGCAGTCCATGTTGCCGCCCCAGTCGTAGGGCGGGATCGTGGACAGCGGCTCGTCGGTGGGCGGCGCCAGGCCCATGACGCCGAGAAAGGGCCTAAAGGGGATGCGGATGCCCCTCTTGAACTCGGCGTACCCTTGCTCGGCGGCGCGGCCGAGGTCCCAAATCTTGAGCGACGCCTCGGGGAACTCGTCGCTCAGCAGGCCAAAGCCGGGAATGATGGCGGTCCAGCCGTACGCGCCGGGCTGGAGCTCGAGAATGTCGACGCGGAGCACGTCGCCGGGCTCGGCGCCCTCGACGGCCACGGGGCCGAAGCCGGGGTCCATGGTGCCAAAGTCGAGGTTGCCGAGGATGGTGGCCTGGTTTTCGGGCGTAATCTGATTATTGCCGCCATCGCGCAGGTCAAACGTCACCTCGTCGCCCGAGGACACGGTAAGAGCGGGCGCCAGATTGCGCGACCACTTGAAGTGGATGCTGCTCTGGGTGATGTGCGGTGGGTGCGTCATGGCGAGATGCAGATCCGAACTAGCAGATGATGCCACGTAGAGACTCCAGCTGGTGATAGGCGGGCGACACAGCCGAGGGGACAAAGATGAGCTGTGACGTTGAAAAATCGGGCGCATGTGTAGTGCAAATGGGCCTAAATTGAGAAACGTTTCTACGATGTTTACCCTGTTATAGCACGACTCAGTATATGGTAGTTTCAACTTTTATAACCCCACCTGAGATAGTTCCTAATAATAAAGCAGAAGCCAAGCCCGTCGATGGGATAGTTGCTACTTGTCCCACGAGCGATTTAAAGAGTACATCTACGAGAATACACACCTTCTCGCACAGCTTTAGAACTGATGGCCGGCAAGATATAAATTATTAGGAAACATCAACCTTGCTCACAATATTATTTGCGGGGATGGTAATTGGTCGAGAGCCAAGTCCAGCGTACCTACTAGTCATGGATCCAGTTCGAGAAGCAGGCATCAGGCCCTGACATCCCTGAGACCAACTGAAGACGGGAATAATCCTGTAGTTATATCCCCGATTTGGCTTTCAAACGGTCGTCATGCTGACCTCGTCATCTTCACTCTCCCTCCGTTCAGAGAGCAATGCAGCTCATACATTGCCCCTTTGATTGACGGCCGGTCTGCGTACTGTATCGGCGAGAAGCACCATGTAGCGCCGTCATGTCCGTCACAGTAGCCAAACAAGGCGTGACAAACCTTGTTTATAGAGGGACGCACAGGGTGACGGAACAAGGCGAAACGTCATACGCACGAGCGCTATGCGCCAGGTCTTACCCCGCCCGCCTTGTATCCTCAGCCCAACTAGTTTTTGGCCGCTGCCGCTAGTCGGCCATGATCGCGGGGCCTATCCCAACAGTCTTCCTTGTATACAAACTACTACCTTCCTTCGTGATCTTTGTACCCAGGTCTACTTTCGAATTACTTCGGCTTAGTTTCTCGGACGTGAAATTGTCTCAAACACAAGGAGAGGCACGAGACAGCACGGCAGCCGAAGTGAGTGTGATGAGATCATTTCCTCCACACGTATACACCTCAGCGACTGCTTGTACGCCCAAGGGAGCTTTCACCTTGCGCATTCTAAAGTCTATAGGTAATACGCTACGTATCGTGGCAGTCTTCTATCAAACAGCAAATATGCAATTTGAAAAGCCAATTCCTTTGTCATCTCGCGTCAAATGGCCACAGCTTGTCCGCCTTTTCCACTGTCAAGCCCTCGCTATCCGACTCGAGTTCTCTAGCCGTCTCTATCCATTGGTCGTACACTGCGCGATGCGCATCTTTTGCAGCCTCCCACTGAGCGTTGGAAACCCACCCGTCCGAGTCTGTATAGAGCGCAGATCTTAACCATGATTTAAGTCTTTGAACCGTCTCAAAATCCTCGTAGTTTTGAGCATGCTCCTTCAGTTCCTGTTCAGTCGCAGAAAAGGGGCACGCGCCCTGCAGCCCTAACTCTGTCCAGCGAGCAGAAAGCTCGATTAATTCTTGGTGAAATGCTGCAGCACTGTCCCTCCAGGACGTGTGACAATAGTGAAAGACTCGAAACAGAGACGAGTCGAGTCGTCTTGCATCGAGCACCTTGGGAATGAGCCCCTTCATGTACACATCGTATGTCTGATAGCAGATCAAAGCATCTTTCCGCTCTCGCTCCCGCATCTCCGGTGACTTTTGTTCCGACAGGCCGCTCTCCGGCATTTCTTCCTCTGGTTCCTCGGGAGGTGCAGCGAAATCAGGCGTCTCGTTGGCATAAATAAACGCAGGCTCAACGCTTGTTGATTGCCAGTCTATCAGGCCAGTAATTATGGTAGGATCGTCGGCTGACACGAAGATATTCCTCATGTGGAAATCGGGATGGAGTAGGGTAGGAGCAGCAGCGCCCTGCACCCGTGTGTCTTCAACCAACATCCGCATCACTTGTTGGCTGGCTTTGATTAAACGCACATGTTCTTCAACGGACCCTTGGTGAGGGAGAGAATGGGTGATGGGTTTCTTGGGCAAACGCGAGAAGCCAGTCTCAATCAAGCCTTGACAATAGCTTGTAAGATTTTCCCCTACATGTTACCGTTTTCTGTCAGCGCTGCGGGTGAGAGAGGGTAGACTATCTCGAACTCACAGGGACCGCAGTTGGTGCTGGGGCGGCCGTAGAGTTCGGGTTCACCGGGATTTTGGTTCCATAAGACTGAATTGCAGTTCGGTCCGATACAGTATTCATGATCCAAGGGAATCTTCAAGTTCGACTCTATTGGCGCATTCGAGAAGTAGAGACTGCCGTAGGCTGGAAAATTCAAGGATGCCATCTTTTTCATTGCCAGAGAAAGCGTCTTTGTGCACCGCATATGTTGTAATGAATCCATCGTTGGCCATATCTGGGGTAGCTGAACACCCTTCGCATGCTCCTGGATGATATACTCTGCGCCTACTGGATTTGAGGCATCGTCGTTCCAGTCTAGTATTTTCGGTATTGGAAGCTCAGTTTTGGTTTGCACTGTATGAAACAAAGCACAGATTAGTGAGTATTGTGACTGAATATGTAAGGGTCGTGACGTGTGGATCAAGCCTACGATATGTCACCGTTGCGACTTCTGAATTGGTCGTTAATCCCGGTGGGCCAGCAATGCTAGTTGGCAATCTCGCCACGACGTAGGAGCCATTGTTCATTGTCAAGATAAAGACTTTGTTAAAACCGCCTTCTCGCTTTTCATGTTTGATGACCTTGGTCGCTCCTGGGCAAGCGCGAATTGCCTTATCACAGAGTGCTGAGAAGTCGAACTTAATATGACGAGAGTTTCGCTGAAGTGCGTCCCGATGAAGCCATCTCCTCACTAGTATAAGAATAAAGGCTGTGGTCTAAAGCGTAGCGTCAGCAAAGGCCCCTACGAGCGCTTAGCTTTAGACTCCATGGTTGTACTAGCCTTGGGAGGGGTCTTCTGAATGTGTCCCGGGCCCTTGGGGAAGGTGGTCATCGGGCAAGGGGCGCGACGAAGCCATATTGCGCCGAGCGGTGCGGCCACGCCGTAGCAACAGTGTTGCTGGCCGTGGAAATATCAATTGCCTCCAGACACAAAGCATGATTCAGATTGCCACCCTAACCGAATCAGAGCTCTGCAATGACTCCGATTCATGGCAAGGTGTAGAGTCTTGTTTGAATCAACTGTGGGTAGGTATGACCTGAGCTGTGTCGCTGCAAGAATGCGGGATCCACACCGTTTTCGACGGTTTTCGACGCCTTATAACCTAATCATTACATCCGTTTATCATCCTCTACAGACTGGCCTCTTCACGACTTTCATCAGTGAGCCCAAGCACTACTCGTGATAAATCAGTAGCCCTGATAATTCATGGGCGGGTGAGGCTAAATCATTGCGCTGCTATCAGTATATCGATGGGTCCACGAGGATCGAAATCGCACGGCGACAAGCGGTTGTATTTGGTTGGCCCTGTATGGTTGAAAATGGAGCTGGGGACGGGAGCTTGGTCTATTGGTGAAAGCCGTAGCGTAGCCATTAGGGCCGCTCTCAAGGCGATCCATCATCTCTGCTCTGGGGTTTCCTCACTACAAGCTAATAGTTCTAACTTTGTGCTAACATTGATTTCTGTTGCTGTTTTTGCTACTTGAATACGCGCTTTCTGGGGCGTCTCGAGTACGGCAGTCAATGATTTAAAGTTACAACATGAAACAGGTTCAATGTGAAAAAGCACTCTTCCCTCTCGCGCGCGATCCCGCATCCCTCAGCCACCGCGGTCTGGACCTTTCTTTCCCTGGTATACAGTGGAATGTGAAATAGACTAAGGAACGCCCCGAGTCATCGCCACTTTTATAACGAAAACGGCTTATTAATTCGCACATTTAAATCGCCCACTGCAGATGCTTGGCCAACGTGACGATGACCTGCAGCCTGGCCAGTAAGGTCTATCCTTATCCTAAAGTAACTACTACTGAAGTTGATCAAGTGACAAAAATTGCAGTTCATAGTGAGACTCTCAAACAAAGCTATAAGGCTGATGCAAAGCACGGCAGCCCTTGTTTTACGAGGGGGTTCTTTTGAAACAGTGATGGCGCGGCCTTGTGGAACGAATCGCTATTTAGGTCGAGAGTTGGCTGAGCTTACCCATGCTGATCGCTCGAAGCAAAGTTTGATCGGCATCCACATGGATGTTGTGCTATCACGGAAAGGTCGGTAATCAGATGGCATACGCAAGAGATTTCAGCGGCAGATGTGTGAATGGACAACGGGAGCCTGTGCGTGTTGCTCGAGGGGGGGCAGGCGAGTAATGCCAGCCAACGGATAAGGTAGTGGCGGTCACGGCCGATGCAGGTGCAGCACACGCGCGACGTGGACAATACCAGATATCGGTTGAGATATATATATCTTTTATCTTGGTCATGTCAGATTGTAGCACATGATTTTCAAAGCTGTTATCTTTTGCACAGCAGACCAACTTCAACTTGTGCCATTGTCGATTGTCAGTAATACTTACCTCTCAGCCTCTCAACTCTCTGCCAAACACCTCCCCCAGCCTCCACCGAAAAAGTCCACTGAAAAGCCCACCAAAGTGACGCCACCGCTTGTTCACCTGTCAACTGTCAGTTATTACTGGTAAGCGACGCAACCAAGAGTTAATAAGGGTCTTCGGGAATGGGGTACAGTAGTTATTATGCAGCTCAGTTGTATAATTTACTCCTCCCTCCCGTGCCGTGTTGGCAAAGAGAAACAACGGCCCAACTAAAAAAAGCCACTTGCTCCGTGTCGTGTGTGCATCATCAACCCGGGCCCAACGAATCGTTGGTAGACGCCCGAGCAACAAGCCACCCAACTCGTACGGATAAAGGACGCACACTTTTACTTTCTGTCTCTTTTCTTCCGTTATATTCTGATTCGTAGACCTTTGGTTCGTAGGCCCGACTTCGTTGCCTGTGCACATGGTCTTTGAAAAGGCCCGGCTTCCCCTCCTCGGCGACGACACGCACGAGACCAAGCCCTGTGCATTGCAGCAACAGTTAAACCAGCCAACCATTTGCCCTTGGTTGACGTTTAGTCAAAAAGCTTGCTTCTCGGGTTAATCTGTACACGTATTGATACGATCTTATCCCCGTCTGGTCCGTTGCGCGTCAGCCAGTGTTTCGGCGTTTGCCTCGTTTGACGTTGGCCAGCCTGTGACTGCACCAAGAAGAAAAATAAGCTTGTGCTTGACAGTTGACCACTTTTTTTTTTCCCTCTCTGTTTGCCCGCACCCGACCACACATTTTCAACCAGCCAACCATCTCAACGCTCAACTTGGCTTTTTTTTTCTTTTTCATCTTCATCTTCTGCTATTTCTGTTTCTATTCTTTTTTGCTTTCACGACGACTATTATACCCATCTCTTCGCTTTTCTTGCTGTGTTGCCCCAGTTACCTGCTACTACTGGCTCGCCTCTCTTGCAGTTGATGATACCCTTGTTTCGAATCGCTCCAGACAAAACATCCTCCTACCGTCTCGCTTCCGCCCTCTCTCTCGCCTCGGACCTCCCGACACCCTGTCGATAACAACGCTCATATAATCGTTTTAATCTATGCCCCACCTCATTCATATCTTTCGATCTGGCTCCCTCTTTTTCTTTCGCGAGGTCCCGGCTACTGCATTCTCGACAGCTACACGCCCACCATGGATGACAGAGGGACCCCAAGGGTCCGCGAGCTCGACCTGCGCGAATGCAAGGTCTGCTATAACGTTGACGGGATCAATGTTGTCAGAGGTCTCAAATGTAGTACCGGTATGTCTTTTTAACGCAATTCTTTTGCTTTCGGCCAAAGCTGTACACCGGGTCCCTCTCTCTCCGCGCCAATCGACTAACATGGCTCCAGCCTTCTTCACTTTCCTACGAGCCAACCTCGCCCTGAGCTCTTCCACGATGGGCTCGCCCGCGAACACGCCTCAGTTCGACCCAATTAGCGCTCCCGTCGGCTCGATCCATTCCGAATACATTGTCTCGCCCGCCACCACTGCTTCTCTCACCACTACACCCAAGCCACCATCGAGCTCCGACGTCACACCCGATCTCGTGCCCCTCGACGACATCCCTGAGCTTTCGCTTGACCTGCTTCGGACCCCAGATGAGCAGAGAGAGGGTCTCGAGCTTCTCGCTGAGACTGTCGCCGGCATGCGCACCCCCGCCACCGTCACCGTCATGTCGCACCCGAGCTGCCTCGTGCCCTTTACCACCCTACTCTCCGTCATATACTACACGCGCTACACCATCCCGGGCCACTTCAAAATCACTGCCTTCTGCACCTACGGCTCTGTATTCATCTACATCTTCCTGATATGGTTCCTTGCCCGCCCCTACAAAACCTTTGCCAAAGATGTGAACCGCGTCTGGCTCGATGAGGAGGGCCCCGACCGCGATATCATGGTCGGTGCCCGCGGCAAGGACAAGAAGCTCGCCGGGGTCCTTGTCCTGCGCCTCAGCCCCAAGCTCGGTCCCTCCGGCGGCCGTCGTCGCACACGCAGCCTTTCCTTCAAGGGCGGGCGCGGCCTCATCCGCGCCTGGGCCGTCCGCCGCAAGGCCCGCGGCCGCGGCGTCGGCAAGGAGCTGCTCCAGGAGGCGGTCCGCATCACCAGAGACCGCTGCGGAAAGGATGCCGATGTCGGCTTTGTCAAGAACCACGCCCACAGCCGGCTCATCTTCCACAACATGTTTCACAGCTTCTTTCATAAGGTCGAGGCTGGCGCCGACAAGGCGCTGCGCACGGCTGTAGGCCAGTGGTCTGCGACGAGAAAGAAGAGAAAATAAGTATACGTCGGAGCAATTTGGATATGATTTTTTTTTTGTTTTTTTTTATACATGACGCGCAGAATTTTGGATACTGCATGATACCCAGCATAGCATGGAATAACCGTCGCGGCTTGGTGCCGAGCGGGTCGGGACCGACGTAATTCCAAGATGATTCATTGATTTTACCAACTTAATGAGAAAGTGAACTAAGAGATCACCAAGAATGTACTTGACTCATTATCAAGCATGTCGTTCGCTATGAGACGCTGACCCAACAAGCGGTACGCCGTTACGCAAGCTTTATTTCGACCGCAAGCAATGGGCCTTGTTAGCTCCTGGCCTCTGTCCACACTTCAAAGCACTTGTTCCTCCTCTAGCTCTGAACTATATTTTAAGCTGAAGGACATGCTGCACTTGATTACCAGCGATACCGCCCTGAGTCTATGAGATATGCGATTACTGTGCCATCACCGAGTCCGGAAAAGTGTTTATTCGTCTTGCAAAGGCATGATGGAGACTTGGAGATGCTTGTGTCAGACTAGTAGAGCGCCGTCACTCGGTCACGCCGCTGTTAATCGGAGCACTTGAATGGTCTGCGGAAATATCCTGAAATCGCAGGGGTCACTACGGCTGCGAGCAACTGTTCCATCTTTGACTTGGATAAACCGAGTACCACTCTCTGCTACTCCCGGATTCCCGAATATGTGCTAGGCGGGAAGCACCGCTGTCGCCCGCTACAAATATCCGCCGCACATCTGTAGGAGTGACAGCCAGCCAATATCGAATAATTTCCCCCGCTCCAATAAAGGAACGACGTTGACGAAAGAGCAGACGTAGAAACTATGCAAAGGGATATACATCCCAACACGCGCACAAGCGTTCGGCTTCGACTAGCCGAAAATCCTGCAGAGCTATTCGTAGCTGCTCGTAAGGTCAATAACAGCCACACATTTCGGCTGTATGTCGGCGATCCTTCGGAGAATTGAATAGCATGTAAACAAGTTGGCCAACAAAAGAGACGCTTTCTGCTCTTGCCCATGCTTCTCCGTCTACCACTTCGTTCACATGTATAATATATTGTGGGCAGGGCGCGGCACTGGTATTACCTACCACATCAGATATACGCGCTGCTTGCTACGCAATTGACGCTCAATAGAGGCGGGTAATGAAACCACACCAGGCGCAGCGGCAGCAGATGCACGCAGTGCTATAGTAGGCGCTCAACCTTTTATAGCAAACCCACAACTGGTAGGATTGCATTTACACAGCCAACACGCGTTTTTACGTAATTCGCCCAGGTGCGCTTATAATTGGCCATTGAAAATGAGTAGTTGGCAGCCTTTTTTCTCTATAAGAGCCCCTCTTACTCTGACTTCTATCCCTTTGGGATACTTGATTACCTACCATCTTGGACAACGTGAACTACATGTGACAATGACTGTTCCATGGAAAGCTCTTGTCTTGCTAATCTCTTTTTGCCACTTTGTCTTTGAATCATGGCTTACCTTGCGCCAGATGCGCGCCCTTCGAGAGACTAAGGTGCCTCCCCTACTCGCCGACAAGCTTGATCAGGATACCGTTACCAAGTCCCATTCATACAAGCAAGCCAAGGCTAGATTGAGTCTTGCTCGCGGTTTATGGGGGCAATTTATCAATGCGATGATCATATACTTTGATGCGCTGCCATGGTTGTGGAATACTACCGGCAGCCTACTCGACGGATCAACTCTGGCTGTCGCCACCAACACCAACCGCTCCATCCTTTTCGCTCTTTGTTACATGTGGTTTTCTGATTGTGTATATCTTCCTTTCCGGATATACGACACTTTTGTTGTGGAAGATGTGTTTGGCTTCAATAGGCAAACACCAGGTCTATTCTTTTGTGATTTCATCAAGATTCAGGCCTTGAATTCCGCTATACTCGCCCCATCCTTGGCCCTCTTCCTCGAAATCACCGCCAGGACAGGAAAGCACTTTGCCTTGTATGTCTGGCTCGGAGCGGCGGCCGTCCAGGCACTCGTCATCACGTTGGACCCCATCTTGTTCACGCCGCTGTTCATCTCGTTGCGGCCACTGTCAGAGGAAAGCCGCCTTGTTCATCAAGTCCAAGCTCTGGCCGCCAAGGTGGGATTCCCATTGCACCGCATGTATGTTTCCGACGACAGCAAGCGAAGCGCACACTCCAATGCATACTTCTACGGTTTTCCTTGGCAGATGCAGATTGTGGTGCAGGACACGCTCTTTCAAAAAGCAAGCACCAATGAGATTCTAGCAATTATAACCCATGAGCTCGGTCATTGGAAGTATCAACACAGTAGCAAACTCTTCCTCATCCAACAGGTATTATATTGAAATCCCTTCTTTGTCGGCATGGGGTCGCAGTCATACTAACCCCATGTAGGTGAATCTCTTTGTAATATTCCTCTCTTTTGCAGCCTTTGCTGGCCGTTCCGATCTCTACCACTCTTTCGGCTTTCATTCGGATACGCCTCTCATTGCGGGATTCGTTCTGTTCTACAAGGTGCTTCTGCCAGTCAACTCACTTTTGCAGCTGCTCCACAATGCTGTCTGCCGTGGATTTGAATTTACTGCCGACCGGTTTGCAAAAGACTCAGGACAGGGTCATGAACTTGCGCGTGCCTTGATATCGCTCCAGGCTCAGAATCTTGGGGGAGTCCATAATGATTACCTATACGCCTGCTACCACCACAGCCACCCTGGCCTGGTTGAGCGTCTCTCGCACCTCGGTATTAAACAGAAGCTCAAATGAGTTCTCTAGATGTAAGTCAGCGTTCCGGATGATGTACCTCGTATGTGCGGCGCAGGGCTCGGGCCATGTTACGTCGGCATATTCTGCGGGGAAAGAGGCGGCAGGTCGGCGTTCTGCCCCCCCCCCGTGTGGTGCACTCGAAAGACCTTGGAAATCATCCTTCATCACACACAGATCGTTGACCTCGATGGCATAGAGCATGTTTCCATGGCGCAAGACTATAGAGTCGGGGTTAGCATTTTGCAGCGGGTTCACTTACACACGGCTACATGGCACACACAAGTCAGGTTTGCTTAGGCTTTATACTCCCCAGCTAGGAATTTATTTCTTGATCATTCTCTACTATTTATCGACATGTGTAGTCGAATACGATTTTATACGCTTCAACAGGTAAAGTTTGCAAGGGCCGCAGAAGGATTTTGGTGACGCACCACCAAGTACACCGATTGCCGAACTGCATTTGCGGTGAGCGACCCGAACGCGGTCCTATACCAGTCGATTGAAGTTGGAATGAATATATGTTGTTTTACGCCCAAATGAAGTTGCCAACATAATTACACGCTATGCGTGGATTCTGCGATAATGAACTAGTTTGATGGTCGAGACCAGCGGTATGGTCCAGGCCCTCCAATGCCAACATGAAAGACAGTGCCGACCGTGGTCTTCGTTTCGTCATATGTTTTCATGCCTGCTCATATGGTCAACTGTTCTTTGCTTGTTCAATGTCACATATTGACGCCCGCCTCCTAGTCGTTCGCCGTGTTCCTGTTGCCTGCCTTTCCAGTTCTCGTCGACCGAGGGCTCGCCTCTGGCTCAGCTGTTGCCTTGATCAGCTCCCGGCTCTCTTCTTTTCTACACCATCGCCTAGAGATTTTTTCTTCTTTTTCTTAAGCCGCTGTTTATTACTCGCGATCCACTTACTACCTCCACCTGCTGCGTCTCCTAGTGGCGCAGTTGTCGTCGTCTACTATTGCCCTTCCTTTCCAATCTTGCCAGCGAAAATGGCTTTGCGGTGTCTGACGTACTACTTTGGTGTACATAACATTCCAGTCGATTTTATTCTTTGTAAAAAGGCAAGATTGTTGGTCAAAAGCAGTGACGTAGAGATGACGGCAAGCATGCGCACCTAGGACGACGAGGTGATGCTACGATTGAGACCATATTCGCCACCACGTGCCTCTTGCGCCTATATAGGCATACAGCTGAAAAAGAAATGTGAGAAGGAAACCAAATCTTTTCTTTACCACAAAAAACACCCAAGTCAACACAATTCAGCAAAAATCATGAGTGGTATCACTGACGAAGCGGCCCTCGAGGCTCATGACCTCGTTGATGCCGAAGACCGCATGCAGCAGGTATTATCATGATCCATGACTTCCTTCTAATTAATAAACACTAATAAATGGCTTTTAGGAAAGAGATAAGAGGGAGAGCATTAGCTCTCAGCAGAGCACTGGATCAAACGAAAGTGCCCCAGACCCTAATAAAGGCAAGATGGGCAGCATGGGCAGCATGGGCAGCATGGGCAGCATGGGCAACAAGGGCAACACGGGCAATCAGAAGCCATCGCTGCTTGACAGAGGAAAAGAAGCACTGGGTTTAAATAGCCAGTAATTTCTGAGTTGCCAGACTTGTATTTTAATGCGGTCTCTCTAGCAACCGCGCTCTTCCTGGGCAAAGATTGGCCGTGAACCCAGAAAAGGTCTGGTACAATGAATGGTTATTAATTGAAACTTCAATCTCAAGATACCAAGGGTCGTATGTAACGAAGTGAGCTAATCTTGAGAATCGTAGATTTCTGCATACCTTGCGCACATGTTTGCGAATCTCGCCAAAGTTAGCAATGCCCTACAAAGCGATAAAGCTTCAAGATTGAATTCAAAATTTCTGCAGCATTGGCTGTGTATCGCCCGTCCGCCAACTGGGCTTAGATGAGTCAGTTGTCTTCTTAAAGATATGATTAGAGAGCTGCAGCATTCTATCATGAATCAGCACGTAGATTCGGTGATTACATTTGCAATGATTTACTCTGTCGACCAGGGCCAACTGCTGCAAGTCTCAGAGCTTTCTGTAGCATGTTTGCTATGTATGACACGCCAAAAGTGAAGGTCCCATTGAGTCAACGTTGTACACACTGCGACCATGCTCCAGCCATTCATGGCTTATTTTTGCCGCGTTTCAAAGTGGCTGCGGGCAGGTATACTTTGCAAGTATGGAGAAGTGTGGTTTCGCCAATGACAACTTTAGCTACCTGTCAGCTACAAGTTGAGCACCTGACCTCTGTGAAACGGTCTCAGAATAGCCCCCAATCAAAATGCCAGCTTTACGTGTGATGGATGTTCCTTGTGCTGAACAGATATTCATTCCCCGGAGCTGCGTGCGCGGCAAGTGGCTCGTAGAGTCTGACTCCTGCTCTGTGCTGTTGAGTGTGTAAAAGAGACGTAGCCCAGTTGTGATACCAATATTGCGTCCGACACTTTGTGGGCCAGTCAATGTATGCCATTGCTCTTCTTAAACATGAGCTCGGCGAATGGCGCTCCGATGGTTCTGATGATGAGGGCGATCCGCAGCCCGTTTTTCACTTGAGCTATTGTGCCGATTCAATTAGAAGAGAGGAGGCTGGTCGCGCTGAAGACAACCAAACTGAAGTGAGACCAATATAACGCCATGCCGCAGCTGAACCAGGCTCGGTCACGTTGCTAGAGCTTGCATGACCAAGACTCAATGTACCGTAACGGGTGATGCTTGCCTTTGTAGCAGACAAGATGGGTATAAAAAGCAGCCGGCCTCGGCATATTCTGCCCGTCGCAACCCAGACAGCTTTTGCCATCATTGAGTCTAACTTCTATCCCTCATGTTTCATTTGTCATTATTTCTATTATAAAAAGCATACGCAAAAATTAGGATTATTTCCTAGTAAGCTCTCAAAGTTTACAAGTTCATAGCTATGGACTTCACCAACGTGCCCCGGCATCATCTCTCCATGGACGAACCACTATTAGTGTCCGAGATTGTCACAGCCAACAATGGCGGCAAGGCCTATCACTGGGCTCTCACTGACACCGAGCGCGCTCACATAGCCAACTTGCTCAACGTTGACGGTAAAATTTTTTTAGAAAATATAGAAGCGCCTCTTGCATTTTGACGCTCCTCGGGCTAATTTTGCGAGAGCTAACTAGCTACGGAATTGGCTGTCAAGGGCACCATTATGAATCGGGAACGCTCTACATGCAATGGATGTGGAAAGCAATCTGGTCTGGATGATCTAGTGCACAATGCGCTGCACGCAGGTATTCACTCGGCGCCATTCATGGCAAATGTTTTAGCGAATGGGCCAAAAGGGCCAGAGGAGATTCCTCCTCATGAACTGACTTGCTCACGCTGCGCCACCAAGCATGAGGGCTCGTTTGGCTATGGTAGGGTTCATTGGAAGACTTTCTAAGATAAGGTTTTCTTTTTTTTTTCTTTTTTTGCCCAGTGACGGCAATGCGATGATGGTTTCGATTAAGAGACGGCATTACTGAGTTGCGCAGAGTGGGTGGTCAACGTCAGTCATAGTTCGGTCTGTCAACTTGATGAGGGTCATGTAATTGTTTCGCAGCAGCTATTCTTCATCTTGATCATCTATCCATTAGCTTTCACATGCACAGCAGCAAACGAATGCATCATATTCCAGATTAGCTACGCCGCTAATAAGCGTCGTCAGTCAGGCTATTTAGTCATCGCTGCTGTATACAGGCGAAAAAAATGATGAAAGCGGGATAGAAAAGGGCGCGTGAATAGTCTTCTCAAGCCAACTTCCAGAAACATGATTAGCGTAGCTACTGAGTGGCCACGATGGATGATGTTGCGCGTTCAAGTTCCTGCCGTCGAGGACGCGCCGGTAAAGAGAACAGGAGCCTACTACAAGCACTTCAAGACCATGCACAGGCCGACACTTTCGTCCATTATGAAATAGAGTCAAACGCCTGCATTTATTACAAGGCGAGTAATGAGGCTCTTGGTAAAGTTCAAAGACCTCATGATTTGATTCTTCATATTCCAGTACGACAGGCTGTCCAGAAAAGCAATGATTCAGCGAGTATATCTATTCGCACATGACCAAACCTTTGGCCGCCCTTTATGTCCATTCCGAGCCCTTTGTTCGTACATTTTCTTTATATAACATGTTGTGCAAATGATTGGGTATTTTCCATCATCTCATCCTCCACAAGCTCCTTTTGCTTAACGGCGAAGCGCGACTTGCTTGTTGCGACGCAATTTCTCTGCAGCCGCCTGGTTCATTGCAGGATCGAATCCGTACAAGGTTCTGCCCATTTTGCGCAACGAGAAGAGGACCTACAGCCAGATCACGTTAGCCAAAGATTCGAAAAAGAAACAATGGGAGTAGGTTAATTCTCACGTCATGAACAGTGACCGTTTTGGCATTTCTGTATTCCACGTAGATGCAGCAATTCCTGAGAATCTGATGGTTTGTTTTCATCAGTCAGCCCATGTTCCATGTTTATTTTCTTCTTTGCTCGAAAGGGGGGGGGGGAGCACACGGCTTACCTGAGTGAGATGCTCCTTGATGACTTTGCGCGTCTCATCATAGATGGTGCCAGACATTCGTTTGACGCCTCCGCGACGGGCAAGACGTCTACGCAGTTTACCGAGTTAGTGACCGCTCTGCTTGGGTTTTCCTTTGCCTCTACGGAAATGGTAGAAACATACCGTATTGCTGGTCGGGCTATAGTAGGTCATCATGATTAGCCACAGAAGCCCTTGAAAACCGATGGGCGATTTCCATGAAGAAGTAGAGAGGGAAAAAACACGTACTGATGCCTTTGATCGCGTCTTTGAGGATTTTCCTACAGCCATTTGCCATGTTAGTCAACTGCTAAATAGCCACGGGCGCTTCTGTTGATTCTTACCGTGAGCGTCGCGCGCCAAGCGTCTTGCCGGCGACGCCCTTTCTGAGCTGATGCGGACCTCCGCGCATTGTCTGCGATCCGGAAAATCTATTCATCTTGCGCGTTTTCTCCTTTTCACGTCGTGTTTTGATGTTGTAAAGCGGGACTTATTCAGTGCCGATCGAGACGGACGGGGTAAAGCTGAGATGAAAATGTGGATGGGGTTCTCTTGACAGATCGAGGAATGAGCCAGTGGGTTTTTTGTATGTGCCTAGCTAAAAGTCGCGGATTCGGAAAGGAGAATTGCGCTGCAGATGGAACATATCAAGATATTCGCCTTGTTTAAAAAATGATTAAAGGCAAGAGATGACTGAGAGGGGCAAGCAACGTGCCAGGCTCTGCACGTGATGGCGAGGTGAATGCAAGAAAACACTGAAACCTCAGTGAGAAGTGAGCAGAGTCTCACGTACACTAACGTTAGCCGATCAAATGCATCATCGTTAATGGGCGCCCGGCACCCGCATCATCCATCGCACGTCGTTGCATTAAAGTGTCGACACTAGTCTATAACATTGCGTACACTGTGAGAAAGTGTAAACCATCTTTTCATATTATTCGAAGCCTTTGCCATATCATCATCGCAAGTCGGCCCTGGTTGAACGAGAAACAAAAACACAAAAACACCCATCAATCCATACTCCTTTTCTAGCCAATGCCAACTAAACCTCGCCGAGCTTAGTTTGACTTTCTTTTTGTCCGCCTGGGCTGTCCGTTTTCATTTCCGTCGGACAAAGTCATTATCATGGTATCTAGTCCACCTTTCCCGGACGCCAAAGAATTCCCGCATATTTTCGCTATAGTAAAACACTGGCTTTATGCATGAGAGTACGCCAACTTGTAGTCGCGCGCTCTCGGTAAAGCCGCCAAAGCAAAGAAAACAATTGCACTAGTAAAACAAAAGAGGCGGGGGTGACATGTCAGCGTCCATCAGTGCGCAACGATGGTCTGCTTTCTGGGCGTAACATGTCGGCACAGAGCAGAGAGGTATTGAGACATGATTATCCTCACGCGGAAGCTTCGACAGTCTCGATAGCTTCGGGCTTTATCGTAGACTCTTCGCTTGTCTCTTCTTCGGCACTTGCACTCGGCTCTTCAGTAGCATCCGAGACAACCTCGTCCGCGGACTCGCTTGTAGGCTCTGCAGCGGGCGGCTCCACGCGAGCTTTTTTGGCCGGGCGCTTTGGCTCTTCACCGGCCGCTTCCTGTGCCGCCTTGAGTTCCAGCTCCAATTCGTCCAGGCGACGCTTCAAATTGTTTTCGCGTCTGTGACTGTCCTCCAACTGCTCGTGAAGCTGCGCTTCATTGAGCTGCGTGGTTTCCAGTTGCGTGCGCAGTTGACTCTGCTCAGCGTCGGCCAGTTCCTGTCCGTGCCTAGCAGCTGCCTCTTGTTGCTCCAACTGGCTAAGTCTACCGCGGAAGAGCTCGTTGATTACTTCTAGCTCGCTGACTCGGGTCTTGAGGCTCGAGTTGAGGGCAATGAGCTGCTCTTGTGATTGAGGTCCGTCAGAGGCGCGGTCTCCATTCAGTGACGAGCCATTATGAACTTCGCCATTGTAGCCAGAAACGGCCTGCTGATACGTCGCATCATCCACCATAAAGGACGAGAGGGAGCTGTTGTACATCGAGGGGGTGCCATTCCTAGAGAGCGACGAGTCGAGTCCGTCGGTGCCGTTGACTTTGGAGCGGCGCATGGCCTCGGCTGCTTGAGCTGCGGCATGCTCAACACCGTTCGTGTCGCCGACCGTTGCGAAGCCATGGGCTTGCTGCTGCAAGAGCTAATTAGTACCACGGCGTCGGCGCATCAGTTTTGGAGTCCGCGCATACCTTTTTCTTTGATACCAGATCGGGGCGCATAGTCTTGACGCGATTACGGCTCTTTATGACATCCGTCTTTAAAGAGGCAGGGCGCGGACGGCCATGCAGCTTAAGAAAGAGACCACATGCGTTGCAGAGGACTGAGCCAAACTCGTCGCGACGCCATAGAGGTGTCCGTGAAGTGCCGCAGTTCTGACAAGTAGGCTGCGAGGAAGCGTTAGTTGCCATCATCGTGTCGGTTTGTGTCTGCGATTCTGTGGTCGCGATAGGAGAATGCAGGCCCGATATAGTATATTGATATACTAGTAGGATCACGATAAGGCGGGCTGGATAGGAAGAAGTTGTCTCTTGCGCCGTCACTGATAAGCCAGATAACCAGAAAAAAAATCTGATCCACCGTTGGGTCATATTGGCTATCTGGCCCAACGAGGACTAGCTCAGTGTCTTATCGGTTTGTTCGCGGCCTAGCGCGAGAACGAGTCGGGAGTGGAGCACGTGATTGTGCCGTATCCACCGAAAAAGCCATAAGCAGTCTCCATTTAGACAACGCTGATTGGCCCGGCAGGGGTGAAAGTTTTCTGGCTCTCGGGAACGCGATAGCGATAAAGGGGATAGGCGTCTTGATTGCCAGGATGCGACAGGACAGATAGAGACGGGAATAGAACGTATCAGATGTAAAGAAAAGATAAAAACTTACCATGCCTCCCGGTCCGCCGCTAGTAGCTGCAGGAGAGCCTTCCATGTGCACAGCAGGCGGAGGCTGGTGCATTAAAACATCTCTAAAGATAGACGGTCAGCGCACTTGTAATCGCGTCGTGTTATCGCGAGGAGTGATATGCCACGTCGGCGAGCAGGACAGCTGCGGGAATGTGTCCATGCGCAAGTAACTTTTTGTAGGCAATGGGCCGGGCCGAACGTACCTTGATACCAGGGGTGTTGTTGTCGTGCCGCTGGCAGTGCTCGTGGCCAACGACGCGAGATTGGCAAAGGGTTGGTGAGCCAACGATGTTGACTCTGGCGTAGGCGTCGAACTAGGTCTTGAAATACCGTCTGCCGCATTTGCATGTAGTACTTGCGTTTCGCTTTCCATGTTGTTGGTGTTGGGGACGAGCAGCTAAGCAGGCGCAAGCTTCGGTTTCGAAGTTTGTTGGAGTAGTCACCTTGGCGGCCGCAAGAGACGTTGAGGGAACAGAAGTCAGATCTTGTACTCGACTTATGTATGGCCGCACAGGCAGCACAGTGAACTGGTCAAATATGCACACGCAGTCGGGATCGGTCGGTAGATTTGCGCGCAGTTGGCTGTCGCAAAGCTACAAGTCGAGAGGCAATGGGGCGGTAAAAGAAGTGGTCGCAAGAGAGGATGGAAAAGCGTGCAGGGTCAGGGCAGCCAAAGGAAGACGGGCTCTGACGAAAAAGACAGGTCTGTATTAATAGGGATCAGAGGTTGCACAAGGAGCAAGCGCGAAAGAGGTGAGCTTTGCATGGACAGAAGCCGTCGGGTGGCAGCTGGAAAACCGGTCTGGGCAGAAAGACTTTTGAAGGGTACAGATTACAAGTACCTACAAGTGGTTGGAAACCAAGCGCTGCATCGCGCGCCTCATTGGGTGGCGCTACCTAAATAGCCCAGTGAAGACGTGGGGCTAATTTCCGTCGATGAGAATTGCCTACCCTGGAGAACCAGTGCAAATTTCAACCCGGCTCATGGGCGTCGAATCCAGGTTTGCAGGTTTATGAGCTGGACGTTGGGGGTCAGTGTCTGTCAAAATTTTGTGTTTTTGCTGGCATTTGATCCTATTTTGTGATTTCTTCTAGGTCCGGGCCTGCCGTGCCATCATCATTATAAAACCTGTGGCTACACATCAAACGAGGTTTAAACCCATAGGCTGGTGGAGCAGACAACTTACAAGTCCTTACAACAAAACACTGCATGATAGCTCCGCTACGTCACTGCAAGCTGCACAGGTAAGCAGCCTTTACAGTTTGCCCAGCATTGACGAAAACGTCATCCAAGATGACCCAAAGAGTTTGATACAGCCCAACCAGCAAAGCAGTACAAAAGTTACCCTTTGCCATAGCCAAATGCCCAAACCCCACGCTTCCGAGAGTCCCAGAGCTCTCTGTTGCGCCCAAATACCATATCCCCCACCCCACCAGCGCCCACTTCTTCTTGGGCTGCCCCTCCAGGCTTCCCAGCTCCAGCGGTGTGAAAGTCCAGCGGCTATTACCGAATGGGTCGATCGGGGATTTTGCCAAGAGGAACTTCTCTTCCTCTCTTCAACCACCTCTTTTTTCCTCACGCGCACCTGATATCCTGCTTCTACCTCTTTTTTTGCCTGTGATTATTAGCCTACAGACCAATCATGTTCAACTGGGTTCAGCAACAGTAAGTCGCCGTCTTGCGCCTCTCCCCACGTCTTGCCCCTCCTGTGAAGCTCTTGTGCTCTCCAAGTACCTTGCCTTGCCGCCGACGAGAAACGCTGCTAACCGCCATCACAACTCTGCCTGCAGGATCGCCAATGTCGCCGGCACGCAAGAGCCCATTTACGGCCCCTCGGCCATCCGATCGGTGGCTGAGGAGGCCAAGGCGACTCCCTATACCGAAATCGGCCGCGACGATCTGAAGTGGAAAGAGATGGAGTGGACCAATGTCGAGACGCAGACCTTTTACTTCTTCTCCGACCAAGGCAGAGTCGGCATGGCGCAGGTCATCTACAGCAACGTTGCGTAAGTCGAGAGAAAAGCTCAACAAGCGCCCGGCCTCGTCCGCCCCAATCTTGCGCCCAACTAACACTTCGTCACTACCCAAAAACAGTGGTATCCGCAAGACGTGCCAGTTCAACTCGAAAATCTTTTCCACCGACCCGTCAATGCCTCACCTGTGGTCCTCGACGCCGCTAAACAACTTTGAAATTAGCGAGGACAAGGGGTCCTTTTACGCCGACGACTGCGCCCTCGAGCTGTCCGCCGACGGCAACTCCTACACCATCAAGAGCCTCAACGACGAGCGCGCCATTGTCAACATCAAAGTCACCAAGACGGCACCGGGCTTCCAGGCCGGCACGACGGGCACCAGCAGCTACGGAACCGATCCCAAGGAGCCCTGGGGCTGGATGCGCCACGCCTTTTGGCCGCGCTGCGCCGTCGAGGGCACCATCACCACGGCCGACGGCCCCGTCGACTTTGCCGGCCGCGGGCTCTACATCTACGCCCTGCAGGGCATGAAGCCGCACCACGCCGCAGCCCGCTGGAGCTTCCTCAACTTCCAGGGCCCCAGCCACTCGGCCGTCATGATGCAGTTCACCACCCCGCCCTCGTACGGCTGCACCGTCGTCAACGTCGGCGGCGTCGCGGTCGACGGCGCGATCGTCGGCGCAGGCTGCGGCAGCACCGTCAACCACACCGCCATCGAGACCGATCCGGAGAGCGGCTGGCCCGCCCCGACCAAGGCCACATTTGCCTGGCACGTCAAGGACAAGGACGGCAACCCCGTCGAGGCCGAGATTGACGCTGCGCTCGGGAAGCGCATCGACCGTGTCGACGTCATGGCCGAGGTCCCTGCGTTTGTCAAGCGTATCGTGGCTGGTGCCGTTGGAACCAAGCCTTATATCTACCAGGTACGTTGAGTCTTTGCTGAAATAGCTGTGGGGGCAATCGTTTTGACAATTGATGCAGTATTCCGTCGAGGCTACGCTCAAGCTCAAGGTCGGCGACAAAGAAATTACCGAGAAAGGCCACATCTTCAGCGAAGCCACCTTTATCTCGGACCTCGAGACACCATCCGAGTAGACTAATCATTTGCTTGTCACGTTAATATGGATACCGACTCTCCCGCTTCTTAATAAACGCTTGGGCGAAGCGAACTTTTCTAGAGTGCAACTCAAAGGTGGCTACAAACGTCGGCATTGGATATCATCAAGTCGGTCTCGCAACTTTCGTTTTGGCGCCTCTTCGATACAGCTCATATATTATACACCCTTTAATACATTCCGCATTCTTAATCACTTGCAGTTTTGGGAGAAGCGCCATGGAAGATATGAATATAAATGTATTCAACATGTCTAATGGAGTGGTTTTCTAATAGTACAATCTTCCAACTTGACGCCTCCCAGTCTCAAGATCCGTTTCGTTTTCGCGTAAATTTACATAGTACACTTGAACCAGAAATTCTGTTCACTGATCCTTCTTATCCTTGTTAGCAGACTTCTCTCCTGCTTCTTTGCTGGACGGAGAAGAGGCACCGGCTTCCTGCTGCTTCTGGTCCTCCTTTTTCAGCTCCTCTTCAATCTGCCAGACGGCTCGGTCCAGCTCCGTTTCCAGCTCCGGAATCCCCAGCGCGTCTGTGCACGTGCGAATCTGCGTATGCGTCAAGAGAACCTCCTCCTTGGCCTCGGGATCCTTGACTTTGGCGACAGCCGCAGGCGATTGCGCATACACCAGGTCGAGCGCCTTTGACGGCGACGGCACCAAAAGCTTATTCTCAATCAGCCACTGAACGTGCTTGCCACCGGCGATTGCGCGCCAGTTGGAGAATGCGCGGTACACAAGGTAGAAGAAGGGCAAATTGGGTATACTGCAACCGCCCCTGGTTAGCGACCCGCGCCATCGAACCCGGGGACACAAGAGACACACAAAAAAAAAAAAAGATACTCACACTGGAACGAGCGCAAAAGGAAGCGTGATTGGCATTCCCACAAGGCACCACATCATCTGCCGGCGGTGAATCGCCTGCCTCTCCGTCGCGAGCCTGCGCGCCACGTTCTCGACCTGGGTCTCCGGGATGACGGAGCCCGGAAACACGAGCTCGATCCTGCCGCCACCGTCACCCTGCAGCTCCTCGGCGCGCCGCCGTGCCGACAGCGGGGGCACCGACTTGAGGCCCCATTCCGCAAAGGGGATGCGGCGAAAGGCATAGTTGCCGTAGCCAACCACCTTGCGCTGCCAGCCCTTTTCCTTCTTCTCCCAGCCGGCCCACGTGCGCGCGGCAAAGGCGACGCCCTTGTCGAGGAGCGACGCGGAGCTCTGATCCTTTGTAGTGACGCCGAGGCGCTGCGCGTAGAGAAGCGTGCGCCGCGTCGAGACGGGCACGAGAAAGAGGCGCATGGCTGGCTGGCTGGCGGCAGTCCCAGGAGTATAGATACCTAACTAGCGAGGGAGCCGAGTGTGCGAATTCGTCCCAGGGGGGTGGCGAGGCAGAGCGAGGCAGAGCGAGGCAGGCAGGCTGGCGCAAAAAGTGTCGATAGGGGGAGCGAGGAAGGGTACTGGATTTTTCTCCACGACACGACTTTCTAATCTGTCGCGGAGATATGCGCCGGCCGAACTCCTCACAAAGGAGCTTTATGGCTTGCCGTCGAGCGCGAAGGGGAAGCTTCGGGGACCGGTCGTGTATCGTGCGTGCAAGGCGTAGTCGCAGCCAAGTCGATTTACTGCGCCATTGCGACGAAATAAGTCGAGATGATGGGAGGTGTGTTTCTGGTTTCGAGACAAAAAAAAGCAAGTGAAATGAGCCCCCAGACAAATTGTTCGCAGACCAGACGCCCCTGTGTCCGTGCAATAGATGCAAAATGAGAGGATGGATGAAAAGTCTACGTAACGGAACCCAAAACCATGAATTTTTCTTGGCTTACCATGTTGCCTTGGCTTGCGCCGCCAAGGGATCGACGAGACGGGCGGGTTCGTGGGGACACCGGGGTCAAGTCAGCCCGAGGAGCCATTCGCTGGCGCACATGGGCCTGATGAGCCGCCTCAGTGAACGGCGTGCTGCACCTTGCATTCCGACATAATATGACCTCCAGGCATTGAATTTGTGAACTAAAGAGAGGTTTGTATCACAGCAGTCCTTGATAATTCTACAGGTTCCGATACGGATTTCACGTGCTACATATCGTGTACGTAGCAGACGAGCTTGCGGACTTGCTGACCACGGGGCCACTGTAATCGAGGCTCCGTCATTGGCTTCCACTCTCAAGAAACCAACTTGGTGGGTACCTAATTAACTGATAAATAGCGGTCATGGTTCCACACATACATCTATAATAATCGGCAGTCATTCAATAAATATTCTATAGTACAGTAACATCAAGTCTCCTCGACTTTCGCATCTGTTCTCTCAACTACCCGCCATCTACAGAGCAACCATGGCCGATGCCACCAGCGCCACCAGGGATGCCAGGGACACCACAACGCCGTAGCCAGGAGCGCCGACCGCCGCGCCGGCGTTCTCCTTGCTGGACGAATTGCTACTGTTGCTGCCAGAGCTGGGCGCCAGCTTGGAACAGTCCGTCTTGCCTGAGCCCTTTTGCGTCGTGGCATTGCCGCCAAACGAGCACGAGTCGGAAGCGTCCGCGTGCTTCGTATGGTACACGCCGAGGACAATGGCCAGCTTCTGCTCGTCAGAGCACATGCTGTAGACGCCGTACTTGCCCGTCGAGGGATCGCCGTTGATTCCCGAGCACACGGACGCGTCGGCGCAGGTGTAGTTGAAAATGGCGCCGTAGGCGGATTTGTCGAGGTTGGCGGCGGGCACGCAGGTGGACGCGTTGGCGGCGCATTCGCAGGCGGCCTGGTTGGGCGTGGGAGGGAGCGTGCTGCCCTCGGCCTCCCAGGAAGAGTTGACGGAAGGGCAGGAAGCAGCCTTGTTGGAGGGATTGTAGCTGGACATGGAGACGCCCTGTGGGTCGACGGCCTTCATGGCCTTTTCAAGCGTGTCAAAGTCGTCGAGCTTGGTGACGGTGCTGTCGCTATCCGAAGCTTTGACGAGACCTAGCAATGGGTATTAGTGGTGCGCTTCAAGTCATTGGGTATAGTTGATTGAACGTACCATAGTCATTTTCCTCTTCAAAGTACTCGTATACGATGCCGCCGCTCAGGACGTCAGTCATGTTCTTGGCGTACAGGGCGCCAGTCTCCTGCCACTCGCGCTTGGCGGCACCGCCGGGCTTGTTACAACCATACTCGGCAAAGAAGGCGGGGACAGAGTACGACTGGAAAAAGTCGAGAATGCGGTTGTAGCCAGAGGTCTCAAAAGTGGAATCGCCGCACCACTCGTACACATTGTAACCGTAAAAGTCGACACCGGCGGATGCGTCGCCGCAGTTCATGTACTCGGCAATCGTGTTACGCAGGTCCGACGAGTCGTCGGCGGCATAGCCAATTCCGGTGTGGTAATTCTTGTCCTTGACATACTGCTTCATGTCGCGGACAGCAGCCTTGACATAGGCAGATGCGCCGGTGGTGGTGTTGCTGTTGGTGACTTCGTTGCCGACGAAGAAGCCAACAACGTTGGGGTACTTGGCCATGGTGTCGACGACGCTCTGGAAAAAGGTAAAGAGACCAACGTTCCACTGGGGGTCGGCGCGATTGATGGAGATGGTGGGGTTGCCCAGGTCGGCAATGACATAGATGCCCGCGTCTGCGAGCATCTGCATGCAATCGTCGTGGTTGCCATTGGGGTCGACGCCGTAGGTGCGGATGAGGTTGGTGTTTAGGGACACCAGGTTGGGAATGTCGCGCTCACAGTTGGACTTGCTCACGAGAGAGTCGATGAATGTAGCGTTGCTCTTGGGGGCGTCGCTGCCGCCAGCCGAGGAATCTTGCTGGTAGGCGACGCCGCGAATGATGAATTGCGTGCCATTGGGATAAAAGAATTTGGATCCCTGCGGCGAGTCAAGTTGTTAGCTTGGCGATTTTATGCCGTTTTGTTGTGGCCCAGCGATCCCTGCACATCGGATCGTACCTTGATTTGAAGCGAGGGCACATCGGCAGCCAAGGCCCCAACGGCCGCCAGGCTGGCGATCAAAGTCTTGGCAGAGACCATTCTGCAGTTTCAAGACGAGGTTGGGATGTCGGGATGTCGGGATTGAAGACAATTCGAGGATGAACAAGTTATTGTGGCGCGCGATTGAAAAATGGAGGAAAAAAGATTGAATTGTTTCGATAGTGACAAACTGAAAGTCACTCCGGTTGCAGTAGAATCGCAAACGGAGGTGGGCGAATGAGAAAACGCGCTCAACGGCGGCGGCGCAACACTTCCGAATATTGGCGTAAGTCGAGATTCAAACGAGTGAGTTCAAGGGATTACCGAACTTGAAGTGAAGGAAAATAAAGCGAGTGTTTTGTTTGTAAGATAGTAAAGTAACGAGTCCGGCGATGCAGCAGGTTTTACTCTGCAACTACACGATGCAACAAGTAGCAGAGCGAACGCGTTGCGTCAGCATGGGACCAGCAGCTATTTATTGTCCCCTTATTTTTGCGATACCGAAACGCCCATACTAAAATAGAACTGACTAGCAAAGGCAGACAGGCTAAGGCGGGTGCCACGCCTGGGTAACAAAAGTTGCTTGAGGAGGCCGACTTATCCGTTCGTCGCCGTCTTGGAGATCCCCCCCTACCTGAGTGTCTGTACGGCCCTGATTTAAAGCGGCCGCAGATCGATAGTTTTGCCAAGCCGCTGCCTGCAAAGTGACTGCTACGCGGGGCACACCCGGATAGCCGGCACGAGCGGCGCCGCTTTTGGGGTATTTGGATACTCTGACCCCAGATTTAATGGCGGTCCCAGTCAAAAGCAGATAGATAGGTAAATAAATAGATACTTTGATACCTTGGCCTCCTTAGGTAGGTAGCCACGACGTATCAAGAAAAATCCGTCATTGCCCACTAGTCCAGTGCTGTAGTGCCATATGTATGATGGCTCATTATTAGGTGTATATATAACTAGTACTACCGAAGGCACATGATGGCATTTGCGACTTTCAGGCCAAAGCGTGAAAGGTTTAGAGGACATAAGCGTGTGGTTTTGGGAGATTAATTCACCTGGTGAAAAAACATGTTGTCTTGCGCTTTATAAAATGATTACAGATTGTACTATATATATACAAATAGACTTAGCTCTCATAACAAATTCGGGCGGATGGTTTAGTGGTATAATACTCCCTTAGCATCCATCCTCCAACTGGAAGATCCCGCTTGGGAGTGGTCCGGGGTTCGATTCCCCGTCTGTCCAACAAAGGTGGTTTGAATCCACTATTCATTTTTGCATTTTTATGCCAAACTTATATATAGAAAAATGTTGATGTTTTTAGTCCATCATCAAAAACTCTTCTCAAATCTTGAAATGAAGCCTGCAGGCTTCTTAAAGATACGATACTGTAGATTAAACATACATAAGTAGATAAGAAAGTTCCGAATAAAGTGTTACCATATTTCCCTATCTCTTACACCGGTGAAAATAGAGGAAGCTCTTTTTCCTTCCAAGTCGAGGCAGTTTCTTTCTGTCTACAAGGTTGCAGAGTTGTTCAAAGTCACACATGACAGAGCTGCAGCTTTTAATAATACCCTGTGCATTAGCTTTGTATAGCCATCTTTGGCATATTATAATATAATGATCTATTCTAACGAAGCGTGTACATGTATAGACTTCTATGCTTGTTTCTGCTTTTGCTCAGGCACCGGACTCTTTCTGCCCGACGCGGCGCCCTTGCCCACAATCTTCTCCGCCCATGTCCACGACGACGGCTTCAGCGTGCCGTCGCTCTTGCCGGCTGCACCCTCGTGCTTACCCGCGGTGGAAGCTTCCGCGTCGCTGTTGTCGTCGCTGTCGACCCAGTCGCGGTCGCTCCACGTCATCGAGGCCGCGCCGCCGTCGCCACCATTGACAGGCGAGGCCAAGTGGCCGTCGCTGTCGAGGCTCTTAGGCGGGGGTAGCGCCTTGACAGTGTCGCGCGACTCGGTGCCGTCGCCGGCATCATCATCGCTGATGACCAGCGTAGCTTTGAGCTCTTCGCTCAGCTGCTTCGTCTCGCAGCCGTGCGCGTCCGGGGGCTGGTTCGCCTCCAGTGCGCGCTCGCCGAGATTCTCGTCTTGCGTCGCCATGCGCGCAATGACCGAGTCGCTAAAGTGCACGTCAACCAAGTGATGGATGACGGGCCATCCATACGCGTTTGCAAACATGCGGCGCACAATAATATTGTTGTGCGCGTCAGGCTCGAGCTTAACAAGGACCTTGCGCCAGGCGAGGTCCCTGTGATAGCCACGCGCAATTTTTTCCTCGACTCGCATCCCGGAGCCGTCGACAACTTCATCTGGGTGTTTATCTGGGCTTGTATGTACGGTGTCATCGTAGTCTTTGGCAGACGCCAATGAATCTTGGTGATCAACTGTCGGGTACGGCGAAGACGAACCGCTCTCCGTCGGCTTGGGCGACTGAGACGACTTAAACTTCTTACGCATAAGGGAAGAGGTATTGCGACGTTTGAGAGGCGGAGGTGGAATGTCGGAGGGCTGATACACCCTGTCATGGAAGATTGTTCTTGGCCGCTTTGACGGATCGACCAAGAAGTCGACGTCTGGCATTTGGGGATTCAAAAGATCACCTGCCGACTCAAAAAATGTTGTCTTGGGAGGCGCCATGAATCCACCAGCATCGCCTGCTTCGAGCTCGTGACCGGCCGTTACCTTTGTAGACTTGCTTACATCCGATGTGCTAGAGCTTGGTGTCTCGGGCTGCGAATCAAGCTGAACGGTCTGCGCACGTCGTATCATCTTCTTTTGCTTCTTGGTCATGATATCCGGCTTGGGGGGCTCGCTGCTTTTAAAAAGGTTGAAGAAGCTTGATAATGGATTTTGTATAGATGACGCGCTGGGAGAAGCCTGAGGTTGACTGCCTTCACTAAACGGCGTCGGCACAGACCGCAGACTGGCTCTGTCGTCCTCCTCCATGGTATCGTTGTCCGGCTGTGGCACCTGCTGCGCATTCTCTCGAGGTGTAGTAGTGCCAGAATCTTGGCCAGTCTCAACGGCGAGCTGGTGCTTTATTTTGGTAGTGGACATGCTCGCACCCGTTAGTTCCGCCCAGCCAAAGCCAACCACAGTCTCGACGAGGCCCGCATCTCGACGCGCCTTTTCGACGCGCCCTAAGCCTTGCCAGTCCAAGAACAAAAGGCAACTTGTCCTCAGTGGAACGATGCCATCATTGACAACGTTTGAATATGTAGTTCTGTTTCTGAATTTCTTCAGCGCTGTGTGTGCAGGACCAGTAGGCAGGATACGCAGCAATGGCTTTGAGTCAGGTTGGCTATCGCCATAGACGGTCTTGTGGGCCGACTCGCCCAGGTTGCCGACAATGGCACCCCAACCGTTTCGAGCAATTGTGGGAGCTCGCCAAGTCAAGCCCAAATCCTTGCCTGTTCGTCCCACGAGACCGAAGTCCAGTGCAAACTTGACATAGACAGGGTTTTCGTTGCTCAAGCCAAGGAATGGGGATGCTAGGGCAATGAAGTTGACTGGGCGAATAAGGTCGAAGAACTGCGGCGAGTGCTTCTGAATATATGCGACAGCATAAGTTTGGACGAGGCCACCTAGTGAATGTCCGATAAAACTGATACTTGATATTGTGTAAGGTCGAACAGAATCTTTTCCGCGCACTGTCGTGTCTTCCGATATCTTGCTGTTCTTATGTGCTTGCCTGAATATGTGTTGTTTGAGCAAGTCCTCGTTATCAAAGCTCTTAATCAGCGCCTCGCCGTGGGATTTGCCAAGGGGGATGAATGGTTGGTCGGGGTAGGTTATTGATAGAACATATCGGGCGAGCCGTTTCCCGAGGTATTTGATCCCCTTTTCTGTTTTTGTCGCGTTACCAGAGTATCCACGAACGACAACTTCTTCGTCATCATCGTCCTCGGCCGAATCAAAAGGCCGCCCAGCCTCAGCTCTTTCCTTTTGCCTTCTGGCCTTGGCGTCTATTTTTGCTTGTTTTGCGGCTGCGTCGATGGATTCTTTCATGTACAGCATATCTGCGCCGAGATTGCTGTGTAAGCCATGCGTGAGCAAGACTAGATGAACTTTTTTCTGCTTGCGCATGGGTTTGTCATCGACGGTCTCAGGGTCGCCAGTCTTGGCCATGCTTTCCACGGGCTTGTCGGCGCCTTTGTTCTCTTGGGCGCGCTTCTCGCCCCGATCGTCCCATCCCGGCAGTCGAGGCGTGTTCCACAGTGTCGCAGTGTCTTCGACCTTGAGCTTTACAGCGCGGGAAAATATACCATGAGGCTGCGCTCGGTGGTGACCATCCTTGGCGCCGATACTCTGCTGGTGGTCGCTCAACTTGCCAGGCTGCATGTTGTGGTGACCTTCGGCGGACGAGCCTGAGGGTTGGCTGAGGCTAAGAGCCTTTTGATCGCGTCCGACTACCAGATCGTAGGAAACGGCGGCGGAGGTCGAGAAGATGACCTGAGAGGCAATCTCAATTACCCAGCTGGCGCATTCTGCATTGTGGGCGGCATCCTTGCCGAAAGTGCTGCCATTTCCACCGATGCCGGCCGACTGTCTTATATCGTCGGGGACGATGAGTTCGCACTCCCAGGAGCCGCCGGCTTTGACCAGGGGTTGAAACTCTGGAACGCCATATCGCTGGGGGTCGGAGAACTTTTCGTTGGGCTTGAATTTGGCGGGATAGGCGGCGACGGAGAGGGTGTATGGGCCGTGAACGAAGGCGGCGCGCAGGGCAATGGCCGAGGTGTTGCGGAAACGGACGTAGAGCTTCTCGGGGGAGGGCAGGATACGATCCTGAGACGGGGTATAGGTGACGGTGTAGCGGATGACCTCGCCAATCTTGACGCTGCCAACCTGGTGGAGAAGAAGCATCACCTTGGCACAGGGCGCCCGCGAGGCAAGCAGGAGAATCGATGGAGGCCGAGAGGTGTCGCTGCAGTGGGCTACTTGGCACGTGCTTGGTGCAGATGGAAATGGAGCGCTATCGAAGATGATGCAGCAGCATTGTCTCAGGAGAAATGCGGAGCTGTCTGGTGTAGTACCTTAGGCCCTGAGTCAAGTAGATAAGAAAGTTGAAGGACGAAGAGAAAAAGAGCAACGAAGCTGGAAGCCGTAAAGGAAAGGAGATGGTGATGGATGAGATAACGAGAGGATAGAGGGGCATGGCACGGATCGCGGATGAAGCGGGCCCCCGTGACTGGAGTTGCCGGAGCCCTGTCGCTACATCGTCCACTGTAGCTTGAGGCATCTTGGTTCAAGACATTACAGCACATTCCAGGTAACTGACTTGATGGCTTTAGCGGCCTGACTGCCCCAAAAAAATGGCCCAGCACATGCCCGTAGCCTCTATCTTTACTGCGACTACCCCGCTGTAACCGCCAAAGGGTGCCCCTGAACTGAGGCCGCCAGCGCACCGACCAGCGGCGCCCCTGCGGCTTGATTGTCTTGATAAGTGCTTGCATTCGTGGCTTGCAGGTTTTGATACGGGATGGCAAAGCCGACCCCAACGGCTCTGGTCTTTAATCACGGATCGTGGTGAGGCGCTCAACCAAAAAAATGTCCCATGACGTAATGATTCATTCTGCCCACGTACTACACTCGGGCGCTTCCAGACTATCTAGCATCTCACCAACATCTAAATCCAGAAACCATCATCTTTTAAAGTCCACCTCAAGCAATCTATGAACTATTATTAAAAATGTAACGCTCATTCCCCATCTAGGTCCATATTTTGGCCATTCAGATGGATGTCTCCAGGCTTTGGATACCCGGCAATAACTGTTATCATGTGCCATAAATGTTCGCTCACGTAGCGCGCAACATGGATACAACGCGTATGCAATGCGTATGCTGTAGATCATCGCTAAATTCCCGCAAAGCAATTTCCCATTCCATCATCCCTCAAGCGTGTCCCACCACGGACTCTCCATCTGGCACGCCCATCTCGACATACGACCTCCACTCTGCCACCCGACCCATGCCCCGGTCCTTGCCGTTCAAACCGGCCAACGCGGAGCCGCGTGGGGGCTCGGCGCTCGCACGGCGTCCTCGATTGGGCGCGTGGACTGCCGCCTCGTCCTCGTACCGCCGCGACGTGCGGGCGGGGATGACGCGCTCCGACCGCGACCGTTGCGGCTCCCGCCGGTAGTCCCTCTCGTCCACCGAGGGCCGCCGTCCGTACGAGTCTCGCCGCAGCGGTAGGTCGTCGTGCGCCGTCGAGGGCTGCCGTCCGCTGCGACTTCGCGTCGAGCCCTGCCGCTCCAGGAAACTTGGCCCGTAGCCGCCCCTAGCCCGGTTGACGTCTGAGAGATAGCCGGCAGCCCGATCAAACGAAGAGGGCGGCCTCGATGGGAGGGGGGCGTGGTCCCTTCTATAGCTCTCGTTCATGTGGTGGCCTGCTGTGTTGCCGAAACTAGTCATGTCCCCTAACGCTCCCGACATTTCGTATCGGACGTCATTTTGCATGTTCCTAGCCACTACTCTATCTCGGAGCTCCTGCAAGCGACGCAAGCGCACTTCTTCACTATACGTTTGCGGAGGCTGCCCACCATGGCCTGGGTTATTCATGTGCAGATGATTGGCGCCCATATCGTTGTTGTTGAACCACGGACAATCGCATCCTCTCCATTTGACACCGCATTTCATACAGAATTCCGCACCACATCGACTATCCACAGTTAGTTGTCAGGCAAGATTGATCACTCGGCCGAATATCAACCTACCAGGTCATATGGTTGCAGCCTTCTTTTAGCTCGACCATGGCTTTGCACTGATAGCATCTTTTCCAACCTTGGTCGGCTGCCTGGTCAAGAAATTTGGCCGTATCCTCATCATTCGGGCATGGTGATGATGAATGGTACTTGCCACCGCAAGAGCCACAAACCTTGGTCTTGCAACGTTCGCAGCGCGCTACTTTGCGGCCATTCTCTCTTCGAATCGAGTCTGGCATGATCCACTCGCCACACTTTCGCGACGGACAATACAGCCGGTTGCGTGTGGTGTACTCGTCAAACTTGCGATTCCACGTCTTTTTGAAGTCTTCGTCAAAGAGCTGACCGACGTATCGGAGCGGAATATGCTCTTGACTGCAGCAGCGCGGCGGCATGTGCTGCGGATCGGTAATCGACATGCGGAACAGACGTCGAAGGCAAGAGTTGCACATTCGATGCCCGCATTTAAGGTCTGCACTTCTTGAAGGTGATGTGTCCTCGAGGCATGCCACGCAAGGAGTAGATCTGCTAGGCTTTTCCGATCGCGATCGTCTCTCTCGTTTGGGCGACTTCTCCGGAGATGGAGCCCGACTTGAAGACCCACCTCCGAACCAGCGACTGAATCGGCTGGTTGATCTACTTCTCTTCGAGGAAGTCGACTCCTTGCGTGAGGGGCCTGAAACATAGACTACCTCTGGAGACTCTCTGTGACTTCGAGAGCTGACAGGCGGCCGTGAACTCTCAATAACGTGAGGTGTATGATGCCGGCTTTTTCTTGAAGACTCGCTTCGTGCTGGGGTCCTTGAAGAAGTCGGCCTCCCATGTGAGTCACGTTCACTCGTAGACCGCCGCCGTCTCTCAATATCCTCAGCGCTAACGTGGCGACCTCGCTCCCTTGAACGATAGCGCCTGTCATCCTCATACACTGGCGCATGGTCGTATACTGAGCCTCGACGTGATGAAGAGTACGTACCAGGCCGGTCCGAGTAATCGTATGCCCTGCCCCTATCATCACCATACACGTACGAGGACCTCGAATATGGGTCAGATGATTCCCGAATGATTCGAGAAGGCATGGTTTGGGGAGTGGCGGGTAAATATCAGGAACATGTGGAGGGCTGCCTATGTGGTGTAGAGCGTTCAGAGGCTGCTGTGTGGTATGTGTGTGGTAGCAAAGGAAGCCTTGGACGTTGCTGTATGGACAGTGAGTCGTTGATATGCACTCGTTTCAGCCTAATCTGGATGCCTTCTCACTGCCTGAAAAGTGTGGTGCAAAAGCCACTGTGGTAGCGCCAGCCAATAGTGTGCCACCGCAGGGCACAATCGCTGCAGGAGTGGCGTTATATATGGTGGCTACGCGGTGAATGTCTGCACAGCTGTGATGCAGAAGGTGAGTGAAATGAGGAGTAGTTTGAAGAGTAGCGAGGCTCGCTGGTGGAGTTGAGATATTGAGCAAAGGCGTCTTGAGGCAGGCTTGAGATGTAGGGCCGCTGGAGCGGATATAAATGCTGTACAGTCAAGCTAACCACGTCGAAACTGCGAGAAAGACAAGGAAACGAAATTGTCCGATCGAGAGGGAGCTGAGAAATTTATAGATCTGGTGGGCGCGCTGTAAAGCTTGTGCGCTGCGTCAACTTGCTGGCAGTGCTTGCAGCAACCAACGTCGGACGGTCTGCGATGCGAGGAAAGGAGACGGACCCTGTCGCGAAGGCGCTGGAAAAGGGAGCCCACAAGACGATGACGGCACACAATGACGACGTCGTAAACAGAGCACAGTAAATTGAAATTTGCAGAGAAAGAGCCAAAATCAGGAATAAAGAAGTAATTAGCTCTCATGGGCGCTTACTGTCTAGGACACAAAAGCCGGTGGTTGGCTCTTGAGGAGTGGCCTATGCGTCACGTGGCTAAGGGGGGTGGAAGGGTGAAGGGTTCCAGCGAGATGCCACCATAAAGAAAGTTTCAACATGCAGCGACAAGAAAAGGGACGACCAAAACTTGACCAAAACTTGCCCAAAACCCGCTAGATGAAAGAGAACAACGCACCAGGTCGGCACTAACGATGGGACCGGCGGCTGATCCCAGGACCCAGTGGCCCCTGATGGAGGAGATGGCGACGGGCCATTGACGTCGTTGCTGGCCAAAGGCACTGACTGATTCACTGGGGTCGCGAGCTAATTGAGCGGGAGCGGGAGCGGGAGCGCCCTTTGACCCTGACTGCGTCGCCTGGACTGGCCAAATTCGGGAGCAGGATACGACGAGCCATTGTGCCATCCAACTTAGCGACGAAGCGACGAAAAAAAAAAAAGCCGTCGGCGTCATGTGTACTCTGTGCATGCATGCCTGACCACGCCACTGCACACGGGAGTGGCCAGACGTGACACCGAACTGCGGGATATTAATTCCATTCATTCTATACCCCTTCCAGGCCTTGTCAAGAATCATAGACTTACAAGCAAATACCAAATTTAGTCACGTTTGAAGACGGCATCACCAGTGTCAAATCGATGAGAATCACACGTGGCTGAGACAGTCGACTACAGAGTATGCATGACGTCTTGGGCTGGAATATATCATGCATTGATGCCATTAACAAAGCAGGCCAAAACAACGCGTAGATGAGAGTGATGTAATAGGAAACTTTGCTCCAACAAGTCGGAAAAAAAAAAACTCAACTTTTTGATTGCCAAGTTTCCGGGTTTCGTGAGTAGCAGGTTACAAGTCTCCAAGATATCTCTCTCTCTTTTCGACTCATCTTCTCCATCGTTTGACTTCTTGTCTATTTGCTCCATCTAGCTGGTTTCCAATGCCTGAATTAAGCGGATGATTCGTCACTGGCAGGTCAAAGCCATTTTTTCGAGACATGATAAAGACTTTTGTGACACATGCACGACTAGCAAACACCACCACCCTGTGTGACAACCGCAATATCGGGACTTTATTTGCACGAGACTTTTTGACGCACATTTGTTCTTATTAATAATTTCTCGGCTATTGCAGCAAGACCATCTGATAACAAGCCCGTTACCTGTCGCGCCGACCCAAGTCTTGACGGATGAGCCGCCTTGTGCTTTCCGCCAACGACTCGCCGCCGGCTGCACACGTTCATCCTCTGACCTCCCAACTCCAACGCCGCAACTTCCATCTCCTGCAATTTTCTGTCCCATCACGCCCTTTTCTCGGTCCAACGCTCGCCGTCTGCCCCGACCGGAAGAGCATGGCCAGGCTGAACCGTTCGGTCGAGCGCTGCGGTCCCCGGCGCGTAACGGAATGCGATGCACGTTGCCGCGCAGCGCGTTTGGGCTACTGCACCACGCCGTCGCCTAGACTCGCAATCAGGCAATCCGACCGCGGGCGCACCCGTTGGTGCTTGAGAATCCGCAGACCGCCGACGATGCTGGCCAAGAGGGCTATTATGTCAAATTTTGTATGGTGCGTCGTGCTCGTGTGGACGTCTTTGTCGAATGGGGACGGCAAAGGTCTTGAGGCGCATGGTCGTCCATCAAGGTATGTTGTTGCTGAAGAGCAGAGAATGTGTCTTTTGGCAGCGATAAAATCTCGTCATTATCTTTTCGGAGCTGTCGCAGTCTGCTGTGCAAATTAGCAAATCTCTGACAGTAAGTGATGCGTGCAAGAACCACATCTGGCGACAGCTGTTTGTCAGTCGCCTCCTCTTTACCATCGTGGCCCAGATTAAACCCCTCGAACCTATCTTACTACTATGTCTCTGTGTGCACGATACCTCGTGGCTCGAGAATTTGAGGAAAAGCAGATTTATAAAATGCCTACTGGCCAGTGTAGCCGTCCCCAACTTACATACATTGAGAAATTCTTTCCAATGCCATCCAGGTATCTACTAGTCTTTGACACTGCTGTTAAGACCAAAAAGCTTCCTACAATTCGCATAGTCTGATAAAAAAAAGAGATTGAGCTCCTCACAGGCTCTCAAGGTTCACGGCGCGGTTGCTGCATCCTTCTGTCGCAAGCCAGAGAACAGTAGTTGTAATCATTGAACTATGGGGAATGAGATTTCTTTCTGGAAAAGGAAGACAGTCCTCGAAATGACCTTTTTGACGCCATTACTTTGTTAAAGATATTGCTCACTAATCAAAACCTCTGCAAGATGGCAGCAACAGCGGGCACCTCGTCGCTTGTAAACCCCAGATGGCGGGGACTTGTAGCGCAACAAGAAGCCTGAAAGAGAAACACCCAGCGCATCTTCCGAAGATGACTGCAAGGCTGTGGCAAGTCGGCAACGTAACATTCTAGTGAGCCAATCAAATCATATTCTTCCTATATACGGCAGAAAGGTTAAAATCCATCTTAATCCTGAGTCCCCCCCGCCCCCACTCTTCAATATATACATCTGAATAAGTCGCCGGCCGCATCCGCAGTCCAGACTTTGCCATTAGACAAAAACCAACGTCTGCTTACTTTTTCTCGGCGCAAGAGTTACGCCAGCAGGAACCGGGAACGTTGACGCCACGCCACTCACGCGGCTCCAGCTGCTCGTCGTCGCTGACGCCACCACTCGGGCATTGGTCCATGGGGATGCAAGCGCCAGCCTATTTTTTTAAAGAGTCAGTTTCTTTGATCTGGGGGTATAAGTTTACATGCGGGAGAGAACGTACGCTGTCTCGGAGGTGGCCCGACTGGCACCAGCAGCCGCCGCCGCAGCGAATGGCTTCGCAGTTGGCGTCTGCACAACTCTCGCAGACTGGACCGCAGTCGTGTGCTACTTCATTCACCTGGCGGGGGGGAAGAGAGTCCCGTGTTAGTGACAAGATGCAGTTGCAATCAGAACTACAAGTCGTTGGACTTGATGGTGACGCTTTTGCTTACTCCGCAGTCCTGCGACCAAACGCCCAGTGTGAACAAGACCACTGTCAAAGCGAGGTAGGATCTCATGATGTAAGAGAGGTAAAGTGTTGTCAAAGGGAGTTGAAAATGGTGTGTGTTAGTATTGGACTTGAAGAGTGTTGTTGCTCGTGTCCCGTCTTCATTCTCAAAAGGTGGTTTCGGGGAGCTTTTATACAGAGCAAAACGGCCAGTGCCGTTTTCGACAACCCCTTTTCTTGCTTTCCCATCATTCCCATCATCCCTCGAGCGTAAAACTACCTCCCAGCCTACAGGGGCCAACAGGCTACCACAGCGAGGCATCCTTATCGTCACTCCGGGCTTGCGCAAGGCTGTCGGCATTGGTGGGCGTGCCTCTTTGCGGCAAAATTCAGCCAACGAGGCACACCTGCAAGTATCAAAGAATTGGGGAAACGAATCAAGTCATGATTGAGCTTCCCTGCTGCCTGAAAAACTACTCGCCGTTTGCCGCCCACTCGGGACAACTGCCGAGATGGCTGCGAACAAGGCTGGCGCGCGCGCCCCATTTACGGGGGAAACTTTCAAGTCATTTGATGGGCTCGTTGTGTGCTAGTAACCCATAAGGCTCGGTCAGCTGTGGGAATAAACGAGGGCAAAAAGGTCAATGTTGGTGTTAGTCTGTGGGATTATACGAGGCATAAAGGTGAGGCATAAAGGTCAATGTGGTATTAGTCTGTGGCATCAAAGGTGAAGCCTGCTCAGCATTAGCCCCGAGATGCTTTCTGCCTGTCAAGAGTCTAAAAGGCTACCGTGGCTCCCACACTTTGTCTCAAAGTCTAGACCGACATCCGAAATCCGCCGTGAGTAAGAAAATCTTTGGTACATGCTTGCTGTTGGTACATCAACGTCTCCTAGGCAGCCCGATTAGAAAGCATGCATTGCCGCGGAGGCGGTTCTGCAGGGTGCCTACACGCCAGTCCAAGAATTAGGGCTCATTTCGCCTGTGTAACGAACCTGCTTGGCGCAGTAGTCTGACAGTCTGACGCCCGCTTACCGCGTAGTTCGCTTCACAAGATGTCCAATGCACAGTCTGTCACGCCTTTGGGGAGGTAAGTCCCCCCCCCGCATGGATGTAGCTTCTCAAGTAAACGGGCGAAAAGGCAATGGCCGCAATACAGCGGTGTTTCTTCCAGCCCGGAGAGTCCGTCGTGATTACGATCCCATAGAAAGATGCAGTCTATTGCGGGAGAGTCGGGCCATTCCTGCTCCCCCTGATGACTCGGTCTTGTGCTAATTGGGCTTTTCCCTCTTCTCCAGATGACTCAGTATCTGTATTCTATTTCCATCTGTATGGCGGTTTTTCGCCCGCTCAAGGCGTTATCCCCACATCGTTCGAAACCAACAGTGAGTAAGCGCGCCCAAGCCACCACCTTCCAGCCCACGTGGTCTGACCATTGTCTCTCGAATTGGACGTACCGAATGACAAAAAGGATAACATGATCTATACCAAGGACCTTCAACAACCCATCAGGCTGTGGTAAAGATAAAGAATAAAAAAAAAAAATATCCGCCCAGGGCAACAGAAACTCCGTGGAGACTCTGATGCAGCTCCCAAGCTTAGGATTCTCCGCCACAATTCAGCCGCCTCACCGGTCCGGCCGGCCAAGAACCGCTTTAGGAAACTAAGCGGCAACGACGCCGGGCAAATTCCGAGCCGAACGCTCAGTAAGAGTCGGAAACGCCGCTGCAAGGCGGCTACTGAAGCCGGGCGCAATGTTCCGGCAAGGCTCTATTGCTCAAGTTCAGCTCGCTGACTCATATAGACCAGTTGCTCTTTTTTTTTTTCTTCTTGGCGTTGCCTCAGCTCGAGGCCGACATATTACTGGTTTAGCTCAAGAATTAGCCGCCGAACAATCTCGAACGGTATATTGCTCCGGCTTGGAATACCAAAGCTGCCCTTGTCTTCATTGAAGCCCACGTCTCGTACTGCGCCAGCAAGCTGCCCTATGCGCGTCGACCAGTCGACAGCTTGGGGGATGGTATGCGAGTTACCAGAGCAAAGAGAGATTGTTCCTATGGCTTTCCTCTTCTCTTACACCCGGTATACAGCCTAGCGGCCTTGTGTCTCTACGCTCAGAAATGCGCGCCGCCGCAGCTCGGCCTCCTTGACAATGTCAGCCGCCAGGTTAATGCTCGGCGCCAGGACGGCACAGCGCCCAATCTCGTCAATAACGTCTTGAATAATCTTGTCTAGGGCCGCTTTGTCGGGTACTAGGCTTAGCACTAGCCCCTGCAACGACGGCGACATTGTCGCGCCCATAATCAGCAGCAGCTGCGAGGCCATGGACATGGCACCCTGCCAGATGTACGGCATGCGACCAGCGTGACTATTTAATTGCATTCGTTAGCACGCAGAAATTAAAGATTGAAGATGATAGGGAAAAAAAAAGCGTAGAAAAGAATTGTAGAAAAGAAGAGGAAAAAAAAGAAGAAAAAAAAAAAAGGCTTGCATCGTGGAGCCGAAAATTGCGGCAACGTACTGCTCAGGTATATGCTCGAGCTGTCTCACCGCAGCGTCTAGACAGCGCTGACAGCCCTCGCGCACGACGGGCTCCGCGACGGCACGCGCATCCCGCAGGACGCAGTATATGTACGGGCGGTAAATGATGACCTTGCACGCGTAGTAGCGCAGCTTCAGGACCGTCTGCACCGGGTCTCGCAGCAGCGGCGGTGAGCGCGCAAAGGAAAACTGCAGCGCGGCCGGCAGGCTCTCGTACCACTGCGTGAGCTGGTAATCGAGCTCGGCCACGACGGGCGTCGGGTTGCTCGACTTGGCAAAGGCGCCGTCCGAGTAGAGCAGCTGGCTGACCCTGTTGAGCAGCCTGCGCAGCGCAATCTCGGCCAAAAAGTACCAGAGCTCGTCGGCGCCCACGGGCCGCCCGTCACGGTCCTGCTCATCGTCATCGCCGACGCTGCCGACGCTGCCGACGAAGCCGCCCGGCAGCCCGACGTGCTCCTCAAATTGCGCCGCCCCCGAGTGCGGCAGGTCCAGCTCCGCCAGCAGGTCGCTCTCAAAGAGAAGCGTGTTCCAGTAGATGCGCTGCACCAGCTCCGTCTGATGGCCGCCGCCGCCGGGCGCCATGAGCAGCAGTTGCAGCTTAGCACTGGCGCTACCAAGCAGGCTCCAAGCCTCGAGCGGCCGTGCGAGGTAAAAGAGGTACGCGGCCGCCAGCAGCTGGCACTGCGCCGCGACGGCGCTGCTGCGCGTGAGCATGCCGGGGAGCAGCGACCAGGCGGCCGAAAAGTACGACAGCCCGGGAGGATTCTGCCCACGCGGCAGGCGCGCAATATGCTCGCCGAGGCTCGCCTGGCCGAGCGCCAGCACCAGCAGCACGATGCAGCTCTCGGGGCCCTCGCGGAAGCCGCTGGACAGCGCCGTGCGGTAGTCGGCCTTCCACGCGTACGGGTCGACGCACGCGTACCAGACATTGACCTTTGCAAAGTAGGCCTCGACGTAGGCTTGCGTGTTAGACAGGTCGACGGCCGGCGTCGTGGTGAGCGAGCGCAGCAGGGGCTCGCGCTCCATTTCCAGCCGCACGAGTATTTGCGGATCGTACTGGCGCGGCACCATGTCTCGGATGAGCGGCCACTGCAGGAGATGAAAGGCGGCATTGGTGTGGCACTTTGGCATGGTCGAGATGTTGGTCCCCGCGGCGGCGGCGCTCGCCCACGTGCCCAGCCCGCCGTTGCGAATGATGGGCACGGTGTTATTGGCGGCGCTGCTTGGCGTCGTGAGCGATCCGTCGGGACTCGTGACCGCGGCGGCGCTGCTCACGGCCGGGGATGGCTGCGACGGGTTCGTCGCGATGTCGTCGTGCGTCTCCTGCTGTTGCTGTTGCTGCGCCATGCTGGCCTGCAGCATGCCCTCGATGCGGTTGAGCTGCTCGATGATGATCTTGTCGCCTACGTCGAGCTTGACGCTGGGTTCGCGGTAGACGCAGTTGGCACCGAGCTCGGCGCATAGCTTGCACTTGGGCCTGTTGCCATCGCAGCGCGACTTGCGCGACCGGCAGACCTCGCACTGTCGACAGCATTAGCATCGCCGACCAAGTACAAGGTAGCACATGCATGAAAAGTGCGAGATACACATACTGCAATGATTGCGCGCCTCCGTGGATAGTCGACGACCCCATCATCATAAAGCCGTTTGAGTGGATTTGAGCCGGATGCATCCTCTAGATCATCTTCTGTCGCTCGCAACAGACCGCGAGGAGTGGTGCCAGTTGGTGACAGCTGAGCTATTGACGGGATTGATCTGCTTGAAGCGCTTTTTGACTTGCCTTTTGAAACCATATTCTCCTAGACATCAGACTCTCAGCAACCCCCGGCTCACTGATCGGTTATGTAGAGCCGCAATGTTTTGATGGCAGCGGTGTGTGTTTGCAACGGTTTAGTCTAGCGCTCGGCAACCATCCAGCTCAAACGCCTCGGGGTCCCTTAGACCGAAGGGCGAGGACTGATTAATTTTCAAATTAGCGCTCTTGAGATTAAGTCATGAACACCATGCCTAAAGCAGGACTGGACTGCACAGTGTCCGAGTCGCGCGGCAGACGACACTGAACAATACGGGGTAGGGGTAGACGACAAGGCCCCGACGCCAGCCCTACACTGAGCGAAAGCCCTCGTTGACTCTGGGGCTAGGTAATGCAAGACGAGTCAGCAGATCCGATCAAGGCCTCGATGCGTCTATGTACATAGAGCGATGTTTGATGTCTGGCAGATAATAATTAGTTCTCTGACACATTGTCAATGCAGTGGGTCGGGTCAGGCTTAACTAGAAGCCTGACTAGTGGCGCGGCTAAATCAAGAATACGAGCAGCCTTGAACAAGTTGCATAAATTTATACCGAATTATGCTATTTCACAACCAATTCCTGTAATACCATAAAGAAACCCAAAATTGTTCAGTTCTGCCTCTAGTCGTAACTATGTGCATAATGGCATGTATGTATACATGTGAAATAAACCAGACTACCTCAATACGTGGCCCATCCCCCATCACTCTGACCCAGGAGTTCCAGAACTCTCCGTACCGCGCGCGGGAGAACCTTCCCCCTTCATTGCTCACTCGTCAAAGATGACAGAGGTAATGTCGCCCGCGATATTCGCAAACGACTCAAAATCGCCGAGCTTGCCCGACTCGGGGTCACGCTGGATGACAACGACCCGGCCCTCGGTCTGCAAGCCGACGGCAATCTTGGTGCCGGCCTTGTTCATGGAAAAGTGGCGGGGGAAGCGGCCGCCAGCGGAAACTTCTTGCAAGAAAGTGAGTTTGCCCGTGTTTTCGTCAATGGAAAAGTTGATGAGGGGGTCCGAATCAATTTGCTTGGTTTGGTCGTCGAAGCTGGGAATCTGGGTGCTGTTTTCGCGGCGCGAAGAAACGACGAGAAACTTGTTGTCGGGCTGTTTTTTTTTTATTCTGTTAGAACCAGATTTGAATGTGCAAGTGTCTCTTTTGGAAAACAAAGGAAGAAGAAGAAGAAGAAGAAGAAGAAGAAGAAGAAGAAGAAGAAGAAGAAAAAGAGTAAAAAAAAGGAGGAGAGAAGAAGAAACTTACAGAAACCACAATCTCAGAGGCAGCAGCCGTCGCAGGCACAGCCTTGCCCTCGCCATGCACGCCAATGTCAAAAATCTCAGTAAAGTGTATCGTGTCATCATACGTAACCTCGTAGCCAACAATCGTGTTGCCGAGCTCCGTGATGAGGTACATGAACGTCTTGTCGCCCGTGACGGCAAAAGCAGCGTGACGGGGTCCGCTGCCCGCCTTGGCCTTGAGGGGATCGAGCGCCGTGGTCTTGAGCGTCTCGTTGTCAAGGGAAAAGAGGCGAACGAGGTCGGCGCCGAGATCCGGCACGACAATGTACCGCTCCGTGGGGTCGAGCACCGTCTCGTGCGGGTGCGGCGCGTTTTGCTCGGGCTTGGGCCCGGCGGGCTCGGTAAACTTGACAGTGTCTACGTTTTTGATATTGGCTGGGTCGCTAATGTCCCACGTGGTAAAGGCAGAGCCGCCGCTGTGCACATTCATCTTGTTAGTCAGAACAAAAAAAAAAGAATCCATCGTAAAGGGAACCGAGGGGAGGAGATTATAGAGCCACACAAGCTCCCTCAGCATATATATATAGATCAACAACGTACTAGTGGGCAATTGCAAAGCCATGGCCCCTGGAGCCGTAAAAGACGCCGCTCACCGGACCGGGAGCCGTCGTCACCTTGCCAATCGGTGACAGGCTACCGTCCGTGTTGGTCCGGTACGAGGAGAGGCTGCCCCCGGGGGTCGGCAGACTCTCGTCGACGCAAAACAGCTGCGCGCCAGCGTGGTCGAGCGCCAACCACGAGGGGCTCGTCTTGCAGCCCTCGTTGGAGGCCACGGCCTGGATGGTCGGGTACTTGCTGCCGGCGCCGGTCGACGACTTGGCCGTCGTGTTGAGCGTCGTAATGGTGCCCGCGTATGAGCTGACGTAGAGCAGGCCGGAGCCTCCACCACAACCGGCGGCGCTGGTACCGGTGGCGGCGGCTGCGAGCAGCAGCGCGGCGAAAGAGAGGCGAGCCATGACGATGATGATGTTTTTTTTTTTTNTTTTTTTTTTTTTTGAAAAGTTGGGGTTTTGGGGTTTCCGGACGATTTTTGTGTAGTCGTCGTGAATATGAGTCTGGTATGAGAGTCAAAGTAAAACTTCTTGTTACTTAAAAACAAAGGCACCGAAAGATACAACTGTGGCTTGAAAACTGAAATGTCTAGAAAGCTTCTTCTCCGCATTCATGTGGGCAGGCGGAAGAGGGCTTTTTAAGACGAATCACTGTTACATCAAAACCCACGAACTAGACCTTGGCCACGTCGGACATGTAACAAAGCCATTCAATGAGCTAGGATACGCGCCAAGCCTGGTTGCAACTAGCAAATGTTGCAACTGGTTGGCTATCCGCCAAGGTTCTTGCTATCATTCTCCAACGTTACTCCGTCTTTTCCTAAAAATAAGGTATGGATAGGTAGTCAGTGGTCATATGTATGCGGGCCTAGTTTCACATCAAGCAACGGGCGCTTAATTACTTTGTATCTTGTTCGGCCAGCCTAGCTCTTCGGCTCCTCCCGACAGGAGTACGGGGAGACCACGTTTCATCCTAACTTTAAAATAAAAATTTAAAGTTCCCGCCACTTCATTGTCGGCGTTGAAAGGGTAGGTCAAACGCCTGGTGAGCGTGTTGTCTTGCACCAGCAAGGCTTCCTGCCCCTTGCCCATGTTGTCTGTCTGTCTGTCTGTCTTATCTTTGCTGACGGGTGGAACAATAAATGGCTCGCGAGACTTTGCCAGTTTCCTTTGGCGCTCAATCAATCAATCTGTGGGGGTGGGGGGTGGCGCTGCAGCCCTTTGTTGCTGATGAGGGCTGAAGTTGATAATGTTCCGTCCCCCCACAGCCACCAGGCGCCTTGGCTGATCTCCTCAATCTTCTTCAGCCAATGCTTGGCAACATGAAGATGAAACGAGTTGCCTCGTGTTCACTTTACGTGCATATTAGTTTGCCATAAAGATGACTCCTTGCTTTCAACAATGGAAATGAGCCCTTTGCTTATTCTCTCAAGAATGCCACCAACCTTGTCCCACGCCTGAATCAGCACAAACTGACTAGTCATCGCATCGGCTGCCCGCTCGGTACGCGAGGACCCGTCAATGCGCCGCGCTCATTAATCATGGCGCGCCATCTGCCACTGCTACATCGTAGATTCGGCATTGACGGCTAGCCCCTAAATAGCTGGGTAGGTAGCCTCCGTTGGCACTTTGTCCCCCACACATCGGCAACCCGTGCCTCTCTTTACATGCCCCCCCCACCAATTTCATCAAAACCTTCGCTGTGCACTGCTGTAACAATTATATTGCTCATTGTATAGCCATTTCTTCTATTTCTTCTTTGGGTATTTTTCATCGTACAAAGTAACTCGTGCCTCTTCAACTGCTCCTCAACTCCGCGCTCAAACAAAGTGTTTCAACTTTTAGCTGCGCCAGCTTACCCGATTGGCGTCGTGGTGCCCCTAGATCGCGACAAACTGTAAGGCGCCTAGACAGAAATGTTTCGGTCAGCATCAACATCGATGCACTCTTTGTCAGGGGAAAAAAAAGCCAAGGCTACTCACCAGAACTTGTTTTGCGTTGCAAATCCTCCAGGCCAGCTTGCGTACATTGCCATCGGCCAGCACCACCGCAGGCGCAAATTCGATACCAAACATCTCGCGTACCGCGTAAACAATTCTTTTGGCGTATTTTCCGTCTCTTTCAACCTGGCTGCCAAACACCTCTGTCTCGTCCTTGGGGGCAATCTCAGGATCGCGGTCCAGACAGTTGCGCACCACCGGTAAGAGAACTGACTCGACAGCACCCGCGTACATGCCCTTAGCATCCACGTCCACATCCTCTTCGTCGAACTTGTCTAGCGCAATCTCAAAAGGCTCCGAAACTGCCATGACTTTATGGTGCCCGTCGTGGTGGTAGCGGAATTCAAACACGCCCTGAGTCCACCAGAGCCTGTCCCCTTCAAACACAACTTCACCCCCTACGCCATCAGCATCACCATTCTCGCCCGCAATTTTGTGCTCGGGAACGATGATACTGGCGTCCAAAGCGGGGTTGTCGTAGCTGCCTGCATTTGTCGGCACCCACCGACCCAGGGACGACACTTCCGTCTTCTCCCTCGAACGGTTGTCGCTCACCATGTACAGACCGATCCAGTCTTTGGTAGTGTGGTTGGCTGGCGCTGTCCATTTTACCCTAAGAGGGGCGCCATATTCAAACGTCATTGTTTTGACTTGCTTGGGGAACCTGCCAGTGATTCCTTCCTTGCCCGTGGCTCGCTCGTGGAGCGACGTCAATTTCGAGGGCTCGCCCTCAACCTTGAGCGAGAATTGCTTGGGATCCAGGCCCTCGACGTCAGGTGAAATGCGTGTGAGAGTGAGCCTGGCAGGCGCAATGTTGAAGATGGCCGAAGTATCGCGGACAATCGTCTTGACGCCAGAAGCAAACTTGGGTCGGGCTGTGTCAATAAAGTCTTCGACGAACTGCGTTGTATCGTCCAAGACTTTATCCATGCTCTCCTGCAGAGTCTTGACTGGAGGCGGCAGCGAGCGTTTGATAAATTTGGTCAAGCCTGCTTCACTTCGGAGACCCCTACCATAAATCTTTTGCATATGAGGGCGCTCGACATACGAAATGAACCATATAGTCATCAGCTGAGCAGTGAGAGCCATGATGAAAATGGCACGACTCCAAGTGATGAGTGCGGCACCCCATAGTCCTGCAATACCAAAGACGCGCTCTGGGTTGTTAACAAATCGGTAGATGGACGTGTATGTGAGCTTCGCCTGGTGGTCAAAGAAATAGTCACCGCAGAACCAGCCAAACTCGCCAAGGGACTCGTAAACGCTAAGTGCGGTCCAGAGCTGCAGTGCAATCAGACTAGCACCAATGACATGCTTGAGTAGCACAAGGCCGTAGCCCCAGTCTTCAGGGAAGGAATACATCTTCCAGCACGCGGCAATGAAGGAAGCGTTGGACATGATCATGCTGATGTGGTGCATGCCCTTCCATTGACGCCAAGCTTCTTGCGCAGTCTCACCGTATTTGAGAAAGTGGCGCGTCCACAATTTAGACCTCGACTGCTTATCAAGTAAAAGTCCAAGGCCAACATGGTACCAGGCCCGCCAGAGCAGGGCGTGGCCGACGAACATGGCCTGCCAAAAGGGAGTAGCAGGAGTTGCCAGTGCAAGAGTCGCCACGTATGCAGGCATCAGCACGACGGCACAGTCAGGGACGCGGAACAAATCCATGTTCGCGAAACCGACAAGATTATGCACAGCGTCCGGAGAGTCATTTGGTGAGAGCAGAACGGAGCCATCGGGCGATGACTGCGTGGTTGGTTGTCCGGGCGTGAGCTTTCCGCTCGCATCTTCTATCAAAGTTGACGTAGTACGCGGGGGCGGCGGATTGTAAGTCTTTTCAATGTGCGGGTTCTCGACAATAACAAGGAAAGCGAACTGGGCGGCATGAGCGGCGATGGAGATGAAGAGAACTTCGTAGCTAGCAGCCATCATTGAGATGCCGTAGTAACCGGCATAGCCGATGGAATACATGGGATGGGGAGCCATCTCGAATACGCCGTCAAAGGTTAGGTCTTGGTCAATGAGATAGAAAAAGTCACCCCAGTACCAAGCAAAATCCTTTACAACTCTGTGAGCGTCGAGCTTCACCCAAAGATTGAAGCCAATCAGAGCAATGCCGAGAATCCAGCGGGTGAGGCCGACGACGACACTCTCGGCTTCCGGGGTGTGGCCGCAGACAATCGCAAAGAGGCAATAGGACGTAAAATCACACATGAGAATCAAGTCTACGACCCGTCGGAAAACCAGCCAAGTGTTGTACTCAATCGGGGCCTTTTCAAAATCGTAGTCTTCCGGGATCTTTGCCTCGAGTTCTTTTTTGAGCAGATTGTAGAGCCACGGTCGGGGGTTCTTGCCAGATTTTGGATTCTCAAATAGTTTCCAACGAACGGCCCAGGTAACGAGGCGGTTGTAGTTGGATTGGATGTGCAAAAGGACTCCGATTCCTACGTTGTAGGAGGAGCGCCAGAAGAGAAAGATTAGCGCAAAGACTGGCTTTTTCCAGGCGGCGGGTAGCATGTAGGCGGCTAGAATATGGAGGGCGAGTATTGCGATGACGACAAGGTCCGAAAGATTCTTTGGCTGGCGAGGGTCAAGAAGCTGAGAAACCATGTCGTGCGTCGTGGGAACGATAAAGACTATAGACGAGATTAGCCCAGGCAGAGCAGCTGGTGGCGGGCGCTGTGCGATTGCTTCGACATACTGGTTCCATCAGGCGTCCTGCCGTACATCTTTTGAGGTTTAGCATCGGCATCATCTAAATCTAGGTCGGCGGGCGTAGAGAGCTCGCTGGGCTCCGACGCTGCCGGGGTCTGTTGAGGGCCGTTGACATCGTCGCGGTGTTGGTGCCGCTTCCGCAGCTCAGAAGGCGCAGCCGTAGTAGCCATTGCGAGCAATTGGGGTTGAATCCAGGTGGCGGCAATGTGCTGGGGCAAAGTGCAGGGCGAGATCACTGCAAATAAGGACCAGAAAGGACAAAGTGGGCGTAGGGGAAGCAATGAGTCCGGAGTGGAATGCTCTTTGCTTAAATACGGCTTGGTTTCCACAAGGAATCCGGCATGTAAATCTGCTTGGGAGAGGGGGGCCAGCGGCGCGAGGCGTCGACAAGAAGCCGGGGCGCACCACCCTTGATCGCAATGCCAGGGCTCCGCTGGAACGCGAGGTGCAGCAGCTAGTGTCGGCTTGAGGGTTGCCAGGTTCGGCTTAAGACCAAGCGTCTAGATTTCGGCCAAGAGAGCGAACGGGTGAGGAGGGTTGCAGTGTTATTGATTGGCGAAAGCAAACGTTGACAGCAATGATTCGCGGGAGAGAGGGCGAGCTTGCAGAAAACGATTGAGGTCTAATGGGCATGCTACTGCAATGCAACCTAGCGTGAGAGAGCGACGGTAGCGAGGGGAACGGAGTCAGTCTATTCAGTGTTGAGCTCGGCTTGTGTCGCGCAACGTTGATGGATGGAAGTGTCGAGAGAATTGGACGCTGATTGTTGGGCGAGAGAGGGGACTCGACACGGGATTAGTGGAGGTTAGCACGAGGATGGCGACTTAGGCGGGTTTTGGCGGTCATGCACAGTGGAGGCGCCAAGGTTTCCCCGACGCAGTCAAATCAGATTACAGAGCTTGTTTCAGTGGTCGCGAGACTGGCGTTGGCGCTGCAGAGCAACGCACAGTGCTGGGGGATCACTGGAAGATCACTGGAAGATCACTGGAACCCTCGAGATCCACTGTAACAAAGCTGGGCCTTCCATGGGCTTCCAGTGGTCTGAATCACAAGCAGGCCCGTTAACCCAGCCCGCTAAGTTGGACAGCGCATTCCACTAACTTGATAGAAGACGCACTGCAACCCCTCCTTCATTGACCCCGTCGTAGATTCTAGATCAACCACCACCCACAAGATGCTGAGCTGTTGCGATATCAACGCCCTCTAATATCCCTGTACAAGCCAATTTATCCCGTCCTCGCTCGTAAGGTCTCCCTTACTGCGGCATTTATCTTCGTGCGGGTACTACACACTTAATTGGATTGCTCGGTGTATAAATATGTATAGAATAAGAACAACCTGCTCATTTGCAGCGCGTGATACAGCTCCTCATTTGGACGAGAGAGGCTTGCACCTTCCATGGCTAGTTAGAGCATTCATACATCCTGTTTTCCGGAACATCTCCAATGGACGTAGCGCTGCGTGGCACCTCTTGCGTGATGGCCACATGTTTTGGCGATCTAATGCAAAAACACCCGTCACTTCGATAGAGAATCAAGAACCGTCTGCAATTCAAATCAGCTATATCGCGTATATATATCTAATGCAAGTCATAAATCAGTGCTTCAATATGCACCAGGGTGAGCCTCCCGCCGACTTCTAGCATCGTCCTCCGGTGTGGAAACAGCTTCAGCCCCGGTTCCATGTCCCTCTTTCACATGTCAATCATTAGGTACAGCCTTTGTTCAACAATCCAGCCATCTTCTCAACAAATATCGGGCTGAATTAAAACGCAAATTGCTCATTTATTACTTTCATGACACCTATTGCTTGCGTCTGTCCCGACATGGCAGTCCTACCCTCCCAAGACCAGGATACCAATCAACAACAACACGTAGTATGCACGACGAAGAGCATAGAGTAGAGGTAAAGTCGTAAATTCCATTACCATACCCCATGATTTCATAAACCCTTCTAAAACGATAATGCAACCATGTACTTTTACTGAGCCTTCTTGGCAAACTCCACACGCAGAATAAGATGCTTGAAACCAAATCCGTCCATCTTGTTGCACGCCTTGACGGCGTCGCCCCGATCCGCAAAGCTGATAAACGCGAATCCCTTGGCCATGCCCGTATCCCTGTCCTTGGCCAGGAATACTCTGGTGACGCGTCCAAAGCGCTCGAACATGTCGCGAAGCTCCCCTTCCTCGGCCATTTCCGAAACCTGCCGTCCCGTACCGTCAGCATCACGTTTACACCAGTACGGAGCTCCAATGCTCTACTTACGTTGGTGACGCGCAGCGTCGCGAGATCGTCCCTCTCGCCGTACTTTGACCCCGCCATGGCGCTCGCCGACGCGGCGCCTCCGCGCAGGGCGGGGGGGACGTAGGATCCCTTCTTGGCCCCGACACCGCCGGCGCCAGCGGTCGAGGGCTCGTCGCCCATGCCCGCGGCCACGTCGGCGGCGCCGTTCTCGCCAATGGGCGCCATGGTATCCTTGTAGGGACACCTGGCTGTGAAATGCTCGCCGTTGCAGATACGGCACTTGACCTGCTTGTCCTTGAGCTTGTCTTTCATGGCCTGCGCGTTGGGGTCGGCGCTCTCGTCCTTGGCGTCCTTTCGCCAGCTGACACTCGGCCGGAAAATCATGTTCTCGGCAATGGACGTCGTGTCGGGCGCCGGGCCCGCGCCGTCGTTGGCACTGGCGCCAAACTTGCTCCAGCTCTTACGATCGGCCACGCGCGGGTTGACCTTTTCTGTGTGCGTAATGTAGCGGATGCGGCGCGTCGTCTTTACTTTTTGGCCCTCGTCATTGATACGGTATGTGATGATGGTCTTGGTGCCGTCCTTGTTGGCGATTGTCTGCGGCGCTGGCAGCTCGGTGGTCGTTTCCTCGATATCATCATCGTCGGCCCAGTCGTGCCTGGAACATGGTGGGGTTAGTCATGGCCAGAGTTGCGCGTGCCCTCTCGCGGGCGAGCAGACTCACTTGGCCTTTGTGGGAGCCGTGGAAGCCATGATTGCGGTTCGAGTCGGCAGCTGTGTGGAAAACGTATGTTTCTATCTTGTAGCTGCTTGTAGCGTTGGCTTGAGGGCGGCGTGCTTTTGTCCGACAACTTCGTGGGGTTTCTCAAGAGATGTTGAATTTACCACTTTTTCGTGGTGCGATACTAGCCACAGTGGGGCGTGAGTGCTCTCGCCACAGCAGAAATGTGGCGAACGCGTAGCAAGTCACGTGGCTCCACGCGAAGAGGGTTCCGCTGGTGCTGGTGGTCGTCGGCCATTTTTGGGGATGACCAGAGACCGCTTGCTGATTTGGAACTGCGTCAATGGGTCGTAGAAACCCAACTGCCGAGTCCTGTGATTGAAATTCGCCATGGTCTTGGATTTTTTCAAACCGCGAATTCCCAGGTCAGAGCTTGTAATCCGTACAAAGTTGAGTGATGACGGCGTGAGGCGTCCCTCCAGCCGAAGAGAGGTGTGCCATGAGATCATCACTGAACGAGCTTTGAAGGCTCGATCTGTCGACCATATTACTCAAAATTTTACCCCAGCATCTCACTTTCCATTCCGAATATCCAGGATGCATTCACCCGTCAATGTCTTGTGTGATTTGGTAGTTTAATTATCGTCTTGGCAGCGACAAACTTCCCCGGGATTGCATGCCGAGGCGCTGCTGGTAGGCAGCCAAGCGTGGCGCAGCGAGCCCAGCGTGTAAAATGTCCACTGCGCATGTCCGCCACAGCGTGGTGCGTAATCAGCCAAACCGCATCCGTCGTCTGCCGTTTCAACCGAGACGCCGCGAGTTTCCATCTTATTTATTCCTCAGCATCCTTCACAAATCGAAAATTTTTGTCCTCCTATTCACGTATACTCTCTGCCGGCCGAAGTAATACTGAGTGACTTGCGGATTCGCCCCTCAACCTTCGCATTGCAACCGACTCTCGCTGCGCACGATGTCAGGCAAAAACGACGAGCAGCCGCCTCCTTATGGAGGTGCCCCGAACCCTCCCAAGGCCACATACCCAGGAGCAGGTCCGGCGCAATCGCCATACCAACAAAATGACCCTTATGGGCCTCCTCAGCAGCAGCAGCAGCAGCAGCCTTACTATCAGCCCGGTCCGCAGATGGGATACCATCAGCAGCAACAGGGACAGTACGGTCAACAACCATACGGCCAGCAGCAGTACGGGCATTATGGACCGCCACAAGGACAATATCAACAGGGACCGTATCAGCAAGGCCCTTACAACCAGCAACAGGGCTACCCGCCGCAAGGCAACTTCGGAAACAACGACAGAGGCATGGGCGGTGCAGCCACTGGCATTCTCGGTGGTCTGGCTGCGGCCTGTGCTTGTTGCTGCTGCATGGACATGCTTTTTTAATGGTGCTACTATAAATTGGAAGAGAGGGTTCAAAAACCTATCGATCATTGTGCGAGTATCAACTGTTAGATGGGATTTCGGGTAGGGGATCGGTATGGTGTTTTCGGGGGACTTGCTACAACATTTTTTTTCTTTTGCCGGCGTTGAAGAGAAGGGAAAATGCTTCTCTGCGTTGGGTTTTTGTAATTCCACATGTCACTAATTTGAGTATTACTTCCCCTTAGTTGTTTACGTGCGCTAGCCTTGCAGTGAATGGCCCGCGTGTGTCGATTGGTTAGGTGGCGTTTGGAGCCGCATCTCTTGCAGCTAGATCTTGTCAAACCCTGTCTCAGAAACGCGGTGCGTTGTCTGCATCAAGTATCTGTAGCTATCCGTGCTCGGTTGCCATCTCTTGGTGTGCGGAAAGGTGCTTGGTGCTTCTGCGTCGTGCCGTCTCAGCGTAGGCCGTTGTCAGCCAGTAAATGAGCACTGGACTACGGGTCGCTCCGTGCCAGACAAAGGTGGCCCCATTTATGGCATTTGGAGTTAGGAGCCCGAAGGCCGCCTATCCTTATCTACTCCTGAAAAGAAAAGCCGGGAATTTATTTTCGTTGGAATAGCTGGTATTGCAACAGAAAGGTGGTCGCTTCTTTGCACGTAATGATGATGCTGTTGTGCAACGAAAAAAGCAGGACAATGGCCTTTCAAACGCAGCCACAAGCGAGGCGCGAGGCAAGCAAGGGAGAGACGACTCTCGGACGATGAGGAGGTGGCGCCTCGAGGTCCTCTGCCAATGGACGACTGACAGTGGGCCGACAGGGACCCAGCATGTCCAAACAGGGCCAAATAGGGCCGCGGCAACCAACCACCGACGCCTGTGACATCATCACCAAACCTCAGGGGGTCCCACCAAAGTTTGTGTCCACCAGCAAAGGGCCCATGGGGACACGGGGGTCGCTAAATGATTGATCTGCTCAGATGGCTCCCCAGATATGCACCCATCTTCGTCATGATATCGTCTTTCCTTTCGTGTCACTGATTTCCTCTTCTCACACTCCTTTGTCCTCATTTTTTCTCCCTCGACCGCCTCTGTGCACACTTACACGCTCAACAGTCCAAAGTGCTACTTACTGCATTGTCTACTTTGAAGTCTGAGACGGACGAGCAAGGGCTTGCAATACGCGTCCTTTGCTTCCCTGCACGGCGTTACGCCTCTGCCCACAAAAGTTTCCCTTTACCCGCGGGAAAAATCGAATCGAATCTCAGCAGAGCATTTCAGAAAATCCAGTAACGCCTTAGGCGTTCGCATCGCCATGGAGAGGGTTCAGCCTCGACTCGTCTTCTCGGCCGCGGGTCTGATGGTCTTTGGGTCGGCCTGGTTGCTACCCTCACAGGCCATGGCTGCTTCGAATCACGCTCCCATCGACGTACCCTCTCTCAACATGCTACCTCGCAGAAATGATACGGGTCCCATTTCAAAAGCGCAAGGACAGTCTGGCATTGGCCTCGTGACCTTCGTCACCTCTATTGCCACAGCTTTGATCATCTTTGGCGTCCAAATATCTCTATTCGCTATCCTTCGAAACAGGCTGGCACGCATCTTGTATTGTTCTATTTTCTGCTTCATACCGGTACGGTACTTACACAATCTAGTAAACCAAAGACATACCTTGTTCCCGAACGCGAAAGAACCGAGCCGCCTCCCAACAATTTCTTCGCCATGATGAAGACCGTCATCTGTTTCCAGGATCGCGAGATCATAAAAAAATGCGGCCTCGATGCCTACTTCTTTTTGCGCTACCTGAAAACTCTTCTTACCATTTTTATACCCATTTGTGCCGTCGTTCTACCCATCTTGATTCCGATCAACTACGTTGGGGGTATTGGAAAGCGGATTGATATGAGCGCCGACAACAACACTGACAACGACAAGAATGTTACCGGCCTTGACACGCTAGCCTGGGCCAATATACGCCCTGAACACAGTGGCCGTTATGCAGCGCATCTTGTGCTGGCCATCCTGGTGGTGATATGGATCTGTGCCGTCTTCTTCTTCGAGCTCAAAGCATACATAAAGGTCCGACAAGACTACCTCACCAGTGCCGAGCACCGTCTGCGAGCTTCCGCTACCACTGTACTTCTCAATTCCATTCCCAAGAAATGGCTCAGCGAAGAGGCGCTTCGAGGACTTCTCGACGTCTTCCCGGGTGGAGTCAGAAATGTGTGGCTGAACCGCGACATGACAAAGCTTCTCGACAAGGTCAATTTACGCGAACTGATGCACGCAGCCTTGGAAAATGCTGAGACCGAGCTCATCAAGGCTGCCAAAAAAGCCCAACTCAAGCAACAGAAAAGAGACGAGAAAAAGGAGCGCAAGAAAATGAAGCTTGGAGCACTGAGCAAGAAGGAAAAGGCTGCTAGAAGCGCGAAACGAGACGAAGAGGCCAGGGAGCTTGCACACAGTGGGCAAGGTGAAGGTGCTGGCGATGACTGCAACATTCCTCACACTGTCACTGCTGGTGTCCAGGAATCAGCCATGGAGATCGAAGAGCAGCATCATCATGGCAACGACAACAATGAAGACATTGACGAGAAACACGGTGGCGCGCACAATCCCTTGGTCGGACTGACCAAAACCACTTCCAAAGTCGCTGGCGGGCTAAAAAATGTCGCTAACAAGTCCGGCAAGGGAATTGAAGAGGGTCTTGGAACAACGCATGGTTTTGCGCCGCTGTCTCCGAAGAGCAAAAGGAGCCTGTCTGCTTCTGTTCAGCGCCCACAAACTGGTCACTCCCAACCAACGCATTCACCTGCCGGCTCCGTCGTCTCCGCGACATCCACCAGTGCCATTAAGAGGCCCGAGGGCGCAGAGGACCGTGGCATTGGTGGTAACACAGTTAGAAGAGCAGCAGATGATGATAATTTCATGGATAATCGAAGACGTCGCTTTTGGCAATTCTGGAAGCCCCCATCAGGCGGATATGCTTCGCCAGTTCCCCAAGGCTTCGAGGCCGAAGATTATATGTCTGCTGGTCAACAGAAGAAAAAGACATTCTGGCAAACAGTCAAGGGTTTTATTCCGTTTACCGGCAACGACGAGGCGCAAGTAGACTATCCTGAGGCATTCGACCCAGAATATGACAACGCAGAGGAAGAAGATGCAGAGTGGCGGAAATATCTTAAGAAGAAGCAGCGTCCCACACATCATCTGCCCTTGTTCGGCGTCAACTGGCTGTTCGGTGTCCCTGGAATCACGAAAAAGGTCGATACCATCTACTACTGCCGAAAGGAACTTGCCCGTCTGAATCTAGAGATCGAAGAGGACCAAAAGCATCCCGAACGTTATCCACTCATGAGCTCAGCCTTTGTTCAGTTCAACCACCAAGTGGCGGCGCACATGGCTTGTCAGAGCGCTGTGCACCACATCCCCCGTTACATGGCCCCCAGAATTATCGAAATCTCGCCACGAGATGTTGTTTGGGACAATATGGCTATTTCCTGGTGGGGAGAAGGTCTGCGTGCCTTCATCGTCATTGGCATTGTGTGCACCATGGCTTTTCTCTGGGCTATCCCGGTTGCCTGGACAGCTGCAGTTAGCCAACTCGATCAGCTGATCCAAGATAACAAGTGGCTTGGCTTCCTCAAGGCGAACCATAATGTCGAAAACCTTGCCAAGATTATTGCGGGCGTGTTGCCGGCCGCTCTGCTGGCGCTTCTGCTTGTTTTGGTGCCCTTGATTCTGAACTTTCTCGCGGGCATTCGAGGAGCGAAAACAGGCACACAAAAAGCCGAGTTTGTCCAATTCTTCTATTTCGTCTTTTTGTTCCTTCAAGTCTTCCTTGTTGTATCGATTGCCTCGTTCTTCGCCGCGTCTCTGGACAAGTTCGTCGTCAACATTAGAGAGCAACTGAGTTCTGTTCAAAGCGTGCTGGACCTTTTGGCCAACAACCTGCCAAAGGCGGCCAACTACTTCTTCTCCTACATGATACTTCAAGCGTTGACTACCAGCTCTGGTACACTACTACAGATTGCTTCACTTCTTTTCTGGTTCATTATCGGGCCCATGTTTGACAGCACCGCTCGAAACAAGTGGGCGCGAAATACGAACCTCAACAATGTGCAGTGGGGAGCCTTCTTTCCTGTATACACCAACTTTGCCTGTATCGCCATTTTTTACTGCATTATCTCACCTTTGATTTCCATCTTTGCGATAGTCACATTTGGCCTTTTGTGGCTTGCACAGCGTTACGCTATGGTGTACGTTTACCGTCTTGAGCACGACACCGGTGGCGTCTTATATCCGCGTGCCATCAATCAGACCTTCACTGGCCTGTACTTTATGCAGTTGTGTATGGCTGGTCTCTTCTTCATCGTCAAAGACCAAGACGACCGTAACCCGTGCATCACACACGGTGTTATCATGTTGGTAGTCATGATCTTGACCATGATTTATCAGTACCTCCTCAACCGGTCATTCTCGCCGCTATTCCGTTATCTGCCCATCACATATGAAGACGAAGCCGTTCTTCGCGACGAAGCGTTCCAGCGAGCTCAAGATTCTCGACTAGGTGTCGCCGAAGATGAGGAAGAGGAAGAAGACCCGAAGGAATTACAGGGCATGCGGGAGAAGTGTCCTTCTCTGGGCGAATGTGAAGAGGGTATTGAGCTTAACACCGTGGACCAGGAGAGGCGTCGTCCGGGCGGCGTGCTTTCTCTGAAACCGATGAAGCAGGTCGGAAAGCACGTGGGCGGATGGGCCAAGGGCGGAGGCAACCAGCTGCTGCGTCTTACCCGGGCGGACCGCAATTCGCAGGCCGCGCAGTATCGTCGGCAACAGCGCAACAAGGACCTCGAGGCGCAGCGCGCAATGGGTAATGCCCTTTTCGGCGGCGTCCACGACGAAATCGAAGACTTGACGCCCGACGAGAGGGATATGCTGACGCGGCACGCCTTTTTGCATTATGCCATGCGCGCCCGTCGCCCGGCCGTCTGGATCCCGCGCGACGACCTGGGAATCAGCGACGACGAGATTCGGCGCACGCGCGCGTTTAGCAAGCACATTTGGATCAGCAACGAAGGCACAGCGCTCGATAGTAAAGTGCGCGTGGTTTACGGCAAGCATCCTCCCGATTTCTCCGAGATTGACCTGATCAACCTGTAAAGAGACGCCCAAAGGAGAGCCCTTTGCATGGTACAGGCTGGTCTTTTGCATTCATATCAAATATGGCGTTTTTTTGTTGTTCTCCTTGGTTACGAGCCTAGACGGTTCTTCTGTTCAGCATGCGAGAATATTGCCTTTACCGCCTCTCCCTGTTTTCACAATATTTTAGTCTTGTATTCATGATTGCGACATTTTCCTTTCTTCAGCACCATTTATAGCAGAGGGCAGACTGGGTAGACTAGAAATGAAGACTAGGCATGGAGGTGATTTATCGCAGACCCGTTCAATACAAATTGGTCTTGCAACAACGAGAAATCGTCAACATGTTACAATAACGTTGATTCTATTGATGTGAAGTATATGTGTATGTATGTATGCGGTTCCTTTGCCTGTACATGCTGTATATCTAATGCTGTGTAAACGCCCAACGATCCAAAAAAAAAAATAATGTGCATATAGACTGAATCGTCCTCGGAGCGTCATGCGAGATGGCTGCATACCACTCATGCTGCAAAAGTGATTTGCATGAAACAGTCCCAATATATCAAAAGAGGAAGACGCCCGACCGCAAGACCCGAAAATGTACAGAAATCCCAACCTAATAAATCAATTCTCGCCGAGGGAGAAGATGCTCCCTACTCATTAGTGATCGTTTCTCTTCTTGGACGTGGCAAAAACGTCGTCCATTTCCTTTTGCAGGGCGTCATTGAAAAATTCGGCATTGTCAAGGTAGAGATGGTGACCGGCCTTGGGCACAATCACCACCTTGACGCTTCCGTTTTCCATTTGCTTCTCCTCGTCCGTCGCGCGCGCTAGCGCCTCTTCCCGCGCCCTCTTCAGCTTCTCCTCCGAAGCGAGACCGCCAGCCACGTCCATCCAGTCGTTTTCGCCGTACATGAAGACGATGGGGAAGCCAGTTTCCTTCTTGGCCGGCGCGTCGCTGCCACTGCTGTCGGGTGAGGGGATAGGCTGGCGGCCAACGTCCTGGATGCGGTTGATGACGGGACGGCGGGCGTAGGCGCCGGGGGCGAGGACGTAGGCGAGGGCGTACTCGCCGCTGCCCTTTTGCTTGAAAATGGAAAAAGCGTAGTCGTGGAGGGCCTGTGCCTCGGGGCCGGGGAGATGATTGAAGCGGCGCGAGGTCCAGCCCGAGACGAAGCGCGGGCCGAGGGGCCCTGTCATGCGGATGATGCTAAAGGGCGAGACGTTAGCGTCCCAGAGCCAGACGAGCCAGCTTGGGATGGGGCGCTTGGGGGCCCCTGGCGGCGCGGGAGCTTTGCTGGAGGCGGCGGCGGCGGCAGCAGCCTTGGCGGCGAAGGCTGTGTCATGGCCGGTCTGGGTAATTTGAGTCTGGTCCTGTGTGAATTCGTTTGCGAGGGTAGACTCGTCAGGCTCGGGCATGGAGGCGTTGACAGCGTAAGGATCCTCGGGGATGCCGACGGGCGAGGCGAGGATTAGCTTCTTGAGGTGGCCCGGGTACTTGAGGGCGTAGGAGACGGCGAGGTAGCCGCCAAGGGAGTGGCCGAGGAGGGTGAAGCGGTCAATCTTGCGCTTCCGACGCCACTCCTCGAGGGCGTCGATGAACCAGTCCTCGGCCTCGATGACCTGCTGCTCGCGGTCCTTGGCGTGGATGCGGAAGGCGGGGCGGGACGAGTTGCCCATGCCGAGCATGTCGAGGGCGTAGAGCTTGAGGCCAGGCCTGCGCGTAATGGGCTCGAGGTTCTTGTAGAAAAAGCCAAGGCCGGCGCCGTAGCCGTGAACAACAACGAGCGTCTCTTCCGTCTTGTCACCAATCTTTTCCACGCAGACCTCGTTGAGGGCGCGGTTCTTGCCCGACAGCTGGACCATGGTGCGGCGCCAGACGCGCGTGCCGAGGGGGTCGGGCGTCGACGAGGCATTAGGGTTGGCGGCGCTGTCGGCGGCTTCGCGCAGGGTCGGAATGAAGGAGAGGACCTTGCGCTCGACCATGGGCGGCGTAACGCTGGTCCACTATGCGGAGAGGTTGTTAGCAGCTGGGGAAAGTATATATAGACCAGAGAGGCGGTTTACTCGTACCCATTGGTAGGCGGCTTCCTTGTAGCCGAGGGGGAAGTAGACAGATGGCGGCCGCGCCTGCCTGGTTTGCTTGATCTGACCAGACTCTTGCTGCTGGGCGCGAGCAGATCCATCTTCGGCGGCCATCTTGGCAATCTTGGAGGAGGTGGGAAAGGACGAGGCCAAAGTGACGCGCGAACGTTGGAAGAAGACGGTAGCTTTTTGCTGTTTGAGCATGCCGACGAAAGAAAAAAGGGCTGCGACGGGGGCTTTTTAAAACAAAAGCCCCAGACGACAGCGTGTCCCTGATTGCGTGAACTCAAGACAGCAAGCGGAAAGGCAAAAAAAGTCCACCAGCGATACTCGGAGGTGGGCTGAGCCGCCAAAAGTGCAACACTAGGTATCCCGTGGGGAGGGGCGAGCGCTGACAGGGCTGGGAATTAGGCTGGAATTAGAGGTACGTGAGCCTGTCCACGCGTCACAGCCTCACAGGCGTAATAATGCAGCGCAGAAAAGGTGTGTGTGAGATTGGTGCGGATATTCTAGAGTGAAAGCCCGCCCGGATTTAAGAATGGTTGGTGGTGCGCTGGTGGTGGTGTTGCGCGCGGCGGTACGCCTTGCTTCTGTGTAACTATCGGAGTTTGCGTCGATCCGGGTTCCGACGCTAGTTACGGCTCGACGCGGGATCAAGGCTTGTTCATGGCAGACGGTGGACGAAGGCGAGGTGATGGAGTCGATGACGAAGGCGACGATGCGAGAGCGAGAGCGAGAACAAAGAAACAAAGATTTTGCGACAAGAGGCAGGTGAAAGCGATTGGATGGTAGAAGATGAAAGAGGGATTTTTCCGAATGCTGGATCGGTTGAGAGAGCCGAGATGATTCCTCTCGATGACGGGTGCTAATAATAATATTTTAATCCCCTTTGCCACTTGTTCTGTTGTCATGGGTTAGTAAGGGGGCACAAGATGTGCTGAGAGCTGAGAACCAATTGTTAGCAGATTCACTGTAACGTGGTTGGTTGTTTGGGCGCTACAGCTGCTAAAAGGTTGAAAATTTGGGCAGTTTTGGCGATTTTGGTGGTTCTATTAGTGGTTCTAGTTGGGCAGTTGGGGCATGTTGAGGCTGTTTTGACTCTTCAAGGTCCCCCACACTGCTCACCTGCCCCGCTAATAAACGGAAACTGCCCAGGTGCTTTACAGTGGGCTTTCCCCAACATGTGCTGATGGGCAAACTGGATGGTCCAGATCAGCTTCCAGAGTCAGCGTTCAGCTTTAGCTTGCCAGTCAACGCGTGTCAAGAAAAAGTCATTGTCTCGCATAATCTGAACCCGAAAATGGGCCATTTCAGTGTTCTCTTCAGCCTTTCATCGCGGGGAAAAAAATCCCTTGTCTTCGATACTGAAGCCAGCCGCTTCGCGCTGGCTTACTAATAACTTACGATCTAGCATCAATGACGTCCAGTGCCGCCGCCTCAAGGACAACACGCAATGGATTCTCTTTCGCCAAGTTCCTCAAGTTACGGCTGTCTCTATGAAATTATTCCTTCAACTCATTGTTTTATATTTACTATAGAACTGTTAGACACTTCAAGGCCCACTTACACTCATGTCTTCATCTGCTGCTCTGTCGCTGTCTGAGCAGCTCGCTACACCCGAGACCCACCACTGACGCCCATCCGTCCTCGCCTCTTTTTTCCCTTGTCCGTCAAAAGCCTTGTCGCCTGCCTACTACACCCGATTGCCGTTGATCCATCCCCTCCTCCAAGCCGACTCTCACGTCCGCATGTCTGTCGATCACCACTCAATTGTACCATACCGATCGATTGCACGACCCTGATTCTACTCGTCTCCCCTCCGTCAACAGCTGCCGTCGTGGGGCCTGCGCCCGAGCAACCGCAAATAATAGGGCTGATGCGCCAAGTAGCTTAGCTGCTTGCACGAGCACCTACACCAAAGCAGTCTCTGTCCCATCGCCGCCGCAATACTCGATATACGTCTCCCGGGGCGCCGGCCAGCACCTCCATGACCGAAGACATTGATTCCATTGTCAAGGGGGCCCCCGTGGCCTCCCCGGCCATCAAGGCGGCCGCGGCCGCCACCGGCACCAGTCCCATCCTCCACCACGACGTCAAGCAGGGCGATCCCTTGCACAACACCCCCAGCTCGCCCTCCATGATCTATCTCAACCTCCTCATCCTCGAGGCCTCTCTGCGCGCCCAGTTCCTCGAGCTGCGCGCCCGCAAGCGCCACCACACCTTCTTCCTCACCCTCCTCACCGCCTGGGTCTGCTTCTTTGCCTACAAGCTCTACTTTGCGCCCCGCGAGGACGGCCACGGTGTCGGCGGCTCCATCTACTGGGCCGTTGAGGGCGCCCAAAAGGTCTGCTTCATGGGCGGCATCATCACCGCCGTCCTCGTCTGGGCAACCGGCATCTGGGACCGCGGTATCCGCTGGCCCCGCCGCTGGTTCGCCATCTCTAACCGCGGCCTGCGCGGCTTCAACTGCAAGCTCGTCCTCATCCGCCGCCCCTGGTGGGCCGAGGCTCTCTCCTCAGTCGGCTTCTTTCTCACCTACGGCCTCTTCTCCCATACCGCCAGCTCCTCCTACCGACGCGTCGACCCGTCCCTGCTGCGCGAGGTCGAAAAGGAGCTGCAGCTCTCTGCCGACGGTCATCATCCGACTTTAATCCTCCCTCACCAAGATGATGTGCGAGGCGGACACGAAGAGGACCTCGCCCCTGGCGGCGACTATGTCAAGCTGTTGCTTCTCGCCAAACCATTCTCTCCCACCTTTCGCGAAAACTGGGAGCTCTATCGAACAGAGTACTGGGATCGAGAAAACGAGCGCCGAGCCCTGCTACGAGAAAAAGTAAAGGAATATGATATCAAGCTGGCCAAGTCCCAGCATGGTTGGCTGTGGCGCCTGCCTTGGAAAAGGGCTCAGGTTAAGCGCCAGGAGACGCCCAAGGTCCTCCACAAGAGCCACATTAGCACCGAAAAGCTTCACAAGCGTCGCAGCAGCAGTGTCCGGCGTGGCTCCGTCAGCTCAACACGCAGCGGCACCCCGTCCTTTGACCTCGATGACGGCCACCCGACGACGCGCCGCACCGGATCAATCTCCAGCCTCGGTGAAAAGCGGCGAAAAAAGGCCACGAGCGTGGCCAAGTCGCGGAAGCAAGGTTCAGAGTCCCGCTCCGTCACACCAGACTTGCCGTCCTCTCCGCTGTCTGCGGACGCGCCTGTCAAGAGAGAGGCTACGCCTGACAGCGGCCGAGTGCTGCGCAGTGCTAGTGGGACGCCCAGAGACAAGACCCAGGCGAAATGAGACGACTGTTGTTACTGTGACGATGTGTTAAATAGCGGTCATGGCGTTAATCGAATCATCATGTATACCTCCACTATGCATGCTACTTTTGTCTGGTCAATTCCTGTGTGCGCTGTAAAGTGTCGATTAGTCCCAGCTGACACCTCGGCAACGTTTTCACGAAACGACGCACATTGTCCAAAACGCTCACAGCTGTTGGAAGTCAAATGCCTGCCCTGCAAGGAACGGAAACAGAAATGCCGATTCGTTTAACTTGACGCGCAAGTCGAGCTTCGAAACAGCCAGTTCACCCCCCAGAACCTAATTGGGCACTAACTAGCCAACCTCCACCAAAATGACTGGTTTTCAGTGAGATTTTAAAGCTCATCCAGCAGCCACCGTGACTCACAAGAACCCCCTTCTGCAGTCGAAGTCCCAGATAGGAAACTTGAGCTGCAACGTCGAGTTGTGATTGGGCCGTTCTTATATGTTTGATCCAGTCTCTCCATACTGGTTGGTAACCATGCAGTGACTCAAATAGGACGCAAGGAGAAAAGAAATGAAACTAATACAAAGTTCATGTCTAACCGTCAATCCGTTTTGTTGTAGAATCTGACGACTTATAAAGATTGCATTGCTGGGCTGTCATATCAACACCACCACCAACACACACACACACACACACACACAACACATACACACGCACAATGACAGGCTCATCCACAATCGAGGTCTCGCACCTCGACACGCGCCTTCCATCCCCCACTCTCCCCATCGTCCTGCGCACCATACAGCCCTCCGACGCCGCCCGCCTCGCCGCCCTGCTCTCAGACCCTGGCAACGCGTCCGACCCCAACGCCGCGCCCCTGTCCGCAACAACCGCCTCGGAGCTCATCGCTCGGCAGCGCCTCTCCGCCTCTGTGCCCACCGTCGTCGACACCGCTCGCGGCGCCGTCATCATCAGCGGACCCTCGCGCGTCAACATGGTTATTGAGCTGCTACCGGACACCGCGTCGTCGTCGTCGTCGTCGCCGCCGCCGCTCGTTATTGGTCTTGGTGGCTACGGCGCCATCAAGGAGCTCGTGCGCGACGGCAAAACGATCCGCGCGGGGGACGTGGGCGCCATGATTGATCCCGAGTACAGGGGGAAAGGGTACGCTACGGAGGCGATGCGGCTGGCGATTGACTGGGCTTTTGCGGAGGCGACGGGGGGTGGAGGAGGGCTGCAGCTGGATCTGGTGACGGTGACGACGCTCGAGGACAATGTGGCCATGGTGAAGCTGGCAGAGGACAGGCTGGGGCTCAAGGGCCGGGGCACACGCCGAGCCTGCGGGGAGGAGGGCGCAGAGGGCAAGACGGAGGTTTACTACGAGCTGACCAAGGAGGACTGGTAAAAGAATGTGTCTTCGTGGAACATGAGCGAAGCAAAATAAAGTGTATGCGTCCGCGCTGCGGCGTAAAATGTAAATACATCACCGAATGAAGATAAAAGGTTTCTGCCAAAATACGCCAGTCAAGCTGCTCAACCGCGCTCGCCGTCAGTCCAGATCAGGATAATGACCGAGTCCTGCGGCTCACTCTCCTCCTTTTGCACCCCTTCCTCCAGCAATCCTTCCTCCTGTACCTCTTTCTCCTGCGCCCCCGCTGCTCGATTCTTACGCTCATCCCTCCTCAGATACGCCTGCCACACGGCGCCGTCATCATCCACAACCGAGTCCAGGAGCCTCCATACCTTGCGCGTGCCGCCGCCCGCGAGAAGTAGCCTACCACCAGCGGCATCACCACGATCAGCCTCCTGCAGCTGCAGCTGCGCCGCGAGCGCGCGCCGCTCGGTTCGGTTGTCGGCGGCGGCGGACTGCACCGTGGGCGTGTGCTGGTAGCGGCTGATGGACACACCGTTGACAAGGACCCAGCCGTCGCGGAATAGGAACCGCTGCGCAAAACACGCCTCACCGCACACGTCGGCGACGAGGTAGGCGCGGGCAATGTCGGCGTTCCGCGCGTGGCCGCGGTGGTTGCGCAGCGCGAGCGGCCGCACGCCGGCTTCGAGGTCGTCATCATCGGAGCCGTGGCGCAAGGACAAGGTTGTATCGTCCGCTGCGGGCACGTACAGGCCCGGGATGACATGCATGGGAAGCTCGCCGCGCGTCATCATGCACCCGTGGAGGATGGACGTCCATTGCCGCGCAACGAGCCGCCCTCCGCTCGAAGCGTCCTTTTCGGCACACGAAAGGGACAGGTAATGGACGAGACCACCGCATGATAGAATAACGACGCCGCCGCCGTTGGTCGAGAGCTTGCCGTCGCGGGCCGTCCAGTCCTCTCGCTCGCTCGGGACGCCAATGTACACACTGTCCTGCGCATCATACGCACCCAGCTTCTCATTCAAATACGGCAGGCTCGGAAAAAAGATGGCGTCCTCAATCAGGACGAACCACTTCTTGTGTATGCCCACAGCCGACAGGGCCACCCCGTAAGAGTGTAGCTCTCCGGCGAGCTGCGCATACGTCGTCGCGACGGACAGCGGGTCCCCGATATTATACACCATGGCGGGGATGCCCAGCTTCGCCAGTGCGGCCTCGACCTGCTGTATCTGTTCCTCGTTGGCCCTGTCTAGCATGATGACGATGTGCGCGCCGTTGCTGCCCTGCTTCCCGTCTGTCAGCCACCACTGCCAGTTCCGGAGCATGGCTCGGTCATTCTCCATCAACCGCTCGTGTGTCGTCGAGACGCCAAACAGATACCCCGAAGCGTCAAAATCGCCGGGGCGCCAGCCCCGAGGCGACGGCAGCGGCAGCGTTCTGAACGTCGTCGGTGGCGACGAGCTGGCGTTGTGGCCGCCGCGCTGATCAAAGATCCGCGGCCGGGGTGGCCGAAAGCGACGGGACGTTCGCGTGACGGACGACCATTGCTTCTGATTCTGCGTCGACGGGATGATCCATGCTGCCCATTCGACCTGTGGCGAGAGGTCGTGTGTGCGAACCAGCTTTTCTAGGTAACTGCCCGTATCGAAACCTGGCACACTCGCATTTCGGCTCTGCTGGCTCGCAAACGGGCGCAGCAAAGTCAATTGTCAAATCACATGCCTGCAGAAACAAGAACGTGTAGGCGAGTATACCGGAAATGAGAAGTATCGAAATCGACTTTCGTGGAAACGAAAACGGGCTCGCGACCAGTTGCGTCATGGCCGCTCACGTGGTCGAGACAGCCAAATAGTGCCGGAGTTTCAATTGAGGGACTAAACAGGAGATTCGAGAATATGCAGCATGTCATCAAAATACGTCAAGGTGAGAGAAGAGACAGAGGGATGCAATAAATGAATACAGTCTCTTGAGAAGGAGGCTCAAGTGCAGTGCGGTGCAAACGGCGAGTGGTCCCAAAGTCAAACTGCCAAAAAGACGACACAAGGCAGGAATTCAGCGTCCGCAATTCACCCTCGCTCGGCACATCATGTTCCCTATTTGCCATGCTTGAGCGACCGTTGCGTGTTTGTGAAACCACAGGTAGATAGGGACCATCAATTTCAGAGGAGCATAGGTGGGCCCAACGAGTTTGACCGTGTTTGAGGCGCTCAGTATAGTAGTTTGGCCCCTGGGATCGCCATATGCACGTGCAATTTAGGCAGGAGCTCTCAGAGTCATGGATCACCTCATATATCTTCGACAGTATTCCACGCCTGATGGTGGGATCGCTAGTCATCAACATACGCCACGTTTAGCCCCATCATTGATGATGGCTGTTATCGGAGTGCAGCGCAAATTTCCCACGTACAGCTGTCGCTGTGGAACCTCTTTATGTACTTTTTGCATGAATTGGGCTGAAAAGTCAGGTTTATTAGTAGTAAAACTAGCTAGCTAGGTAGCAAAATTGCTGCTTATTCTTTGAGAACAAATCGACCCCAAGCTGATCTCATTCGCTTTCATAACATGATGGTGGTAACGCTCAAGTCACTGCTAGGGAGAGTCATCAAGTCCAAATTCTTGTGAGTCATGCATACTTAGGAATCAGAATTATGCGAATTCATCATCGTGATACACTCAAAGTGTTGCCGGCAAGAATGGGCACGAACAGGTTGGTAAGGCCATAGCTGCCGGTCTTGAGAATGCCCTCATCTCGTTAACTTTGTACAGTTGCAAATATGATAGGACAGACATCATTTCGAACGGTCGCCTCTAATAGCAGATGAAGTATCTTGTGTAGAGTCCGCAGGAGCTGCATTGCCTGACTCGATGGGCGTCGCAGGTTGTCGTCGCACTGGCGTAGTCTGGCGGTTGCGATAATTATCAGGCAGATTGGCTTCCATAGTAGCTTTAGCGTCTTGACACAAATCGAAACATTCGGCAATAATTTGCTCCGGGGAGAGCGAAAGTGGTGCAATGCCAGAATCGAGAAGCTCTTTGATGTGGTCCTCCACTTGCCTGAGCTCGTCCATGTCCTTGCGATACCGATCGGGGATACCACTGTTGTGGAAAAAGGCCAGAATGCTAGCACTGACAGTATTCACAGCACCAAGAACCGTAATTGGCGTACCATCTTTGACAGCAACAGAACCGAGCGCCGTGAGTGTAGCAGAGATACAAAGCTGTAGTAGCATTAATGTCCACTGCATCAACGCCGCTGCGTAATATAAAAGCAGGCATTTAGAGCGTTGATGTACAACATCGCGGTAGAGGCCTTGCGCCATGCCTCGGGGCGGATACAACCAAGAGGATGGATGCACTGGTCGAAGCTGTTCCATGTCCTTTATGCCACCAATTCCACGGGCAATTATACTCTATTCATGTGCGTCCACGAACCGGTGTGGCGGGATCTTATGGGCATGTTGATAAGATGACGGTACCGAGGCTGTTGGTGGAGGAGCAGGCTCTGATGCCGGCCCATTAAGCCCTGAGATGAAGTTGCCTCTGTCGAAGAGAACCTCATCTGATGCTCCATGAACTGGTGAATCGTTCTTCTCGTAGGCCGGCGAGCCTGGAGTTTTTCGATGCGACATAATGAGGATAAGGAGAGTTCGATGTTGAGAGTATAGTGTATGCTTCTTGATGATGGTGTTGAAATGGTGATTAATTAGGTAGGCGGAGCGAAAAAGGAATGGAGATGTACGCCATCGCACGCTGAAATGCAACAAAGCGCCATAAATATCCAGCGCAGCAGAAGTTGGAAAGTGCGAACCGATATTGGTATGGGGGGATCCATGCTTTGTAGAAAAAGATATGCCAATTCGCAGGCGATGGTGTCTAGGTACCTGTGTAGCAAGAACACCGCCTGTTGTTGGTTGCTCAATTGCTGTTTAGGTAGTCACTACACCGCCCAATTTTACAGCCGGCAGAATCCAAAAAATTAACAGCTCCGCCAATTGCGAAAAGGTCAACTTTTGCGACAAATCAATCTACACTTATCACGAAAGAATTCTGCATGCTGCAATCCCTCACGTTACGAGCAGCTTTTCACCAGATTGCCTTGCAAATTCCGGGCAGATACTCCGCCATTGCGCTAAATCGATCTCGCCAGTACTTTGCGACGGCCATGAGCGACAAGACGACCGGAAATGGGACTGTAGAGGTGGATGGGGCGCATTTCAGCACAGTGACGGAAGGTCTCGCGACAATTCTGGTTCCGCAAGGTGCCAAGGTTGGAGAAGACTCTGGCGAGGTGCAGCAGGTTTTCTACAACCCAATTCAGCAGTACAACCGCGATCTCTCTGTGCTCGCAATCAAAGCGTACGGCGAGGAAGCTCTGGAGAAGAGAAGGGCTCGCAAACAAACAAAGGATACTAGGCATGGAAAGAAACGCAAGAGGGGAGACGAAAATGGCACCAAGCCCGAAGAGACAGAGCAGACCGGGCTAGCGGAACAGGGAGGGCAGCCAGAGCAACCAGAGCAGCCAGAGCAGCCAAAGCAACCAGAGCAGCCAAAGCAACAGTCAGAGTTGGAGCCTGGCCCAGAAGACCAGAACGCTGGCAAGACTACCAAACCTCCTTTCAAAATGCTAGATGCCCTTTCAGCCTCAGGTCTACGCGCGCTGCGATATGCGCGCGAACTCCCGTTTGTCACTAGCATCATAGCCAACGACTTGTCAGCTTCCGCCGCCAAGTCAATCAAGCAAAATGTCAAACACAACGGCGTCGAGGATATTGTTTCAGTGACCAACGGCGACGCCCTTGCAGTCATGTACAGAACAATTGCAGACTCGCTTGCAAATGGCGAGACCAACAAGTCATGGAAGAAATCATCCAAATTTGACGTTATCGACCTAGATCCATATGGAACCGCGGCTCCATTCTTTGACGCTGCCGTCCAGGCCGTGCGTGATGACGGCGGCCTTTTGTGCATTACATGCACAGATAGCGCTGTGTGGGCTGGCCATGCATACTGCGAGAAGACTTTCTCCCTTTACGGCGGCACACCAATTCATGGCCCGCACTCCCACGAAGCTGGTCTACGGCTAATCATTAATGGAGTAGCCACGTCGGCAGCTCGTTATGGACTTGCAATTGAGCCACAGCTGTCTCTTTCCATTGACTTTTACACCAAAGTCTTTATCCGGGTCACAAAGTCTCCACAGGCAGTCAAATTTCTAGGCACAAAAACAATGGTTGTACACAGCTGTGATAACGGCTGCGGCGCTTGGGAAACCCAGTACCTGATGCGTGCCAAGGCAGTGCTCAACAAAAAGGGCAACGCAGCATACTACAAATTCGGTATGGCCTTGGGAGCAGCAGATAAGCTTTGCAAACATTGCGGTACCAAAATGCATATCAACGGCCCAATGTGGGGTGGCCACATTCACTCACGGGACTTTATCGAGAGGTTGCTAAAGCAAATACCAGAGGCCGACAAGCAAGTCTATCGCACTCTTCCTCGACTAGAAGGAATGCTGCGAAACGCGCTAGAGGAGCTGATACCCAGTCCTGAAGAGACAGCTCCCGTCGAGTCTCGGGACAAAGAGTACGCCAAGATTGACCACTATCCATTTTTTATAATTCCCGGGAAAATTGCGAGCATTGTTTCAGCCGCCACACCGGGCGATGATGTCTTTAGAGGGGCGTTGAAGCATCTTGGCTACGTTGCGGGCCGCAGTCATTGCAAGCCGGGAAGCATCAAAACAGACGCTCCATGGTCAACAATATGGTGGATCGTGGCGGAATGGATACGGCAAAAGGCGCCCATCAAGAAGTCCAAATTCAAGCCAGATACGGCGCCATGGAGACTTTTGAAAAAGGCCGGCTTACTCGAGGATGAACCTAGTGCCGATGCTGACGCGGCCGGTGGCCAGCCTGATTTGAAGATGGAAGGCGTCGATGCAGTGATGAAGGAAGGCGACGAGACTGGGGTCGAGCAAATGGTGTCGAGCGATCAAAGGGCTCTCACCGAACAAGACTTGAGGAAAACTCTTGTGTTCAATGATGATCTGGCCCGACTCGGGCGAGAGGGCAAGGCGCAGAATCTTGTTCGCTATCAGATGAATCCCAGAGAAAACTGGGGTCCACTGACGAAAGCCAAGAGCAACTAAAGTCAAGGCATTATAATAGAAAGCGATCAATTCAAAGTATCAAATTCCCAGCTTTTTTTGCGCGGCTTCAGCAGCCCATCGCAGCCCGCCGTGTAAGCGACCTGAAAATCAAACCAATTTTGACCGGTGTGCTTGGAGAAGAGCGAGAGTGGCGCTGGCAGATTCAATGCCATGTCTTTGGGATATGGGTATTCGAGTCCATCATGGTGACACGTGCGTACGTCTCGGCAGTCGCAAGATTTGGCCATCTCTGGATGTCTTTACTATGAAAGGCGATGAACACGTGTAAGCCTGTTTGTAGGCAAGGTCAAACGAGCTTGTAACCAAGCCGAACTACCTAGTTGCCTAGGTAGGTAGCCCTGAAAATGAGTCCCCGCCCTTCACTAACAGGTGCCTGCCTCATTAGGTAGGTACCTGTTAGTCTCTCTATGAACCGAGGCCGCCTAACATTTTCAGACATGGCTAAACTACCGTGTCAGTTATAACTAATTTTTTCTTTTTTTTTTTTTTTTTTTTTTTGCTATTTAGTGTGCCACGGAAGTTGATTATATAAGTAAGTAGCTTTGACATGTCCGCGTCGACTCATTTCAATATCACGCAAATTGATTCCTGAATGACCGGCAAGGCAGGGTTTTAATATTATAGGTGGCAGATAACGCAACGGCGACCCCATAAGATGCAACATCCCCCGCGGTAGTTTTGGACCCCTCCTGTGCCTGCAGTGGAGCCAATGACGTTTAATTCCTCTCTTCGGCACTATAAACTTGGAACATATATATGCTCACAACCTAGACGCATTGTTTCTATTGTTGCATTTGCCTCGGTCATTTCTTTCTTTCGTCTTGTTCTTTTGAAAAATCCCTTTACATCTGTCTTTAATCAGCACCCATCATAAATCTTGCCGTCCGTCCCCCCCTCTCCCCCCATCGCCGCAAATGGGTGAACTCGCCGCACCTATCCTCGTGCACGCCGACTCGCTCACCTTTGACGACGATGCCGGCACCCTGAGCGCCAGCCTCCTCGCCGACGCGTCCCACGAGACACCTTCCCTCACCCTCGACCAGGTCATTGCCATCCTGCGCCCATCGTCATCCAGCGCGCAGCAGCCCCGTTTCAACATTGTCGTCGGACTCGTCGAAGACTCCGCCGTCGCCGCCGCCAGCGCAGCAGAGCAGCAGCCTTTTCGCCTCATCGCCATCCAGACTTCCGCAGACGACATCCCACCGCAGCTCGCCTCCTCGGTGCCGCGCATCGCCCAGCTGCCTGCGCATCTCGCCCGCGGCGCCGACGGCGGCGGCGGCGGCGTCGTCGTCGACTACGTGCTCTCGACAAAGGCGGGAGCGGGCCGCGCCGTGCTGTTTTGGGAGACGGCGCTGCAGCCGCTGCTGCGCGTCGCCGCGCAGGCGTTTTCGGAAAATACGGTGCCGGACCGTCTGGTGGTGACCAACAGCGACGACAGTGTCCGCGAGTACGCGCGCGAGGAGCGCCCGGCCGGGGTGCCGCGCACGATTGTGCTGCTGAGCGGCGACGGCGGCGTCGTGGACCTACTCAACTCGTCGTCACCGCCATCAAACGAAGATGGCAACGACACGCCGCCGCTGCCTTCCATTGTGCTAGTCCCGCTCGGCACGGGCAACGCGCTCTTCAACTCGCTGCACAAGCCGCTCTTCACGGGACCGTCGGAGCTGGTCCTAGCTCTGCGCACGCTTCTCAACGGCGTCGCGGCACCGTTGCCCACATTCAGAGCCTCGTTCCCGCCGGGCTCGCGCATCGTAAAGTACGCCAACAAGGACGCCGCGGCGGCGGAGGAGGAGACGACGCCCCCAGATGTTGCCGCCGCCGAGGCACAGCTGTTCCGCCAAGAGACACACGTCGACACCCTGCACGGCAGCATCGTCGCAAGCTACGGCTTCCACGCCAGCATCGTCTACGAGAGCGACACGCCTGCGTACCGCGCACACGGCGCCGCGCGCTTCGGCATGGTTGCGCAGGAGCTTCTCAAGACGTCTCATCCCTACGCCGCGCAATTAGCCGTGCGCCGGCGTCGTCGTAGTCGTCCCCATCTTCATCATCCAGACAGCGAGAGCGGTGACGGTGACGGTGACGGTGACGGTGACGGTGATGGTGGCCGCCTGGAAAAGATTCCGCGCGCCACGCACGCATACGTGCTCGGCGCGCTCGTGTCCAACCTCGAACGCACCTTTACCATTTCGCCCGCGAGCAGGCCCCTGGACGGACAGCTGCGTCTTGTGCACTTTGCGCCGCTGGGGCCCGCGCGCACCATGGAGGCCATGATGAAGGCGTACGACGGCGGCAAGCACGTGGAGGCGGCGTGGGACGACGAGGACGGCGAGCGGGTCTACTACGAGGACGTGGACGAGTTTGCCGTCACGGTCGAGGATGAGGAGGAGCGGTGGAGAAAGGTCTGCATCGACGGCACGATTGTGGATATCCCACGAGGGGGCACGGTTCATGTGCAGAGGGAGGAAAAGGGACTGTTTCACATTGTAGTGGACTCGAGTGTGCTTTAAAAAATAGAACACAAGAAAAAGTCGGCAAGGATGCTGGCTTTGACAATGCAAGCTTCGTCGTCGATCATTACTTGTTACACGTATAATGAATCAGATCTCGCATATCAAGATGCGGGGGAGTGGAGGAACCAACAGTCAAATATGTACTCCACAAGTCAGAATCACAATGTGACAAGAAAAAAAAAAAACATGCCAAGATTGCAATTTCCCCCCTGCGTCAACCGAAATTACGCCGCGAGGAGCTTCTTGACACGCTTCTCCATGATCTTTTCAAACTCATCCACTCCATTCTTGAGCACCGTCATCTCACCGCCCTTCAGTCTGTACAGCACACGCCTGCGAAAGGGCACGTCCCCGTCGGCGCTTCCTTCGCCCTCATCGCCCTCTTCGTCTTGCTGATCTTCTTCCACCACGCCATCCACCACGCCACGCACGAACCACCGATCGTGGCTTACCAGCACGACGGCACCCTCCCACCGCTTCAGCGCACTACGCAGCGCCGTGACCGTCTCGTAATCGAGGTGCGTCGTGATCTCATCGAGCACCAGGCACTGCGGGCGGCGCCACAGCAACCGTGCGAGCTCGCAGCGTACGAGCTGCCCGCCCGACAGCCGGGCCACGGGCACGTCAGATGCGAACCGGCCCGGCAGGCCCAGCTCGCCCAGTAGGCCGCGCACTTCACCCTCGGCCAGCTGCCCGTCGACCTCGCGCATCAGCAGCGCCAGCGCCGTGAGTGACGGCCCCTCGGCCCGCCCGAGCTCCTTGAGCGCGTCGACGGCGTTCTGCGAGTAGTAGCTCATCCGGAGGCGCGGATGCGTTGTCATGCTGCCCGTCGTGGGGCGCGCCTCCTCGACAAGCAGCTTGATAAGCGTCGACTTACCCGCGCCGTTGAGCCCCAGAATGCCAATGCGGTCGCCCATGCCGACCGTCAAGTTGATGTCGTTGATGATGAGGGGTGAGGTGCGAGCGTAGCGGAAGCTCACCTTGTCCATGGAAATCAGCGAGCCAGGGAAGCGCAGGTCGGGTGGCGTGGGAAGCGTCAGCACCACCTGGCGCTCATCGACCGGAATGTCGATCGCTTGATGCGAGCTGTGAAAGAAGCCGGCTTGGTCGTTGAGTCGGAAACGGTGGCCCTTGGCATTGACCTGCATGCCCCAGCGATCGTCGAGCTTCTTCTGGCGGGATTTGGCCTGCCGAATCTTGTTCTGGTCGTCGTTTTGTCGCCCAGCCTTCATGTTTTGCGCAATAGTCTTTTCAATGTGCGCCTTTTGCTTGTCCTGGGCCTCCTTCATCTTGGTCAGGTGCTCCTTTCGCTCGGCCTGGGACGCTTCAAAAGTGGCAAGGTTGCCGTGGAAGTAGGTGAGATCCTTGTCTCGGAGAATGAGCAGATCGGTGCACAGCGTGATAAAGTCGCGGTCGTGAGAGACGACAATCAGCGTGGGCGGCTTGTCCGTGTCTTCCAAAGATTCCAAGTATTTCTGCAACCAAATGATGCCCAGTAGATCCAAGAAATTGGTAGGTTCATCGAGAATCAGAATATCGGCCTCTTGGAGGAGAACCGTAGCGAGGCTGGCCCGCATATGCCAACCGCCCGAAAGACTGGACAGTGGTTTTTCCATGATGGCTTCGGTGAATCCGAGGCCAGTGAGGATACGCCTAGCCTTTGTTTCAATTTCGCTTACGCGGCTTGGTTCAACTTGCATTTGCAAGTCAGCGAGCATGTCGGCAGCCTCTTGCGTTTCCTTCTGCAGTATCTCAGGAGTAATTTCCTCTGGAGGCTGGTCTACTTGTTCTTGTGACTCGGCCACGACCTTTTCAATCGCGACAAGGGCCTTCCTGGCAGCCATGCCACGAGCGCCGCTGCGAAGCCTGGCGTCCTTGTCGAGCAGAAAGTGACGCTTTTGTAGACGATGATGATTTAGACTGCGGACAGCCCGCACCGGCGCGAGAGGATCCGTTGAATTGATCCCATCAGATAGGACTTTTGCGGTTTAGCAGGTAATCTGGGAAATGATGTCGGACGTGACCTCTTACACTGAATGTCCTGCTCGATGGTGCTGCGAGAAGTAGCCCGTTCAATGACCTCCTGTCGCGTATTCATCCCTTTTGTCGAATTCTCATCTTTTGGCGACTCTCCATCATTGAGCTTGGTCTGCTGCAGGATGGCAATCCTGCAGTCTTCTGGAATACCTGGGATGAGCTTCTCCGCAATGGCCTTGAGGAGAGCTAAACAAGGGAACCGTTAGTGCTCTGAAGATTTGCGTAAAATGTGGCACATACTGGATTTTCCTGTTCCGTTTCGGCCTACGAGGGCATATCTGTGGCCCTCTTTCAGACGCAATTTGGCGCCCGACAGAATCTCGAGGCCTTCGCTGCGAGCCTTGGACTTGCCCTTGGCGGATGCGCCCGGTTTGGAGCCGCCGACAATGGTGATGTTGACACCGGCGATATCGAGCTAGAATAGAGGTCAATCAAGACTGTTCAGACTGTACAGGTAATGTATCAGTATTAGCCGCACTTCTCGGTAGTTTGCCGTGTCAATATGGAAACGCGTCTGCTTTGACGTGCAGAGAATGGTGGCGACGGACTCGGATACCATGGACGTCATGTTGAGGTAGGGCAGCCTAGCCGGATAGTACAGTTTCGTGACCTGACTTGTTTCTTGTGTGCTGACAACGGTGGTCCCTGTATTTGCGGGACAAGTTGTGCTCTTGGACTGATGATTTTGGAAGCCATCAGATCTGGAGGCCAGCTGCTTCTATATACTTTGTGCTGTTCTAGGTAGTTACTGGTAGACGCAATCCTAGCGGAAGTGGAGCAGACGGCATGCATTTTGGGAATGCGCACCAAGGAAACGTCGAGCCACCAGAATTAAGGGGGCCAGAAATAAAAAATAGGGGGTTTTCGATGCTCATTCAAAGTACCAAATGAATCGTCTGCACTGAATTTACTACGAGTTCTTGATCTGCAACGGATGTTGGAACACATCGTTCCTGCAAAAATAGATGCAGGGTAATTGGTCATTGTGGAGTGGGCAAAGACGGAGTGACTCACGCCGACGCCGACTGACACAAGATTGGGAGTTGTGAGGTAGTGATGACAGGCAAGGTGAAAGCCGGAGCATTATTTCTCAACAATATCCAGTTATAACTTGGTAAACTTGATCTCGACTGGAAGCTCCGAATTTCCACGAATAACCCCCGGTGAGTCTTCGAGGCAGGAGTGGAATTCAGAGTTTGGTCAGCACCAATTACAGGGCTCGTTATAGCGACCGGGGACACTACAGGCTTCCCCGCATCCAAGCATGACGCGCTGTAATAACAAACCACACAAACCTAGCTTACAATCACTGCGTTGCAATTGAACTATCTATTCTTGTTCAAAGAGGCTTCATCAATTTGCAATCGAAAAAAAAAAAAAAACAATGATCCCGCAGCAGAGTCACCCCCCGTTTTGAGAACCGCCCTTCTCTTGCCGTCTGATGCTCCTGTGCCCTCTTGTGCGTCGAGCACGTCAAGCCGTCACCACTCTTGTCGCTGCTCAGCGTCTTCCTGCTGCTGCTTGACTCTCTGTAGCTGTACGACAGCAGCTAAATATGCGTCCAGTCGCGCCATATTTCCGAGCCGTCTGGGCCGTCAAGGTCACCCCCTGTGCTGCTCGAGGCCCGCGGCAAAACGACGCTGCGCTCGCCTTGGTCGCTTCGCTGCTTCGCACCGGCTTCCGGGGGCGGCTCCGGCGCATGGAAATGGTCGCGCTAGACGAGCATATGAGTACAGCAAACTTCAATCGGAAATTCTGGATGGAATGAATGAAACCCATGTAGTCACCATCATAATGGGTGCTGCCGGTTTTATTTGTTCCAACCGTCCATGAGTCGAATCGAGGCTACAGTTGAGTCAAGATCTGTTGAATGAGCCTGGCATAGGCCAAGACCACCACACCAGGGTAAGAAATCATGTAGCGATGCCTCGCCGGACCGCCTTTCTAGTACACGTGCTGCTCGGCGAATCCGAATCTCTTATTTTTCCGCCCTCTTCGTTTGCTTTGAGATGCAAAATGTGCTGGTCATTGTGCTGCTCGTGACAAGCCTCGCTTTGCTTCTTGTCAGCTCCGCCGTATACCTGTGAGACAAAGTCTCAGTCGGGCTCAGTGGTGTGGCGCTTGTGCAACAACCTCAACGAGCCAGGCGTTCAACATGCTGAACCAGTTTCGGACATTGGTTGAAACATTGGCCGGGCCTGCGGCACACATCGAGAGCTTTACCGACGAGGCGGGCGAGAAAATACGCATGACGAGACAGCAAAGGCTCCGAGACTACAGAGTCTCGCATCCAACTAGTAGCAACCGTTCACAAGGTGGTTTACCATCTCTAGTGCCTTTGAGCTCGGGCTTTCTTTGCCGCTAGCGCCCAGTCATTTACTGTTGACGACGTCCATTTGGACACTCTTCCGCGCGACCTTCCTTATCCGTAGGCGCATTCTCACAGACAGGAGCAGTTTGTTCTGACCGACACCGTGAGTAATACTTCGAATTAAGTCTCCGCCCTTGAAACAACCGACCGAAGTGTAGCCCTCTAAGCGGCTACCTACTGGGTTGTGCTTGAGAGACACATTGCTGTGGATGTCGAGTCTGAAGACGGCCCGAGAAGCCAAGGAACAAAAAGTGCTCTGTCCACGGAGGAGCAAGCTCTATCCAGATGCTCCTCATAACAAGGCCCGTCAAGTGTTGTTTATTTGCGTTTCTACCCGGGTTCAGAAAATTTGGTCAATACAATTCATCGTTCAACGGTAATGAAGCGTCCTCTACCGGCTCGAGCTGTGATAATGTATCTTTCGACAGCAGCAGCAATCTCGGCTGCTTCTTGATGTGCAGCTCTAGTTGACAGTGCAGCATCATCTGCCAGCGCCCAGCCCATTTCTAGGCGAAGACATGTGATCTTGCCCCAGTTGTTGGCCCAGTCGATGTAGTCATGTTGGTCTTGAAGCTTGAGAGCCTGCCACCAAGAGGCGCATCCTGTGAGATCCAAAAACTCAAGAGCGTAGAGGCTTCGACTCAGCTTTCTGAGCACGAAAAGGGCCTCACTCCAGTCATGATCAATCGAGTGGGAGTAGTAGTTTGTGCCGCCATAAGAAATTTGACAGCCTTGCGGGGACCCAACAGTGGCAAACTTGGCACTCTGCAAGAGGCAAGGTTCGGGCCAGTAGGCTAGGCTGAGGTGTGTAATTGACTCAAGTCGAGGGGCCAGGTTGAGTAGGTCCCGCCATGATGCGTTCTCGGCCTTTGCTGGATTAATGGCGAGAGAGAGGTGAGTTAGATTGGGCACAAGTGCATGGGAAAGGCGGGAAGTGGGAATATGCTCGATGGCGTCCCAAGAATCTTGGGTGTCGTCTTGGAGCGGCGCAGTTGAGCGAGCGGGGAAGAGGAAGGCTGTCAAATCTCTCAGGGTCAAAGATCTTCCCAAGGCCCCAGTTAGGTCCATAGCAGTAATTTCAGGATCGATGGGCAAAGACAACGGCACGCCCCCTCCATGACGGTTGTGATTGTCGCCTTGGCTGGGGCGCAAGAGCAGGGCCTTGACATCGCCGAGAGCAAGGCCGGCATCGCTGTAAATAGCGAGCTCGCGCATCAGTGCTGGTTTGAGATGGCATGGTATGTCGTACAAGTAGTGCTGGTCATAGACACGATGGAAGGGCCAGTTCGCGGCGAGACGAGCGAAAACGAGGCCAATCAGGCTCATGGGCTCAGGGAGCTGCAGACCTGGCAAGGAGATATTGGCTAGGACATTTTGAGAAGCAGATGCAGCAGCCTTGGAGACTAGCAGGGGGGCAGCGTATTGGTGCTGAGCAGGCGATTGTGGCGATGTCCAGCTACGTGGGGGAGGGGGCCCAGCGGGAAGGCGTCGACCATCATTGTCGAACCTGGGCCTGATGGAACGCCTCGGGCGGGGCGCGGGTGTCTCTGGGATTTGCAGAATATGCCTCAGAGCCGGGGGGACGGTCGGCGTATTGGCATGCAGAGGAGATGAGGCAGCGAAGCCAGCCGTTGATGAGGATGCGAGCGATGTGTGACGTAGCTGGCTGAGCAGCTCATTGACAGACTTTTGAGGTTTGTCTGTGGTGGAGGGTGGTACGACAGCAAACCAGATATTAGCAGGCGAGTTGGAACATGATGCGCCTCTTGGATGGAGCATCAGCGCTGACTGACCTTTGACGGCGCCAGAAGATGGCGAGAGCGCTTGTGGCGACTTGCGGTAGGTAATGTGTCTTTTCTTAGGCATGCCCAACGGCGTTGTTTGGAGGGTGCTTTCTGTCCAAGCTGCACGGGACTAGCCGAGCAGAAAGCCCGGTTAGGCAACCGAGACACGGGGAGAGTGGGGAGAGGGTTTAGGGAATCTCGCGCGCTCTGCTATGGGCAGAGCAAGTGACTTGTGCGGCGGCAATGACTTGTTGCAAGGGGAATGACTACGACAGTTGGGGAAAAAAAAGGTCGTGACATGGTTGAAAAGCGCTCCACTCATCAGCCTGGTCCCCGTACCTTGCTTGCTTGAATGAACATGCGCAGGGCAAGACTTGCGACTTACCCCACGGGTGATCGGCGACACACAGAACAAGGCTTATTCTAGACAACAGAAAAAGCAGCAACAATAAAAAAACTCGTGTAATGATGTCTTCAATAGAATTGATATATTACGAACTTGATTATATCTTTAGGCATATTGTATGTAAAGGAAGAAAAGCACCAGCGGTCTCTTTTGTCACTCATTTTCTTACCAGTCAGTCCATTACGTTAGTCATAAGGAGTACTTGCAGCCTTGTACCTACCTGTAGGTCAAGTTCCCCACATGTTCCCCTTTTGCGCCTCAACGCCTTAAATTCAAATTCATCTCTTTATTCTTGTATGCATACGTACGTTTCTTGATTTCACCATACTGATCATGTAATGCTTCCTTGCAAACGCGGCTGGCGGGTCTCCACTTTGAATGGCTAGTGAACCAACTGGGAGCATCTTTGAAAGGCTAGAGAGCCAAGCGGGCTAAACGGGCGGGACCGCTAATCATACTGGACGACGCTACTGCAACCGCACAAAGGTGGCTTGCTCGTCAAGTCCGTTTGGCGTCCTGGCGCTGCATCCGACTAGTGACCCTTGCGCCTGGCTACCTTGGCTGCCTAGAATTTCCATTCCAAATTCAAAGGTGCAAACACAGTTTGAATTCGCCTTTTACCAGTTTACCACACGACTTTACTACACCACCTCTGTGCCTCTGCGTGTCTGCGTGTCTGTCTCTCTCATCTTTCGACCGTCCCGTCCCAATCCCGCAATTGACCTCTGTTTGCACTACTACGGACCCGTTCCTTGCCTGATTTATCAGCGCGCCTCTTCTCTCTTCCCATCTATTCAAGACACCATCTGAATCACCACGGCCCGATTATCTTCCAAATCTCTTCTCTATCACCGCCACACTCCAACATCATCACCGAATCTAATCCGGCCCGGAACCGTTGGAACAAAAAAAAATGTCACAAGACGCCCACTGTATGCGCAACACCCTGGTCTTGTCTTGGCTTGGCGGGGCGCGTGGCTGCAATCTGCCCATTTATCGCCATCCCCCAAGCGCCTCTCCCTCGTCACACTTCGAAACAATGCTTGCGCTGCTCCCACATCACCAAATGGACAAAAAAAAACACCCGAGTCGTACGACGGCCAAGGGTAATATGAGCAGCCACAAAATCCCATACTAAGCGCCCCACTCTCGCCTGCGCCGCTGCCGACCCCAAGCTTCCCCTTTTCAACATGCCAGTATCTGCGCCCGCCGACTGATACCGTGCCACGAGGCATCCAGGCAGGCTCCCCCTGAGCCTGTGAGCTCTTCACTTCGGCTTCGGCGCTGGAAACCTATGGTCAAAGAGCCCACCCCAACCATGACCAGCTGAACGCCCTCCAGCGCCCTTGTCCCTCCCCCGCCGCCCTCGACAAGAACCTTTTACAATGACAGGCTTCACAGGCAAAGCTTCAAGAACCGTTGCATTACACTGCTTCTGCTAAATTTTCCGCAATCTTGTGAGAGATGCCACCAGTATCACGCTCACTGATCTGACACTTGACTGCCCTCAGGCTGTTGACTCACACCTGCCGAGAGTTGCTGCATAAACTCTGCTCAGTTCAGATCAAAACAAAAGCCAAAGACACATCGGCCACGTCGCAATGGTTCCAAGTCTCGGACAAGCTCCCATTCCTGGAAAGTCGAAGCGAGATGTCGTTAACGAGAAACTCCTCCTGTTGTGCGTCTCAAACCAGCAGTCTGCTCCTTTGCTCGCGAGAACCTCTGCTTTTGGGCGCCGCAGCAGCCCATTCCTTGTTCTCACCGCCCCCAAGCAGACATAAAAGCAATCATATAGCTGGCGCCGACATCAAGTTGCACTACGTCGGTGATACCGTGATGCTGTGCGTACGCGTCCGCTGCCCGACATCGCAGTAGCACTGGTCTGGATGTTCTCTGTGTAGCCTAGACTCCTCTTGGGGTTACGAGAATCAACCTTGCACCACGCAATGTGTGAGACGTGTGAGACAACCCATAACTCCAGCCGCCCAGTGGCGAGCGGACAAAATCCATGCAAACAAGGCAGAAGCCCGTGCTCGATGCTCCTATGCAAGCCACTGCGAATCATGCTCCAGACGTTGACAGCTCACTCTGCGACCATCTCGATAATGGCGCTCTTTACACCGGCAGCAGACTCAGGATTATACGAAAACTCTGCATGCATTTGAAAATGGTGCCCAACACAATGGGCTATTATGAAACGAGAGGCTTTTATTGGCCTCCCGGAGGCAACACGGGAATGGTTCCTTTCTCTCCGCTACGAGAACAAGGGCCCCCATGGTACAAGCTGTTAATTGAGAACGAGTGCTGGCGCTTCTCGCCATTGACTTGGTGCAAGCCCCTTCTGTGTACTCTGCGGGTGCCTCGATCTAAAGCTACAGGCTGGAAGCGCTGACAATGAGCTACGGCTTCCCTGGCTCTGCTTCTATGCTCGCCTCTACTTTAAACCCAATCGTGCGAGGCGAGCAACGCAAATCATGATAATTTCTATGTCTCTTCGACAGAGTGCTACGATCGGTCTTGTACTTCAACAAGAGCTTGCTCGCTCGTCTGACAAACACTGTCCTGTAGATTGCTGGAGGTCTAGGTGTATCGATACACCAATCTGGCAGCGTGCGTGGCATGATTTGCGCTGCTGTGGCCACAGGTAATTGATCATGTCAGTGGCGACATTGTTGCGCACGCCAGTGGTGCCAGATGTTTGTCTTTCACAAAACGCGTGATCCAGTTATACGGCCGATTTGTGCACTTGCTCAACGTCTGACGCGCGCCCCTCCCGTTCCTTTCTTGGTGTGCATCGCACCCGAGGAAGCCAACTGCCTTGCCCGTCGAGCGGTCCGTTCTTCCGTTGGGTATGGGTAATCTCGTTTGAAATGACGTGCTGCTACTCGAAAATGTCGGCGGTCAATTCAGATGGCATATCTTCTTACAGACTGTTCTGTAGCTACAGTCAAGGCATGTTGGCGTCGATGGCCTGCCTTGCGATATCCAGAAGAGGTAGATATTGCGGGGATCCTTGCGTCTCAGAGAGACAATGGACCCAGCCCGACAAGAGTTGGGCCTACGAGCAAATGTGCTTCGGGAAGGGTGTGATGGGGCTTTAGAGCACTCTTGGCCCCTAAGCCAGCCATTAAGCAGCGAGGTCACAAGTTCGTGCAACCAAGTCGCGATACCACCACCAAGAAAGCGGAGGAGTGTTGCACCGACACAATCACATTTGCCTCAATGACGCCTCATGTAAAGCCTGGCGCGTAAGTAGGTCACTCGAAATCTCTCTTGTTGAACAGGCGGAAACAAGCGTCATGTGAATGGAAAGTCTCTTCTCGCCTAGCCAACAATTCTCTCATTGGTCTCGCCATCAGTGATACCAGATGAAAATGAAAGACGGTTAAGCAGGACCCGTTACGGAAGCGGTTCAAGCGCTGGGAAGACACCGGCTTTGGGGCGTCACTATGGTTTGCGCCAGCATTATTGCGCACTGACGTTGATCAGCACTGAGGCTAACCCTGATCTACTGCACATACTGGAATAAAGCCAGGTAATGTCCGTGTCCTGCAACGGGCGCCCTCGCGGTGGGTGGCTTGAATTTGATCGGTCTGCATATGGAAACGTCTCTGCAGAAAGCTACGGTGAGTGCTGCAGTTTGTCTTGCATGTAATGAACTGCTATGGCGGGACATCGTATATGGCGTTAGCGCTTCCGATTCCCGCACAAGAAACGGAAGCCAAGAAATGGTCCGTGTTTGAAAGAGCGAGTTGCACCTCTCCGAGAACCCCTGTCGCCACATGTCCCTCCCGTCAAAGAGAGCGAGTAGCGCCCCGCGACCACTATTTGCCCGGGCACAATACACCGTCCTGTTGGCTGCGAAACTCGGCCAGCCTGATTACTACCTAGGTAGGTACTGGACGTTTTGGCTAGTGTATACCCGCTGCCTAGCTCTGAATCATGAGTGATGGTGGATGCCCGGCTGGCTGCATGCACGACGCCGCGGCGACGCCTCCGACTAACAGCAACGTGAGATTCGCGGCGGAGAAGCGGCAGAAAAGGGGACAAAAGGGAACTTTTGTTTCAATGAATCAAAGGGCTAATTTTGTTTTATTCAACCAGATCTCCATGTCCTGGCGCGTGATCCAAAGTGTAGGCGAGGATCATTCGATCCTCAAAGCGAAGAGGCAAATATGCGCCGTCTCGAATCGGTAGCACAACTTGCGAATGCTTGCTACCCGTCTCCTCCACATTTTTTAATCATTTATTTTTATTCCTTTGCTTCTCCAAGAAACAGCCAGTGGCTGAAGCTGGGCCCTATTTTATCCAATTACGAGAAATGGGCGGTCTCTAAGGAGGAGAAGCTTCCCGTCGGGATCATCATACCCCCCCCTTCCTGAAGCTGCTGCTGCATGTCGGGATCAATCTGCCTTTTGGCGCCCCGAAGTCATGTTTCTGGCAAACTTAGTGATGCCGTGATTCACAGACCCTGCGCGTCATTCATACACGCCCCTCCAGGCACTCGCTTTCTTCCTCGCCCCCCTCCACGTCTGCCCAATCGAAGCATGCATCACCTGCCCCCCCGTCTCTTATTCACATAGTCCCTATCTCGGCGGAGGTGCATCTTCCGTCTGCTGTGATGGAAAGACGGGGTGGTGGGCGAGAAAGCGTTTCCTAATCTGCCCCCCTCGCGATGCATATATAAATCTGCGCCTCTCCCAACATGCCCGCTTCTTTCCAATCAGACCCGACAACGACTTCAGCTTCAAGGCAGTTATCCACTTCAAAGCAGCCTCAAACCTGAATCTTTATATCTTGTTGCTCTTTACTCAAACAACATCGTCTATGGTGCTTTACTCTTGAGTACACTTCATCTGTAAGTCGCCGGTTCACACAACGCTTCCCCACACTCGAGTCCGTTTGCAAGCCAAACGGACACCTCCATGCTACACCCAGCTCTCTCCTCTTTCATCCATTTTCTTGGTGCGAGTTCTATTCTTCATCGGCTGCTACTTGCATCAAGCAATTGAAGTTGCGCCCTTTTCGGATGCCGACACAAGCTCAACATCGCTGCATGACCGTTACATCTCCACATGCGCTAACACGGTTCGCCTCAATTTAGTCCGACCCGATCGCACCAAAGGTTGAGATAGACGTGTGAGTTTGACACTGTTCGTGCTGTTCCTGGACACTTGGCTTTGGCCTCGAAGATTGCTGCGGGAGGTGTACATCGCTCTACTTTGGAGCGGCGCATCGCATCCAGCATCAACCTCAGCCCAGTCCAAGGGCCGGCACGATACATGGCAGCGTTGAAAGACAAGTAACTAACATAATCATAGTCATAGTCATCCTTCGAGATCAGAACACGAGGTTCGACTTGATTGTATCAAAATCTTCGACAGTACGACCTTGCCCATCTAGACCGCTCGAAGAATGATATACAGCTAACCACCCCCAAAGCCCTCTTGTTCCGCGAGCATCATCGCAGACTTGTCCCGTATGCATACCCAGACGTTACCGGTAAGTGACCACTGTTGAAGTAGATTGCTCTCTTTTTTCTCTGGATTGGGCGCTGTGCCCGACTTTCTTGCACACTGCTGTCGGTTTTGGCCATCCCGAATGCAAGTGGGCGTTGCAGCTTCTGGCTTTGCCGAAAGACTCGACATACAGGGACGATCTTGTAAGTGCCTCTTATTTTACGCTCATTTCCTTTTTCCTTTATTGTTTCCAAGACATCTGCGCTTCCCGCCCTCGTCGGCCTCTCCTTCCCTCTCTACCCGCGCCGCAAGAGGTCTGAACTCTGTTCGTCTACAACACCCTCCTAGCCAAGTTGGTGGTGCCCAATCGTAAGCTGCACAGCAGCAAGGCCAGGAGAGGGGGCGATCTAATGCAGGAAAGCACACAAAAGTCTTGCACTGTGGCTCTCGTGTCACAGACGCGGAAGTACCCTACGCCCTACGCAACCGCGCCGACCCTTTGCTTGCAAAAAGTCTGTGTTTGGCGGGTTGGAGCCGGTAGAGACACGCCCCCTCCTCTTGTCCCTGCTTTTTGTGTGGGCGATAACCGCACGCCACTACTCTGGCGTGCACTTCGGGCCCCAAAAAAAGTACTCCAATGTACAGTACTTTGGCTGCACTGACTGGGTCCTGCGAGCTTGGGTTGGGCCAAAGAACAGAACGCCACAGCAAGCCATGCCATGCAGCTCCCCCCATGCAAGGCGAGGCTAGCGTCTACACATCCGAACCACCCTTGCCCTCCATTGCTCTCTTTTGCCCCAAGCTTCCGGACGCCTAAAGATTTACTTGCTAATATGCCTCTCCGGATGCAGGGTCGCCTGGACACACCGGCAATGAGCCTCTCCCAGCCCGCAAATGCTTGAAAGGGGTGTGCGATATCAACGACGTTGGTCAGAGGAGGGGGCTATCGGGATGTCGCATTGCGCCCGCCTGGAGAACAATAGAGCATCGCACTTTACACAGGCACACCGTCTAACATACTCTCGGTTTATAGCAGGATTACGATTCCTCCTACGCGGCGGGGGTGCACGGCTACGGCGGAAACCCGGCCAGGTAAGCTTTATTTCTTTTATTGGCCCTATCGGTCCTTCCTTCGCTGCCGTTCCGTCGCTTTCTCTGTCTCTCACAATACTTCTCTTACACAAACACACCCGTCTCATCAACGGTACTCTGCCAGTACTACCCCCCTGCACAGGAACAAACCACAGCACACACGCACCATGGAGTCACCTTCATATGTCTTTTACTTATAATGGCCGTTCACCCTTCCATGGTCAAAACTTCCTTCAAAGTCCACATTGTCTTATCATTGAACTCCTGGCTTCCTTACACCCGTCCCTGATCTATTATGCACAATCACCCAATCATTGTACATGCACTCGTGCGGGTCGTGTTACCTTGAAGAAACGAGAGCCTTGCGTGCCGCTGCACAACGTCTTCGTGTGACTTTTACCTCCCTGTCCATCCCGCGCAGGCAGTCTCCACCACTGTCGTACTGATCGTGAGACTGACGAGTATAAATATATAAGATTCAGCCCGTCCGGACAATACTCATTTCAAGGTTACCCAGCAGACATCAACCCGGGGCTTGGAGGCGAATTTTCCTACAATCAGCAACTTCATAACCAGTGAGTACCTGAAATACCCTTTGATAATATCCTTGATGAAGCATTATGCCTGCGGCTACTGCTGGCTGGCGAGATTTCGATGTGTGTTTCTAACGTGGAAATCTTCCTACAGACTGGCTCCCCGCTCAAGCTATCAGAATCCATCTCCCGCTGTACCCTCTAAGCACGCTTCGGCTTCAGACTCGCAGAGGAAAGGGGTAGACAAACGAAAAAGCGGCCGCTCATTGTCCCACGAGCGTGGTAACTCTGGAATGAACTCACAATGGGCCAGCGGCAACGCCAATACAGCACACGGCAGCATGTACCAGCCGCAGCGTGTGCCGCGGGAGTCCCATTCATCGCGCCAAAATGACGATATCCTGCCCATGGGGCCTACGGAGCAGCTGGGTACGCTTCAGTATCTGGACAGCAACTCGAACCCCACTGGTCCAACTGTTGACATCAAGATTGCGTCGCTGGTTCACAAGAACTTTTTTTTCAATAGACAATTCTGGACATGCTATCGTAGAAACTACATGGCATGTAACTGCTCATACTCGATCACGCCGTACTTTCCCGGGGTGCACCTGGCGTTCAAACATTCACAGGAGTCTGCAGCAGTGCCAATCCTTGGATTTGCCATGTTCATCTCGGCGGTTGTGGCCGACCATCCTCACCAAGAGATTCCGATCATACAGCACACACCGAAGCGCGACAGGGGTCCCATCAGCAAACCAACAAAGCAACTGATGGGCCCCAGAAACAGGCACAGCCATGGGACGCCACCCCACATGGGCATTACTGATGGTACTCAACCAACGGGTCAGATATACTCTGACATATATGGAGTGAGCGCAACGCAGGGCACTCTGCCGACAGAGCACAACTTTGATCGCTTGCAGTTCAAGACGGCGACCGCGAATAATGGCGAGCGCAGAGCCGGCCAGCAGCGCTACCAGCTGAGGCTCGAGGTATGGGGAGATATCGGCGGGAGCGATGAAAGCAGCCGCTGGAAGAGGATTGCGGTGTCATACTCGCCCGATGTTGTCGTCCGAGGGCGATCCCCAGGGCACTACATGAAAGAACGCCGCGGGAGCTCGGGAAGCGGCGGCGACTCGTCACAGGGCAACATGTATCCGAATAGTGGCAGTGGCAGTGGCAGTGGCGAATACGGCACGGCGAACGTAGTTGACGGACAGTCCAACAACTACATGGCGACAGCGCCGTACGATGACCGTGGCGGTCATCAGTACTTTAACGGCGCTGCTAGCCACCACGCCCGCCAGGACATGGCGGCCTATCCCATCGATCCCAAGCCGATGTTCCCTTCGGCGTTTACGAACCCTCAGCCGGTGTACGGCGACCCCGGCCTCTACCACCATGGGTTGCACCAGCACCAGCAGCACCATCAGCAGCCGACAGGCGTGTCTCCGCAGGAAATCTACGGGAAGCCCAGAGACTTGGACATGGGTGTGCTGCCGCGCCCAGAACCGCAGCTGCGCATGGGGCACGATGCGCGCTGCAACGTCAGTGCCACGGCCGGCGGCGCCCCCAGCATTCTGCCCCCGCTCGTGTCCTCCATGTCCTCCATGTCCATGGTCAATCCGGGAAGCTATCTATCCCACTCGTGAAAGGATAACAAAAGAAGGATTTCCTCTTGAGCTTGACGGAAATGTTGGCTCCATAAGCTGCTTTGCGTCGAAGACGCACGAGGGAAGAGCGAGCAAGCGTCCTTGCGGAGGTCGGCCTTGCGAGTGGCTATTGATAACTCGTTGGCAGGTGCATCAAAGTTGCTGTTGGTTCAATGGGCTGGGCGGGCGGAACGAGCGTTCATGTAAGAAGTACATGTTCGCCCCCCTTCCCCCCCTTTTTTTTCTGTCATGGTTGCTTGTCTTATATTCTGCATGGGGTTCTTCCTCGCTTGTTTGAGTACGTTTGATCGGAACAACAAAGGCCTTTTGCAGCCTATTGGGAGAGTGCGGGCATTATACTAGGTCTAAAAAGGGCAAAGAAAGGGCCTACTACCAGATTGGACAGCCCTCGGCGTTTTTCGGTGCTATTCTTCATTGCGCAGGCCACGCATGTGGCTTGTCGATGGAATTTTTCTTTTCTTTTCTTTTTCCTTATTATTATTACTATTTTTGCTTTTTGATCTTTTTTCTATTTATGCTTGGTTTTTCTGGAAAAGAGAAAACGGCTAGGTATTTTTTTGCTTTTTTTCTTCTTCTTTTAAGCTTTGCGATTGCATTTGATCGGCCGATACCATATATACGGGGAGTCCTGTACTTTCTATCTGAATTTGTTATACTAAATACCATACTTTGCTCAATCACAAACACCGTCTTCAACATGGCTGCCGCGGCTTGGGCAAGTATTTTTTGCTTACAAGTCAGGTCCAGGCTCGAGTCTCTCGCTTGTGCAGACCAATGATGATGTCTGTTTTGCCCTGACCGACCCCAGAATTCTCCAAATCCTTGGTATTCTTCTGAGACGTCCTCTATTAATAAATGTTTCTCCCCTCACTCTTCCTTGTCGTTAATTTGATTTCTTATGCAGAGGGCTTCCGTCGCACAAAGATGTGTGCAACGAGAAATCGACACTACTTGCAGGGCAAGGCCGCGCATAATAAGAGGAGACGAAAGCAATCCCCCCTTATCTTCTCGCTTAACTCGACAGGAGGCAATCAAGACATGGTGCCAGCTTCCGCCCCCCCTCTCCTTTTCGTTCTGTTTCTGGAAGAAAGAGGGAAAATTTGAAAAAAAAAAAAAAAAAAAAAAAAAAAAGAAAAGGGAGAAACAGTCCGTGTATACGAATACAATTACAGTATTTCAAATCTTGGTACCCACCGCCCCTGCTGTGTGGCTCGGTGTGTTGTGGCCTGAACAATAACAAAGGGAAAGAGAGAGGCCAGAGCAGGCCAGGGGGTGAATTGGCGGTTCTAACGTGCGTTGCAGCGCGCTGACCGGTCTACATGGGGTGGAAGCGTACATGTACATGATTTTGTCCCTTTTTTTTTTTTTTTGTTTTTTTTTACCCTTCTTCCCGGCTCCTGCCAACTAACGTTATCTGCAAATACTCAAAAGGACTACCGCTGTTACTCGAGTCCAAAAGGCAAGGTTATCTGCGCCGACGGGTGGGGGAGAGCCACTCCTCTTTTTTTTCCTGTAAGCCATTGTTGCCTTTGCATGGAAGTAACTGCAAGCACCTTCGGGATGCAAGTCGTTTGTTTCGTTCTTTTGTTTTATTTTGTCGGTGTACGGTATGTTCAAGGCAGCAGCAGCAGCAGCAGCAAGGGCCCGAAAGCCGCGACCCCCCTCATCCCCGATAATCATGGGAACCGACTCATATGCCGTGCGGCTGGCGACGTCTTGATGTCTTTCCTTCTTTGAGATACTAATAAGCTCGAAGCTAGCTTACCGTTTCTTCGACCGCTTCTTGGGATCCGAGCTCCCTCTTCGAGAACAAAGAACAAGGATCAGAGGAAGATTTGCAAAACATTCCCAGGATCCCCGGGCAAGCCATGGCCGAGCTTTCGCAAATTCGGACGTCATAATACTGGGAATGACGAACAAGCTTATAATTACCGTAATAGACACGCCCCTCCCCTCCTCTTACGCATCAGCGTGCGCCCTTCCCCCCTCCCTCCCCTCCGTCTGCCTACCTATTGCTACCTTGCCCCCCCCCCCCCCCCTTCCTCCCGGCATTTGGCACCTGCTGCATCTTGCATAACTCGCGCGGTCCTTCTTTGCTTCGTTCTGCTCGGCGAGCACACGTCAGGGGCCGAGAATTGGGGTGGGAGGGGGGATGAAAGAGCCTCTCTCACATTTTCTAGCAATGATGGAAATGATCAACAAATCGCTGCAAACCAGGCGGCAGGGCCGGCAGAGGCTTCCGACACGACCTGTCGCATGACACAAACAACGGTTCTCGATACTCGTAGCGAGTTTGGGTCTTTTTGGGGGTGTACAAGTATAGGAAGGCTCGCAGTGGGTAACATGGCTGCATTACACCAGATTTCCCTCTGTCTGTGTTTGGACACTTGGCGGACGCCATGAAGAAAAGGTCTCGTGCGGAGACGCATTGGCAGCCGCTCGCTTTACGGGTGCTTTTTTCTCTTGGCTTGTCTTTTGCTTTTTACTTTTCGCATCATTTCGAATGGCTGAAATTCGCTTGCGTGGGGGGGACAAGAAGGGGTTTCAAGCTGCAGATGATGACATGGCTACGAGACACTCAGGCACTGCATGTTCTTGTCGCGTTGCGTGCGTGACTTACAAAGGGTCCTCTCGGACTTGTTGTCATGTACTTGGGCATCTGGTGCGTGCTCTTTGCGATGAATGAATGGCAGAGCGATATCGGCTTGAGACGTCGTCTCAATTGCATGAAGCGCTGCAATGAGGTCATCTGGTGCGAAAACCCAAGATGCTGATTTATCATGCCAGCGCAGCAGTGGCAACAGTGGCTCACGACCTGCTGCTGTCGAGTAGAAAAAGTCGCAGCTACACCCTCAGCTTGTTTCGAGGACCAGGGGGGGCGCGCGCAGGAATTTCAGGACAGAACCGCGACATCAGCCTTGCGCGCCTCACACAAGCATTATGCAAGCGGTTAAAGGCACATATATCGACTGCGTTGAAAATCTTGGTCCCCACGTTGCACAACTTTTCATCTGCCGTCATCAGGGCGCTGTCTCGGTTTTTTTCCTTTTTCTTCTATTTTTTGCTCTTTTTTCTTATTTTTTTCCGACTGCGTGGGATGCGCTGGCAGGTGAATGTTACAAAATTCAAGACCAGCCGCGCTGCATCTGCGCCACTTGGGTAATTAGCCCTTGAATCTTGATGGCGTCACTCAATACACTTGGCTCTCGTGGTTCGCAAAAAATTTGCAAAAGATTCGAGTCTGGCCCTGGCCCAGGCCCAGACCCATTGCACTTGGCTGTTGCTATTATTACTGGTAGCTCTGGACGCCGCAGCCAGCAAAAGAACGGGCTTGGTCGTTGCGCCGCCTAGCTGCATTGCAAAGAGCGGTGCTGTTGCGCCCGCAACGCGAATTTCAGCTCACCACACCGAGTAGAGAGGGAGAGAAGCAACAAGGGGGTGCGGCGAGCAAGATGCAGATTAGGTTCCTATTGCGGCTTCTTGCAGATGCAAGACTGCCTCGCGCCCGTCTCATTGGGCTGAAGGGAAGGAAAAGATTGTGGGACGAATACAATGAGTGTTGTCAGTCTGCAATTATTTAATATCAACACTGACATGACTGTATCGGCAGGCCGGCGTCCAAACGGGAATACGCTTCTCCACTGTCCTGAAGCCAGCTTGATTAACTACGATTACAACCAAGGACGAAGATAGCGCGCCAAAGAAAAAGACTGCAGATCAGAAGAAGGGGATTTTGCGCCTTTCCACGTGTATCGTGTTACACAGCTGAACCAGCCCTAGCATCAGCGGCCACGGGCCCTCACCGAGATGATTTAGATGAGATTTATATTGGATGGACACACGGCATAAGAGTGGCATACCAGTAATAAGAGGACTGGTAAATAGTCCCAAGAACCCCTTGACGACCGTTGTAGCCAAACGAACGACCGGCTCCCGCGAGACGCTGAAGGTTTCCCGCACAATGGCGGAGGCGGCGAGAAACCTCGCCGGCACTGGGCACGACAGCGGACGCCCTGACCTCATCCAGAAGCCCGCGCAGCGTCTTGCACTCCATAGCGTTGCAATGGCACACGCCACATTTCTTTTGTGCAGGACGACAGCCGGTCCCGCCGCGTGAAAGGGTTGCATTCGACGAGATGATAAGACGCCACCAAGACAGTCAAAAAACAGGCAGGAAAGCGATGTTCTGAGGAGGGACCGGGATTCCAGAGGCGCGATTCGTGAAAGACGAGAGCAGGCAATCCCGAGACCTCGACGCCCGCCCATCATGGAAAGAATCGAGTTGAAAAGTCAAAGAAAATCTCACCATGAATGGCTGTACCGTGCCTTTTGCGCATGCAAGCAGTTCAGCCACAGAACAGAAGCCAAACCCACAGGTACCCTTGTTTCCTGAAGACCCTAGTCAAGCCTCTTAATGCAGGCCTTGACCGGTCAGTGATCAACGCGGACAATGATTCGTCCAGTCTTTGCGGGTATTGCCTGCTTTTTTCCTTTTTCTATTTGTTCCTTTCTTCGTACCTTTCAAAGAAGCCCCACTAACTGGGAGACGGCGGGGCGCATACGATTTCCCTTCCTCAAAGGCGAGCGACCAGCATGCGAATGCAACATGCAGTTTCTCTCTCTTTTCGCTGAAACTTGTTGGACCGAGGAGGAGAGGTTATCGGCGACGAACGGCAAGGCTGGAATCCAGAACAAGATTGACCACCCCCCCTCTTCGGCAGATGCGTTTCTCCGCGGAGGCAGGAGAGAGAGAGAGAAGTATTGAAAGCAAAGCAAGGCGTCAGAAAAGGTCACCTTCCGTCTTCCCCGCCATTTAGGAGGGGTGGTGTGGGCAAAGGAAGGGCTAGGCGCGCAGGGGGCAGAAGGGGTGGTGTTGACAGACGATGGTGACGTCTTGTCGATAACTACCACTCGAATAAAGAAATGTTGCAAGAAAATACAGGGTAGATTCTGCTCGTCGCCATCAATCCAGAAACAATATTCCTCCCAGTCGGCGTGGCGGTGTTCCGACTCTTAGCTTTTCTTTGCGGCAGGCACAATGTCTGTCGTTGGGCGCTATATAGTGGTTTTTGTTTTTTTCCTTCTTTTTTTTTTCTTCAATTCGAGCCGATGTCTGTGTAACACACCACTATCGTAGGGCTTGGCGGAACTTTTTATACGACTTGAATGTGTGCAAAATACCTGATGATTCGGAGAGAAAAAACAAAAAAAGGCCCTGTAAATACTGGTTGCGAGCAGTTCCCCAGCCACACCACCACCCCCCCCCAAGACAATGTCCACACCCACTTGCCTTGCGAGAACCGAATCTCGTGATGACTGAAGTGGTACTGAGATTTGAGGCTGCATTATGAAACACACCAAAGAATTTTACATGGCTAAAAACAAATATAAATATAAAAAAAAAAATACAAAGAGACAGATTTCTCACCCCCCCCCCATGTCGGCCCCCGAAATAAAGGAGCTGGACAAGGAGATGCGAGTGTCCACCTCCACACACACACACACACTTCGTTGCTCAGAAACCACCCATGCAAGATTTCCAATGAACTGGTCGCAAAGTACCTTTTGAAAAAGATACATCAAGAAACTTGGAGATGGTGGTGGTGGTGCAGCCCCCCCCCCCCCCCCCCCGGTACCCGACGCCGCCCACACCCAGTTCCTCTCTCTCTTCCGCCTGTTGCTGTCCCGAGCTTTCTCTCGTTGCCTGCCGCCTATGCGCCCGCCGCCGCCGCCGCCGCCCGCCAGCACACCTACTGTACATACAACGTAGCTTTTTGTCTCAGTGCGTGTGTTGCAAGCGTTGTTGCAACGCCACATGTTGCGGGCAGCAGTAACTCAATTGCACCAAAACGACGACAATAAGACGACGACCACGACGACAACGACGCGGTGCGCGCTCACCGCAGCAATGTCGTCGGCGGCGGCGGCGGCCAAGACACCCGCCCACCTTACCTCCCCCCCCCCTTCTGTCCTGCAAAAGGTACCCTAAGATCGCCAGATGGCGTCGGACATGGCGGCGACCGCCGCCATTTGCTCAACATCGTGAACGCGGAGCACATCCGCCCCTCCCTGGACAGCCGCGGCAACGGCGGCCGCGGTGCCCCAGGTGCGAGCAGCGGGGTCCTCGACGGCGGTGACGCGGCCGATGAATGTCTTGCGGCTGGGGCCGACAAGCCACGGCAAGCCGACGAGGCCCGGCCAGTTGCGCAGCTCGTCGAGACGCCGCAGGAGCTCGAGGTTGTGCGCGTCCGTCTTGGCGAAGCCGAGGCC